AGAAGTAGAGTCATTTCCTCATAGACGTCTATGGGAGCAGAGGAGTCGCCCCCTGCTGGTCACTACAGAGAAGTGGAGTCATTTCCTCATAGACGTCTATGGGAGCAGAGGAGTCGCCCCCTGCTGGTCACTACACAGGATGCAGCTAAAACTGTCCCGGTCACGAGTCTCCTGCTCACCGCAGCTTTTGAAGGAGGAAGCAGAGCAGCCGGCTGCAAAGCATGCAAATACATTGATAACATGCAAACTCCTGCAGGAGACTGAAGCCCTCTGGTCTGTAAAAACATCAGCACATCTCAGTACAGCAAATATTACATTGAGAGGTATTTTATTTTGAACCGTGGAGTGGAAATAATACTTAATAATTATTACTTATTATTATTTAAAGAAAGGTGGATGTGATGGTGATTATATTACTACAGAATGTATGATTTATCGCCCCCAGTACCAATAATGAAGTGGCAGCACATGAGAGGGAGGGGAACAGGGAAGGAGCCACACTTTGGATCACAGTCCGTCGTTGGCTCTTGGTTTATAACGTTGGAGGATCGACGCTCTTTCAGCGGCGGCTCACATCGACGTCTCTAAAAACAGGCGCGTTAATTAATTTCAGCTCTGCAGAGGCCCCATTTTTGGAAGCGCAATGACCTTAAAAGGTGTGCAGCGTCCTCCTTTCCCTCTTCCAGCGTTTCGGGTGGACACTTTTTTCGGGTCGGAGTCTTTTGTTCGCACCCGGCGCCCATAATTCAAATGATGAGTCACGTGTGTGTGGAGCGGAATGCAAAGTGGAGAACTGACTCCGAAAGCTCTACGACCCGCTGAGTCTTTACAGTCTAAAACTCTTCCTCGTAAAACAAATCCTTTATAATAATTGTGTTTTATAATATGATCTATTGACAACAGAGCATTAAAGACGGACTCTACACTACATGCCAACTTGTTTTTTCAAAAGCAACTGAAAATCGATACCAACAAAACCCTGTGAGGTAAAAACATTTACACATGAGGCTCATGGGTATTGTAGTTTTCGGTGCTGTCTACCGCGCCAAAACTTGGCTCCAAACACTGACAAGAACACGCGCCAGGCTAACTCTCCCCCCAGCTTCAAGGGTTTATGCTAAGCTAATTGCACCTAATTAACACATAAGCAATAGACAGAGAAAAAAAATAAAAAAATAAATAAGGGTGTCTCCCAAAACATCAACAAACAAAGTGTATCTTTTTTTTTCGTGACTTTATAATCAAAGAGGAGGCGGCGATGCGGCAGCTCTAACGTGTCATTACCCACGTTACAGTGGTTGGAATGAAGAGGACCTTCCGTGGACGCGGGTTCAGGTCAGGGCGCGGTGGACCGCGCGACGCCGCCGGGAGGCTTTGTGCCCAGCGGCGCTCACAAACCTCTCAGGGAAACCTGCGAAACCTTCCTGAGCAGCTTCCCAACGGTGACCAGAGTCCTTCTCAGCGTCTCACTGGAGGACACGGACGCCGGGACACGTCCCCGCGTTGGACTCCGTGATCTGGGACTTCAGATGTGCTGAGAGAATCCCCCTCCTCCTAGAAACTAAATAATCACATCATCTGATCCTTGTTGCAGATCAAACTAGTTAAAACATGTAAAATACACATTAATGCAGCAGAGGTATTAATAATGAACCAAAACATTATACTCTTGGTTGGATTAAAAGAAGGTTTATTTCGGGGGGTTTGCAGCAGTTCAGATGAAGCATCAGTGAATTCCTGCAACAGACTACAGCGCCGCATGGTGTGTGTGTGTGTGTGTGTGTGTGTGTGTGTGTGTGTGTGTGGACATATGAATTCATGGAAGTCACTTGAAAGCCATCTTGGGCCGATGCAGCGGTACCGTGTGACGATGTGCCGCCTCTCTTTGTGTTGCGTAACCCGAGAGAGAGAGAGAGAGAGAGAGAGAGAGAGAGAGAGAGAGAGAGAGAGAGAGAGAGAGAGAGAGAGAGAGCTGCTCACATAACAGCAGGAGAACACAACGCAATCATTTCCTCTCTTCTCTCTCGCCTGAGATGGAATTAAAAAAGGATTTTTTTTTTTTTTTAAAGATTGAATAAACCTTCAGCATTTAGAAGGAGCGGGATCGACGCCGTCGACCACCGAGTCACGTGCTTTTTCGCCGCGTTGCCATGGAAACAACCTTGTTGCTCTACGCCGGGGCTAATTCTGTACGAAAGAACAAGCTTGTAGAAAAGCGAAAAAAAGAAAGAAAAAAAAAAAAAAAACATGGCTGCGTGCATGAGTCATCTGCTCTCACACACACACACACACACACACACACACACACACTCTCAGAGCTCCTGCAGCATTACTGAGCGTATAACAGCAGTTAACAGTGGGGGGGGGCACCGCATATTTTTGGGTTGCCGGTGGATTTGGTCTTCAGTCCAAACTAAAGTGTTTGCGTGGTTGAATATTCTCGCTCCCATCGGGGGAACGTGGCCCAGTATGTAAAGCTGCATATTTCAGATTACTTTCCCCAGTGGGCTTAATCACCATGGCGTTGTGGTCAATGGGCTTGTGTTTGCACGCCGCCTCTCTAGTCCTCCGACCAATCGGAGCGCTTCGGCGCCACATGCCATTCACGCCCTGCTGGCAGGGTGCAAGGTGCCGCCGCCCCGTCGGCCAATTACCATTCACACCCACACACACACCACGGCCTCTATTCAAACGGAAGGCTGTGACCCCATTTAAGCTCTGCAAGCTGTTTACATGGCTAATTATAAAAATGATATTCCACTAACGCGTCGCTGAGCCTTCACGGATCAACATTAACCGCTGCACCCTTTAAATAACTTTATTGTTCATTCATTAATCTAAAAGTAGTTGAATGTGAGAAGGGAAAGAGGCAGAATCTTTGACCGTAAAACAAACGCGATGCGCATAAGAAATGCTCCCAAATCAAAGGATGTCAGGACGTCCAGCGTGTCTTAATCTGCCAGATTGGGTCTAGTCTGGTTAATCTGGCAGATCCAAAAGGAAAGCGCTGTTCACACGACCCGCTCGTTTCAGAATCACCACGATGGATCATTAGCGCACACGTAGCCATTTAGAGCAACAAGACGTTTGAAGGCGTCGCCGTGGTAACCGCTGGAGACTCTCTACTGTCGCAGCTGATGTGAGTCGCTGAGGCCGCGTTGATCACCTCACGCCGACCACGCCGGGCTTGTTGTTGCAGCGCGACGGTGTGAACCCGGGATTAAGGCCTCCTTTTTAATCCTCCTCCGCTCCACATGACCTCACAGTGATGCACGAGCCACAGCCAATCAGAGGCTCATCCACCCCCACAGGGCAGCCAGTGGTGGGTGGGGGGCGGGGGGGTATCTCATTAGCTTCATGCTTCTACTTCAATACTTTTATTTCTAAAGTGTTCAGAACAATGTGGTTGAAAGAAAAGCTGGAAAAAATAACCATATTTCACGAAAATAGGTAGAAGAACAATATGGAGTCGGGGAGGAGATGATTTTCAGAGAAAAGCTATTACCCTTAAAGTAAAACATGCACAACGTGATTTGATTTGATGTTTTTTCTCATACGTGTGATTATTGCCTCCCTCCAGCCCGTCACGCCTTCCTCGCCATCCGTCACAAATACCTCCCAATGTACTGCGATGCGGCGTCGGGAGGAAGTGAGCGATATACTAACTCTTTCCGTACATAAGACGGTCGTCAGCGCAGTTATTTGTAGGTTGCCATGGAGACGGGACTCTTCCCCGTTGTGTCTCACGTTTACGTTTGTACCTCGTCCAACACTTCAGACGGCGCCGAGCGGCAGACTGTAACCGCAGATATCAAAATACTATGCTGTGTAAAGGCCAAAATGAAACAAAAAACAAGGTTATCAAACGTTATAAACCTTGTTGGGATGAATTATAAAACAGCATCACAAAATATGGGTTCAAGTGAGACTTTTATTCTGAAAGGCATTCATCATGTAGAATGGGGCATTTGTTCCAACAGGAAGTTCAGTGACGATTTTCCTTCAGACTTCCTCTTTTGTACCATGGACTTGAACACTATGAACGCTTTGCTCCCCCATTGATCCTTGATTTAAGTTTGCATGAGGCCTTCAGGCTCTACGAGGGGGCAGCAAGTATTTAGAGTATTCTACATGTATTCTACGCTGATATTAATGTCTTTAGGAGTGTAAAATATACCTCCGGTGCTCCGGTGTGTTCCCCCATCCAATGCAAGTAACACTACAGGTTTATGTTTCAAAGGCGTCAGCATCCAGGAGTCGCGTTGCCGTGGTAACCAGCATCAGGAGGCGACCCAGTTCACAGCCTCTCGTTAGCATTAACAGCAGAACACAGGCTTCAGCTTTGTGACCATTCATGTTTCACAAAATACTATGTTCTTTTTATGCCCAAACTTACCATTTGCATAAAGTCTTTCCATTATTCACTTGGTCAGCATCTTATTCCAGATTGAAATATCTGGAATATCTATAAAACTGGGATGGATTGTCATAGGTCTTCATACTTACTTTAGGATTCAGCGATCATAATAATCACTTATTCCACAGAATGTGTCAAAAGACTTTAAAGAGCTTCTGACTTTTCATCAAGCACTACCATAACTTTTAATAAATATATCAATTATTAAATCGATAGATTTCTTTTTCATAATTAGCAGGGATTTAATTTGTAAGGCAAACCTTTAAAATGCAGCAGAAAATGTATCAAAATCCCAGTACGACATATCGGTGTTGACATACGGATCTCCGATAAGGATGCATTACATTTATTTTTTAAAGATCAGTAATGGAGCAACATCTGCCGTGTCCATGTCCATGTCCGTGTCCGTGTCCATTATCCAGAGGGTTGTCCTGTTGTCCCCGCTCTAAGAATAGAAAGAGCACATTGTTATTTAGCGCACTAAACCGGCTTAATGAAGGAAGACATGCTTGATCTCCACAGAGGATTATCCTGATGTGATGTTCCTTCCTAACCCATTCATAACTGTGTCCCCCCCCCACAGTAACTGCCCCTGCTCCCTGGCTGCAGCGCTGGCCAGAGCCACAGCCGACAGCCTCCTGCAGACCGACTTCTCCGTCTACCACCTCAACACGGCGGTGGAGGAAGGAGTTGATCCGCTACCACGTGAGTCCCCCGGGGGAGTCCACGAGACTGCTGTCTCCCTCACACGCACACGCACACGCACACGCACGCACAGCGGGCCGCTAACCACCAGGGCTTTGTCCCAGTTCTGCATGAAGTGCTGTTTGACTGCTAGAGGGCCCGAAACATACCGACAGATCGTCATGGTGATCTAAATACTGTTATAAATACTTCAACTGCACTAAATGTTGAAGGTTTTCCTTTATCTTTTTTATTTTATAAGTGTTGGGGAGGCGTTTATTACATTAAACACCACAAATACACACAAATTACATTCAGTGGTCAGTAGAATACACGTTTCACAGTCCAGTGATTAATCGGTAACATGACAAAATAATTCATTTCTCATTACATATTTTCATCAAATAAATATATTAGAAAAAAATTAGATCACATCTGAAACATAAATCAATAAATCATGACCAGTGTGGTTTGGGATGTGTGTGCGTGTGTGTGTGTCAGAGATGGAGTCGGTGAAGCTGGCCTGGCTGGTGTTCAACAGGCTCTTTGAGATTTGCCGCCAGTGGCTGAAGGAGCTTCCGTACCGCCGGCGCCCACAGCCGTACTACGAGACCTCCATCCACGCCATCAAGAACATGAGGCGCAAGATGGAGGACAAGCACGTCATCATCCCCGACTTCAACTCGCTCTTCAACGTTCAGGTTTCCGTGTGCACGTCTGTCAGTGTTGAATGTGACGGTATTTGCAACCGGTGCTGACTGAGCGCGAACCGTCTCTCAGGATCAGGAGGAACAGGCCTACTTCGGGGTGTTCGACGGCCACGGCGGCGTGGACGCTGCCAACTACGCCGCCAACCACCTCCACGTCAACTTGGTGCAGCAGGAAAGCTTCAACCAGGACCCGATCGCGGCGCTCTGCGGAGCCTTCAAGGTCACCGACGAGCGCTTTGTGAAGAAGGCCCGCAGAGAGGTACCGATCCGATGATCCAGCGTGTGCGTGCGTGCGTGCGTGTACTGAACCCCGTCTCCATGCGTTTGGCAGCACGTGCGTTGCGGCACGACGGGCGTGGTGACCTTCCTGCGCGGCCGGACCCTGTACGTGGCCTGGCTGGGCGACTCGCAGGTCATCCTGGTCAGGAAAGGACAAGTGGTGGAGCTGATGAAGCCACACAAACCGGACAGAGAGGTGACGCTCACGTGCATGACACGCGTGGGAGGAAGGGTTGTGTATGTATTGTACAAATTAGAATATTTATTCGGAGGTTCAACCAGACAACTGAAAGAGACAAAGGTTCCTCTGGGCAACAGTCAAAAAGAACAGAACTCTGAGCGTAGATTTAAATACGAGCAGCGTCCTGTTTCACAATGAAGCCGCCTGTAACCCGCCGGTATCACCAGGATACGTGCTGCTCTTCTTCAGACTCCACAGCGGAAAGAGGAGGTGAGTCCTCGGGGAACACCTAAGAGTATCAGCTGAACTAATGACCCCCGAGGAGACTCCAGAGAGACTAAATCAATAGTTACCGACAATGGCCGAGCGTCACGGACGCTTTCTTCTAAGATCCAACCGGCTTCTCCTTGTCATTGAACACGCGAAGACATTGAGACTTAATTCTCAACTAAAAATAGTTAAAAGTAATACATTTTGCACCTCCTAGAGCTTTGCATTTGAACTCCTAACCGTGAAACATGGAAAAATGTGGTGGTGGAGCTCGTGGCGGCACTAAAGCCCGCCGGGCCTCCCGTGTGTTCTGCAGGATGAGAAGCAGCGGATCGAGGCTCTGGGAGGCTGCGTCATCTGGTTCGGCACCTGGAGGGTTAACGGCAGCCTGTCGGTATCCAGAGCCATCGGTAAAGTGTTGATCCTCGGCGGACATGCAAGCGGAATCGCGAGGGCTTGTCAGCACGTGTAGTTGTCGTGTCGTATTTACTCCCGACCCGAATAACCCGCTACCCTTTTCCCGGCAGGCGACTCGGAGCACAAGCCGTACATCTGCTGCGACGCGGACCACGACGTCTTCCCATTGGACGGCTCCGAGGACTACCTGATCCTGGCCTGCGACGGCTTCTGGGACACGGTGAACCCCGACGAGGCGGTGAACGTGGTCAGCGACCACCTGGAGGAGAACACCGGGGACACCACCATGGTGGCCCACAAGCTGGTGGCCTCGGCGCGCGACGCGGGCTCCAGCGACAACATCACCGTCATCGTGGTCTTCCTGCGGGACCCGCGCTCGCCGCCCCCCACCGGCCTGGAGGAGGAGGAGGAGGGCGCGGCGGAGGTGGGGCGGGTGGAGGAGGACGCCGCGGAGGCAGAGGAGGAGGGCCGGGAAGAGGAGGAGGAGGACGACGACGTCAGGGCGGAGCGCGAAGTCGGCGAGGGGGGCAGCACTGCGGACATCGGGGGCAAGGGGCGCGGCGGGTGGCCCCTGCAGCAGTGCTCGGCCCCCGCCGACCTCAGCTACGAAGACCGGACGGACTCGCTCACGGACAGGACCAGCCTCGGCCTGATGGGGCCGTCGCTGGAGGGCCGCATCTCCCTGTTCTCAAGGCGACCCCGCTCCGACCTCGGGCCCGACCTCTGCACGGCCTCCCGCATCTACCGAGAAGATCGCCCCCCCAGGCGCAGGTTCTGGGGCCCCTTCCAGGAGCCCGGCGCCTCCAGCTTCACAGACCCGCTGTGGCCCCGGGCGGCCGCCACGTCGTTCACTCCGCCGCTGTGGCAGGGCCGCCGGCCTGGTCCCGGTAGTCGCCGGCGTGTCCGGAGGAGGCCAGGCGCCTCCAAGAAGCTGCTCGGCCTGCTACCGTCCGGCCAGCTGCTGCCGGACACGCTGCGCCACTCCGACCGGATCCCCGGAGTGGCGGCGCCTCACCTGCCCCACGGTACCGCCATCTGAAAAAGAGGTGACCCCCCACAACCACAACCCATCTCCTCCATTCGTCCGGTCCCGCCCTGACCCGGCTCGGCCTTCCACCAGGCGCCTGTCTCCGATAGGCCGTCGTGGCTCCTGCAGACATTATCTGTTGATTGAATTTCAAACTAAAACCCACTGTAGGTAAAGAGAAAAAAAATCTCCATTATGAGCACTGATCAGATGACATGAAGGCAGAGCTGGAGATTTAATTCATATGGTGGGCTGAGAGGTTGTTTTCGGGGACATGCCGTGAGACGGATCTCATTGCTTATTTATCTTATATGTACAGATACAATCAAATTATAAATTGTATAAATAAAATTACAATAATGAGATGTAACCTCCTCCAAGAGAGAATATGTGATGTTTCAGATAGTAAATCAGACTTGAGTGCTCCCTCGGTTTTGAATATACACAAACATGTTTTCGCCATTCCTTACTAGATGATCAGTACAGATAATAATAATATATAATATAGAGCCAAAGTCTGTTAAAGCGAAAACAACCGGTTGGTTTTTAGTGAAAAAAGTGTTCTTAACCCCCCTCCTTTAGTTTCAGTGACCTCGGCATCCTACAGCCGCAGTTTGTCAGCAGATAAAAGCCCTTAACACCAGATTATAAAAGATTAGCGGTCACTTACCTGAATAAAGGCTCCATGGAGTCCAGTGTTCCAGATGTTGATACAAGTGTATTCCCATCAGAAGGCTGAGTGGACAGGTATTAAAAAATATATTTTTGTTGTTGTCCCACAGAACTATTTGAAAGGACTGCAATGGTATTTACTTTTACACAAAACCCATGAAGTGATTTCCAGCAGGCTCGTTCAATGGGAAATATTTAATAATGAGCAAAAATAGTTGCTGTAGAACACGTGCCTCCAGATGCGAAGATCCTTTACTCACATGTTCAATGCTTATTAAAACCATTTGTTAATATTAACCAGTAAGGACAACAGTTTGGTGCCGTCTTCTTGGAGGAGAAGCTTGATACCACTCACGTGTCAAAGTTATGGTCAAGAAAGAAAATGTATATACTTCCCTACATGTCCTTAAGTTTCACAACCAATACAATACAAATAACTCTGTAGATAAAATGATGGTGTTAACAACAGCAAACATCGCAGTCATCAGTTATGTTCAAGTCTTGGCTTGGGCATGGAGGTCAGTCCCAACATTCATTCATTGGTTTCTTATTCCCGTCAACACAAAATAAGTTTCTCTTAAACGCTAATTCAAAATCACAATTAACAAATGTAATCATCAAATAATACTGATAATACTACTAATAATAGCACCCTTATTAACTTGCTGAGACCGACTTGTGCTTGAAATATAAACACTAGTTAACCATACTTATTGACTAAACTAGCTTTACTAAACACTTCCTATGAAGCTATTAAAATCGAAGGGAATCCCACGTTAACCCAAAAGTAACTAACTTTTGATTGTCCCTTCCAAAGTACTTAACGATGCTTTGGTTGCCTCCTAATGTATATTTTAGTTTGTTGACTGTTCTCTTAACCCCCCCACTGGTGATTTATTTTGCCATGGCTGTCTTTGCCAACTGTTATTACCAGATTTGTAGTAATCATTGTTGAAACATTGAATTCTCTTATTTTTGGCGGCCAAAACATCTGTCGCTAGCATATTTCTATCTTAGCTAGGTAGTTAATTACCGTTAGCGGCAAGAGTTGGTTTAAAACCTTTTTTTTGTTCCGCTTGAAACATGAACCCTGTATGAGGAGTCTCAAATATGCCTTTGTTAGCGACTGTTTTTGACATAACAATATGAGAACGGCGGTAAAGCCACATGTGTAATTTACAAAAAATGCTTTGATTGCTTCTTAATGCTAGCTGTGAAAACGTCCTCGCTATCCGAGTTGTTTGGCGAGCGTAAAGTCTTAGCCTAAGATTGGACCGAGCTTGCTAGAGCTCAGACCTCCACAAGTCTGAGAGGAGATGCTAACGTTAACTGAGATACCCTCCGTAGCCTCCGGTAGATGCTAACGTTAACTGAGATACCCTCCGTAGCCTCCGGTAGATGCTAACGTTAAACTGAGATACCCTCCGTAGCCTCCGGTAGATGCTAACGTTAAACTGAGATACCCTTCGTAGCCTCCGGTACCGGTTGGGTGAATACTTCCCATCAGAAGGGTTTGGAGCCTTTCCTTGTTGTTTACAGATCGGCCATTTTTGACGCTTCAAATCGTACCCCAAACATTCCCTCACATAATCACTCCCCAATTCTTTGGTTTGCGCAGGTACAAACGCGAGGTCGTGTAGTGAGGGCGTTATGGCGACTATCGAACATGCGACTCCCCAGACAATCAGGCCCCGAAACCAACTTGACTGAGCAGAACGTTGCTCGTGTGTCCCCGGGTGTGTTTTCTTTGGGGTGTCTTAGCATCTCAGCTATGAGGGAATGTGCCACTCAACAAACTAAAGCCGCCAGATCCCCTTTGTTGAAGTGTTGTTGGCCGATACCCCGAGAAGTTCACAAGTTGTTGTTGTGTTCCCGTTGTGAGTTGAGGGAACGCTGGGGGAGTATATAAAATAGCTATGTCTCATAAATCAATGGTTTTGATTCATGGTTCCCGAGGCCCGACAGTTGGGACACCCCCTGACCGGATTGAGGCGCAGGTGGAGGATGTCGTATGACATCGCTTAGTTGGCGCTGCCGCTGCCTTGAAGAGCTGCCAACACAAATGTAGAAGGTGTTGAACAGGTCGGCCGTTCACTGGCAGAGTTGTAGTGTACTTCTGTGGCCTAGCTGCCGTTTCATCGCCCCCCCCCTGACAGGAACAAAGAAACCTGGGGGAAAAATATACAAGAATATGTTGATTATTAAATGTTGGCTTCAACTACTACGTCTTCGACCTGCAGCTGCCAATTTAAATGTTTATTAATCAGCTACAGCCTTAAAAAGGACGCCGATCAGATTTGAGTTTGTAGGGTCACGTTCCAGTTCAGCTGGGGGGAGTAGCTCGGCGGTTAGAGGAGAGTAACCCCCCCAGGACGGAGCTTCCGCCTGACCTCTTTTGCGTGACACATTTGATGTTTTACAGCCCACACGGAGCAGCGAACTCCAGAGAAAATCCTCACGGGTTCCCGTTATGAAGGCAAAGTTTCCTCATGTCAGGAGAGTGATTAAATACGTTAAAGGGTACTTGGACTTTTCTTCCTTATGACAACTTGGTATTTTGTTAATATAACCAGATATTTTCTCATTATGAAGATATTCCTGATTTTGTTATTGTTTTTGTTATAACAAAATACTTATTATCTATGTTATTACAACATCTTGGTACTATATTCAGATTAAAACAAGGTACTTTGTCATTATAACATAACCTCTTATGATAGGCTGATATTGTTCTGAAAGGATAGATTTCTCCCTTAGAGGTGTTTTTTCCTCCTGTAAATGGCGGCGGTGGATTGGAGCGTGTTGTACTTGTACTCACACCTCAGAGCAGCTGTGCAGTACTTTCCTGTCCTGATTCTCTGAGTCTCGCAGCGGGTCTTTGGGGATTTGTGAATCATTCTCTGCGCTCTGGAGGGAAAAGGAGAACCATGGCAGTGACAGGGATCCATGGGTTGCATTCAACCAAAAAGAAGGAAAAAAACTGTAAATGGGTCACACAGTGTGACTCGTCATATTGCAAAAAAAAAAAAAAAACTGCCAGAAGTTGTCACTGTATGAGCAATAAAACGCGTCCCTGCTCCACGTCCTCCCTCACTCGCTCTGCTTGCACTGAAGATGTTCCTCTGAGTCGGATGTTTCCCTTCCCTCCTGATGATGATGATGATGATGGTGATCATAATGACTGTGTTAACTTGAGGGCCCCTCCACGCTCTATTTACACACACACACACACACACACACACACACACACACACACACACAAAGCTGTGCGCTCTAAGCAATAATGTTGCATCAAAAGGTCTCGGAGGGATTTGTCTTCTGCTGAAGGAGGCAACAAAAAATGTGTGTCTGTCGGACAGAACTTCAAAAGGTCACGGAGAAGAACCGCAGAGGCTCCTGAAGTCGACTTCTCACCCCTCGGACGCCCGCCTGCAGAGCACGGGATGATGAGTAATGAGGTGCTGCCGGTGAACGAGGGCTCTGATTGGTCCCTTCTTCTTCTCCTCGTCCTCAGAGCGTGAAGACAAACCCCGCCATTGGCTCTTCAACATGCCGTTTAGGTTTTTTTTTTAAAAAGGAAGAAAAAAAAAAACAGTAAAACATTACATTTACATTACATGTCATTTAGCTGACGCTTTTATCCAGAGCGACTTACAATAAAACACACATTGAGTGCGTGTATTATGTGTTCCTGTAGTATATAAAATGTGTGTACTGTAACCAGTGACTACTTACCATGTATATAAAGATTAGAACAAGTCCTCGAATGACGCCTTTTCTGTTCGTCTGTTTCTGCTTCCCAATAGTTAAACTGCATTACCCAGGATCCTTTGCTTACCACAGTAGTCGAGAATGTACGAATATTAAATTATTTCAAATATTGGAAGATGTTACTTTTCCTGGTTGTGGTTATTCATTAGTAATAATGTTAAAACATTAGTAACTATGTTAATCCATTACTTATGTTAATGCAGTTAAAAGTTTAAAAAGTGTAAAAATGTGAATGTGTCAAAACTTTTGGGAGTAATTGTGTAATTTCTCTCCAATACAATATATATTGCTTTAAAACAGTAATTTAATGGAGAAAACGGTTCTTGCGTACTTATTATCTGTCAGTGAGTTTGACAGCTTTGGTTACGTTTAAAATGAACATTGATGATACATTTAGTTTAGTCACAGGTCTCAAACTACTTTTCAATTACTGCTCAAGGCCCGTCGGCTTTCAGAGTCACGTTGTCATGGAGACCAACTGCCTCCCTGAAGACAGATCACCTTTATCCAAGAGAAAGGTCTACAGTAATTATATATATATATATATTTTAAAGATAAGGATAGAAGCTTAAGCTACATATCACACAGTAATCATGGAGATCAGAAGACAATGGAAACAAGACTCTTCCCCTAAAGTCGGCTCATTAGAAAGTAAAAGCAACCAGTTCCCATTAAGTGAGATTAGCTAAAACATACAGTAACGTAAAAAACACTATTACACAATGTTTAAGCACAACGAGCTCTTGATCCTGAACTTTCCTTCGTCCGTGTGAAACCTGAATATTAATCAGAGGTCGGCTCGCTGACACCACAGAATAAGCTGAGCGGATGCTGTAACGGGTTCTTCATGTGGACCGCTGCAGGCTGTGCATACTGACACAGCCTTTCAATAAATAAAAATAAAAAGTGAGGTGTCCTGCACACACTCTGCAAAATGACTCCCTCCCTCCCTCCCTCCCTCTCTCTCAACTGGCTTCCCTCTGTTCCAGCAGTTGTGCCTGTTAATGGCGATGGATTCCAGATAGCAGGAGGACGGGAGGTGACGTTACTTCCTGCTAGTTCAAACATTCTACATTTTAAAAAGGAAGACAGAAGTTGCGAGAGAAAACATTTTATTTATTTAAATACGTTAGTGTTCACATCAACCAATGCACGGTGCTTCGTGGGAATGTTCAAAATAGAGAGCAGCTTTAAACGCCAGAAGCACAAAGAGAAGTTAGAAAATAAATGTTCAGACGAAAGAACATATTCTTCGAGATTAAAGTCATGAATCTGTGAGAAAACAAAACTTTAAAAAATTTGTAGTATTTGACAAAACAAAAAAACATCTGTTGGATCAATTTCTATACACAATTTTTCATGAGGTCAAATTGAAATAAGAAAATGCTCGTCATTTCCCCCCAGAATCAGCAAATTATAAAAAGTCTCCAGACTCCAAACAGTGTCTTAACCTCGTGAACTTACTACTTTAAACTTAGAGAATAAACGTTTCTTGTTAATCCTTCACTTAAATTCAGAAAAACTCTCTAAACTAAAAACAAGTATTCTAGTTGAAGTGTTAGCAGACTCGTGTACATAAAATGTCCACTGTGAAAAATCTACTGAGGGTATTTTGGATTGAGCACGACAGAGGCAATTATATTAAAGTTTCCACCTTAAAACAGTTCAGTACTTTGTTCCTCACCTGTGGCGTAATTTATTAATACATTTTTTGATTTCTGGAAGGAGACGTCCCCGTGTTGACTTGAAGTATTGGAACTAAAAGTCTGTCCACGCAACACGGTCTGATTACCTGGAAACAGACAGTTTTATTTTGCGGCGGACTGTTTAAGAGAGTTGCACAGTCGGAGTCTAAATCCGAACGTCAACACGCTGAGCCGAGCAGCCGATGTGGGGTTTTTTGATGCTAAGCTAAGCTAACCGGCTGAAGCTCGGTATCCTCTGAACAAACATTCGGAGGGCTTTTCGCTTCGCTCTTCTAACTTCGCCACAGACGTCAGAGGTTTCGTAATCCGGTGATCGTTTGACTCTTTCAAATGTCGCAGGGACACCAGGCGGCGTTCAGAGAGAGACGACATTTACATAAAACGCTCGGGAGGGACAAGCAGTGGAACAATCGTGCGAGACGGGGGCCGAGCAGGTGAGGACAGCCTTGTAGAAGCGCGCATTACTCTCCGTGCAGTCAGACAGCGCTGCAGATCAAAGCTCAGGGGGGGGCGGCGGCTTCATGGAGGTCAAGGGTCATGTTTGACAAGTGACACTTTCAGAGATCCAGTCTTTCCACAAACAAGTTTGTTGTCTTTACTGAACCGAGACGTTGGTCCCGAATCATAAAACGTAACGCAAACGTGAAGAGAAGAGAAGAGCTTAAAGCGCTGATGTTATGAGATCACACCTGAGTTACTGGCTGTTTTCTCCTACGTATTCCGGACAAGAAGAACAGCAGCTTGAGTGGTCTCCTTCATGCATGATAGGCTGTAGCTTCTACTTTGGATGTGTGTAACATAAAGACAGGTTTCTGTGTGTGTGGGAGGGGGGGGGGGGGGGGATCACCTGTCAGCAGGTAGACTCATGTCGTCAGACAGAAGCTGCTCTCCTGGAAGAAGGAAGAGTAAAGATCCACTTATTTCCACATTTCATTTCAAGAATTCAAATCAAAGCTGTTTTTAGATGTTTTAGAAAATGGAGGCAGTCTATCAGCGCCACTCAGGAGGTTACCTGAGCGGTGAGGGGAGGGCGGGTTACCTGAGCAGGGGGGGGTCTGGTTGTCGTAGCGAGAGTCGTTGCTCTGCAGAGCCTCGTCCTCGGTGTCGCTGTCGCTGCTCGTTGCCGCCACGAGGACCGACGGCGAGCGATCTACGAACGGGACGACACGAGACCGTCACAGCTCGGCTAACGCGACAACAACAGGGAATATTATAATTAATATTCCTCTCAAAGTCCAGAGGGATGCGATCACACATTTTAACTCCTGCTCCTATAAGGATGGTTTACATTTTAGGCACAAATTCTGCATTCTCTGTAATGACCAGCAGGGGGCGACTCCTCTGCTCCCATAGACGTCTATGAGAAAATTCTCTTGATTTATTCCCTCAGTAAACATGAGTTCATGTTCTCAGTCTCTAGTTTCAAGTCTTCTTCAATACAGCGTGATGTTCATTTAGTGACTGAACATTTAGAGTCAAACAGACCATAAAGCAGAGGATGCTTTAGGGCGGGGCTTAAAGGGATTGACAGGTCTTCCTTTGATCGGCATTCCATTCTGGTCATTTTGTCCCCTGACTTACTACGTGCTGCACATCTCTTGTACTAATTAGCGTCGTGATCAGAACAAACCGCAGACCTTCGTTTGATCTGCCGTTTAGCGACGCGGCAGCGGGCCCCTCCAGCAGGGAGCGATGGCAGTTCCCCAAGTTCTCGGACTCGCACTCCAACATGGCCGCCCTGCAGGCACAAGGAGGGAGGAGGGAACGGGGGGGGGTGGGGGTTGTGGGCACATTTGTGAGCGGCGCAGCACAGAGACACGAAAAAGAAGAGCGCGTTTAGCAGGAGACACACACCCGAGGGCCCGGCCCTTCCCGCCGGTCATGTAGCTCGCCCCCCGCAGGGAGAAGACGTCGTCCCGGGGCCCCGGCGCCCCGAACAGCTCCTGCTGCTGCTGCTCCGCCGCCGAGTACTGATGCAGCAGCTTGGAGGTGGAGGCCTGCTGCTCCGCCGAGGAGCCGCCGCCGAGGGACACGAGGGGCCCCGGGGGGCCGTCGGCCTTCATCGGCCCTGAAGCAGAGACAAGAGAACAGGCTTGACTACACAGCCGAGACTAAAGCGCTCATCAGCTCAAGACAACAGCTGAGTACTGACCCTCTCCCCCCCCCAGCCCCTCTTTGAGATGCAGACTGAGCTCTGTGGACACATCTGGTCCTCTCAGGTCCTTCTCCATCATCTCCTCTGGACTCCTCCTCTTCATCACCAGAGAGCTGCTGGTCTCCAGGACCGGCGACAGAGATCTCCTGTCTGCACACAGGGAGGGAGGTAGGGGGGGGGGGGTGTAATTATCCTACACCTATTGACCTCATTAACTGCAGGATCACGTTGGGTATGAAGTCGGACGGATCAGATTAATAACGTTGTTATTATTATTAGCTAATGCTCCCAATATGTCATAATACCCGTTGTCCTTCTATCCACATCCCTCTACTAGTAAGACTGCAGCGCTCTTGACCCTGCATCTTCAAAGCAGTGACATCATCGTACGAGTCCTCACCGGGGCGACCGGGTCTGGGCCGAGCTGCAGCAGCCCCCATCAGCAGGTCCAGCTCACCCGGCTCCCGGCAGGAGGACAGCTCTGAGTCGGCGTGGTGGGGAGGTACCTCCTCCCCGCTGCAGCCCCCCGAGGGGCCCGGCCTGGGCTCCCCGGCCCTCCGGGCCTCCAGCACCGGACCATTTGTGTCGGTCAGCTTGCTGCGGACCTCGGCCATCTGGGCCTTGAGGCGGATCAGGACCCCCGAGTCGGGAGCGGAGCGCCGCACCGCCTGAGGCCGCCGCTCTCGGTCCTTCCTGGAGTGAGCGTGAGCTGAGAACAGGAACAAATAAACCCTGCTCAATTCTCTACATCACTGTTCACAGCTACTTTTTCATTTATTTACCTCCCTTTTCATATAAAGTCTGCAATATAAAAATCTGCATCTTTTGAAACCCTGGAATCCGTTTCAGCCTCAGTACACAAACATTACAAAAGCTAAACATACATCCTTCTGCAGTGCATCATTTCAGCTGTGAAAGGTTTGACACCTGTTGGCTAGAGGACTGGAGGGTCTTTAACACTCAAGCTGAGAATGTGTGCAAAGCGCCTTAGTGGAGGAGGAAAGGTAGACGAGACGAGAGGAATGAGAGAAGACGAGAGGAATGAGACAAGAGGAATGAGACAAGACGAGAGGAGACAAGAGGAATGAGAGAAGACGAGAGGAGACAAGAGGAATGAGACGAGAGGAATGAGACGAGAGGAATGAGACGAGAGGAATGAGACGAGAGGAGACGAGAGGAATGCGAGGCGGACCTTGGCTGTGCAGCAGAGACACAGGAGGTCGCGGCTGGAGGCCCCACAGAGACTCCACGCTGCGACGCTCCTTCAGATCCAGCAGCTGGATCAGGAAGACCGGGTCGATGTCCAGGAGGCTGCTGCTGCTCCCCGGCCCGATGGTGCCGCACGCCGCCGCTCCGGCGCCGCCGCCACCACCACCGATGCCGGCGCCGCGAGTGGAGGCGGAGCGGTGTGAGGAGCGCACGGCGGAGCTAGGACCTCCTGCAGGGGGAGGAGGGTTTGTAAAAAGCCTTATATTCTGGACGGGCTGAACTTTCCTTAGCAATAAGGCGGCCTAAACAACATCATGATAAAAAAAATCCAACACAGAGCTCGACACACACACACACACACACACACACACACAACCCCCCCCCACCTCCACAGAGTGTTTCTATATCTGCAAAGGGGCGTTCAGTGCAACAACAATGACTCATCGTCCTGTTCGTGCCTTTGCACACAGACACAGGGATGAGGGAGCTGCTCACCATCGCCCGCCAGTCGACACGTTAGAGGCAGGACATCTGATGGCATTTGGCTCGGTTGTTTTCGTCAGGATATTTTTGCGTTTAGTATTTTTTTTAGTAATGAAAATACTGCAGCTCAGGGGATTATTCACCTCAGCAGTGACAGAAGAATGAAGTGAATGCTGAAGATTCATAAACCTGCGTTCTCTGTAGTGACCAGCAGGGGGCGACTCCTCTGGTCCCATTGAAGTCTATGAGAAAATGACTACTACTCTCTTGATTTATTCCCACATAAACATTGTAAACCAGGTTTATGGTCTCAATCTCTAGTTTCAAGTCGTCTTTAATACATATGGCTCATGAATTAAATAAATAGTTGTCTCGAAGCACAAATATAGACAAACCTATGCAATACATTTATATTTGCTTAAGGAACACACCTGCTGCTCCAGCCAAGTCATCGGGAAGCTCTCCCTCTTCTGTCTCCAGGATCCCAATGAATTCTACATCATTCTCTCCAGACCTGAGCAGAAAAAAGATGATATAAGAATCACATTTTCAACCCGTTAATAACAATTTACTCACACACCGTTATCAGCGGGGCGGTCGGGCAGCAAATCGAACGGCACCATTAATTACATTTACATAATAAATCATACGTATGCTAGCACGTACCTGTGCAAATACACGCGCATGAAGCGTGTCCTACGAGGACGCTGGATTCCGTACTCACATGGTCTCCTCGTCGATGTCGTTCTCCTCCGTGTTGCTGGTTGCCGTGGAGCTCCCCGAGGTGCTGCTGCCATCCAGCGGGTTGACCTCCTCCTCCGTCAGACAGTCCACCTCCAGGTCCCCGTCCGACAACTCCTGAAGGACACGCAGCGTGAGTGTCTTTCGCTCAAATGTCCCCGAAACACGAGAGCAAAAAAATAAACTCTGCACGGTGGTCACACACCTCCAGGAGCTGGAACTGGAGACGTTTGGTTCAATGACGAGACGTTAATTGTTTTTTTGAATTGACAATTATTTAAAAAAGAAAGAAATCTGCCGGCGTAAGAAGATACGATTCATTCCGAAGGAAAAGAGGGATCAGGAGAAGTAGAAGCAGAGCGTTCCGTCCTCACATTAGAGTCGTCTTGCTGCGTCCGCTCCTCTTCCTCGCCTTTCTTAGCGTGGTTCAGGGCGGTCTGCCGGTCGTCGTCGCTCTTCACCGAGCGGGGGTCCCTCTCGGAGGCGGTGGTGGTGGTGGTCCCCACGGAGAGCCTCATGTCGGGGGGGGAGGAGCTCCGCGACGTCTGACGGCGAAACAGCTCAATGGCCAACCTCTGAAATGATGAGGAGGTTCAATGAAACGGGACACATTCGGTTCCTCACTTTGAACACACACACACACACACACACACACACACACACCTCTTTGAGGTTGTTGATCTGCTGGATGTAGCCGCTCTGGGCCGACTCCAGCTGGCTGATGTACCAGTACTGGTCTCTGCACTTCTGGAAGAAGGTGGGAGAGCGGACCTGGTATCTGCGCATCATAAAAACACAAAACCTCAGTTGACAACGCAACCGCAAGATGTGTGTGTGAGTGAGTGAGTGAGTGAGTGAGTGAGACCCCACCGGAGGACCAGTGTGTCCGTCTGCATGTTCAGGTAGCCCTCGCTGGCCAGGAGGTCCAGTCTGAAGAAGCGGTTGTAGCCCCAGCATTCTCCGACCTCGAAGTCGGAGGCGAACTCCCGGATGATGTTCTTGGTGGGGTCGCTGGAGGCCTGGTGGACCATCTCCACGCGGTACTCGTACCTACACCGAGACGAAGACACAGCTTATGGTTTAACCCGGGTCGTGCTGCGGGTTGGGAAGTCGTCGTACTCATCAAAAACACTTTAAATCATTTGACTTTCGACTGAAAGAAATCAGAGGAGATTTATGAAGGTGTGATTCCTACTTTGACGTTTCAGGAAGTCCAGCAGACAGTTCCAGGAACACGGAGAGGTAGTTTCCACGGACCACTCCGTTCCCGTCCTGAGGAAACATTACTTATCAGTTTTATGATTTCCTACATTAATGTTGCTTGGTATCAGTTGGCCGTGAAAAATGATGCGTTGGAGTCGAAGATGAATATTAAACTTAACGCTTCTGCAAGTTATCAACGATGAGAACGTGATGTTCAACGTTGTGAACGATGCTGTGGACACGGAGGTGCAGCCCAGTGGGATATTTAAACCAGTGTTTTACTTCAGGTCAGTAGGGGAAACTCACGGGGTAGACTTTGAGCCTCCAGCAGAGCCCGGATATCTGTAGAGGAGGACTGTAGACCGGGTCGGCCCGCTGCCTCAGGGTGCTACAAAACACACACACACACACACACACACACATGGAAGCCTGGTGGACACCACGTGCACTCATCCACGTCCTCCAGGTTTAAGTCTCGGCTCTCGAGTGGACGAAGCTCTCAAAATACATTCAGCGGTGGGAGGAAGTGCTTCAAAGCGCTCCTCATCCTCCGAGTCAACAACCACTTTCTCCTCGCTGATATTCCTCCTCTAATAATAAATCCATTGTTTTCATTTCAGGTACACATATTTTGGTACTACTATGTGCTGTAAAGCGTGAAGTAGTAAAGGAGATTTTTTTCATTTGAATTGTTTCTCTAGAGAAAATGACTCTACTTCTCTCTTGATTCATTCCCCCATTAAACGCTGTAAACATGAGTTCATGGTCTCAGCCTCTAGTTTCAAGTCTTCTTCAACACATCATGATGCTCATTTAGTACTTTATGGTCCATGTAGAGCCAAACAGACCATGAAGCAGGGGATGCTTTAGGGGTAACATCCCTGAGGGCTTTTTATTTATCTGATGCAGTTGAGGACTAGAACGTAAACCAGCGACGGGATTTACCTGAAGTTGACCAGAACAAAAGTGCTGGAGTCGTAGGCGGGAACCAGCTCACTGAAAGCACACGCAGAATAAAGTAGATAATTCCACATGAAGAGCAGCGCGAGCCGGGCTTTTTTTTGCCCCTCGGGTGAGCGGGTTACCTGGTGAAGTCCGGAGGGACCGGCGTGGTGACGAAGGACTGCATGGGCTTACGGTGGACCTGCTGGAACATCAGCAGGATCTCTGGACTCTTGGAGATCAGCTCGCTCTTACTGCACGAGTGAAGCTGTTCAGCACAACACAACAATCATCCTGCCGTTCCCACGACGACGGCAGATGTTTATTTTGGCCTTTTAATAAAAAGGAACATAGCAGACTTCTGACTGCTAACTCAATTAGCATCTGGATCTCTACCGTTCTGAACAAGGCGATTATCAGAACTTTCTCTTTTACAAAGCATTACAAACACAATGAGCTTTCCTGCTCATTTGCTCTTGTTTTCTGTTATTTAGTTTTATGCAAAAATACTTCCACAAATATTTGAAACTTTATAAGTGATAAATCCTTATCTACATCTATGTAAAGATATATCAATATTTTAACAAATTAAGATGATTCAGGAGGTGAAATGATGATAAATTCAAGCCGCTTCACTCTTAACATTTAGAATCGTTGCGTCGGGGAGCTAAGAGGCGCCGAATGGACCCACACAGCTCAGCATCGCCAACACGCACAACAACATGCGGCCTGATCTGACCTGGTGCTCCACCTCCTGCAGGAGAGACTCCAGCAGCTCCGTCTCCTGGGTCAAGGACGTCTTCTGGCCTGGTGGGGAGGAAGACATTTGTCTATTTTCAGCACTGCGTGTCGGGTTGAGTGCACGCGGCCACTCAGCCACGATAAATATTTCAGCTCTGTTCGAAACCTGCAAAGCTATAAAAGAAAAGTCCATCTTCCTCGTATTGCTCCGTGTCAGCTTGAGCTCTCAACCTTTAGACGCATCATGTTGAATAACCTCTTTTTGATATTGTCACTAAAGTAAAGATTCTGACTACTCTCTCAGTGTACAAGTCATGACATGAAACTGGTTTTCACTACGGTTTCCCTTAAATTCTGGTCCACTAAAACACAATATTCTCATTCAATCCACCGACGAATATCGACGCCGAGACGCTTCTCACCCATGAGGGTGATGAGTTTGTTCTTCAGCTGGTTGTCCAGGCGAGCGATCATCATCTCCACAGCGTTCCGGATCTCTCTGACCCGCTCGTCCTTCGCTCCCCTGACGGCCTCCACGTTCCTCTCCTGACCCCATGAAACACACACATCCACAATAAATAAATTATATTGTGCAGTTTTGTTTGTTGTTTGAGAGAAACCTTATTTTGACCACTTATGAGAAACAATACAAATGTTATAATATTAACAATATGAGAGTGGCCTGTGTAGAAAAAAAGAATAAAACATTTAAATTTAGAAAGAATCTTCAAACCCTTCACTACAGCCATAGAAATCTACTTAATTTAAGTTAAAAGAAATCGTTGCTCCTTCAGCTTTGCCCGTGCAACGTGGTGCAGCTCTCTATCCATAGTGTTCACGTCTCACCACTTCCTGCACCAGACTGATGAGCTCCATGAGGCGCCGGCGCAGCTTGGCCACCTCGTCCTTCACCTTGGTCACGTGCTGCTCGTAGATCTCCACCAGGGGCTTGAAGGTGTGGCCGCCGTGCTGAGAGAAACAAAACAAGACTACAGTCTCCGACGTGAAGACGCCGGTGTGAGGCTGTGACTTGTACCGTTGTAACATTTTAATGACCTAATCTGAGAGGTGTTGCGTCACTGCTGCAGTTTTATTCCCTGAACAGATGTTTATTGTGAATGTAAAGAGGTGAAAGGTTACCATGCCTCCCCACAGAGCACACTGGTGACAGATGCATTTCTTACAGGTCCAGCAGAAAACACTCAGCTTCTCGTGGTGGTTCTCACATCTGGAAATCAGATGACAAAAAGAAGAGGAGGAGGAACAGGAGGTGAAGCAGGAGGCGAAGCAGGATGCAGACGAGGAGAAAGAACTGGAGGAGGAGCTCACTTGTCCTTGTCGTTGTCCTCGTGCTTGGTGAGGCTGCAGAGCTGCAGGGTGTCCAGCTGCTGGGTGACCTCCTCCGCCCAGCGACAGTTGACCAGCTCCCTCAGCTGGAGGGGGGCGCTGTGTGGACACACACGATCAATTTATAGTTATTTTCATGTGTAGTCGTCAAATGTATTCCCTATTAAATAAAGCAAAAGGGGAAGACAAAGGAAATTCAGAATTTTGAAGTATGGTGCTGCATGCTGGTTGCATTTCTAAATGTTGGTTACAGATGTGTGCGAGCGGCGGCTTACCGGCAGTGTGGACACTGAGCTCTCTGCTCCGTCAGCCACCGCTGTCAGACAACACAGATGCAGGATTATTGCGCCGAAATACAACTTCTGCAAACACGCTTCACTAAATACTTTAGTAGTTAAAGACACAAACCATGAATTGATCCTAACATGTGAAGCAGAAGAGCACACACAAAAAAAACATAATTGTCCCTTTATGTCTATGAATATGGGTAAAATGTGTTACTTGCTTATCACTTTAAATTAAAACGTGAGATATGCATTTAAAAAAAAGAATTAAAAAAAGAACACATTGAACATTGACTAAATGCATCAAAAGTGTGTTTGCAGTCCAACACCACATCCTCTGTTTGGGGTTTTTCAGGTTGGAGAAATGCAAATAAAACCCCGTACAGCACTGCTTTAGTAATACACGACTGTTTTCTCATACTCAGTCAATGAGAATCATTGTTTTTTAACAATTACTTGTATTATTGTGACATTTAAAACTATTTAGGTGGAGGCTTCGTACAAGCCCAGTGAGCTTTGTCCTCCTTCCTGCAATGTGATATAATTTAAACCATTTATGCTTGCTTATTTTGAATTTTATCGTGAAAAGAAATAACCTCTCAAAGTCAAAATATTCACAATAAATATCCTAAGTTCATAAAATTGTAAGAGGCAACATATGCAAAACATTCATATATAAAGGATTGTTTTCTTCTAATGGGGAAAAAAACCTTCTGTTTATTCAGGCATGTTTTGTGAAAAAAACAACAAAAAACTAAACAAACTAAACAACAAAACAACGGCGAGGTCGTGTGCGATGCTCGTAGGACGCGTCGATGACGTCACCACTTACTCGTATGCAGCTGAAGCAGCAGAGCTTGGAGCAGTGAGGGCAGAGACGAGCGTCCCTCAGCTTCTCCATGCAGATGAAACAGCGGAACACTTCAGCGATGCTCTGGGGGGGTGATGGAGGACATCGGTAATGTTTTAGTGATAGTGAGCGTGTGTGTGTGTGTGTGTGTGTGTGTGTGTGTGTGTGAGAGAGTGTGTTTGTTACGTACCTCAACACTTTGTTCATCCATTTCCGCCAGTTTGAAGTTCTTGATCTGAGGGACGAATCAAACGAGTTGTAGCCAGCAGCCTGAAAAAAAGAAGAAATTGTGGTTGAAGCTATTTGACAAAGTTTAAATTTATGCTAATATTTATGTGTTGTCTATTAGTCACTGCAGTAAACAGAAACACATTTACTTTATTGTTATTACTTTCATATTAATTTTATTATTATCATAACGAAGCATTCTAAGCAAAAATACTTCAAATAATTGAATCATTTCGGGGGACAAAACTATTTTACTGGTATTAAAGGAATACATTTTGTGTCTGAATTATAACCAGTTAAAATATGCATTATTTGATTAGCTGGTTTTCATCACCGTTAGCTTGAAGGCAAAAGGCCTTCACCAGCAGCTTGTCCGTGAGCAGTTATTAAAAAAGCAGTAAGACCATTAGAATAAAACAAGTGCCTCCAGGTGAACAGCCAGGTAACGTCAAACGGTACGCTGCTAGCTGGCTAGCTGGCGTTAGCACTGCGGCTCACTTACCTCAAGCCGAGACGTTTCACCTGATAAACAACCGACCAAACTAACGTTACATCATCTTCCCGAGCGACACGGCGGGCGGGTTTGTTCGCCGTCGGTAAATACCGGAACGAGTCCAGCTGCTGTTGTGTAAAGGCAGAAGTTACGCTGAAAAAACGGGTTGTTTGTTGGCTTTTTTCCTCCCAAATTGAAGATGTAGCGGTCGCGCTCGCTCTGAAGCCGTCCGTCACCCAGCGAGCACCAATCAAATGGCTTCGTTTCTTCTTCGCTGGATTTGGAAGGTTTTAGTTCGTCAAACAGCTTAATGGAGGATTAGCGCCTCTTACCGGGAAGACCGCAGCACCACAGCTCAGATCTTCTCCCTGAGAGAAAGTACAGGAACATCAGCATCCAAAAGTAAAACTATCTGTTTTTCCTTACTTTAAAGCTGCTGCTGTTAAAGGTGGAACAACATGTAATTACGTAACATACTGCTGTGTAGCTTAATTTTTAATAATTAATGTATTAGCTGAGTTGCATTCTCCATCAATAATACTAAATAGCAACAGGCAACTCTAAGACAACGCATTCAGAACATAAAAAGACAGACTAAGAATGATATTAAGAATGGCATGGCAGACAAAACAAAACAAAAAAGAATGATATATATTTATATATTAATTTATGAATATATGTATCTTTATCTTTATCTTATCGTTTCCTGGTTATTGCTTAAGTATTGCTTAAATGACGAGTTGCGCGTTACGAGAGGTGGATGTACACCACACAGGTATATGAAGTATACACACCCGTCTACGACCACTACAGCATGGCGTTACACCCCCCCAAACACACACGCACACACACACACACACACTCACACTCACAAACACACACACACTGTAATTGCAGTGAGCCCATTGTTGTTTTATGCAAACGGTGTGAAGCTGGATAGGTCGCACTGAGGCAAGTATGCAAATGGTCCCATCATGCAGTGCAGGGCTGCAGGCTCCTGCAGCCGGGTGAACGTTTCTCCACTTAGGAAAATGCTGATGAGCAGCCGGTGGATTTTCCCAAAAAGTTTTCATTCACAACACTTGCTTCATCTTTGAATATTCAGAGAGGACGGACGGCAGCGGGAGGGACACGAGCTGTTTTTTTCTGAGGTGAGTCAGTCACTTCATTAGTTGGGTTTATTTATTATCTTCATTGAGTTTATTGAGAGGTTCCTCCATGAAAGTGCTCCGTGGGAATATTGACCTTGCTTATGAATATGACAAATAGGAGTGTGAGGAGTTTTGCGTGGTGGAAGGGTGGGGGGAGCCATTAGAATAAACTCAACATCATTTTCCTGGGTGCTTCATTGTCCAGTTAAAGCCACAATCCTGTAGGAAAATCAGCCATATTTATCATTGCAGAAATATTAAGATGAGCGCAGACGCGGTGGAGCAGTCGGAGGCTCCAGCCGAGCAAACAGGTAAGGACGGTTTCACCTGGTTTTATATTGTTGTTGTTGTTGTTTAAACCCTCACAGCTGCAAACCAACAAAGCGGAATCCACCCACAAAGGACTTTGTGTGATGCTGCACTTTCACAGAAAAATATTTTTAATGATCTTTGATTATATACGTGTTTCATTTTGGGAGTCTAACAGGTTCAACACAACTAGAAATATAAACCATTCTTTTTGTTTGCTTTGTCCTAAAACAAATTGAAATGACTTATTACCTCTGTGTTTATTGGAAATACCTTCAGGACATTCTGAACAAAATCTACTTCTTTCTTCTTAGTCCAATGATCTTCTGGTGCTACTTGAGATAATATTTTTAATAAAGAAAGGGGCGGCTCACCTATAAACCTTGAACAGACCTGTTCTGTGGAGCAATACGGATTGTTTTGCTGTGAGTTTGAACCCGGCTTTGGAGATATCGAATGCACAGATGTTTGTCTTCCTTGCAGTATAATGGGATTATATGACACTGGGTTTGATACACACAGAAAACACACACAGGCCTCGTCTCGAGCAGTTAAACTATTTTCTTTTAACAACAAAATAATCTTGTTTGATGAAAAGCACAGCGGGTGAAACCAATGGTCAAGTTTTTGGTGAACCGTCCCTTTAGGAATGATTCAAGGAAAGCTCTTTGGTTGAAGAAGTCAAAGGGATTTTGGATGGATGGAAATAACAAAATGACACTTTGTACGTCCATCGACTCTGGAATATTTCTGCTGAACACGATCGAGGCCGTTTAGGGCCACAAAATGTTCCTCGTTTCTGGGAGGTCCAGATAAGAACGCTAGAAACACTGAAAACATCTGGGAGGATTTAAAAGTGTCAGATGCCGCAAATTATTCTTTAACCTTTAGATTAAAAAAAAAGAGAATGAGGCAAAGTCATTAGGAACCATGCGGGTTAGGAGGTAAATGGTGTGGACTCTCCCTTTAATTACTTTAATCTGATCCCTGTGGCAGGAATAAAAGCAGCATTTAGAAGCAGTGTGTGTGCGTTAGTGTGCGTTAGTGTGCGTTAGTGTGCGTGTGACAGTTGGTTGCCGTAGCAGGACGCCCCGAGGCTGTTTGATGAGAGCAGCGTGCCGGCTGCCCCGCGGGGGGCCGAGGACACCGACCACACAAAAACAACAAAAAAAAAAACAGGAACCCGCTACAGAAAGAAAAGTGGAACTGAATTCAGACAATGGCTCCGTTTCGTGGAAGTGCAACACGTCCGTGTTTCTGTCGGTGTATGAGCTGGTTCATTAGATGTCAGGAGGCCAGCGTGCATTCGAGTGTGAACATATTCCATCACTGAGGTCGAGGAGCTTCTTCTTCTTGGTCCCATTGGTCCCGGTTTGGTTGTGTGAGATTTCTGGATGTGATGTTATAATGAGACAATCCTCACTTCTTATTTTTGGGCCAAACTTTATCCTCAATCTCAGAGACGAATGAAACCAGAGCACGTATACGGAATTTGTATATTGTGGCTGAACTGACAGTTTAACTGTTGAAGGGAGGAAGAGGAGGGATTGTTCGTTGCCTCGGTGTTCGCTGGAAAGGTTTCGTTACTCGTCTAATGACGTGGACACCAAAGAGTCCTGTGTGTTGTGTGGTTGGGTTCAAGCTACAAAATCACGCCAAGTTAAGGAAATTCTTTTGCATGTTTCAACAGAGATCTTCTTTAAATCCTGCTTAAAGGGAAAATTCGCCCAAAACTCAAAATAAATATATGTCCCTTAACGTGTTTTAAAGACTGCTGTGAGCTGGTTCATCTATGAAAAGTGCTTCCATGAAACTGTTGACAACAGTAGATTAGTAACCGGGTCTTAATGTCTCCTTTGAGAGATTGAGATCATTTAAAAAGTATCTTTCATTAGGTCCCATTACGTCAGAGAGAAGGCCGACATCTCCCGTTTGATGAATCCAAAGCAAACAGAGTCTGTGGTGCATCGGCCCTTCGAGTGGCCGACAGGAACATCTTGAAGATACTTCTGTTTGCTTGTTTTGTCTTGTCGAGATTTAAAAAAACAGCAACCATGATTTAGTTCCTCTCTTTTTGATAAGACAAGACGTCGTCCGATGTCCGACAGTGACTTTCAGGTGCTGCTCCTGTAGAAACCTTTTCTATAAATATTATTATCTTGCAAAAAAAAAGAACCCTGGTGCAAGTTAAAGCATCCGGATCAGTGCAGTCGGCTAAATAAAGAGAAGAAGCGTAGTTTAGCGACAGAACGTGTGACGATCAGAGAGCGAAGGATCATTACAAAACAAATATTTAGATAAAAAGCTTCTGGACTGAGTCTGACGTCGCACAATGCAATGCACACAGCTGCTGTCGCCAGAAAGCACGTTTTAAAAGGAAGTATTAAATCTGTAAAAATTCTATAGTTTACTTATTGTCAAAAATTGCAAAGACCAAACACACAAGTGAATGTGTGACACGCTGCTTCGTCACCAAGAACACGTGTTGATATTCACTAGAGCGCCAACTGTGGATTAAACGCTAGGTTTCCTTCTGTTTGTTGAATAAAAACAGGTTTTAACAGTTTTATGAGCCCCTTTAGACAAAAAACAACAACAATATATTTGTGATTACTTGCTTCAGAAGATAAAACCATTAGACCGCCTTTAAATACCCGCGTGCTTTGAATATCACAGGTTTTGACTTGTCTTGTTCATACAAAATGTAAATGCAGATTTACTGAAATTCTAAAAACAGTAAAGTAAAAGTAAAGTAAAATGATTATAAAAGTACCAAAAGTACACCGTTTTTCAGTTATTGTTGATGTGTTTTTGTTTGATAGATTAGTAAAGGGACTAATACAGATGAATCTATTATTGGGATGTAAAATAAGATACATCTTCTGCGACTTTACTCTGCACAAATGTGAAATTCAGTCCAGACCCACTTTGGTGAAAATATCGCAATGTACGCGAATAATTTGTAATTCCACTCCACTTGTTCGCAGAGCGGCTCGCAGTCATTCTCTACGAAAAGAAATACGCTTTCTGAGGACAAACAGACAAACTACTGGTCAAAGTGGAGATAAAGGAGTAGTGTGCAGCCGTCGGTTTCCAGAGTGTGTGTGCGTGTGTGTGTGTGTGTGTGTGTGTGTGTGTGTGTGTGTGTGTGTGTGTGTGTGTGTGTGTGTGCGTGTCTGTGTGTGTGTGTGTGTCTGTGTGAGTGTGTGTAGGACAGAGCGCCCTCATGGTTGATTTGCATGTCTTACTCATTTCCATACTGGAAGTTTGGCTGTACACTGCTGGTTGTGTTGAGGGGGGGAAGTGACACGGAGGGGTGCTTTGCTGGGGGGGGTACTGGTATATTTGCATTGTGTGTCTCCAGCAGTCTCTCTCTCTCTCTCTCTCTCACACACACACACACACACACACACACACACACACACACACACACACGCACGTTGACATTCAAATGATGTGAGCTTGTCCAGCACACCTTTGAACTCTCGTCGTCCGTCGGCCTTCTGCTCGTCGTCTCTTTAAAGACGGACTCACTGCAGCACGGAACCCGCCGGAGACACTTTGGTGCTTTTCTTTACAATATTGTGAGATATATTCAGAGATATTCAGAGATATTGTTTCAGGATAAATAGTTAAATGGAGGGAGAGAAAAACACCAATGAGCAGGAAACAATATCTCATTATGATAACAGAGACAGAATCAAAATAAGACAAAAAAAAACAAGCCATAACTCGTGAAGATGTTGAATGAAATGAAATATTAGAGTGATAATTTAGTCAAATCAAAGTAAAAAAGAAAAGTCCTAATAGCTTTTGTTCAGTTTAACTGAAGTTTTATCAAAACCTTTTTTGCAACTTGGATGATGGTTTATTGCTGTCAGAAAAAAACAGAACTAATATGCAGTGAATTAACGTTAATTGTGTTGATACGTTTGCATGATTTAATTTGTTCTGTGTGTCACAAGAAGCCAAATGTCAAAACACAAACCTGAATCTCTCTCTCTCTCTCGACATATAGAACAAAACGGAATCGACTTCAATCGACAGGTAAGTAAGACCATTTAGGAGGCTGTTTACATATATATATATATTAAGAGTTAGCAAGTTTTGTAATACAAAATATGTAAATATGTTTTTCTGAATTAGCATATAGATGGCTAGCAATCCTATTCTGCCAAGCGTCAATGCTACACTGGTCACTAACCTGCTTTAGAAATTAAGCTAACCAGTGTAGCATTAAGTCATGGTGAAATAAGGTTGCTAGCTAGCACAAGCTAACCAGTGTAGCATTAAAACCCGGTGAAATAAGGTTGCTAGCTAGCATAGGGTAACCGGTGTAGCTTTAAAGCCTGGCGGAATAAGGTGGCTAACTAGCATAAACTAACCAGTATAAAAGATACTATTTTTAAAGGTTCATTTGGGAATCAGCTGTTAGTTACCATGTTTTAAACACAAATTAACTTTACTTTGTCTGTTGTTTTCAAATGCTCACTTTGTTCTCTGTTGTTTATGACATGTCAATCATGTCCTTGTTGTTTTTATTTATATAGTGTTTAAATTATTTCACTTTCTATTTCATATGTTGTCCTCCTTCTGGAAGGCGGTAAACCCTTTAATAAAAAGTGTCTTTTACTTAAATGATTTGCCCGTAGTTTTGATAAAAAAATCCCCAAACAGATGTATCCTGTAACTATGGAACAACGTTGAAGTTCTATTTCACTAAGGGATATTTATATATATATATATATATTCTGATATATTGTATATCAGGTTTTGGTTGGAGACCTCTGTAAAATACTTATTAGAAGTATGAAATAATTTTTGGTTTCTATTCCGTTGTGTTATTTGTTGATAACAAGACAAATAAAAACATAACAAGTCTTTAATGGCAAAGTAAAATTGGAATATAAATAGTCGAGAAGCTTGAGAATATCACTGAACATCTAAGCTCAGAGAGACTCAGAGGCCCAACGGACGTTTTGGATGGCTGCCCCCCCTGAGGGCGAACTACCTGGTCCCCCCCCTTATGTCAATAACCGCTCTTTAGAAACACCTCAAATAGTTTGCGGCTATTTGGATTACTTCTCCAAACCCTCTTTTCTTTGGCAAGAGGAGGACATTCCTTTTTCCAGTGCTGGTGTTTTCAGGAAGCGACATCGCTTTCAGGGGTTAGATGGCAGGTATTTGCATAATGGCTCGAGGCAGAGAGTCTATCACTCTTTGTACCGTGTTTAGTAACCAAACTGGTCTCTACACACACACACACACACACACATTGAATGGTCTTTCTAATGATCCGATTCATCAGAACTTCACTCAATCCTGTTCCTTGTTGTCCTTTCGATGTCACAGATAAAAACCGAGGAGATCGGCGACTCGCCTCATTCAGCCGCCACACTGAAGAGATGTCACCTGACACACAGCTCTCCAGGGCCCGGAGGTCCGCTGTCTGGGGTCTGTTCTTTGAATATTCATCATTATCCTCTTGAGATTTTAAAAGGCTTGAAAATAAGAAATGTCTCTTCTCATGAAACTCTCACATTAAAACTCCTAAAATCTAGTAGACGAATAAAATATAAGAAAATAATACAAAATAAATAAAATGTTCATTTTAATATATCATCACATTTTACAGCATGCATTTAGTGTCAGAAAGTGTATCATCAGCTACTTGAGGGGCACAAAGCGGCAGTGAGGAAAGTTTGATTATTTCTTGTTGAAAAGTGAGATTGAACGGGCAAGAAGGCGTCTGAAAAGCTTTAGTACTTTAAATAAATTGTCATGAAAACTAGTAATTAGAGCTGTCAGAAAAATGTAATAAAAGAAAAGGTTAAATATCTCTCTACTGAAATTAAATGAAGTAGAATGTAATGTAGCACTGCAATTAAAATATTACCTCAGTGAAATACTTTGGTTCATGTACTGTCTACCAGTGCTCATACATATATATATATATATATATATATATATATATATATATATATATATATATATATATATATAATAAATATATATATAAAAATAAATATAATATATATAAAAAATATATATACATATATATATTCATATAGTTCACTCACTATACGCTCTTGTTCTTCCTCCAGGAGCTCACCTCTCTGCACACCATGCAGCAGCTGGTTCTGATGCCCCCGTCCCACCTGCCCGCCCCCTCCTCCTTCCTGCTGTCCCAGAGCCCCACCAGCCACCAAGGTGGACTCTCAAAACGCACTCGTTGTCTTTAGGAATTCACGGTTTACACCACAACACTAATATCAAAGTAAACCTCTTGTTTCCCCTCTGCAGCCCTTCTGCAGCAGAACCTGCTCTCCCTCCCCTGCCCGAGTCAGACCGGCCTCCTTCAGCATCAACCTGGACTGGCTCTGACCCCCCAGGTAAACCCAGACGGCCCTTTCTACGCACACAGGCGGCAGGAAGCGGAGCGAGCGTTGTTGAAAACCTCTTGTTCTCCTCTTGTGACTGGTGACGCAGCCGATGAGTCGCTCCGGCCTGGCGGGCCCCTCCATGGAGAGCCACATGGACATGTCCCACCTGCAGATGAAACACATGTCGGTGCCCCTGCAGGAGGAGCCCAGCGACCTGGAGGAGCTGGAGCAGTTCGCTAAAGCGTTCAAACAAAGACGCATCAAACTGGGCTTCACCCAGGTGACCAAAACGCTGCACAGGGGCTTTGTGACATGATTTTAAACCAAGGGGCCGAGTTTATGAGCGAAACGCTCAAACCAGAGTTCAGGATCCGGAATAAATGTTGGTATAAACAATCGGTCAAACAAAGGCGTTTTCTTTTCACGTGTTTATATCTAAGCAGAGTTGCTGATTATTGGATCAATGGTTTCTATTCACAGTGAGTTCAGGATTTATTGCGTTGGTGATGTTGGAACAGCGGAGTGACGGTTTGATGAGCGGTTTGATTTCAAATAAACTATTATTTTTTACCGTAATCAATTACAATTTCCCAAAATATTTTTGATGTCGGATCGGATGTCATTTATCTCGGGAATTGATGTTGATTATGAGTTTCATCGATGAAAACATACGTTGAATTGACTCTGTGAGATTCAATTTTAACTCTAGGCTGATGTTGATGTTTTCCCAATCTTGTCAATATTAAATCAACACTCAACAAAGCGTTTAACTCAGAATAAGTGTCGCAAATAAATGTGATCCGTGTCGAATACACTGTACGTAGAGTTGACACTAGTTCGTCCCGCTCTCACATCTCTCCCGTTGCCGTGGCGACGCCGTAGATCACGAGTCTGTGTTCCCGCAGGGCGACGTGGGCCTCGCCATGGGAAAACTCTACGGCAACGATTTCAGCCAGACGACCATCTCCCGCTTCGAGGCGCTAAACCTCAGCTTCAAAAACATGTGCAAGCTCAAACCGCTGCTGGAGAAGTGGCTGAGCGACGCAGGTAAACCGCATTATTCTCACCAATATTCCCCTTTTGACGTCAAAAGGGCCTCAAAAAGAAGCAAATCAATGGTTGGATTCTTTAATATTGTCCCACCAGAGGAAAAGTCTTTAGTACCATTTGTGCTTCAGTCACACTGCAACTGTGAGTTCATCCGTTTGCTCGTTTCCCACCAGAGAACTCCCCCCCCGACTCGATGAGCAACGCCGCTGCTCTGCCGCCGCTGGTCGAGGGTTACGGACGCAAGCGGAAAAAAAGGACGAGCATCGAGACGAACATCAAGCTGACGCTGGAGAAGCGTTTCCACGATGTGAGACCAACACTAGAGAGACATCGATCGCCGGAGAAAAGACAAAACAGTTTGTGCGGCCCAACGAGTGGCGTGTTGGTTTGAATGAAATCCTTTTGTTGTTGTTGTTGTTTTCAGAACCCCAAGCCCAACTCCGAGGAGATAACGCTGATCTCGGAGCAGCTGTCCATGGAGAAGGAGGTGGTCCGGGTTTGGTTCTGTAACCGGCGGCAGAAGGAGAAGAGGATCTACTGCCCGGTGACTAGTTTATCAGTCAGGTCGCACAGCTACAACTCCAGAATGGTTAGCTGTCTAAAAGAATACACAGATATATAGATATAGATATATATATATATATATATATATATATATATATATAGATAGATATATATAGATATTAGAGATGAGTTTCATCTGTGTTCATTCAAACGAAATACATACAAGTGTAGACCTGACAATGTGCCATCTCCTCCTAAGAGTGCATTGTCATTATTTCGTATGGACTCATGTGTCTGGAATTAAATAAAATGCCGAATGGCTCATTTGTATTTTATTATTCTGCTTTTATCAACTGAATAACTCAAACAGGGGAGATCGTTACGTTTGCAGGTGTCAAAGCGTATTTACTGCGCAGTCCTAAAGAGATGTTTGCTTCGTCTCATCCATTTTCACCACAGTTCCAGCCCACGGCGTCCAGACTCTACAGCCCCCCGGCCCCCGGCGGAGGCAAGTACCGCTCGCCGCCATTCGCCCGAAAAACGAGACCTTTTCCGCCTGTTACGTCGCTGTCCGGCACTCGATGGCACAAACCGCCGTGATAAAATGCGAATTGTGATCCACGCACGTGACCTTCTGACCCCTTTCCTTCCAGTCTCCTCGAGTTCCTCCCCGAACAGCGCGAGCCGGGAACACTCTCCCAACGGCCTGTCGGCCGCCTCCGTCTCTTTGGCGTCCCAGGTGAACCCCGCCTCCTACGGCGCGCAGGGGTAAGACACGCCCACCCGAACGCACCTGCACGCCGCCCTTTGTCCAAACACAAGGTGTATCTAAAGAAGCGTGTGGTAACAAACTTAATGTTCCTAAAATGTTGGACTATTTCTTTAAGCTAATTGTCGAATCTGAGAATCAGACGACTTAACGTCTTTATGGTTATTTTTTAATTTTGCTGACTTTTGCTTCAATAATCATTAAAGCGGTGATCATTAGTGAATGTTCTTTAGCTGAACAAACATGAGGGTTTTGCTTGCCTCAGAGTTTATTTGATGGAATAATAAGCGATGCAAACATCCCCCCGGCATCACTGCGTACTGTTGAATATGTTCAGCACCTTCACGGTGTGATTCCCTGTGTTTCAGGTCCTGGTACCGCACGTGGAACCCTGCGTATCACCACTGAGAAACAACAACTCTGTCACACCAAACCTCTGTTCCTTTGTTTTTGTCGTTTTGTTGTTTTGAGAAGGACGTACAGTGAAGAAATGAGTGACACTTAGTGACACGGCGCTCAGGTGCCTCGAAGAGGAAGAATAAAGTGAGCTGCACACACGTGACGTAAACACGGCGGGATTCTCCTGTTCGACTCCAACGGACGGAAACAACCGGTTTGGATGATCGAGCGCTTCCTGTTTCTTTCTAACATCTTCACGCTCGCAGTGGTTGCAGTTATTGGATGTTATGATGTTCATATTGTAGTTAATGTTGTGTCTGTGGACTTTATTTAATGCTATGTTACAAACTGCTCAATAAATACGCAGTTAGAACGAGTTTTTTGGAGTGCAAAAGGGCCTCGTATTGAACTTTTTTTATGGCTGATCAGAAGGTTTTTTTTTTTTTATTTGGATATTTATTTCTCTAAATGATGCATCTGTTTTACTCTTGTTTTTTATTGTTGCAGTTTGGCATCACGTCTATCAGTTATTTTAACAACAGGGAATCAGAAACAAGTAGGTTTGTAGTAATTATTGCACTACAGCGTAGATGTGGTAGGAAGGTGAAAATTGACCCGTTGCTAGTTAGCATTGTTAGCATCGCGTAGCCAAATGGAGCCAGCATTAGCATATCCTTTACTAGCGTTAGCCCTTCTATGCTATGCTAGCTACGGAAAGTATACTGAATGTCTTTTGATGATTGCACCTCATAATAAAGAACTTGACAGGAACAGTTGGCGGTTCCTTCGCGTCGTAGTCGTCTGATCTCCATGGTGATGTGACGGATCATCTGTAGCTTCAGCTTGCATCTTTTTAGCCTCTGCTGGAAATGTTTTTTTCGGTCTCCATGGTAACGGGGCTCTGACAGCTTTGCTGAGTTGGATTTTAACGTATTACTGTGCAACCTGGAGGTTTCTTCACGTCACCTGACCCTCCGCTCCGGTTTCCAGATCTGTCCCACTTACTTTTTAAGTGATGTTGTTGCATGTAACCAGATCTCAGCAAATAAGTTGATGAAAACAATAAAAAATGCAACACAATATGTAATTAAAAAACGGATAACTCACTCAGAAAGTTTTCAACCAAAAGTCAGAGTAGTTTTTCAGGTGGAAAAGGGGAACATCACAGTCCTGAATTCTCACGAGGCCAAAACCACCACTGAATTCATACGTTTTTCATCTGAGAAATAGTCATGACGCAAATCATTTAAGTAAAAGACACTGTTTATTAAAGGGTTTGCTGCCTGGACAACATATGAAATAGAAAGTGAAATAATTTAAACACTATATAAATAAAAACAACAAGGACATGATTGACATGTCCTAAACAACAGAGAACAAAGTGAGCATTTGAAAAGTTAACAACAGACAAAGTAAAGTTAATTTGTGTTTAAAACATGGTAACGAACAGCTGATTCCCAAATGAACCTTTAAAAATAGTATATTTTATACTGGTTAGTTTATGCTAGTTAGCCACCTTATTCCGCCAGGCTTTAAAGCTACACCGGTTAGGGAAGATTTTAAGGAAGATGTCTCCATATTGCTGCATTAGTTGTTGATTAGAGGAATTTTTCAAAAGAAAACAACATTGCTGGTTCTTCAGATATTAAAGATTTGTGACATCGAGGTAAACCCGAATGACATCAGTTCTAGAAGTTTCTTGTTTTTCACAGCTCCGATATCAGCGCAGTAAGGCTTTTTATTTATCACCAACTGCATTTCATTTACTTTGAAAGGGCTGTAACTAAAAAAACAACAACTATATCTTTGCTTCTGGCATCAGCAGAAAAAAAAAGTTTGTATGTATCCGTTGGTAAAAAAAAAAAAAAAAATCATCCAGCCAGTTCATACAAAAAATGCTTTTAATGTTCTAATAAAATATGTACACATGCTGAAGACGAGTAGAGAGACACGTGTTCATGTTTTTAGCATGTTCAGGTGGGGGTCAAGCTTCAGTCCACTTCTGTTAAGCCACACGGCCTCCTGAACTCCTGCCCGCGCTCGTGGATCCACTTGTTTGAGACTGAGGAGGCAGAACAGAAGAAGTTGTGAGCCACTAGAATCCTTCCCTTCATCGAGTAGAACATGAAGATCAATGCAGACTTCTTTCCATCCAATGAGGAGAATTAATGGTGATGAAAAAAAAAGCCACGGTAGTTGCCTTTTTGATGTTGTAGCTAATTGGGAAAACCATCTAAATGTCATCTGAACTTTGACCCACCCCATTTGCTTCCCACTAAGACGGGGCAGGCGGCGTGTCGGGTCCGGTAGTCTCCCTCGCCGCTCCTGAACAGGTTGAACCAGAACACCGCCGTCCCCTGCAGGCGAAACCACACAAACCGAAACGTCACGGGAGGAACGGACGCTTTCACACAGTCAACATGGGTAAAAACCTTTCATCCTCCACAGTGACACACACACACACACACACACACACACACACGCACACACACAGTGACACACACACGCGGTTGTTTCACCTTTTTCGGACGGATTGCTGCTCCGAAGTCGGGGAACACGGTGGCTCCTCCGGCCTCGACGTCACTCATCTGAGAAAAGAAAAGATTTGCTGTATTTTTCCCTCAAAAGTAAATAAATAAAGTTCAGATTTTATTTTTTTCCCCAGAAATAGCAGATGCTGTTAGGAAGGGTCAGAAGCCAGGATGGTTGGATATTTACGACTCAAAAAGAACCAACTTAACTCTTCAACGTGAGAAACTTCTAAGACTCCCTGAAGAGTCATATGTGATCAAATAAACAGAAATAAAGTGCACAAAATGACAAGTCACGTGTTTTCACAACAAAGGACTTTGTCTTCAGCACTTCAGTGAGAGAGAAGACTAAAGGACAAAGAGTCAGATTTGTTTATTGATGGTCAGTTATCCTGAATTTGAATGCTTGATAGTTTTGTTCTAATCTTTCCAGTTTTTTTTATTCAAGGGAGTATTTTTTTCTATTTCTGTAGTATCTGCTGCTACGCGGCCATAATTTACCTTCAGGAATAAATGGTTTACTTAATGCTGTTATATTTAAATCCTTTCATTCTGTCCATCCCCATAACGGCCTGATAATTCAGAACAAAAAGGAGACTGATAATAAAAGGATCATTAATATTCCACATGAATCAAGGTGAGCAGCAAACTTCAATCAATCTCTAGCAGAAGGAAAAACAAGTGTAAAACTTATTTAAAAGTTAAAAAAAAATCCTCTTTTTGTATATAATTGTCTTATAGAGGGTTAAACGAAGAGTAGCTACTACTTCAGCATGTTAATGGATGGCCAACAAACCTCTCAACAATATGTACTGGAACTGATTGACAGAAGAACTGAGGTATTTGTCTGAAGTACAATTTGTGAGCGCAGCCTCAACTCTACATTTAGAAATGTGTGACTGCAATGGTGCACTTAAAAAGGCCCAAATTATTGTCAATCAATCCAAGTCCAAGATTGAACCAGAGCTTGTGAATGAGCCTGTGGGGCCGAGCGGAGTTTTTTTTTAGCGATGCCACACGACCGGCCTTCATTCAACGGCGACTGGATGCACGTACTCACGTAGTTTAAAAAAGTCGCCACGCGATTTCCAGTGCCTAATCTTTTGAAAGCATCAGGCTCATCTTTCTACAGAGATAAAATTCAGGAAGAAAAAAAATACATGATGAAAAGAACTGCCAGCTCGCACGCTCCCGTGTACTCACGTAGTTCAGGAAGGTTGCAAGTCTATTGCCATCACGCTTGAGGTTGCTGTCAAAAGGACGCTGCAACAAGAGTGTTAGAAGGTTTAAGCCGTCACAAGCAGGAGCCCAGCCGCTGGAGGCACTGGAACAACACGCTATGTAACAGGCACGGAACAACACGCTATGTAACAGGCACTGGAACAACACGCTATGTAACAGGCACGGAACAACACGCTATGTAACAGCACGCTAAGTAACAACAAGTAACAGGAACGCTATGTAACAGCACGCCATGTAGAACACACTATGTAACACGCTATGTAACAACATGCTATGTAACAGGCACGGAGTGTAACAACACCCTGTGTAACAACACGCTATGTAAAATGCACGGAACAACAAGCTATGTAACAACAACGTAAGTAACAGGAATGCTTTGTAACAAGCACGGTGTGTAGAACACACTATGTAACAGCACGCTATGTAACAACATGCTGTGTAACAGGCACAGAATGTAACAACACGCTATGTAACAACATGCTGTGTAACAGGCACAGTATGTAACAACACGCTATGTAACAACATGCTGTGTAACAGGCACAGTATGTAACACGCTATGTAACAACATGCTGTGTAACAGGCACAGAATGTAACAACACGCTATGTAACAACACGCTATGTAACAGCAAGCTAAGTATCAGACACACTATGCAAGTACGGTGTATAACAGCACGCTATGTAGAACACACTACGTAACAACACCCTATGTAACAGACACGGAACAACAAGCTACGTAACAACATTCTATCTAACAACAAACTATGTAACAGCATGCTATGTACCAACACGCTAAGTAACAGGCATGCTATGTAACAAGCACGGAGTGTAACAACACGCTAAGTAACAACACGCTAAGTAACAGCACCCTATGTAACAGGCATGAAACAACAAGCTATGTAACCACATTCTATCTAACAACACGCTATGTTCCAACACGGTATATAACAACAAGCTAAGTAACAGGCATGCTGTGTAACAAGCACGGCGTGTTACGGCACGCTTTGTAACAACATGCTATGTAACAACATGCTATGTAACATCACAACAATCATAATCATTTTCATTAACTCACCCTCGAGAAGTCGTAATGTGGCTCATACTGTCCTCCGACTCCATAGTTAGCCACCTGGTGACCCAACAAAAAACATTAAACTACTTGCTTAAAAAAAACTTCTCTGGCACCTGGGATGCGAAAACATGAATCTTCATAAACTAAAAGTGTTTTCTTATCTGACCTGACATAGATTCATATTCACACTTTACTGCTTGTGGTGTGATCATTTATGTTCTTCCAATACAAAAAGGATTGTCAGTGTATTTAGACTGCAAGATATGATTAATAACGGCAGAGACCTGGGCTTCAAATAAGCCTCTAAACGTGATTGTGAATGTCAGCATGTATAAGATAATATGTAAAGCTTTTACAGACTAATTTGCATCCATAGACTAGACTTTAAAATCTCTTGTTTTTACCACAGACCTGATTTGACTTTCACCAGAATGAGCTGATTATGTTTGGTTGAAAATGAAAGGCCGGATGTCAGATTTGTGTGTAACATGACGATGTCACAATTTAATTCACCTGTAGTAACTCGGCCGTGTCTAATTCAAGGCCCGTGATGTCTTCTATTCTCTGGTTGACTCGGGCGATCACCGGGTCGTCTTCTTCTTCCAACCACGCGCTGAAAACACAACGTCACACACGAAAGTTAAGACTAGTTTGTAGAGGCTGAATCCCTCTAAATGATTGAGATAAATTAGATTATTGGAGTGAACCTCGGTTTAAATTACAATTATTAATAAAAGCATTAATAAAAATAACCTCTCTGTCACCTTTTTGATACTCTGTAGTTGGCGGTGGTCAGGACGCCGGTTTTGGGGTCTCGGACTGTAGCTCTGGCCAGCTGACAAAGAAAAGACAGACAAATGAATATCATCATGCCTTTTTAACATGTAGGTGTTTTCATTTGTTATTCGTGCTGCAGAGATAAAAGTAATATCAGCCAACAGGTAATGAGCGTTGCACTCAAGCAATTGTAAATGTTCCACATGATTATAATGTTCCCAAATGATGTTGTGTGAAGTTAGAAGCTAACGTTAGCGCACAAAGGAGCTGTACCGCGGTCACATGACCTCACATCTCGACCAATCAGCTGGAGGAGGACGTTTCAGGGAGGGCGTATGGTCGTCTCATTTACACTCTTTCAAAAAAAACATAAAAGCTCCTTCGAGTCACCACTTTTTACTGATGCATTTCATACCAAATAACTAAACAAAACGACCTGATTTCAGACTTCTAATTTAAAAATCACGTTGTCTTTGAGAAAAGGGCTTTTCTTGATCTATTCCTGCATTACATAGAATATCTTATTTACTTATCTAATCTGCAGGCAGCTTTATTTTTATTTGTCATAATTCGTCTCACCTTGGGTTTAGCCAGCTCCTTGATCCTCTCCGTCTCCTCGTGGGACAGCATCTCCAGGTAGCGTACGATGTGGGGGCTGTCCCACTCGTCCTCCTCCTTCATGGGCTTCAGCAGCAGGCGGGGGTTCCTCCGCCCGTCGTGGTAGCGGCAGAAGAGGCGGCTGCGCCTGGCCTCGTTCTGGTGTAACCGCGACGACCAACAGAGAGTCAGAAGTAGGTTTAATCCCCGGTTCAGACGGGCTGCATGTGGAGCTTCGTACTGGATTATAATGCGATCCAGTCGATTTATTGAGGAACTGAAACGAAGATTCTCTGTGAAATGAGTTTGTTCTCACACGCTGATTCCGGGAAACTACAGATGTTCGCAGAGAGAGAGATTTAACAGATCTTCAATAGTACTCCCCTCAATCCAACAAACAGTGACCAGCCTGCATGTACGTCAAGATAAAAGCCATTCGTTCTCACCATCTGGAGCCCCTCGCCCCTGCAGAGCGCCTCGTAGGCCTCCCTCTCCGGGAGGTGGTCTTTGGGTCTCCTGTAGGTCCCCAGCCGGATGGGCTCCTCGGGGGCCGGCGGGTAGTCCTGGTTCTGCTCGTTGAGCTGCTTCAGCAGCAGGTGCTCAAAGTACCGCAGGTTCCCTCCGGCCCTCTGGTGGGTGGGGGCTGCCGGGGCAAAGCAAAGCCCATCGTTAGTGGTTTAATAAGCTGCAGAGCGGAGAGGCATCGAGCTGCTTCGGTTACAAAAACGTTTTGACCCCTCAATGTCTGCCAACACCAAGTGCACGCGTTAAAGAGAAAGGTCATACCGGATTATTTCATCTGATTCATTGTTCCGATGGACGTATTAGCTGTTTTAGAAATACATTGTGAACGTTACTGTGACTCGTTCTGCAGAGGCTGAAATAACATCACATTTCACAAACCACAAGCACTGACTTCACCCTGCAGGAGACAGGAGTGTGTGTCTGTCTGTGTGCGCTACGGGAGGGGTTCATCTGGGCCCCTTAAATACTTAAATACCACAGAGTGCTATTCTGGACTTCGAAAAACGGGAACCTCACGAAAAAGTGCAAGAAGCTGCAGGAGCTTAAAAAGCTTTAAAAATAGAGACGGAACTTTTCTTACCGCGGAAACGTCACAACATGTTACTTAATCGTGTGGTTGACAAATATTTATTTTGTCCCGTGTTGCTGAATCAAGTTTAAACTGGAGATTAAGACCATAAAGTCATGTTTACAGAGGGAATAAATTCATAGACTTATACGGGACCAGAGGAGTCGCCCCCTGCTGGTCACTACCGAGAACGCAGCTTTAAGACCCGGCTCACCGATGGCCACCAGGCGCCGCGTCAGCTCGATGGCTCGGGCCAGGTCTCCCATCTGGTAGACGGAGTAGCTGAGGTAATCCAAAATGTCCGCTTTGGAGCCCACGGATTCCTCCCCGCCGTCCAGCTGCTTCAGGGCCTGCTGCATCCACAGCACGGCGTGGTAGTAGTCCTCGTCGTTGTACGCCGTCTTCCCCATGTCGAAGCAGTCGTCCACGGACAGCAGGGCGTTGTGGTGCAAACCTGGGGGGGGGGGGGGAGGAGTCACGAGACGTTTATCGCTTTTTGTTCATCAAGTCTTCTGCAGAATCATCTTACCCGTGAACATTTTTACTGCTGTAGGTATTCCGATTTGTCCCTTTTTGGATATTCAAACCAAGTTGTGGAGACAAAAAGATGTCAAAATTAGGTCTAGCTTATTGAGCTTAAACCCTTCACCTCGAGCAACGTCACCTTAGTTGAAACGAAGCCGTTTAAAATGAAAATGAAGTAAAATGGTTGACTTTGCATTCCGCTCTCCTTCGTTAATCCCTTTCTGCGTGTTCCTGTTCGGTCGGCGGTTACCTGGCAGCTTTCCTCTGGAGAAGGCCTCTGAATCCAGTTGGTACGTGTCCTGAAGACGCATCAACGCCTTGGCTGCACCCGTCTCGTCCTCATCACCCGGAAAGTACTGTCTGTGCACCGACATGTTGGAGATGAAGCCTGGCGAGACGGAGGAAAGGGCAGGAACGTCAGCATGGAAGTTCATAGAGTTCATGGAGGTTTCTACAGGGATCACTGTTTTTCCCTTGTTTGGGGGTCAAGACTAAAATAAGACTGGTTCGGGACCAGCTGAAAGCAACTTTCTTGAATCACCAAATCAAGTCGACGCCCAGCGTGTCAATTTTGCTGAAGCTAAATATGACCACATGTGGTTGTGTGAATTCTTCTTCTCATTTCATGAAAACATACGTCGACCCGCTCAATAAACCCAGAGAATTCATAACACAAACTCCTGCTGTCACATCTTCATTTAATAATGTCGCTGGCAAAAAGTCCGGTTCCCATTTTTGTTTTAGTGAGTTTCAGCTGTCTTCATCAAAACATCGGCTGAAGAATCTTCGCCAAACATGGCGGTACGTCTTCCTCCCGACCGTCACAGCTGCTCCCTCCCAGGGCTTCGTGCACCAGATGGAAACGGGCCGAATCAGCAAACAAGCTGCTCTAACGTCTCTCGCTCCTTCCTGTAAATCTGAATTTGAGGCACTCGTATGTGGAAATGCCCCCTTCCTCTTTTTCATTCTTCAACCAGACATCTCACTGCCTGTCGTTGGGCATAATTGGGAGCTAATGTGGAGAAAGTCAAGACAAAAGGGGCGGGTCATCGGGCCGAGGGGTCATCGGGCCGAGAGGTCATCAGGCCGGGTGCGCCGACATAATTTGCATAAATAGGGAGGTCACGATTCTGCAAATTCAGATGCAGTCGGTCGTACCTTCATTATGGAGCATGAATAACCGTTGGTACCATCAGGGTTACTCCCTTTCCACTGCTCCTCCGCTGCTAACTCAACCAAATACAGCTGCAAGCACTGTGGTTAAATACTTCCTCACCCCTCCCATCCTCCCTCCCTTCCTCCCTCCCTCCCTTTCCTTACCGTCAGAGGGGTTCTGCAGCACCAGAGTCTCCAGCTCGGACCACTGCGTGTTGAGCCTCTTCATCAGCTTGTAGGCGTTCACCGGGTGAGCCAGGTACCCCTCCGGGTCAGAGGTGGTCACCCTGGTCAGATCGTCAAGTCTGTGGGCCCAGCTATGAGAGACAGAGGGACAGAGAGACAGACAGAGGGACAGTGTTGTGACTGGTGTAAAACAGCCTTTACAGATACGTATGTAATAATTCTACATTATTGACCTCGTAATGAGAGAAATCTATTTTAGGTCACATGACGTCTGGTGAAAATGTGCTGGGAAATAAAATATTTTGTGGATTAAAAGAGATCTTTCCATTGGTGGTTTTAATTATAAGCCGTTTATAGTTTGTGTAAACATCCTTTCTAATATCTATTTAACATCTATGAAGTATAATATGGCGGCACGGTGGCGTGGTGGTTAGCACTGTTGCCTCACAGCAAGAAGGTCCTGGGTTCGATTCCACCCAGTGGCCTTTCTGTGTGGAGTCTGCATGTTCTCCCCGTGTCTGCGTGGGTTCTCTCCGGGTTCTCCGGCTTCCTCCCACAGTCCAAAGACATGCTCTGGGGATCAGGTTAATTGGGGACTTTAAATTGCCCGTAGATGTGTGAATGTGAGTGTGAATGGTTGTGTGTCTCTGTGTAGCCCTGCGATTGGCTGGCGACCAATCCAGGGTGTACCCTGTCTATCGCCCGAAGTTGGCTGGGATGGACTCCAGCCCCCCCGCGACCCTGTGTGCAGGATAAGCGGTCTGACAATGGATGGATGGATGGATGGAAGTATAATATGGAGAGAGGAGCTGACATGACATCTCATTCTAAGGTAACAAAGAAAAGTACTCCATCCTTTTATTCTCCAATCGAGCTATAAATGTTCCCGTCGGGTACCTTTTGACCGCGGCCAGCTTGGACTCCTCTGCTCGGATGTAATCCCTCAGGGACTGGACCAGCTCTTTCTCCGTGTAGATCAGGTCGGTCATCTGGCCTGCAGAGAGGGGAGGACACGGAGGATGAGCGAGGGACAAACATCAGCAGCGCCTTCCTCCGCTCAACGTCTTTGAGTTATAATTTGTTGACCTCCAACGGGGGCGTTTGCGGCATTGTTATTTTTTGTCAATTGCATTTAAAGAATCAGGAGACCACAATTGTTTCTTATAAAAGCTATTCAGGGTTCCTCCAAAATGACCCCAGACCTCCTCCATTTAAATGTATTTATACGGCAAAGAGAAGTCACGCGTTCCTGTTTCTGTCTGCTGGTGCTGCAGTGGTGATTCATTACAGCTCCCCCACACCTGTCAATCCCAGTAAGCCCCGCCCTAAAGCACAACCTGCTTTATTGAGCTCTAAATGGACCGTAAGCTACTAAATGAACATCATGCTGTATTTAAGAAGAGCTGAAACTGGAGACCATCAACTCATCCTCAGTCATTCTCAAGAAGCTTTTCCCGTTAAAACCGTCTGCAGAGCGTAAACACAACGACATGCTCAGTGGATGTGAGTAAGGAGCTCTAGTTGTACATTAACGCACACGAGTTACTCACAGTTGCTATTGGGGAAACATCAACCTCGACATCTCAAAGGACTTACTGATGGAGGTGAAGATTTCTGCCCGAGCGGCCGGGCAGCAGAGCAGCGTCCAGAGGACGAAGGGCAGGAACGTCCTCATTCTGTCTCGATCGATAACCTGCGGGGACAAACATCATCACACAATATAAATGTTTTAACCCTTTGACGTTTGTAGAAATCTGTGGATGAACCTTTTAATATTCACGTCCGTCACACATTCAACAGTCGTTTCTGATTTAAGAGCAACGCGCTGTTAAACACTGTGTCTGTGTTCCTAATTTGAAGAGATGGTCTCTCCATATTCAAAGTTTCTTGCATGTTTCCTGGAAATGAGTCGTCCTGCAGAGAGGCGTTCTTGTTTCATGGCTTCTATTCATCCGTCTTCTCATTAGGAGAAAACTACGGGTTTTATTCTCAAATGAAACCAAAACATATGGTGCATACGTGCATAAGTAATACCAGATGTATCTCAGATACTTGTGCTTGTGTTTCTTCATAAGCACGCGGTGGGGACATCCAGCAGCACCGTGCAGGAGAAACCTCCCTGCGCCGCCTTCATCATCAGTGTGGTAAATAACTCAGCAGAGGAATCTGCTGCAGGTGGAAAGTGACTCATTTCCCCGACATGACACCTGCCGACAAAATACAAGTCGACAAATGAGCCACGACAGAGAGTTTAAGCTCTAAAGCCACAGCTGGTGACTTCACACCTGCGTGTGACGGGAGGTTACTATTTTAAGACAATAATCTCTGCCTCCTTTTAAAGCGCCTGATCTCAAACACAAGATCCCACCTGCAGAGAGACACCCGGCGGGTTCAACAGTGCAAAGACCGTCTGCACCAGGGACTCTCTCATCTCACGGTCACACATTCACTCAGAATGAACTGAGCCTCAGCTTTGTAATTATGCTTATTTTGCTGGAATGCTCGACCTCGGCTGGAACTTTGTTTGACCAAAACAAACAAAACCTCCTGTCTGGTGTCCCTTAATGCGTTTGGTGCATTCGATCATCTTTCTCCAGACGGACGAGCTGTTTGTCTCCTTCGGGACGCCGAGCTGTCCCGAAATCAAAGCCGGCCTCCTCCTCGCATTTTAAATGGATTCAAGCTTCTTTTGACTGAATGTCGAAATCAAACCAGCCAAACACCGAATAATCCTCAATATCTTATGTTTAATATTCCCTGTGTGTGAGTGACTTGGATCATTACCCAATAAATAAATACATATGAATGATTATTGGTTCATTGTTATTTATTAATGAGATTATAAATATTGTACCGCTGCAACTTCTGTCTTCAGACTCAACTCCAAAACATTCTTTATTAACAGGGAAAAAGTGTAAAAAATGTTATGCATATTTGTCAAAACGTGAAGTGAAGTTAAAATGCTTGTGTATGTATTGTGTGAGTATATTACCGTAGTTAGTCCTGCATCATTTTTATCGACAATTACGTAAAAAAAAGAAATCCCTCCGGTTCTCATTTTGGTTCTAAAGCGTCACAGAGGAGTGACCCCAAATGAAAAGGACCTGACGGTCCCTCCTTGTAATTTACGGCCCGAATGACGGCTCGGCCCAAACTCAACCCCTCCTGTTTATACAGGCTGTAACACCCATGTCACATTCCTGGAGAGACAGAGAGAGACACAGAGAGAGAGAGAGACAGAGAGAGAGACACAGAGAGAGAGAGACAGAGAGAGAGACACAGAGAGAGAGACAGAGAGAGAGACACACAGAGACAGAGAGAGACAGAGAGAGAGACACACAGAGACAGAGAGAGACAGAGAGAGAGACACACAGAAACAGAGAGAGACAGAGAGAGACAGAGAGAGAGACACACAGAGACAGAGAGAGACAGAGAGAGAGACACACAGAGACAGAGAGAGACAGAGAGAGAGACACACAGAGACAGAGAGAGAGTTCTTCTTTTAGCTTCTTCTCTCACTTGACGACATCCTCAGAGAAAAAGGGAAAGCGACCAGCTGTCTCCAGTTCACATCGGGGACAATTGGGGACGTTTTTAAAAACAATAACAAACAAAAAGGCCTGAGAAGTGGTTCAGTGTAAAACGCATCTCTCTCTGAGCGAAGACTCAACATTGATGAGCTGATAACGCGTGTGCAGACTGATGGATGTAACACACGTGTGCACGCGGAGCATCGGCGGGCGGAGAACGTGCTCAGACAATCCACCGCTGCACCGGCAGACTAAACGTTTCAGATGCAAAGTTGAAACTTGTTATCGGTGTGCACAGGACAAACGGAAATACACTCAAAGCTACTGTGAGGAGCTTCTAACTGGTCCTGAACCAGTCTTGACTTCTCCTCCTCTCTGGGGGGGAAGGGGGTCCCGGGGGAACCGGGACCAGGACTGAGGGTCAGTCAGAACCTGCTGCAGTAACACAAGCCTGAAGTCCGAAGTTGTGACTTTAATCAACATACACAGAAGAACAGCCGATGTCCTGAAGGTTCTCTGCTTTCACTTTCACACGACACCACATTTTTGGATGAAGAATCATTTTTAGTCTTGCGACAATTTCGCAACTCCGTGCTGCGCTAACAGAGCGCTAAAAGTTAAAGGTTAAGCAACACACACACACACACATAAGTCCACATACACACTGTCAACGTCCAAACGCATTAAAACACCGAAGGTTCATATAAACAATGTATATTAAAAAAGACACTGATGTTATGGCTCATCAGCCAGACATTTAGATAACCATCGCTTTAATATTCACGATAAACTACACACAACCAGCGGACAGGAGACACAAAAGAAGCGTCTCTTGTTCCATCCGCGTCCTCAGAGACGTCCTCACGGTCACCACACTATTGTGTGTCTCTTTGTGTTCACTTTCCATTTGCGCCAAATCCAATTACTGCCATTGAAGTATGTATAAATATAAACGCCGCAGAGCGTCTTTCATCCGCCGCGCACGCAGCCCTTTATGCTGCGGCGGTGTTTGGAGAGGGTGGGGGAGGCCAAATGCTTTTACTTTTGCAGCTCTATGTTTAAAATAACCCTAATAGGAGGGCATCACACGCGAGACTGTAATGAGGCAGAAGCTGTTCTATTGATGGGTAAGTACATGTTACATTAGGTGTTATACTGTGTAGACATCACGGAGGGTACGCAATCTTATAATAATATTACTTTTCTCTTTCCTAAAAACCCACTGCAACACACTGAAGTTATTTCACAATCCCCCTAAATAATTAAGTTTGACTCTAAATAACATTATGCTGCATTGAAGAACACTTCAAACGAGAGATTGAGACCATGAACTCATGTTTCCAATGTTTATTCAGGGCATAAATCATAAGTCATTTCCTCATAGACGTCTATGGGAGCAGTGGAGTCGCCCCCTGCTAGTCACTACAGAGAAGTAGAGTCATTTCCTCATAGACGTCTATGGGAGCAGAGGAGTCGCCTCCTGCTGGTCACTACATAGAAGTAGAGTCATTTCCTCATAGACGTCTATGGGAGCAGTGGAGTCGCCCCCTGCTGGTCACTACAGAGAAGTAGAGTCATTTCCTCATAGACGTCTATGGGAGCAGAGGAGTCGCCCCCTGCTGGTCACTACACAGAAGTAGAGTCATTTCCTCATAGACGTCTATGGGGAGCAGAGGAGTCGCCCCCTGCTGGTCACTACAGAGAAGTAGAGTCATTTCCTCATAGACGTCTATGGGAGCAGAGGAGTCGCCCCCTGCTGGTCACTACAGAGAAGTAGAGTCATTTCCTCATAGACGTCTATGGGAGCAGAGGAGTCGCCCCCTGCTGGTCACTACAGAGAAGTAGAGTCATTTCCTCATAGACGTCTATGGGAGCAGAGGAGTCGCCCCCTGCTGGTCACTACAGAGAAGTAGAGTCATTTCCTCATAGACGTCTATGGGAGCAGAGGAGTCGCCCCCTGCTGGTCACTACAGAGAACGCAGCTTTAACACAACTTTAAGCGCTTTTACTGTTACAACCGTTGCAATGGAAACCATAAACATAACAAGGCCCATCTGCTCAGTGGATGTGAGTAAGGAGGTCTAGTTGAACCCCTGATGGGGGGGGCCAGGGACCAGAGACCCCCGACCGGTTTAAAAAACAACGCGGACAGGATGGTTTCTCCAGCTGGACCGTAGCCGTCCAAATGACGTCACACGGTCGTTTCTAGAACATCCCCAAATCTCTCGGGTCCACCGTTCAATGTTTGAATAGCTCTGCAGCTTTAGTGACGTCCCGTACGCGACCCCGCGTGAGGTTCTATGCACACAAAATAATGAGCGTAAAGAATAAAAGTTGGTCTTAAAGTATTAAAACAGTTTTCATGTTTCACTGTAACGTCGCGGGGGGGCGCTGGTCCTCTCACCTCCCCGGGCACCACACCACGTCTCCGGTGTCTGGCACCGACACCGAAAAAAAACACCTAAAATCCCCCTCAAAGCCCCGCCGCGGGTGACGTCATCAATGGCGTCCGTTACGGTATCTTACCGGTACTCGCTCTCGAGCCCCGGGGGGGGGACGGGGGGGGGCGTTGCGGTGCGGAAAGGTGCTCGCCGGTGGCACAGCGGGGTTCCGAGCAGCACGCGCAGGGCTTTTTGGGGGCTTTGGCGCTGCCACGTACAGAAGCCTCCGGGAGGGATTTACCGTAAACGCGGGAGCAGGCGCGCGGGGGACATTCCTCGCTCGATATCTGATTTGTATGTGTATTATAATCACAAGCTGCTAAATTATGTTTACATTAAGAACACACTTTTATCCAATAGAACCAAGCCCGGAATTCAAAACGATACTAAAAGTGAAATTACTTATTGTTGCATTATTTATTTTTATCTGATCAAGGTGGTAACAATCTGTGTACACTTTTTATTTGTTGCTTGTGAAGTCAGATAATGAGAACATGAACAGTGATGCAATTACTTGCATAAATAAGAGTAAAAAGTAAAAAAAGTCCCGTCTGAATCGTAAGGAGCTATTTGAAATTCATTTTAAATGCATTATTTATAAGCACATGCAAATTGCTGTAGACCTACTTTTCGTTCCCAGTCTTTAAATGGGACATATTATCGATAAGAGCCCCTTTGCATAAAAACAAAATAACTGCAGATCAAGAGGATCACAGGGTTCTTTTGCCTCTCTAGTTCGCTCTTTCAGGGTCTTTACGGTAATGTCCTCCGTGCTGCGGGTCACGTGCACAGTTCTGATCTGGTTTGTGTTTCTGAGCTTGTTCTCTGGATCTACTCAACCACATCTGGAAAAATAAAATATTTGGACACAGCTTTCCACTTAATCTTGTTCTTGGAGACCTGTGTTCTGTTCCTGTGCTTTCAGTGGCACCAAAGGGAGAAATTGAATTTTGACTAAATGCCCACAAAGATCTAATGAACACGGCTTGTAATGATAGTTTCTGCATCTGAAGCTACATAATTAGTTTTAGCTGGAAATATAATTTCATAAAAATAAATGTACTCGTTTATATTAAAACATTTTCAATATTCGAGTTACATGGACTAAAGCTACCATTGAAAAAATATATATTTGGATAAATAAAAGACTCAATTTAGAAATATAACTGAGTTATCAAACAATTGTGCAAGTTTGTGTGAGAATAAACACATTTGCACAGAAATAGAAATAAATGATAACATGGAAATGTTTATGAAATTTAATTTTTATAATTCATCAAATCTTAATTCATCATTTACTATGACAGTCATTAAAATCAATATTTATCCTATTTTCTCATTCATGTGTATATCTATTAATTATCACATTAGCCTGCCCATTTAATATACTTGTAAGGCTTTTATTTATATTTATTTGTCTGCATTGCATGTACTATATTATTTAATGTACTTGTATACTTGTTGAATATATATATAATTTATGTATAAATTATATAAAATGCCGTGTTATATTGTCATGTTAAATGTTGGATCTTGTGGACACTTTGAATGGAGTCTGACCAGCAGATGTCACTGTGGATCAACACATCCATCCATCCATCCATCCATCCATCCATCTATCTATCCATAAAGCTGCACCGTCCATCATCGTCCACTGAGCGTCAGCAGCCTTCAAAGGATAAACGACAGAGGAGCACAAACCTCTCTTGACTGATTCGGTGAATAATGACGGAGATTCCACCTGGATTCTGTATCTGGGTCTTTAAAAACGTTGTGCTGCTTATCACATAATGTTTTAGAAGGATATTTATAGAAGGCGGCTTTTCCCCTGATGCAGAATGCCTCTCAGCTTCTGTTTGGTGGTTCTAAGATAAATCCATGGGGGGGTCAGAACGTTTAAAAAACACACATTTCCGTGGCATTAACCATGTTTACGTAAAACTCACACCCTCTTTCTCTCAGTTTTTCGGGTTTGTAATTATTTGTTTTCAGCCACAGCCGTTCAATTCCCAAGAGCCAAAAAGAGGTAGAAGAGTGAAACTATCCGTCACATTTAATCACATCCAGTGCGACGCAGGTCCTTTCTGTTTGTAAAGTATTTATGCATCTATGTCCATATCTATAGATATAGATTTATAGAGGGGTACAAGCCTCCCTTCCCACCAATGGCTGAGTGAAGCAGAAGAAGGGATCATAAAGTGGGCCTTGTTGACCCAGCGCTGCGTCTCTGGTGACATAAACACAAAGGTATTTGGCTTGAGGAATAACTGCGCCAACCGCCAGGTCCTTTTCACACCTGAGCGACGCTGTGAATGAAAAACAAACACAAAGGAAGGTGATTTACTGGCCACACGTGGAGAACTGAATGTGCGGCATGTCGACGACGTGCAAGAGAGCAGAAAACAAAACGGTAAAACAAAGCGGAGGAATGCGTCGGCCATCTTTAATGCGCAGGGTCGAATGTGTTTTACCCCGTCGGGTGTCACCTGACCACAAAGCGACTTGAGGAAAGCCGAGCGGCCGCCTCCGCCCGATCATCGAGGTGAGGTTAAAGCCTTCCAGATGCTTCAAGTCCCCCCCCACCAAACCCCTAAATCCCAAAGGTCACGAGGTCAGAGATGCTCCCTTGTTGTTAGCAGGGACGATTGAGGGAGCACACACACACACACAGGGGAGACGCTGTGTGTGTGTGTGTGTGTGTGTGTGTGATGATTGAAGGTGAACACACACGGAGCAGGTTTTGGGTTTCAGGCATTCGTTCTCAAACCTAATCAGCGGAGGCCGGCGGCTCAACTCAACTCACAGTCAGAGTCGCAAACACCCCGACGCGCTCATCATGCATCTCTAACCGGGTGCCTCCCCCACCCCGCCGAAACCACCCCGGAATTTCTGGAGGAAGCTCAAAGCCGGATACCTGGAGCCCCTCCGAATGACTCCCCCAGCTGCACCGAACACGAGTGCACCAGGAGACACGTTGCTGCAGCGGTTTGGAGTTCTGGGAAAGCTGTTTCGATTCATTCAAAGCGTAAACCTTTATTAACCGACGTGACGCATTCACGCCGGGGCGAGTAGTTTGTGCAACGCGTCTGCGTGCAGGAAAACGCCGCATCAGACGTTTCGCTGACGAGAGGTGCCGTCTGTTCACCACGCTGCCGCCTGGCAGAGGTAGAAGGACCTTTTTTTTTAGGGGGAGGAAAGTTCGCGTCGTCGTTTGTGTGTGTGTGGTTCAGTGACTCTGAGCAGGGAGGCGTCACGCAGCGCGTGAGAAGGTTCCCACGAGGTGAAGACCTTTTATCGCCACCTGCGTGTCCATAAAACGCTGAGTGGATTCCACCCAGTCACATATTTCTGGCGTGTTTTCCTGCTGCGTGCGTGTGCGTGTGTGAATGCAGCGTGCGTGTGCTGGTAGTGACTCAGGGCCGTGCTATTTTCTGTGTTCTCAAGGCTCCTTTGTTCACATATTGCTCATATTCTGATTTATTCAACATTTTATCACCAGGAACATGAAACATGAAAAGACATTTTTAAAGAGCTGCTGAGAGCGTTTTCTGATTTATGGTGTGACACAAGATACGAGTACACGATCCCCTCAGTAGGATCCTTCGACTTTAATGTGTCAACACGATGAAACAAGGATTTTGAACCTGACTTTTCACATTTCTGTTCAGGGAATGGTGAAAGTTTGCACGTATTTGATAAGCTGATGCCGAATTTGCACATTTAATAAAGACCTTCCGGAACGCGTAAAGCCGCAAACAGAAAACCACGTTAATGTGAAGATTGATCAGACCCCCGAGGCATTAACTCTATTAGTTAATGTCTCAGAGATGTGATCATTTCCTTTGGTATAACCTTAAAGAAGTCCATATGCCTTTTTCCCGTCATCTTCAGTGACACCATTTCATCTGTTTGGCCGATCCGTGGCGGATAGTTGTACGAACGTCTCATTTCAGTCCAGAACATTCTTTTTCAATCGGTCAAAGTTTTAATCTGTGCCATAAAACGTCGGTTTCACAGAGGGATAAACTCCCCGATGGACCCTGACGGGGGGGGGCGGGGGTCATAAAAGAGAGGCGGCATGCGACCGTCTGGAACTCATCACCAGGAGAAGGTAAACCCTCCTTCTTCTCGTCCCCCGAAGCCACTGAGGTCCCCGAGGACAAAGACGCCTCCAGGGCCCGCCCGCCTCCACACAACACGCCATGGTGTTGGACGAGGGTCTTCAGGACGGCGTTGGAGGCAGTGGGGGGGGGGGGGGTCCGGTTCTCTGCTGGTCAGGCTGACGGTGCAAAGAGAAGAAAGAAATCAGATAAACAGGCTTTCAAGAAATGAAATAAAACAAAAGCCAGACGGCGGGTAATTTCCTGCCGGTGGGAGGTTTGTGTGAGTAGGTGTGTGTTTGTGTTTGCGCGTGTGTGTGTGTGTACTGTTTGCTAGTTTCCCCTTTTATGTGTCTTTCTCACAAGTGCTGTTTGACATTCCTGTACAGGGCTCGACCGACGTACTTAGAGAGGATCAAGAGAGAGACGGTGTGTGGGGGGCAAGTAAAGGGAATTAAAAAAAGAAGTATACAAAATTGTTTATGCAATCATACTTAAATCTTGTGTTCCAACTTTTGTCTTTAAAACCTCACACACCGAAGTGCCTGAAAGGGGTGAATGTGTGTGTGTGTGTGTGTTTGTGGTGTTTAACAGCAGCTGCTGACCAGTAGCCGTAATTCGTCCCACATTCTGGCTCACAGAGGAACGCGTGATCTCACAACGTGGACGCTGTAGAAAAAACACGTGTGGCCGACGCTGCGTTGTGATCCACGAGTCTCCCGGTTTCCCTCTGCGGGCCCGAGGAGGTCCCGTTCTGACTCGGTCTCAGCGCCACAGTGAGGATCCTGGTGTCGGGTGACACCGCCTACTGATTCGTGAGGCTTAGAAGCTCCGGACTACAACATGGCAACGTCATGGCCGCTCCTTATTTGTGTTCCCGAAGAGAACTATTCTCCAAATGTCAAATGGTTTTAATACCAAATCAGGGCTCATGTCTTGGATGTTAATCATTTTAATGCCCCCCCCCCCCTGAGGGAGGACAGCCGCTCGCCGCTCGCCCTCCTCAGCTCGTACGGCGGAGCTGAACTCAGACGGACCCCCCCCCCTCCGGTTTACGGCGCGCGTAATCTTTTAACTCCCGTTGCCTCCTCCTGAGGCCTCAGAGTCAAAGGGAGGGTTTGACGCCCGTTTTGAAGCAAGGCATTCAACGCTCTGATGTGGTTTTTCACGCAGATCTACAGAAGAAACGAACCGTACACTTTGTTCCTATATTTTCTTTATTTTGAGGCAAACGCTGTGTACTTACCGCGGCATTCAGGCGGTTTTACAGTCCCACGGGAATCCGCAGTGTGCATTTAAAAGCTAGTAACGTTCCCGTGACCAACAGAGAAGTTTCCAATTACCAACCTCGATTAACAGACGGAGGGATCACAGAGCTCTGAGCTCGTTAAACCCCCTAAAACACGTTTACTGCCGAGGACGGCGAGCACGCTGCCGCCCGCCATGACGCACTGCGCATGCAGGCCCGGGGGTCGTATTGGTCCAGGGCTCATATTTCAATGAATAAAATCACACCACTGTCATCGTGGAACCTTTCGTTCACAATTAAAAGCTTTGGATTCTCAATGTCAAGGCTCGTGATTGGCAGGTTGTTACCATGGCGACGTCCGTGTCTGGGAGCTCTCCGACTCACGAAAGCCAACTGTGACGTGGCGATTACCTGAAAATGACTTTTACAGAAAGCCAAGGTGGCGGAACGGAGGCTTTCGAAAGCGTGGCCCCGTGACCCTCCATCGCCCGGGTCGTGCTTTTGAATCCACGTTTTTTAGCGGATGTCGTTGTGTATGAGGTTAAAGTAATGGCATGTGTGCGCCGCGCTCACACAGTTTGTTTACACTGCACGCATCGACGGCTGAAGGTTTACCAAACACGGACCGAGAGGCCCGCCAGCTGGCGCGACGCGTTGGCCTTCAGCTCGGCGGGTTTGTACCTCAATGAATCAGGCTGTGAATGTGCTAAACTGTTGTCCACAGCTGGCAACGCGTGGTGGGGGTGGTGGTGGTGGGGGTGGGGGGCATTTGTTTGTCTTTCCCTGGTCAGAAAAATCCAGCACGTCAGGACAAAGACTGCATTGTTACAGAGTCGGTCTGGTTCTTCCCATTGATGATCATAGCGGGTCGAGGTTCAGGTCGGAGACGGACCCTCCTTCTAGTTCCTTTACTTACCCGTTTAAGACCTGATTCTTTTGAGCGGGATACCTCAGGAACATCGACAGGGAATTTACACCCCCCCTGAACTCAAGGATTGACTGATTAGATTTGGGGGGTTAAAGGTCACCGTAAGTCCCAGTCGCTTCATGGGAACGCGATTCCCTGGGAATGCCTTGGGGGAATTTCGTTAAAATTTGGACAAACAACCCTGTGACCACAAGAAGTCAAAGCTGATTGTGACAATTTAACCCAATGGTTTAATGGGATAAAATGAGGAAGTGATGACATTTTGGACAGCCATGAAAACACACAAACACAAGGCGGCGTTTCTAGTTTGAAAAATAACTGTAACTAAATAAAAACACATTTTTCTGACTTGGAGTCCAACCAAAAAAACCACAAGCAGCCAGCTTGAGATGATGTCTCCTTCAGACACACAAGTCATACTGTTCTAATCTATCTAATTATCTTTAAACGGTACCCAGAGGCGTCCCTCGTGCCTCTCTTGTTGTCCAGCGACTGCTCTCGTTACCTGCACATCCTCAGTATAATGAGTGAGCTCGGGGTCAATTAGGCTTTTTGTTTGAGTTTTCTCCAGCTCGTTCAGATGGATAGTTGATGATGACCCTGGTGGGCTTGATTACATACTCTGTGAAGGAGAAAGAATCAGAAGTAAAGAGAACCACAGAGAGGGATGGATGCAGGAAGGAGGAAAACCGCCATGAACAAAGAGACGAAAGCAGCAGGTCCTCCGGAAAATGATCTGATGCCGATCGGGAGGAACTCATTTGTTGGTTTCTTCCAAACGACACAAAAACGTGATGACATCATGCAAGTTCACCACTCAGCTACAGGCTCCAGCAGAGACCAGTCCACTGAGGACAGAACCAGATCCGGATCTTCACCTGCAGCTTCAGACCCGCCGTCGGAGGTCTGGGGGGAGGAGGAGGGCTCAGCTCCCATCATATCACCGGGATCTTCATCTAAAGCAAATTACGCGCAGCATTGAAGTTGGCTTCCGTTGGCTTCCCGTGTCTGCGTGGGTTCTCTCCGGGTTCTCTGGCTTCCTCCCACAGTCCAAAGACATGCTCTGGGGATCAGGTTAATTGGGGACTTTAAATTGCCCGTAGATGTGTGAATGTGAGTGTGAATGGTTGTGTGTCTCTGTGTAGCCCTGCGATTGGCTGGCGACCAATCCAGGATGTACCCTGTCTATCGGCCGAAGTTGGCAGGGATGGACTCCAGCCCCCCCGCGACCCTGTGTGCAGGATAAGCGGTTTGACAATGGATGGATGACTTGAAGTTGGCTGGTGAAGACGTCAGCTAGAACGCCACCTTCCTCCGGGCGTAGAGACACGCGATGACTCATCGACTGAGAGGCTGCCGGTCCGAGCGCATTCTGACCCCCTCAGATACCTTCTAGAACTTCGAGCCCTCGGCGCCTCCAACACTTTGCTGACACCACCGACGCTGCAGTTTCTCCTGGGAGCACCTTCTCGTAAAGAGGGATACGAGTCTGGCACTGCTCACCCGATATAGATGTAAACACCTCAAAAGCTGAAGGTCAGCCTTTAAAAGCCAGCCACTGTTCCACCAGAACAGAACCCGGGAAGGCATTTTTTATTTGGGTCTGCCTGATGGGAAGTGACGCATATGGCAACAAAAAGAAGCTTAAGTTTGAGATGCATGCAGGCGAGCTGAGAGCAGATACCTACGATATACTGCACGGGTTCAATCCTGGTTGGTTTGACTGGTTCTGCCTCCGTGTGAGTATTTACTTCTGTCGGATGCGTACAACTTATTTTGAGTCCAATAGTCAGGGAAGAAGGAGTAGATGTGGATGCTTCCGGGAACATACAACTTTACGTGGAACATGACAGCAATGCCATCCTACAGGACCCCCTCCCCATTTATTGGGTGTCATTACTCCGTTTTAGGGGTTGTGTTTTGAGAATCTTTGTCTTTTGCTTGGTTTTCTCTCTCGGTCGTGATGATCCTAAAGTGAACAAACATCATGGCTCTCTGGTTCCCTGACGATCCCGGGCAGGGAGGTGCCGACGCTTGTTTGAACCTCCTTGGAAGAGGAACGAGTTAAATCTTGTCTCCAATCGCTGACTCGACGGTCTTTGGGCGAGACTCGGGCTCAGAGCGACTCGTCGATTGCGTCAAGCGCCGAACCCCTTTGACAACGTTGACCGTTTCAAAGGAATACATTTTTGCGCAACAGCCGACGTCGTCAGGCGGACTCACGGGTTGTGACTAAGACGACTGTCGACTTAATAGAACCCGAATTGTGGGGGTTTAAAAAAAGGGCTTTGTTTACATGTTGTTGTTGCTCCTTTGTTTTCTTTTTTCAAAGTTGTAAATCAACAAGGACACGATGAAGTGCTTATCTCTGTGTTAAAAATGAGCCCACCTGGTGTTACTTTGGTGCCAGTTTTCTTTTGGAGGGGTCTGACTCAAACTACAGTCGTCTGAAGGGAAGATTCCCAGGATCCCCTCATGAGATCACTCGCTGACTCATTTGCTCGTCGGAGGAAATGACACAATCGGGGGCAGAGAGGATGCTGGGATCCTTGGCAAATGGGAGAGGCGTCATTTCTTCATTATTGATGTCGATCTTTGACATGGTGCAGAGGGTTCCTGTGGAATCAGGAATCAGGAAACATTTATTGCTAAAATCAAAGTCATACATACAAGGAATTTGACTTGGCGGTTGGTGCGCGACAGTAGACAGTGTAACAATAGACAACAAGACAGCAGTGCACAAGGAATAAAATAAAATGAAAGGGGCGCGTCACACTGGTTCTCTGGTTGTACCATCAGAAAAAAGTTCAACACTTTTACTTGTTTTGATAATTGAGTTATTAACTCAACGATGTTTTAAGATGAATTTAAATCAAATTCAATTCAAAGTTTGGGCTCAGTAAGTTGGAAGCATCTCATGCTACCTGCTAGCTCATGCTAACTGATGCTGCCAGCAGGTGCGAATACCTGTATTCTCACTGATGGTGCAACAAGAGCAGATGAGAGAAAGAAAAGAAACACATAAATACCCCCACTCATTAATGTTCTCCCCACACTGTTAACAACCTGATTTCACCCCCAGGCCCCTCCCCCTGGGGGGTGGGGGGGCGGGACCAGCCGTCATCGCCTCGCTATTTAAGCCGGAGCCGGCGGAGTTGGAGAGAAAAGTCTCACTGCGACGGGACGGCGTTGCCTAGCAGCAGGGCGGAGGACTCGCGCTTTGTCCGTTAACCGTTCGCCCGAGGAGGGCCCGTGGATATTAACCCCCCTCCCAACACCCACAACGCCCCCCCCCCCCCGCCCCTCAAACCATCCCTCCCCAGCACCGCTCGCTCGGTGTCCGGTAGCCTCCGTTGAGAGCTCGTCGCCCGCCATGACCCAGACCGTGACGCTAACGGGACCGTCTCCGTGGGGCTTCCGGCTGGTGGGAGGACGGGACTTCAGCACCCCGCTGACCGTCTCCAGGGTAGGTCGAGCCCCGCCGCCGGTTCCATCCGGGGGCCACGCGGCTCGTCTCAATGAATGGGAATCGATCGGGGGGGGGGGGGGTTCTCTTCGGTGACGCGCTTATCATCGGTTATAGCGGTTGAAAGCGCGTGAACTTCGGCTCTGGTTTTAACGGCTGACAGATGGCGCCGTCTAATCCCTGGAAAATAAAGTTGGCAGAATACTTCAGCGAGTGGCTTCTATCACCCTAGAACGGCCAGAGGAAGATAAAACAGAAGAAAGTGACTTTTTTCATTTGCGGATTAATATTTACGATTCGTTGTTCGTTCTATGAAATGTCAGGAAATTGTCAAACATGTAACATATATTTTAGTGCACAACACAAAGACAATCAGTTTACTGTGGTTTCAGGAGGAAAAGCAATATCCTTTAACAACATTTGAGGTTTTTTTTTTCAAATTTGCTGGAATCTGTTTTAGGAAAGAAACTCAAACTGCTCATAACATGAGCGACATTTAATTTAATAGCTGAATCCAATCCATTTAACCGCTCTGAACTGTATTCAAATCAATTGAATGGATTATTTTTCTGCATTGAAATTCTCCGTCAATAGTCATGGTGATATTTCCAAACCGATTTATTCCTCTACGCGTTATTAGATTATTTATTGGTATTCATGATCTGGCAGTAGCCAATAGTTCATTGCAGCCAGGATAAACACGGCCCGGTCCTGCTGCAGGGCTTGCAGCAGGGGTGGTGTTTGAGGGGGTGGGGGGGTGACATTTGTTTTTCATCAGAGCTCATTGGTGCCTCTGAGGGATTCCAGGTGTTGTGCTCTGCTGTATCACCAGCCCCGAACCGACCCTTTAACTACAGGGCCCAGGCACTTCCAACTGGAGGTGTAATTTTTAGATTTACAGAGGAGGGAGGGGGGCAGAACTGCTCGCTGTTTGTTACACCTGAATCCCCCCTGCTCTTGTGTTGCTTTCATGCAGAATTGGAAGTGTTGCCAGTGCAGCTTCAGCGCCTGACTTTCCTTAATCATTTTTATAACTGACAGGCTGAAGCTCCAATATCAGCAGTTTTCTTCTTTTGCCACTTCAGTCTGTGCAAACCTGCAGCACTGCTGCTGCAGAAAGCGTGGCCTCCGTGCACGCGGAGGGCTCCGCAACCTGCGCGATGGAAGATAATTGCAGGTTGCACTTAACAGACAGTTGCATAGCGAAGACGGCAATAAAAACCTGAAGGGGAGTTTTCCCTGATTCCTAAACCCCGGCTTTAACAAGACGGAAGGATCAAAATATGTAACGTCAGGGGTGTAAGTACACACTGTTTGAGTGTAGACACACTCTACTTCATGCTCTGAAACATCAGCCCACAACACCACATGATGCTGGCAGAACTCAATGATTGTTTCTTCACACTGAGAAATGATGAAACTGAATCTAAACGGTGGGAAAGGAGCCGTCTCTCCTCAGCTCGAGGCAGCCGGTCGCATTCTGTGTTAAGCTCAGCGTGATTCATTGCCACTGATGCACCGGAGAATCTCCCAAACTTGTTTTATTACATGCTTGCTACATTCTGGCTGCGCGGTGCACGCCGGAGACGTCAATTACAAAGTGTTGAACGGTGAGGCCGGGAGCGTTGCACGAGGGAGAGAGACGGCGTCTCAGAGAAGGGTAGTTTATGCTGCATAGTATTCAAAATGCCTCTTTTGGGGCCAGTAAAGTTCCACAAAGACCTCCTGCGAGCCAGAACTCTGTGAAGGCTGAAATAACCTCCGGGGATGAAAAGTGATGCCTGTGTTACTTCTACTGACCAGCAGGGGGCGACGCCTCTGGTCCCATAGAGGTCTATGAGAAAATGACTCTTTCTTCTGCCTTGATTTATTCCCTCAGTAAACATTGTAAACATGAGTTTATGGTTTCAGTCTCTAGTTTTAAGTCGTCTTAAATGCAGCAAGATGTTCATTTCGCGTATGGTCCATGTAGAGTCAGCTAATGAATGTTGTTTAACATTTGGCTCCGCCCTCTTGATTTGATTGCAAAAAGACAAGGCGACAAAAGCCAAAAAACGAGATGGCGACGACCGGTTGTGGTTCTGAACGGTGGAACCACAAACCAAAGGGAGCATCGTCCACTTCTTACACTCTGTGGCTTTACAGACTGGAACATAAATGCTTTATGCTTTACTTTAAATATACATACCTCCACCCTTTTGCCTCATTAATAAAAGTGAGAGCATGAAACACCTGCACTCGGTCACAGCGAGAGTTGTAAATACCAGGAAACCAGCTGTTTTTTCCCCCCTGAAGGTGATAACGTCCCGGGATAAACTCTGGAAACATTGGTAGTGTGTCTGTGTGTGTCTGTGTGTGACTGTGTGTGTCTGTGTGTGACTGTGTGTGACTGTGTGTGTCTGTGTGTAGGCTGTCAAATGGCCTCGGTGTGCGCGAGCGGCAACGAGCGGCCGAGGAGCAGGAACGTAATAATGGAAAGATGTAACTGCCGAAAGCATTTAGCGAGGAGCCGCTGAATATGGCGGCTGCGGTGTGATCTGCGACGCAGGCCGCAGGCCGCCGTATTCAACCTCGCTGTCGTCAGACGGAGTTCACGACGCTGTGTTGGGTAAATAGTTCTGCCCCCCCCCCTTTGCTGTCTGAACCTGTCCTCTAGGAAGAGTCCTGTAGAACCACGGGGCTCTTTATGGAACGTCTAGTTCCTTCACGTCGGGGTCATTCCACGTTTTGTTTGTGTCTCACAAGGACTCGAACGCAACGCACCTCAGACCGCGACCTCCTCCGCCGCATACCAGAGACGGGTCACGTGACCCGAGGCCTTGCTGCACGGGTACGATAGAGACGCGACGAACCGCGTCACCTCCGACTCACCGAAGCTAAACAGATGGCGCTCGAGTGAGTGAGGCGGCGCCGGTCCGTCGCGGCGCCGCGTGATGAGTGACGTCACGCTCTTGCCAGACAAGTGACTCCCTCAGGGTGCCCGACTCATCGCCTGACTACGACACGACGTCCTCAACAATAACAAACATGATTTTTATTCTTCCCGCTCAAACGAGCAGAAGAACGATGCTAACGAGCGACTAGGCCTCGTCGTCCAATCCACCAATGGCTTAAGTAGTTAAAATTACATTAACGTTGAATTCCGTTGAATTTACCGTCCTTTCTCCACCTCACATTATCAATTATCTACGTGGCCGTGTCGTTTTTATCCCTCACCTTTTGACCTCATTTGAGCTCGTCAACGTGAAGCGAGTGAGAGCGGTTACTACGTGTGAGAATAAGACTGAAATTTAAAAATGTCGAGTGAAAACATCATTGGAGCCGTTGCGTCACGCGGTGTAATGATGTCACTGGTCTGAACCACGTAACTCTCAGTTTGACTTACACTTCACTTCCTCGTAGACGGGAATGTTTCTCCTCTAGTGGCGACCTCAGTGTGTGTGTGAGAGAGGGATTCATACCCTGTTATTCATTGTCCAACCCTGAGGTGATATAAGTCACTCTCTGTGTGTGTGTGTGTGTGTGTGTGTGTGTGTGTGTGTGTGTGTGTGTGTGTGTGTGTGTGCGTGGACTTTGGCCCACTATGACACAGTCTCGGCACAAACCCAACACACACATTTAAAGAGTAACTGCACACTTAAATCTGCATTCTTGCAGCAAATAGTGACCATACGCTGCGAGCGATGGGGGGTTGTGCTGAATAAGTGTAACATCCATTTACTGACTGTCAACAAAAAAAAAAAAAAAATGCTTCTGCAGCGTTTAATAAAATTCCATCTTTAAATCTCTTCATATTATCTCCTGTTTCCACCACAAAGCTAAATGAGTTTATTTTTCCTGTGATACTTTCACACACACATATTTCCCAGAATGCCTCTGGCCTCAGGGTTTAAAGGACCTGGGTCAGGGACATTTGAGGCTGTATGAGGAGTTCCACATGTGGATCCTCTGTTCATCCTCCAGACAATAATATCCCGATTTATCTTGGATCCAATGACTTGTGTCTGTTAGAGAACTACGTGTTATTTCAGGGCTCCTCCGTTCCAAACACAATAGATGTTAATGTGCTCTCAGGAGAGGCTCTCCGAGATGTTGTGGGGTCAGGCAGTGGCCTCCACTTAAAACCTGGTGATTGGAACAGAGATGGATCACCTGACACGAAGGACTCCATTTAAAATCATCCCAAATATTCTGTTGATACAGGAAGTCATTTCAGCCTTTTGGCTCACAGGCACGTGACACAGTGAGAAGGACCTGATCATTTTGTTCATTTTCCTGTTACGTGGTGATTTATTTGTAGCCTTTTCCCAAATACTAATGACTGTAGTTGGCGCTTCTTTGGCCTTTTGCTCCTTCAGCCAGCTGCCAACAGCTGTTGCTGCTTCTAGATGCATAAACTTGACTCAAGGCACTGCGTTCACAACCGTTAATCACATCGAGTGTTGTCCAATCCAGCTGTAATTACTATGAAAACGACACACATTGTGCTTCAAATTCCTCCAAAAAACCGTCTCAGCAAACGCCGACGGCCTGCGGCTGCTGAAAAACATCCTCGCGCTTGATGGCTGGAAAAAGAATGCGGCCCAGATGAAGCTCATGCGTGTCATCGCTTCACGCCACACGGAGACATCATGGCAAGTCTTCACATTTTATTAAATCCGTTTGATTCATTGCCGGTAATGTTTCTCCTGCAGCTCGCTGCCAGCGGGAGCTTCGCCGTGGACGTCTCGGTCCGATGATTTGATTGGTCGTTTGCTCTCGCGTCTTTGAGCCAAGAGGCGGACGGCAGTGTGTAATAACGGATAATCGTTATCACATGTTACCGGGTGAAAGGTATTGGCATATCGAGCAGATGTTTGCCAGCGACTGTAACGTTGCACAGAGACGTTTGAGGCTCAAAGTTCACGTGCAAACAAACACGGTGCACGTGCTCCATCCTGCACCTGAGAATGATCCACGAGGAGATCAGCGCGGGGGCAAGTTGCTGAGCGATGGTGAAGTGAGTTTTTCAAAAGGCGAGACGTGTAACAATGCTCCGTCGAGTCGCTCGTCGAGTCGCTTGTCCGTGTCGTGGAGAATGTAAACCCAGAGTGCCGCCTAAGGCAACATTACATAAATCAAACAAGAGCTGCTTTTGTTTTGGCCTCCGCTCCCACGCTAATTCCCTTTTTCTTTGTGTCTTGCTTCATGTCTTTCTTCCTCACTGATAGTTTGACTCCACTTCTAACAGCTTCTTGTGTGTGTGTGTGTGTGTGTCTCCTCCAGGTGACGCCGGGCAGCAAGGCCGCCCAAGGTGACCTGAGTCCGGGCGACACCATCCTGGCCATCAACGGCAACAGCACGGAGCTCATGACGCACATGGAGGCTCAGAACCGCATCAAGACTTGCACTCAGACAGCTGGCGCTCCACATCAGCAGGTACAGAGAGGGGGAGGGGGGTTGTCGTGGTAACGGGATGTATGAATTGAGCGTTGATCCATTTACAGCATCATTAGGATGCTTTACTGTGTTTCTACCGGAATTAGTTGCAGACGTATTATTTATTATCTTCATAAAGCGTGTACATTCAGCTCATTATTTTCCACAGTGGAATAAGTGGACGAGTGGATATCCGGATATGAGAGTAACATCTGCGTTGAAAAACTTGATTCTTTTATGTTCTTTTATGACTACGGTGATTCACTGACTCTCGCTTCGGTCCATTCGGACGGACGGACGGCAGCTTTAAGCCACATTTAAACAAGCCGAGTCAGCGAGGAAAAAAACAACTGAAATGTCAGCTGCCTCCCACATCTCCATTAGACGCTCGGGGTCGGAAAGTGCAGAGCGAAATCTGGCAACTCCAGAGGAGGAACGCTGTGTGGTTTCAGCTTCGATGCCTGCAAGTGTCAACGGCCAACCGGCTGCTGGAGCTCGTTCCTCGTGGGCCGCCGGCCTCGTTCCCCACGGGGCGGCCTCGTACCTCGTGGGCCACCGGCCTCGTTCCCCACGGGGGGGGGGGGGGGGGGGGGCGGCCTCGTACCTCGTGGGCCGCCGGCCTCGTTCCCCACGGGGGGGGGGGGCGGCCTCGTACCGGCCTCGCTCCCCGTGGGGCGCCGGCCTCGCTCCTGGGAGGACCGGGTAATCTCATAAGCAGATTCCTACAAGCAGAGTCTCTCTCTCTGCTTTTATAGTGCGTTCTATAGGGACCAATCCCAGTGTGCCTCTCTGCAGCTTTCCTTGTGCTCCCAGCATGCACAGGGGCGTTTTTGCTCACAGGCTGTTTCTTGCACTATGTCAATGTCTATAAAATAGCATTTCTCTAGTTATCAATGCTGTGTAGTACGACGAGCCTCTTGATTTACCACCGAATGTCGTCAAAACTTTCATTTCCAATGTGTAAGGGTTACTTGAGAAATGTATAATTGGGTTTAAGATCAAAGATGACCTCTTTAAGCAATTAGGATAAATGTCTTGATTTAATCAAAACAATATATAATTGCAAATACAAATCTTGCAAAACCCACAAACCAACCAGCTGAAACCGAGCAGATAGCAGCGCAGCAGAGAAAGATCAAGGCCAGCTGCTGAAATGTGACTTCTCAGCACCATCTCTAATATATATATATATTTTTATATATACACTGTATAATTACAGTCTGAACCGCCTTCTGCCGGATGGACGAGGGTCAGTGAGAGAGACTCCAGAGCCAAGTTGAACCGCTGCTGGAAGACTGAAGAACAAGAAGATTGATATGGACGTTTAGGACGAGAGAGAACAAACACGCTTACTTCCAACAGGAAGTAAATCACAGTTTTGGCAGCTTCTCATCAACCACCAAAATAAAATTGGAATAGTAAAAATAAATAGACCGGAAAAAGGCATAATACTACTGTGGCCTAACTGTGTTGTGTTTTCTGGGTTGGTGGATGAAGTTCAAGGTCCTATGATTATATAGGAAATGAGACGTCAGCGAGTCAAAGATGAGTTATATTTGAGGAAACACTTCAGTTTTTGGCCACAACCCAATAACTCACATGACCGTAATGATAATTTTCCCACAAATGACAAACATGATTAATTGACAAATTAACGACGTGAATGTGGGACAATTTCACTTTCTATTTGATGCCACATTTGTCTACTTGGCTTTAAATTATCGCTGAATCTGACATTTGTGAGAGATGGTTGTGTTTGGCTCAAAGGATTCAGATCCGGCGATTATGTAACGAACCAACCCCTCAACAAGGTTATTTAAATGCGACCACGGACACTGGGGTCAAAACTCTTGGTGCACCCAAAGAACACTCGCTGACTCACTGAGAAACAATATTTCAGAGGACACCGGTTTTGGCCGTCATTGGAAGACGTGGTCATATAATACGGAGTCACAGAGAAGCAAACCTGTAATTTAGTGTTTCTGCCGATGCACAAATATACAAGTCTACACGTCTCCTGTGAACCGAAATTACAGAACACGAGATCCATCCGAGCCTCGGGGCTTCTATAAAACAAGAATGTCTCATTGCAACTTCTCCGCATTTAATACTTTCACAACCCACATGTTTTTATAATTCCCATTAGGGAGCATTTAAGACCGTCGGGGGAGAGGAAGGGGGGGGTTGAGTAAGAAATATAGAGGCTTCAGGAAAACTTGGTGCGGCGGCGGGAGCTGTTTTTTCCTCAAAGAATCATTCATGGAAAATTCAACATTGAAAAGCTCATATGTTTTTAGATCATTAATCATTCGTCTTGTCCGTCAAGGAACGCCTGGAAGGGATTCTTTTCAATTTGGCACAAACGTCCGTTTGCACTGAAGGATGATCTGAATTAGAATTTGATCAAAGGCAACTGTGACTTCACAAAACACAGAACAAGGCTAAAGAACAACACTCCAATTCTGAACGGAGACACCTTACAGCTGCGTCCTGTGTAGTGACCAGCAGGGGGCGACTCCTCTGCTCCCATAGACGTCTATGAGGAAATGACTCTACTTCTCTGTAGTGACCAGCAGGGGGCGACTCCTCTGCTCCCATAGACGTCTGTGAGGAAATGACTCTACTTCTCTGTAGTGACCAGCAGGGGGCGACTCCTCTGCTCCCATAGACGTCTATGAGGAAATGACTCTACTTCTCTGTAGTGACCAGCAGGGGGCGACTCCTCTGCTCCCATAGACGTCTATGAGGAAATGACGCTACTTCTCTGTAGTGACCAGCAGGGGGCGACTCCTCTGCTCCCATAGACGTCTATGAGGAAATGACTCTTCTTCTCTGTAGTGACCAGCAGGGGGCGACTCCTCTGCTCCCATAGATGTCTATGAGGAAATGACTCTACTTCTCTGTAGTGACCAGCAGGGGGCGACTCCTCTGCTCCCATAGACGTCTATGAGGAAATGACTCTACTTCTCTGTAGTGACCAGCAGGGGGCGACTCCTCTGCTCCCATAGACGTCTATGAGGAAATGACTCTACTTCTCTGTAGTGACCAGCAGGGGGCGACTCCTCTGCTCCCATAGACGTCTATGAGGAAATGACTCCACTTCTCTCTCGACTTATTCCCTCGGTAAACGTTGTAAACATGAGTTTATGGTCTCAGTCTCTAGTTTCAAGTCTTCTTCAATACAGCGTGATGTTCATTTAGTGGATTATGGTCCATGTGGAGTCAAACAGACAATAAAGCAGGAGACGCTTGGGATGAAACAGAGACGGATACAACATCTGTTCAGCACTCTAAATATGGTCAATGTTTTTTTAGGACCTTAAAATGATAAAAATAATAAGTTGAACTCGGGCTCTGGTGTCTCGTGACGAAGGTTGGAAGCTCTGACACTACGAGGGTCATGGCAAATTAAATTCACACCATTTCATAGCTCGTGAAATGAGAAAAAGAAAAGGAATGAAAGAGAAACTGAAAAGAAGAAAACGGGCTGTGAGGTCACCGCTTCACCGCAGCTTTCCATTTTCCATCCGGCCCCCCTGCCGACGTGGGCCCCGTCAGCGCTGCGAGCTGAACCGCCCTCGCCGGCTTCTCTCGCCCCCCGGCGTCGGTGAGCTAATGGAGCCGAGGAGGAACGCTCTGACGCTGCGTCAGAAGGCCGTTGACAGACACCCGAGGCCCGTGTTGGAGTGTGTCACGTCTGCTTTGCTTGGCTTTTCTCTCCTCACACCTAAACAGGCTGTTTGAATATAGGAACCAGCTGCGGGGGGAAACCTCCTGTTGCTTCTTTTCATCCGTCATTCCTCTGACCTCTTCCTCGTCCCTGATCGGTACCACCCTGTAACACCCTTCTGCCTCTCCAAACCCAAAGTCCCACTTCACTCCTTGGCTGTTTCTTCTTTTTATATCTCCTCTTCTTCCAACCTGCCATCACCTCCCTGTGGTTCTCCTCCTCCTTCCCAGGGCTTATTGGAGGAGCTCATGTGGTCGCAGAGGCCCGATGGCGGTTTGGATGCCTTTCCACCGCTGGTCAGGCTGTTCGGAAAGAGTCTTGCTGGGGCGTGCAAGTTAAATGTGCTGAGAAATGATGCCTGATGCGGAGGGTGTTTCTGACTGCGTGTCTTGTTCTTGTGAAGCCCTGCTGCTCTTGTGTTATTACGTGCAGGCTGGCACCCAGCTTGAGCTGCAGATGGTTTTTGCCACGAGTACGTGGCGCAAGGAGGCCACGCTCTCAGTACTCTTTGGTTTTAGGTGTAGAACAGGGTCAACCAGGTCTCTCCAATCTGAGAATGAGACTTGGCAGTGGGAGGGCAGGTTGGGGAAGATATGACTAGAGGAAAGAACAGGAAATTCAGAGTGATGACCTGAGACCTTCTTCCTTTCCACTTGTCTTCGTTTAGTTATGACAAACGTGGAAAACCCAAATGAGTCTGTAACTATTCACCCGTGTCCCATTTATCATTATGAATCTGTATTTAGAAAGAGAAATGTTCTCTCCCGGCGCTCCTGTAATGCAGCTAGCCGGAGGAGGGAGAAGAAGAGATGAGATAAAGCCTCGCAGAAGATCTGGTTCATATTTCATCACAAGGTGTCTTCAGGCCATGGGGGAGTTTTACCAGCTGGATTATACTTTGGATCGGGCGGAAAAACAACCAACAATGAGCGAAACGTGAGGTTGAGAGATCCCAAACTGACTCGATGCTACAAGAACACAAATAGTAACACAGTTTATTGTGACTGATCAAGCGCGTGCGCATCTAAGATCCTTGAAAAGTGCTTCATTCCTGGACGAAATACAAATAATGGAAAATAACTTTCGTGTTTGAACTGAATAACGTGTTTGAACTGAATGCACCGAAAAAGGTTCTTCTACACAGCAACAAGCCTCCACAGCTCTTACGATATCAGATCTGATAGATAACTTTGAGCGAGGCCTCTTTGGGCTTTATACATAATCAATAATATCAAGCAACAGGTTCCAGCTGTTTTGGATGAGGTGCAGGCTGCAGAGGGATGTCAGCTGATGCACGAGATGACGGAGGAACAATAATCTAATCAACTCGTTTTGAAGACGCAGATACGTTTTTTGTTTTTTAGATACAAGTAAGAAACATGCAGTTGCAGTAAGCATGAAGCCTGATGACTGAGAGTCTGTTGGGACCTTCAGTGTAATGAGTCAAATGTTCTCATCTCCGTTAATAGAAACGGCTCAATGGCTGTAATGTCATTTCAAGCGGCCTCTTCAGACTGAGCTCCACTTGTGTCAGAAGGCTTTGGTGGCGTAACCGTTGAAGGCTTTCTGGTTGGGGGGGGGGCGGGGTCATCCCACGCCGTCCACCGGGAACTTGCCGCCTCATAAGAGCGTCCTTGACAGCAACACCTCCGTGGTTCATATCTGAAGCGCCGTGCCAGTCGGGTGACCTCACCTCTTTGGACGCTCCCTCGCTGGGGGGGTCGAACACATCATCGCTCGATGGGCAGCACACACACACACACACACACACACACACACACACGGACACACGCCGTGTCCTGTAGCTGGTCTGCATGGTGTCCCGGAGTTACCCCCCTTTTCTTGGAAGTTGGATGCTTTCCCGCTGAACCGCCAACGCCATGGCAACGAAATCCCGCCCCCACGCCCTCAACACAAGGAACCAAAGAATTCCCCTCTGATCTTTCTGTTATTTTGAGACAGCAAGAGAACTGTCAACACTTCAACACTAGAACTCGAAAGTAAAAGAGTGGCGCAAGTGAAGCGAGTGATGCCATCGGAGATTAATCGCCATGTTTTATCAGCCTGAGAAATAAGTGGCACGCCGTTAACTTCACTAAAGCATTTTATTCTCTGGAAATGCTCGCGGTAGGACTGACAGGATCTTTCAGCGGTGCTCTAAATGATGTATTTCATCACTTCAGGAAATGCAACTGGAGTCAATTACAGGAGGGGGACTCCGATACCACTAATTCAGTTATCACTACTTTTGATAAGTTCTTGCCCCAAAGTTTTCTTTTCTCCAAAAAATGGAAAATGGAGTTATGGTGTGATTGGGACCTTATCTTCGTACCAGTGGAGGGAAACCAGAACGTTGCAGGATCCGTTCCCAATGTGCCAAATGTGCAAAAGCAAACATCCACACGATGGAGAAGCTCATCATGTGCCGCCGTCGCTCTTGTATAATCTAGGACATTTAAGTGTTCTTACTGGATAATTGATCTACCTTAAAAAAATATGTATTTTTTACGTAGTAATTCCCTGTGTGGCCACCGTGTAAAATGTTCCTTCTCTCGAATAGTACTGATCGTCGTTTCAAACTAAATCTATTTCCTGGTGTCAGTCTAATTAATGGCTATGCATTCTCTTCTAAGTGATTTAATTCACCTTTTTATTAAATTCTTGATTCATTATTTTAGTCTTTGAAACATGAGGCGGTGGTAACCAAGCAAACTAATTGTTACATCAAAAAAAGTCATTTGTACGGACTCTGTCTTAGCCTAGCTTGCTAACGGGCTAGCTAAACAAAGCTAGCTAGCTTCTAGCAAGCAGTTTTTTTCACAAAACACGACTCTTCTTTGTCTCTTGTGTACTGTCAGTTTTTGTTTCTTTATAATAAAGTAGGTGCGCTGTGTGGATGTACTGATGTCTGTTTATTAGATTCCGAATGAGACAAGAATTCAAAAAATTCTCGACCCCCTTGATCCTTTTATTCATTGTATCCTCAGTGGAAAACCAGCCAGCTGGCTTCAACACTTTGGTGTTCGATGGAGCAGAATTGATCCGACTTGCTTTTCTCTCATGGGTATTGTCTTTCAGGTCGGGATCAGGAGACAGAGTGTGGTCGCCGACGGTTATTGAAGACGGCAAGACAAGCCCTTACATGGAGCCCAACTCCCAGGTAACCACTGTTTGCTCTGGATTTACGTGAGCACAAGCAACACGGCTTTTCTTTACCGTTTCACGTTCACGCCCACCGGGAAACTGTCACAACTAATCTGCTTGAATTTCTCATACTGCCAAACTAGCTCATACTTCAGGCGCCCCTACAAAATATGCACTGTTGCAAGCAGTTTGCATTCAACTGCTGCTTTATCATAACACCTTGAACTTTGACACTCTTGCTTATACTTCTGCTTTGCAGAAACATGTTTAGAATGACCAGAAAAGCCTGCTGCCCTTCATTACTACAAAATGTGAGATGTAGTAGAAGATATTGGTATTTTTGACAAACTAAATCTTTTTCCGGCATACTAGTCTACATATAGTGGTATGGAAGTCTATGGAGGTCTGTCTTGGTCTGGCAATCATGCATAAATATAAATAAACCCCCAGTTCAACCATCATCTTGAGAAATGAGGATTGCTATCTGATGACAAATATACAAACCATGGATCGGCATTAATGCGTTAAATATGACAATAGAGAAGAAGAGCTATGGCGACGCGTCGGAACGGCTAACCGCTAACGGAACGGCTTACCGCTAACGGAATGGGCTCCGTTGACTTGCATTGTGCAGGGATTCAAACAGCGAGCTTTTAGGCGCCTCATGCTTTTTTCACGTCAGTTTGGGGGACTTGTGTGAATGGTCTGATTATAGCTGCCCCCCCCCCGTTGACCTCATTGTCGTCGCCGCCAACCCCCCCCCCATCTCTGTCGGCCGTAGTCCGTATCAAGTATATGGATATTTGCGGGGCGGGGGCTTCAATTACCTCTCTCTTTTTTGACCGTACATGCGTTTGCATCCCTGGTTGTGATGCGTTACGGTTCTGTCTAATGAAAGTGATTGTTGGGCGAAGGTCAATTTCAAAGTTATCACAACGTGTTGAACTGAATTCCAGTTCTCTCAGACTCTGGTCTGTTTTATGTCAAATCTGGTTTGTACTTTGGAATCTGCTGCTGTGGGTCGAGGTCTTTTGCCACCTACCACATCAGAGAGGAGCATTCACATCTGGGGTCATAACTTAGAAGTTCAGTTCATAAACAGAATCCATGGAAACGGGCACAACAGTTGCTCCGTAAATTGCCATTCACGTGGTTATAAATGAGATAATGCATCCCACTGTTCACTGGAGAGGTTTTGAAATAGTGTCTTGATTGTTTGTTCGTTCCGAGCTGCCAGGCGGACAATGGAGGCATGATGAACTCCAGCAGATGATCTGAAGTTTTCCACAGCTGGCAAGCCGACTGGTTTCTGCCGTAGTCATTATTGAGACTGTGTGACTGAAAGAGACAAGGAGCATATTGTGGCTCAGACACGTGAGTGTCAATTCGTCAAGTGTTTCATTGTGGTCGTTGTGTCTCTCGGCCCCCGCCGGGAAAGGATCTCCTTCAAAAAAGAGAAGGGTGGGGCAGCCACACAAAGAGCTGAAGGGAAATCGATCCGTCAGCCTCTGGGTGCCTTTAAGGAAAGTCTTGTAGAGAAGAAAGCGACTTCAGCGTACGTAATCCATCTGGGTTGTTCACTCAGACGATATCAGCAGCTTTCCAGGAGACTTATTATGTGTTGTTCTGCTGAGTATAGATGCCCTTATGTCTCTCTCCCCTTGGCCTCTCTCCGGCTATCCGTAACCTCTTATCCTGTCCGTCCTCCCTCCCCGAAGCCTTAAAAATGCGCCCCGGCCTCTCTTTTAATGAAGCGAACCTGGACGGCTCAGCGGGCGGCAACTTGGTCATTCCAACGCACCTGAAGCGTGAAAAGAGGACGCATCCGCTGCACCGGGGACACAAAGAGAGAGAGAGACTCGCCTTTTGTCCACTCTGACACGTAACAATGCCGATTGTTCCTCGATGGAAACCCTGTATGAACCGGGACGTCCGTCACACCTTCCAGACGCTTCCGGCCCGCAGTTACTCCAATGACGACGTGCTGGCAAAGATCTGCAGCTGTCAACCACAGCCTGCCTCGTACCTGCAGGGTGTGAACTGAGACGTACCAGGCCACAAATAACACAATCCTCTGGGAAATTACCTCACGTTTCTCTGGCCTCCACAGTCATGAAAGGACTTTGTAATTTTTCTACCACTCAAGGCCACGTAAGGGCTTCCGAATAGTTATGAAGCCAATGACGTCATTATTTATGATGTTCTGCATTCAACTTTTTCCTTTTGAACGACAGACTCCTTGTTCTTAACCAACTGTCTGCCTTTGGAAATTCCAGCCTCACTCGTGGGAACTCAGCAGGAAGTGACACTTGGGAGCTTTGAGGTGTTTCCTTTCACCTTGGACACACGGGATTCTTATAAAAGCTGATGTGGAAATGCTCCATTGTTGGTTATAAGCGTTGTTGAACTGCAACATGTGTTTCCAAAGACATGAGCTCATAACTTTCCACCGTCTACTGGATGTCGCACGCGGCCTCCTGAAAAAGAAATGATTTTGATAATGAGAGGTGGCAGCTAGGAGATAAAGACACGTTGTCATACAGTAAGCAAAACAGCAAGCGCAATTTTAGCTGATGCTCCTCTGTGTTGAAGACGACTAATGAGTTCTTGGTTCAGTTTCCAAATTGCATGCAAAGAGTTGGGGGCCCTTGAGCAAGAGAGAGAGAGAGACTTTTACGGTCAAGCTGATCGCACCGAGTGACCTGATCCACGACCCAACCGTCATTGTAAACCACACGAACCATCCGTCAATCAAACTCGTCATTCAAGCCCGTCGGGAGGAGAGGGAACGCGTCTTCTCAATCCAGAAGAGCCTTCTGTCGCTCGTGCCTTCTTGCACCAGTTCACTTGCCTCTGTTTTGTCTTTGGAAGAGATGAAGCTCCATCGGAGTGTGAAACTAATCTTTTCCAGATGAGCTCAACCGTGCCGTTGGTGATTTGGGCCGCGTCGAATGTGTGTAAATCAATATGAGGGTTGTTAAACTGTGCAGTCAATGTGATAGTGAAACTACGACAACAATGTAGAGGGAGGCTTCATTTCTTTTTATTCAGGAACGATCATTTATCCACGTGGTTCTGCTCGGACCACGTCATTGGTCTTCAACAAAAGGCCCTTTTCCCAGCAGCCGCTCGGGCCGGTAATAGCCGGGTAAACACAGGTGTAATTTATAAAATTGACGAAGGTCCCATTCTACAATAGATCGTTTGAAACACACAGAGTTTACCCTGCTGTTCCATGTCAAATGGCTTCTTTGAAAGCGCCGCTACGGGCCCCGATACGCGCACAAGCCCGTCATTAGAAGCTGCTCGTTGGTAATCTCCTGCTTGAGTTCCTCTGATGGTTTCATCGTTACACTGACAGCGGACAAACAAACTCATTATCAGGGTTTTGTTGCGATATAGCCTTTGATGAAATGACATTTAGTTACATAATCTCATCACATGTATTTTGGTGAGAAAGACCATTGGTCAATGTTCCTGAAGTCGCAGGTTTTAAAATTCCTTCCCTCGGCTTGGAATCGGTCCGCGTTGAAGCCGGTGTTCTGGCAGGCGAAATGAAAAATGCCAGGCGTCCTTGTTATTAAAGGAACATCTGCTGAGACATCGTGGAAAGACCGAGAAGGCAGATGTGAATCTCACGGCGGCGAGGTCTTCCAGGAGCCGGCAGCTGAAGGCGGCTTCTCCGCGCCGACATTAACGGGAGCTGACGGACGGCGTCCTCGCGTGACCCGCAGACTGCGAGTCCTCCCCTGCTCGGCGTTTAATACCAAGGTCGTCAAAATGCCTGCGTGATTCAAATCCGTTCCGTTAATTGACCGTGGCTTTAAGTCGGCGAATAGGAAACAATAAGGAGCCATTAACGGGTTCAGCGTGTCCTCGTTGGGCCGCTTGGCTTTCGTAGCAGCTCCACATTCATTGAGTCACACAGCCGGCCTCTTGGATCACGGACCTCTGACCCCACTCATTTGGTTGTTTGTGTTCACTAATCAGCCGGTAATCTCCAGAAATGTCCAAAGCGCTCTGTGGGTTTTTAATAATGGAGAATCCCCACCCCCCCCCTCACCCCTTCCCCCTCAGCCGCTTTCCTTGGCTGTCAGCAGGCCGGGGAGGGGACGGGGTCAGCCAGAGCACTCGCTGCCGGGGCGAGAAGGTCTGCAGAACCGGCACCCGGCCGGCTCATTAACATTCACTAAGACTCTGAACTTCTCTCCACTACACAAAATACAAGTTTGTACCAGTAGCTTTAACTGTCCTCTGTGAGAGTATAAACTGCTCCACAACACACATAAAAAGTGTTTAATCAGTTAGTCAACGGTGCTAATTTACCGTTAGAATAAACTCTGGTTTTGCACAAAGAATTCCATATATATATATATATATATATATATATATATATATATATATAGATATACGAATGTACGAATGTTTACATCCTCTGCCGTGACGTGTGGTAGTAGAAGTTTCTTAAAAGCTTAATTCAATAGAGTTCATTGATCAAATTAACGTCGGCCGTCTTCTCCGGAGCATTTCTACCCTCTCAGATGGGCTCATGGCCAGAAGCCCTGAAACTCTATTTTCCGCTCTCAAAATCAGCCCCCAACCCCCCAGACTTCAGCTCTCTATATCTGCGACCCGGGCCGGTCTGCCCGTCCTCCCAGAGAGGCTCCTGGGGGCCGGGGTCCCAGGGAGCCATAAAAGGCTGGTTTGTGTTTGGTTAGTGGTGCAGAGCGCCATGTGAAAAGCTTCATTGCCAAAGGTCCCGAGGGATTAAACCACGCAGGAGGCAGAGAAGGACGGCGCTGTTTGTGTCTGTGTGTGAGAACCATCATTGTGTGTGTGTGTGTGGGGGGGGCAGGCAGGCCGAGGTCCTAAAGACGGGCATATGATTTCAATTAAGGTCCCCCCCCCCCCGACCAAGCTGTGGTTGTGAGCTGAGCCAGACGCTACAGGTGAATATGGTTAGAAAATCGCCATGAAACTTCCCCAGTTGTTCATTTCCACGACGTAAATCTTAACATTGGATAAAACCTGGTTCCTGGTGCTCGTTTCATTTTGAGGTTTTTACAGAGGACTTTGGCTGTTTCTATGTGTCGCTCCATAAATCAGCTACATACTCAACCATATAAAATGATTTCTTTTGGAATAAAATGTTTTATAAATCGGGTTCTGAGTGATAACTGAACAAAGTCCTCAGTAAGAACCTTCAGACGAGGAGGGATGAAACTAAAGAAATGCACACTTATCGTCTGTTCTAATGTGTGGAAAAGAAAACAAGTTATGGAAGCATAAAATAGCAAAAAGGACTAGTGCATGAAAACAATGTTTCTGGCTTAATAAAGTCACGTTGATGAAAGGAGGAACTTGGTGCCTCATGCCTGAGTGAAATGCGCTCATAAGCCGGCTTTCCTTCTCCTTTGACATCCTGTCACCCCGAACCATTCGCCACGCTTGGGCGCCGTTGTAAAACAGGTCGGGGACCTCAGATGGCGGCTTGACTATGTGCAAATATAGAACGCCGGTGCTCATAAATAGTTACTGCTCTGGGATCTGTTTCTCCTTCCCTCGCCGTCTCTTTTCCCCTCTCGACAGTTTCTCTCGCTCCAAACCCGAAAGGAATGCAGTCGAGATTTGGGAGAAAATGAAAGAGTAGCCACGCATGGGGGGGAGAAATCTGGAAACGGATGATGTCACGAGGGGCCTGTTAAGTTGGGTTTCTGTCGGCGATAACAACTGAAGCTGCTCATATTAACCTTGAGCTGTTTTGACTACGTTGGGAAAATAAGATCAGGTTTCCAGGAGGATCCGGCTGATGAGACATTCACCAGATTGACGTGACCGTCACTGAGGGACCAAGGCTCCATTAAACCTGAATGGAGTCCAGACGCCACAAAGGGCCTGGGGGGGGTTTAGTTCAGCTGGGACAGAAGTCAGAGTGTGAAGGTGAAAACGGGTAAACATGTAAACAACAGGGAGAAGCACTGGAACCACAACCCAGATGTTCACCTTTGTGGAAGAGGTCATTGCCCGGACGCCCCCCCCCCCCCCCCACAACCCCCCTCTGAAGCATTCAGCAGATGCAGTGCGCGATCAGGAACCATGTTTTTCTTTTGCGTACATCAATGTCAGCGGACCTGTCCTCTCCGTGCTCCGTATGTTTGTACAGATTAGGAGTCAAAAATAAGAAGTCTTCACTGTGGAGCATGAAGCGCAATGCACCCTGGGATTTCCTCCGCTGTGCACGCAGACGTGACTAAGTCGCATTGCACTGATTGATATCTGCAGGTTCAGCCCTTGTTCAAACATTAGAAATTAATAATTGATTCTCAATAATACTTAAAAGACGTGTCGGGACAATGATTTGTTCTGAGGAACTTCGCCCTTCCAGCTTCGGGTTTGTTCTCAGGAAACGAGAGACATCAAGACGGCCCTTTTGGAAAATCCATCCAGAGACGTTGCTTTAAAGGAAGGGTGGTCCAGCAAGTAATGAGATAAGTCCAGCCACAACTTCAGCTGACCTTTTGGCGTGCATAGGAGGAAGTTATCGGTTATATATCAAAATGAATTTCCTCTGGAAAGATTCCTGCCTTGTTGACTCAGGAAAAGCTCCGACGTATCGGCCAGACCTGGTGCGAATGTATCTGAGGACGTCAGCGATTTCTATCACATAGTTCCTCCTTCTACGTCCCTAAAACATGGCGGTTTAGGGAACCTTCGATTACGATCACACGAGGTCCACCATCTGTGCAAATAGGGCTGAAGATATGGAGATGTCTGTGGTTTGGCCTCGGCGTGTCTGGTTGAGCTGGGTGTGACGCTCTGCAAGAGGCACTAAGTGGACTTTAACCAGCGGTGGCCGTCTGCCGGCATTTGGCAAAGCCGTCTTTTATTCGGGCAAGAGTAGGAAGAGGTGTGTTTTTTTTCTCAAAAGTCTTCTTCACTACAGGAGGCGGCCAATGACCAGGCCACACCTGGAACAAACACTGGTCCCATTGCCTCCGCGGTCTAACCGGTTCCCATCCGTCTGCATTGCTTAACCTGTAAACAGCTCAGATGTTTATCGCGTGGCGTTATCACTACGTGCACTCTTGTTTACTCTTTCGGAACGGCCGGCTGCCTCGGAAAATTCTCGACCCGCATGAGAGGCGGTGACATCACTGCAAGCGGTGCACTAGAAAAGCTTATCTGTAACGCCGCGAGGCGGTCGGCTGGCAGAGAGCGTTATCGCCCGAGTGTTCGCATAGCCGCTGTACACACGGCGCGGTGAGGTCACCGTGGAGTTGGTTCATTAAAATGTTCGTTTGGTGAGTGATGGTGCATTTAGTCAGATAGACCTAGCAGGGGTAGATGTAATAAAAGCCATGAAGCCACGGCGGCTAAAAACGTCGACTTCAATGCTTCAAAGCAGCAGTCCAATGGTTGTCGTCATGGTGACGATGTCTTCCTCTTAGACGTCTATCCATAAAAATATAAAGTTTACCACAGCACGTCCAAAAGATACCCGTTTTATCTTTTAGGGTATCTCGGATCTGTCCGCTTCCATAAACTCTTCGATCCATAAAGTAGCAGCCGGGGGGAAATGTTCTTTCAGTATTTACACCACACAAGATAATTTGTTTTGACAGAAACATCTGCAGGAGATCGAAGTGGAGCTCCTTCCTAACCAGTGTGGCTGTTAACGGCGGAAAAGGCTTTTCCCTCAATCCTCTGCGCTGAGAAACCTTTTTGCCTCTGAAGGATTGTGGTTTTCTACTCGAGGCACCACTTTTCACTCATTTCCTGACCCAAAACGTAATGGCTTATTGTGTAATGGGCCAATTACCTTTTTTCTTCCTAACGTTATTAATCGTTTTTCTGATGTAACGTGCTCTTTCTGCTTTAAACACGCGATATCTAATGATCATTTTTCATCTTTCTTTGTAGAATTTCCGTCCCATCACCAGCGGTTATGGCAGTTCCAGTCGCAAACCTTCGTACACCCCTGAACCCCAGTACCCACAGACACCCCAGTCCCCCCAGGGCCTCCAGTACCAGCAGGCTCCCCAGTCCCCCCAGGGCCTCCAGTACCAGCAGGGCCTCCAGTACCAGCAGGCTCCCCAGTCCCCCCAGGGCCTCCAGTATCAGCAGGCTCCCCAGTACCAGCAGGCTCCCCAGTCCCCCCAGGCTCCCCAGTACCAGCAGGCTCCCCAGTCCCCCCAGGGCCTCCAGTACCAGCAGGCTCCCCAGTCCACTCACCTGAATAACGGACACTCCAGACCGAACAACGGCCACAGCCACGGCTATGGGAACGGCAACGGGCACGCTCAGTACAACAACCCGGCAGGACTTTATCATAACGGCAGCAATGGAGACAGATCCTTGCCGAGCAAGATGGGCGGCTTGAGCCTCAGCGCCACTCACAGGTGAGTGGAACCAAAGAGGAGGACATCTAAACGAACGGGTGTAAAATCCCACCTTGGTGAATGTTTAGAGTGATGACAGCATCCGTAGTCCAAGATGGCGGTTGCCACATCCAGCAGGCGACGTCACCACGGCGACGTCTACGTCCTGTACACAGTCGAGGACAAATGGATGTTAACTGTAGAGCTGGTAATAGAACAAGGGGTTTATTCTGGATTCCACAGAGCCCGGTTGTTGTGATTCAGACTTCATGCCTGTGGAATCACATGTTGAGTTCAGCACACGTCCACCTCTGCTGCCAAAGTTCTTTCTTTAGTGCTCTGGCAACTATCATCTGTTCTTTTTTTATCTTTTTGTTTAGCCTTCTTCTGCTGCCTCGCTCCAACATCACATCAGGACGGCACCTGATAAAAGACAACACGTATCAACATGTATCAGGGGCCGTATCAGATGTTAGAAATGAGACAAAACCAATCGGAAACTCCTTTGCTGTCGTAACTTTATTACTAAATTTACTTTGATCTCATCTACTTCCAGAAAACAAGCATTTTAAAAGATGAAATTGCTGTAGGTGTTCCTGTACCCGCAGCAAACTAGCTGACGTGTGACTTGTCGATAGTGAAGTGAAACTGGCCGGCTGATGTTCCGTCATGCACAGCAATAGATGATTGATTGACACGGTGTCCCTCCTCCCTCGTCTCCTTCAGCCCGGAGCCCCCCACTCAGTCCCCCGTGGGGGGGAATGGATTCGACCCACATTCAGACGTGTACAAGATGCTGCAGGACCACGAGGAGCCCGTCTCTGCTCCCAAACAGTCCGGCTCCTTCAAGTACCTGCAGGGGATCCTCGAGGCCGAGGACGGAGGTAGGCGCGCTTTGGGTGGAGGCGAGATGGTGGGGGTTTGATGGTGTGGTGGTGACCCGATGGTGAAGAATACGTCAGCTACAATAACAGCTATTAACGGTCCTTTAGATCGCGATACACACCGGCTGCCATCATGTTGAGCAGATAAAGTTCAACTTTATGCATCAAAGCAACCCGATTTACTTCAATCAAGGTTTTTTTTTATCGACGCATCGGGTGGAAGTTCAGCATTAGTAAATATTTCCTCCTCGTGACTCCAGCCAGAGGAACATCTCTCTCGGGCAGCTCCTCTCTCACCGTCGTACTGGCATACTTTTCCTTTTAAAGAAAGACTGCGCGGTTACGAGGCAGAGAAGCAGAGCGGGAGGGAAGAAGGATGAAGTGCTGTAAATAGCTCGCACACGGATGAACATGGGAGGGAGGTTCTGCTTTGGCAATTTACTACAAAAAGCAACTTCACAAGCGGACAATAAAGTGCGAAATACGTCTTTCCTGTCTGCCTTCTGACTGCTCAGCATTCCAGCCTTTTGAGTGGGAGTCACGCTGACAGCAGCTGATCCTCTGACCCCAAACTCTCTTCCCAGGTTCCACGTTCACCACTGGCGGGGGGCGGGACTAGTGAAAGTGGTATGTGAAACCTCGGAGACGTGGGTTTATAACCGTAGGCACAGATTGTCTCTTGTTAATGTTCCTCTTGACCTCAGTAGCTGGTGACGTGAGAATCCGCAGTAGTTGCTGTTAGCTAGGTTAGCTTAGCTTCCGCCCCAGCTGTCCTCATGGAGCGGTCGGCTCCCCTCACGGCGACGTTTGGCCCGGCTGCTGGGTGGTCTGGATCCCCTCACGTCCTTCTCTGATGGAGAGGAGTGTGTTTCAGTCATTGGCAATGGAGCAGCTGCTCCAAAACCAGCCGTTTCTCTTCACTTTTTGTTAATTAATCAAATGTCAACAGATACTCCAATGATATGTTACTGTTCTTTCCGTTTGTATCTGTCATATTCAAAGGGAACATCTATTTTAAAGACATCCAGATGGAAAAGCCTCAGTTTCTCTCACGCTTCAGAATAAATCAATCCATCCCTGGTTCTCTCGGAACGAACCCTTCCCGCTTGGCTCTGTACCTTCTGATGTGATCCACAAGGAACAACACTGGCTTAGAGCCAGAACACAGTTTCCTTAATTTAGCTTTAAGCCCGAGAAGGAGACAGATTCGGGGGGGGGGCAGTGCTAACGGATTAAAGAGATTTAAATGGGACCCTTTTCATCTGCTGTCAGTGGTCCTTGAGTGACGGGTTAAGCCCTCGATGACACCTCCGCTTTGCTGTGGGATCATTCAGAAAGCAAATCGCTCTGTTGGTAGAAACCTGTTGCTGAAGTCGGTCGCTTGGTTATTGGTTTTACAAGAAAGAAACCGGGAGGTAAAAGTCGAGTCGTCCTCTTGTTGGATGCATAGCTCGTCTCCAGGCGTTTAAATCACAGTAGTCAGTCCCCCCTTTTTAAGGCGAAAGCCCCCGCAGAGGCCATGTTGACTTTCAGGGGCTTTTCAAGTCAAAGTAAACAAGAGTGTCAGTTTACCCAGAATTCCACAGACCCTGCCGTGATTGTAAAGCAACGTGCAGGACAAGTACAACCTGGTGTTGGATGCAATATTTCCTGAGGTTGATAGACGACAGAAAGAGGAAACGATGTGAGGGAGTTTTTACCATAAGATGTTACGGTCGAGTACGGTTACTACGGTTATTTACATGCTAACAATTGGCCTTTACAGACTTCCTTTAAGAGGGGAGGAGATGCCAAGAGGGGGGGGGGGGGGGGGTCTCCAAACCTTGGAAAAATAAATAAACAAAATTCCAGTGACCTTTTAGTGAAACCTCGTCCATTACTTGCACTCCGGGGTTATTTGTTTAAAAGAACGATCTTGTTTTGTCCATCGTGTATTTAAAGAAAAGCGTCTGTGCAGTAAAGCAGCAGAGATGAATGATGGTCACAAAAGTACATGCAAAGTGCTCCGGGGGGAAGAAGGCTGCCTCCTTCCTCAGGAAACCTGTGGCGAGGTTTGGAAAAAAAAGTCAAAAAAGGGTTTGAAAAAAAAGTAAAAAGATATTACTTCGAGAAATGTTTTGAAAACATATTCAAGGGTTAAAAAATGTCAAGAACAGAAAAACCTAAATATATTAAGTCGATACATTTTTCAATGTACAACACATTTCAACAAGTTTAAATGGGTAAGTCAAAATATGTCAACAAACATAAAGTCATAAATCTAAAAAATGTTTGGAAAAAAAAGTCAAATTATGTTAAGTCAAAAAACGTCATCGAAAAAGGTTTTTAAAAAATGTTTACCGAAAAGACCATAAAATATAAGGTCAAAAAAAGTTTTAAAAAGTCAAAATATTATGTGTTGAATTAGGCCAAATAATGTTTTGAAAAGTTGTGAAGAAATATTAGGTCGAAAAAATGTTTTGAAAAAAAGTGAAAAGATGTTTTGGGAAAAACTGTTAAAAGTTAAAAATGTTTTAAAAGAAAAGTCAAGATATAAAAATAACATTTTGGGTTGAATATATTGTTTGGAGTTAAAACACTCCCCAGGGATAAGCTGAGAAGATTGGAGTAATCACGCGATGATGTAGTGCTCGGTTTACAGTAAATGGAAACAAAAACTCAATAAGAAGAGTGACGATCAGACTGCATTCATTCAGATCAGCACTTTTCTGCCACCATTTCTCCTCTTTTGGCATTGCAACATTTGTTCCTCTCGGCCCCAGAGATTAAAAGTCTTTCAGACACATTCAAGCTGTACACTTTCCATGATCTTTCCTACCACACAGTCTCGACAAAACCGTCTTTAAACTCCTCGGAAAAATACAACCCTGAAGTACGAGCAGCACGCACGGCTCAGTGAGGAATCAAGGTTGAAATTGTTGCAGCTGTTTATTTATCTTTCCACTCTGTGATTCACTTTTGCCTTGAATTCCCCTGCCGCCCCTGACAGGTCTGAGGGGGGACGGGGGGCTGTGTTACAGTAAGTCTGGGTGGTGTTAGTCACACACGGACACACACGGAGCCGTGGAAGTCGCCTGTGGTGAGATGTGTGTCGTAATTGACTGTCGGTCAAATAAAACAACGGTGTCTGACTCTCTGCGCTTGGCAGAGAGATAAATGGGTGCGAAGGGGGTTTGAGAATGTCAAAGCAAGACTAAACAAGCGCCCCCTTCGTTCTCCTTTTGGGTATCTATTCCCGACTACGTCCCCTCTGTGAGAAATTGCTGCACTTAGAAATCTTTTCCGTTCGAGTGGATCACCGTGCAATAGAGACATTATTCCCAGGAATAACACAGCCGGCTAATGCGAGCTCTTCGCTAATGGTTAGCCAGATGGGAGCTAATGGGCTGTGGTGAGTTGGATAGGTGTCCCACTGGCCTGAGCAGCCACACGTCGGTAACAGGAAGTGTCATTGTGCCGCTGGCCGGTGACCCGCTGCAGAGGCTCCAGATCGTCTGAGGGAACAAAGCCCCCCACCTCCACCACCAGAACAACCGTGATCACTTATTTCAGGCTTTACAGACATTACTGTAAGATAAATGAGCATAAGTAATAATAAATACACTTTTCACGGTTGCTTCGTGAACCAAAACAATGTAAAATGGTACAAACAGTCGACATTTGTGCAAAATGTCGTCACTTCGTGGTTTTCTCCTCGCCGCAAAGTAAGTTACTTTTAGAAAGCTCTCTTCAGCCCGACGGTATGTAGTCCATTGGCTGACTCGTAGCGTGCCACTGGAAGGTTAAAGGAGAACGCTCACGCAAACACAATGGAGAGGAAGAGTGGCCGCTTCCTGTTTGTGAAAGGTTAACGAGCCCTAAGCCCATTACCTTCGGCAGGAGATAATTTGCCATTTATCTCCTGGAGCAAAACCTGCAGAACCACCTCATTGTCTCCGGTGGGATAATGTTGTTAATGTATCCACGTGCTCAGGTGTCTTGCTGGAGAGGCTGATTGTGCGATCGGTTGTGCGCGCGTGCACGAGTCAGTGAGTGTGTCGGTCCATCGCTAATCAGCAGGCTGCATTACCTCATTGGACAGGTGTGGCTCAGAGACTCGCGCCTCCTCGAGGACATTTGATAGGTGAAGATGGAGATGCCTTTCTCCTCAGTGTGCGTGGTTGTGTAGCAGTAACTGACGACCAGCACGCTCTGTTCTGTGGAGCGCTCCGTCCTGCAAAGACACGTCCACCACACCTTCAGCCCCGTACCTGGACTCCTCCACAGAAAGGACCTGGTGCTCTGTTCATTTAATCCATGTTCGTTTGTTCATTTGTCGGCTCCTGTATTTATTCTGAGGTTGTTTTTCTTTCTTTTTCCAGGTGTGTCCCCAACGGACCGAATGAGGAGCTTGAAGTCTCCGGTCATGTCTCCCGTCCCCAAACTGGGGAGCCCCGTCCCCGGCCCCGTGCCCGGCCTCCAGAAGCTGCCCCAGTGCACCCGCTGCTGTAACGGCATTGTGTAAGTACAGGGACCTCGCACAAATGTTTGTTTTACGCACGTTTCTATTGGCTGTTTATTTCAACACCAGCCTATAATCTTTCTGATTTATTTCATGTCACACAGTCAAATGTGATTCTTTCAAATGATGGTTGCTGTGATCTTTAAGTATAGACTACTGAAGATGAACCGTGAAACATGTCAAGAGGATGAGCGATTTATCATCACATTTGCTGTTCGGCCACGGGAGATTATATCGTGGCTCCGCCCGTGGTCACAGGGTTTAAAGGGGGGAGCTTTGTGAGGTGGGTGGAAGTTAAGGAAGTTAACTCGTGCAGCTCAACCTGCAGCAACAGGCCCGACACAAGATTCCCATTGATCCCGTCCGATGATTAAACCGAGCCGGCCTCCCTCCACGCCCTTTCCCACGCACACACACACCGACACACACGCCTTTCCACATGCACCGGTAATCCCCCCCCCCCCCCCCCTTCTGTGAACGCAGCTGCAGGTGAGCGCAGAGGTCATCGGCTTACTCGTTACAAGAGGGCATTGTGGGACACAATCGGGCCGCTGAGACCTGGGAGCATTTTACAGCTTTTTAAAGTCAGAGGTCAACAGAGGTCAACCGGCGAGGGGAAGTCGGTCAGAGGAGGCGAGCTCATGACTGAGGGCTCGAAGGGAAAGTCTTATTAGTGAAGAAAGCAGTGAACTTCTAAATGCTCCACCTTCAGCCGGCCGTACGTGATGAAATATATTTAAAAAACTTCTGATAAGCAAAAACAATGGAAATGGAAACAGTGAGTCAGTCCCGAGCGATTTGTCATCGCTTACTTCCTTTTAAAGTGTTGCTAATGTTCCAGTGTTGATGCGCAGACCCGATGCTTAATGAACAGGGTTTCATGGATAAACATATTGAAATGATAACATAGTTGACATTAGGTCCCATATGGCCATTAAATATGTCGTGGTCCTGAATCCTCCTCCCTCTGCTCCAGCGGCACCATCGTGAAGGCCAGGGACAAGCTGTACCACCCCGGCTGCTTCACCTGCGACGACTGCAGCGTGAACCTCAAGCAGAGGGGCTACTTCTTCATCGAGGACAACCTGTACTGCGAGACGCACGCCATGGCCCGCGTCCAGCCCCCCGAGGGCTACGACGTGGTCGCCGTCTACCCAAACTCCAAGGTGGAGCTGGTCTGAGTCCCGGGCTGGTTGCGCCGCCACCCAAGCTGAGGAGATGGGGGCGGGGCTACAGAGCACAACGGCGAGCATTCATCAGGCTCCGCGGGGGAAGGAACGCCGACCTCGGATCGCTTTTGGGAGTCGTCGAGGATCCGAGGTCCGCTTTGCTACTCCGACAGTCTGGATGAACGCCAGCGCGAGCTGACAGAATTAAACTTCTGATGAGTTTCCCCCGAGCGAACGAGCACCAGAGTATGAATCAAAACAGGCGACGCAGGATGAGAGGAAGGTGTGTGTGTGTGTGTGTGTGTATGTGTATGTGTGATTACTTTCTACCAGCATAACAATCATCATCGCCTCCCTCTGAAACCCTCACGCAGCCTTAAAGAACCACACTAACGTGTGTGTGTGTGTGTGTGTGTGTGTGTGTGTGTGTGTGTGTGTGTGTGAGTCCATGGTGTTTATTTGGACTCGTTTCCCTTTACTCCGCGTGGCCTTTGCATCTTTGATAAACACCTTTGTGTGTTTCTGGCGGTCGCTTCTGGCGTGATGATATTTAAGGTCTAAAGGGCTTCTAGGGTTCCTCTGTGTTTCTGTTTGACTTTCTCTGCTTCTCCTTCTGGCCGCAGTTTGCTTGTAAGCAGATCTTTAACCATCACAAGCCGGTGAGACTCTGGAGGTGTTTTGGCGAGTTTTAGCGAGCTGTAGCCGATGGCGAATGACCGTACTAACAAGCCCCGCCCCCCTAAATGATGAGGCGACCTTGGCGCTCGTTGCTTCCTCGGGCGCCTGAGCGAGAGAAGAACTCCGCTCGTTTAACCTGAAAGCTCCTTCTGCTCTCCAGACGACTTTTAAAGCATCGTGGTTTTAATATTCTCCTTATTCAGCGATCGTCACATTCCACTTCCTCCTGGGAAAAGGGAACACGTGAATACTTGTATTTGCTCCTTATGATGAACTCAAATTAAACACACTTCTATATTTCCTCATTATGACTGCGATATGTGGCCCTCAGTCCCGGCTTATTGTGAATGGTGAAGTAAAGAGTGATGTTGTTAATTTTAGAAACAAAACTAAAATGAATCTCGTAGTTCTGTCCATCTTTTTACTTTTAGATATTAACAGCCGCTCTGTTCTAGTTATCGTGTAAATGATGTGAGGATTCTATTGCGTCTCTCGGCTATTGTACATATTTGTTTCCCTCCAGCATGACGAGTGTCCCTCGCGACGCTTCCTCTCACTCAAATCCTCTTCTTTTGTTTAACTTATTGTGCTACCAACACATGCCATCTTTTGTCTTATCTTCTTATTTGCTTGTTTGTTTTTTCTAAAACCTAAATAAAATGAAAATTAAAGAAGTGATTTAATGTGATTGTTTCTCTTTCTTCCTCACTGCAGCATTTCCCTCCAAAACGACCCGAGAACGGTTCCGTTGTGTTTGTGTGAACTAATAATATGAATGTCTCTGACCACTAAACCAGAGCCAACGGCCTGATAGTGTCAATTAAACAAGAACTTTTAGAGTAACCCTTAAAAATCAGTCGTAACTTTGTGATTTCATTGAGTTAACTGCTCAAAACTGTAAAGCGTCAATATGGAGAATCACCTTTGAGTTGCTCCATTAAATAAGTACTTTGTTTGATTATTTGAGCCGTCGTTTCGCTCACGGGTCTCGTATCAGGAACATAAGACTCCACTCATGCGTCACTGTTACAAACCCTGTCAGAACAAAGTGCGCGTCAAGCAGCAGGCGGCGGCGGCGAGCCTGATGGCCTTTCACTTCCTGTCAGACCTGTGACCCGCGGCGGCGGCGCTCCGGATTCGAGGGGATTCTCTTAATCAGAAGCTCGAACAGCATCACGTCGTTCCGGCGGGTAGAACTTTACTCCGTCATCAGGATGCAGGAAGGATTCCCGTTGCTTTCCTTGATGCTCCTTGAGAGACGGAGGTCTGCGTTCCTCGTTTACATTGACGAGGGAACCCGAGAAGCTTAACGCGTCCGCGCGGGGAGACGGAGATCGGAGAGGAGATCTGGAGAGAGAAACTCATCCGTCGCTGCGAGGAAGGAATTCAGACTCTTTCCAGCTATAAACATTTAGTCCACTTTAAAATAAATGCTTGTGACTGCCGAGGGAACCCGAGCTCGCTTCGCTTGGACTCGAGTCCTTCGGAATCGATCGAGACTCCAAAAGGACTGCAGACGTTTCCTCGCCGAAGGCTTAAGAATCCTACCGTGGATCCTCACGTTAAAAAGCGCGTAATGATGGAACCACGACATGTTACTGGGGCCTCGAACGTTCCCTTCAAAGAACAGCCAGCGGAGCTTCTTTGTGGACGGAGGGAGGCTGTGTTCTGTCTTATTTATGCATGCACATGCGTGTGTATTCTAGTATGTCCTCAACCAGGACAACATGTGTACACAAAGATGCCGTTTGTGTGTAAACATTTCCCTCTCCGGGCCTCTGAAACGTTGCTTTTCGGCCTCGTGGGAGGATGAAGCTTTGATTTCACTCAGTAACTTGTGGTCCGTTCAGCGTCCAATGGAGCGTGAAGCAGGGAACGCTTTAGGGCGGAGCTTGCTGTGATTGACAGGTCTCGTACTGCATTTCCCTGCTGTTCAGCCGTGTAATCCAGTTGTTTCGAAGTCTCTTATTAGAGAGTCTTCTCAGTCACATCTTGAAACCTCGCCGAAGGGTCGATTTCAATAAAACGTGGGATGAAAATCACTTTTTCGAACTTTTCTACCAAACTTACTTCAACAACAATCTGGACTATTTTGATGTTTAGATGAAACATAAGTTATTACAAACATTGTATTACGTAGTGCGTTCTGCCTCGTCAGAGGTCACTTATTGTTTAGTTCCTCTCTCAGTTCATCTAAACTGTGAAATCCCACGAAAACAACACGGAACAGCAGGAGGCCGCGAAGCTATGAGGAAATATAAAGTGCTTGTCAACACGTGTTGACAACATTTCACTTGAGTTTCCAAGTTTGTGCCAATTGTGTCCGAGCGGAACGAAAGCCACATGTCTTCAGACGCTCAGGCACGAACCCGTGAGAGGATCCAGTCAATATTTATTCAATGTGACGTGGTTAAATATGTATAGAATGTGCATTGTGCGTGATGTATGGAGGTGGGGGTGGGACCAAGTCGGACTCTTATTTTGACAGTAAACCGGGGAACCAATCACAGCAAGCCCTCTAATACAAGAGAAAACGGATGTCTTCAACTTCTCTTCCACTTCTTCTGATTCTGCCCTTTTGACTCTTTTTTAAAAGACACAACTGCAGCGCACACACACACACACACACACACACACTTCACCCCCCCTCTCCACCTGGACAAAGCCCCCATTTACAAACAGCGACGTGTTTCAGCGGATTCCATAGCGACTGCATGAAGAACCCCACTGGCCTTCTTTCTGCCTCTTTGTGTCTTTCATCCTTCCCGGACGTCTTTAACCGAGTGAAAAGGCTTTTATTCCTCGAGGTGCGACCTCGTGAAGCCGCCTGGCGGGCGATACGACAGTCTGAGAGCACGAGTACGGAGCGAGAGACGCGTAACTTTGTTTGTGGTTCGGACTGAACAGTTTGAATCTCATAACTAAAGAACTGCTGCTTTTAGCTATTAGGCCGGAAGCCTGAGACCTGCGAGTCACGACCAACGTGCCGCTAAAATCCACATAAAACGCAGTAGTCACACCTTTGAACAAACACTATTAAATATAACTTGAACTGATAAGAGAAGATAAGAGCACATTCATCTTCACGGTTCTGCAGGACATGATGCAGAGAAGCTCAACTTTTAGTTCCTACTTAACGTTCCAATTCCTTTGGAGGAATGTAACCACGTGGTTAAACACAACGATTCGCTTCTCCTGCCTAAACCTTCAAGCCAGAGCTGCTCAGTTGCCTGAACATAAGCAGAGAAACACAACTTCTAATGGACGACGATGTCGAAGTGACGACATGTTGTGTTCTCGGCCTTCAGGCCAAAGAAACTCTTATTGTTCTTTTAAGATATGACGAAGGTAGATAAATGAATGCACTTGCAGATTAAGTGTTTCCATTGGATTGTTTCTGGTTCAATTACCTGTTTTTCCTCGGGATCGATTTACACTAAAACCAGGAAAAATAAATACCAAAAACCGAATGAAAAAGTCTGGTTTTCAAGTTCATAAAAAGAAGTACCAACAGCATGCGCTCACACACACACACACACACACACACACACACACCCTGTGTAAATGATAGGGATTGTGTAATTATAGTTGTGTTAATATGACATAATGTTCGATCCACCCACAGATGTGCGGGGGTTTACACACCGCCCAGATGAAAGCCTGCTGCTTCAGCCCGTCACGAGCTAACGTGATCTCATCTCCACATTCAGACCTATGACTCAAACCTGGAGCTTAAAAGATTTCTCCTTCTTCTTCCTCCAATTCAGCACATTAAGTTCAGCCGGAAAACTCCATTCACTTTGATCTAAAAAAGAGCAAAATCAAAAGCTTTGAAACATGAAAAAGTGTCTTTAAGTTGCATTCTATGTAGTGACCAGCAGGGGGCGACTCCTCTGCTCCCATAGACGTCTATGAGGAAATGACTCTACTTCTGTGTAGTGACCAGCAGGGGGCGACTCCTCTGCTCCCATAGACGTCTATGAGAAAATGACTCTACTTCTCTGTAGTGACCAGCAGGGGGCGACTCCTCTGCTCCCATAGACGTCTATGAGGAAATGACTCTACTTCTCTGTAGTGACCAGCAGGGGGCGACTCCTCTGCTCCCATAGACGTCTATGAGGAAATGACTCCACTTCTCTGTAGTGACCAGCAGGGGGCGACTCCTCTGCTCCCATAGACGTCTATGAGGAAATGACTCTACTTCTCTCTGGATTTATTCCCTCAGTAAACGTTGTAAACATGAGTTTATGGTCTCAGTCTCTAGTTTCAAGTCTCCTTCAACACAGCATGATGTTCATTTAGTGAATTATGGTCCATTAAGACTATAAAGCAGGTTGCTTTAGGGCGGGACTTACTGTGATTGACATGTCTCTATCAGAGTATTGTAGTTCGACCTCAGCGGTCGTGATCCAAAATGGCGACGGTAAAGTTGCCAAACTCGAGGCTCCGTAACATCTGTCCACAAACCAATGGGTGACGCCTCGATTACTGAGCTTGAACAACAGACGTAGCTTTTATGTTTTCATTTGTTTATTTTAATTCGAGTAAGCGAGCATCTCCATGTTGATTAAACCATTTGGGTTTGAACTCGGATTTACTGAAGAGAGATTCATTTTTAAATTAATTTTAAAAAATCCCGTTTTAACCGAGTTTTGCACAACTGTGTTCGGAACTAATCCAAGATAAAGTTTATCCTTGTTGGTGCCAAAACAAAAACATAAATCTTTACAGGATGTCACATGTTCTCTGAGGGAAACGAAAAGCCCACTATTGTTTTTCACTGTGTTGCCCCGAGGAGCTGGCAGCCGCCCAGCCTCAAGAGGTCCATTAATATTGATTACTATCAGGGCAGAGGTTCTACGTTACCTTATGGGAATGTTATTTCAGAGGCCGTCCGCCTCACCAAGACAAATATCTCAACAGCCTCTTGTTTCTCTGAAAGGTACCGACGGCTTCAAGTTGAAACTTCCGATGCCGAGAGAGGACGAAGACGATAATAACAATGATCCTGGCGAAATCCACGCGAGCTGCGAGCTCTCGGTTTGAACCGTGGAGTCAGATCTCAGACGTGGAGGAACCGGAGTCGGATCTGTGGTCCAGATGCTGAAAGCTTCAAGCTCGTTGGCTCCTTGAAGAAGAGGAACAAAGTCTCTCCCAACCCTTCGAACGCGTTGATTTATTAGGAAAACGTCGCACTTTGTAAGGCCGAGGGGAGGATGACATGCATGAGATCTCTTGGATTCATTTAAGGAACTGAGTGCGGCGCTGTCCGTCACAGGCCGGTCCGATCGGATCTGTTAAGTGGTTCTCCCCTCATCCTCTGTCCAACATCTTCATCACCTGGATGGACCTTCATATGCAGCATTTACATGTAATTATTTCCACATAAAGTCAATTTAAAACCAAAAGAACGCAGGAGTTCAAAAGTTCCAGAAGGTGAAAATAAATCTTCTATGTTGTGTTTCTGTACATTTGACTTAATCTGGTTTACCAGCCAGAACAGTCCCTTCAATATACCCTGTTTGGGTTACTGAGAATGGAGTTATGAACTATATGTAGTAAAAAAGGGAGCTTATGTGACAAAAGGAAAACAAACTTGTGGATTTCTCATGGACCTCCAAAGAGATCACGCAGTTTATTGAAAGCCACAGACATTGGTGCAATTACGGAGGAATTAGAGAGAAATTGTTCAATGATTGAGCCGCTGACTGAACTGTGAGAAAAGCAGAACAGGAAGATTAAAACATTCCTGGTTGGTTTGGCTTTCTAGAAAGAAGACAATCACAACAAGTTGAGGTCCATAATGGAGCAGAAAAATGCCCCAATGGCCCCAAAAACCGACAACAATGATGTGAGCGGTCTGCTGGATAAAACCAGACAACGCCTCATGAAAAGAGGCCCTGTGGCTGTGGGGGGGGGGGGGACGTTTAAATCGTCACCCTCACGTGATGATGTCACAACGCAGACTGGACTTCATTCGTTGTCGTCGCCATAAAGTTTACATCACGCTGCTGTTGCCTCGTGCTTTCGATCTGTGCAGAGAATAAACGCGTGTAAAGTCAACTTTCCCGCCTTGCGGTACTTTGGTGGCCCGTGTGACTTCCCATCATGCATCTCTCTCGCTACCGGCCCGCCTGTCAAAGCCACCGCAGTTTGTTTGCTCGGCGTTTCCATGGTTTCCACCGTCACTGGCTTAGAGCGTGTGTGTGAGTGTTGACTTACATGCGCATGTTTTGGGTGTATGTCTGGTTTTGTTTTCCCAAATGACACAATACGTCCCTGCAGGTTCTTGAATTAAAGTGTTTTTTTTGGGGGGGGGGGGGGGGTTGGGGGGTCGGTAGAGACGACACACTGGAGCTTTTGTGTTCTAAACTGACACGAATGTTTACTTGACCGTTTTGTTCATTTGCAAACTCGAGCCAGGCAACGACCGTAAAAACGTCGTGATGGTGGCGAAGCTCCGAGTTGTTTCTCAACCGGATTAATTACATCATTCTGTCGAATAATGTCCTCGCATCCCCTTTCCCACCCCCACAACGCCGAGTGCCTCCGAGCCTGCCAGGTCATGTGGTCTCCTTCACTGACCGGGGGAGCCTTTTGTGGGCGATAAGGGGCCTCATTGTGTGGGTGACCCTCAAATTCCAAAAAGCGCCACTTTAACGGCAGCGTCCGCCGACCTTGACCTCGGCTTTATCTCACTTCCAGCTGGGGGGGGGGGGGGGGGACCGGCGGCGTGTGAGGCGCTGGCTCTGTTTTCATTGGCGGGGAGGTTTCTGATGAGGAAACCGCACATCGCCGGCGGCGTCTGCCGACCAGGTGACCTGGACTTGACCCTGTGACGTCACTCGGGCGAGATCGGCCAATCGGGCGTCGGCGGGGATCGGTTTCCACAGTAACAGAAAAAACAACAAGGGTGACCCCCGAGAAGCTGCGCCTTTTAACCGGTGCGCCCACCATTGTTTCTACAGCAGCATGGAAACAACTTTCTAACTAATATCATTATAATACGTCATTCTAATATAATATGGGGGGGGGGCATGGAAAGAGACAGAGAGGGAAGCCGGCGGAGTCTTGATCCCCCCCCCCCCCCTCCCCCCCTGCTGGCGTTTGACTTTAACTGTTGAGAGGTTCCCTCTTTGTTATTCTGCTCATAAACCCTGTGCATTAAGAGATTAGACACATTCTCAGACTAAGGGTCATTGTATTCATTTTGTTGTGTCCTATAGCCGCTAAATGTGGGCTAAGCTACGCGTGGTGTGCCCCCCCCCCCCCCCCCTCGTCATCGACCTGCGTGAGACGACGCCACAGCTGAGGAGCAGCAGCAGACGAACCAAACTAAACAGACTCATTCTGGAAATGAAGCCAACTCGTCGGGGCTGCAGTTGTAACCCAATTACTCCCAGGCCCACATGTTCTCAAAGCTGCTTCTTTCTCCTGCCTTCCCCCATTAAAACGCAGGCTGGCAGAGAGAGAGTGTTATTCCAGATGACCCGGAAGTCGGTCTCTAATGTTGTGGCTGCGCGCCGGCAGATATCGCAGTGTGCCGTTGATGGAACGTCAGAAGATGTCGTTTTTAATATGAACCTTCGCTGGAAATCCACCACGGCCGATATGAAGGCCTTCAATTTACAGCGATGAAGGTGGGGGGGGGAAGGGGAGTGATATTCACAGACGTAAAAGCGTGTCTGGAATTGTTTTTCCCGTTCTCTTTATCATTTTAATGAAAAACTGATCTTTTAGAAGCAGACTGAAGACCTCGGACGTCCAGAGGTGGAAGGATGCGGTTTGTGTTAACGATGTGTGAGAGAGAAGTGGCTGCAAGGCACCGCGTCAAGAGGACGTCCACGTCCTAACGCCCTACACTCCGTCGAGACCCCCCTGCCCCCCACCCCTCCCTCCGTCTGCACAGAGGGTGCAGACGTGTTGCATTTGTCTGGTGACAACTAACTTTAACACTCATCTAAACGGGTAAATGTTGTATGCATCTTTGCACAATCCCCTTTTGTATTGTCTTGTCTCAATGCAAAGGTTACACGATTTGTCCAAATGCTTTGTGGCGCACGCCATCGTTCCACTGAGGATAACACATAAGAGTGACAGGGATTGTGACACAGAAGCCTTTTGCTGCATGTTGCTGCCACGTTGTGGTCGAGGTGAGAAAACATGACGAGTGTGTTGCTCATTTTAAACAGATGTTGGAATGTAGCGTCCCAGAAAATATAATGATAATATAAGGTAATGATAAGAATAACAGAATCATAATGCTTGTAATAATAAAACTAGTCAATTATTATTCTTGATTATTCAAGAATAATAATCAACATCATCATTATTATGTTTGGTTAATTTTATTTAAATTGCACAAATGTATTATTGAGACAAATACATCATTAATGTTAACCATTAAATGGTGATAATAGCATTTTACTACTGATTTATCATCATTCACATAGTTATCATTATTATACTATTATTACCATACACTTTATTTATTTAGCTCCTTTCATAGATGTTTTGACAGATTCAATTTCTTATTATGAAAAAGTTTTCTGTTCATTTTGTCTTAGTTTAATTAACACCACCTGTGCATACGTAATGCGCCTCCAGGACAAAGAGCCGAAACAGACTGTTTTCTATTTATTCAGCTACTATCGTTCTTCTGTTTTGGTGTCAGAAATATGATTAAATGGACTTTACAAATAAAAGATGTCTCCATTTGTATTCATCTGTGTTTAATTACATTTAAAATGTTTGATTGTTTGTTTGATTTGTTTATTTATCATCTGGTCACAAATGTTTTTAGGTGATGATAAAAACATCAAGGATGGCTAATCATTAACTCCCTGAGACAGAGTAATTATACTACATGTGGTATTGGTACCTGGTTTTCTTCCGCCTCTGAGCGAGACACAAATACTTTTTATGTTTTACTTTGAAGGATTAGGTCCAAGAAAGCCGCCTCGGCAAAAAGGTTCTTTTATTCTGAAGAAATGGGCCCGGAAGTAGTATTTCCTTTGCTGCCGGTCGAGTGTAAGATGTTTTAGTTAATTTAAGCCCCGTTATTTCTTACTTACAAACGTTAGTTAAATCACAGCCCGGAAAGGTTCTTGTGGATGTCCGTGTGATGGTCCGAGATGAGCGTCACTCTGGATATAAGACTGAAAAGAGCGAACAAAGTTTACCATGAAGGGGTAAGTGACGTTAGCCACAGCTAGCTTAACCTAGCGTAGCCAGCTAGCTAACGTTAACTAGCTGCGTGTACGTGCTGTTTGTTTACCGTAAGTTAACTGTCAGTTAAAGGCTGTTTTATTTGACACTTGGCTAGTCCGCTAACGTTAGCTAGTTAGCTAGGAAGGAGGCGTCTCCCTCTGCACACGTGACCAGCAGCTGATAAGCGTGTACTTGTACTATTTGTTTGTTTTTATTCTCTAAAGTTACTAAAACTCCGAGGCAAATATAGTATTTTTGGTACCTCTAAGATTTTGGTTTGATTAGTTGGCTCCACCTTCACAAACAGCAACAGTAACACATCCAATCAGTCATTTGACTCCTGCGTCGTTACGTTATATTAAATAAACACAATTCTAGTACTTTTGGATGCTGATTCATTAACTTCAGGTAAAGTACGATTGCACGACTTTCACTTGTAATAAAGTATGTATACTACTAATACTACAGTCTCTAGTACCTCCGCCTTGCTTTTGTTGCTGCTATAACTACTGCTTTTGTACGTCACATGTTGTTGAAATACTGAGTTACAAGTTCGGCTGCTGCTGTTGATCTATTGCTGCTCAATAGATAAATAATAGAACAGAAACCTAAAATCAAAGGAACCTGTATCCAGATGTTTTTTTTTTTTTTTTTTACAATAACATAAAGAATATCAAATTTTCTTTTGACAGTTTGAGAATAAGACTGAAATCTTGTAAATATTTGGCAGGATGGTTTTTAATCAATTTTGGCTTCGCTTATGAGAAATAAAGCCGAAATCCCTGTTTAGGTCACAGAGTCTCATGGGGGACAGAAGTTGGCGTAACACCGGTCAGATGATGGCGTCTCTCTGGACGCAGTAAAGTGCCGTGTAGTCATTTGCAGCATCGTAGTTCATTATTCATCAGGTTATCGGCCCTAGTTGTCTCCTCATGGCAGCGCTGGTGTGTCGGCAGGAATCGGTGGCCGGCGTCGTCCTGCTGGTGTGTAAGGAGGCCGTGCAGCACCACGGCATCACCCTCAACATGGAGGGGCTGGTCAACCTGCAGCTGAGCTCCAAGAGCGTCGGCGTCTTCGAGGCCTTCTACAACTCTGTCAAGGTGGAAATCAGTCGCACGAAGGACACGGGCTTCTTTACTCATATGTTTCTATTTATTTATCTATTCAGATCCAAACCTCCACAAGTTTCACAGGAAAAATTAATAAAATAATGTTAGCTATAGTTTCAGCTTAAATGATATTTGGGCGATTTTAATATTTAAATTGAATATATTTATTTAAGACTTTACGCTGGGCTCTGAAAACAGGGAATAATGAATTAATTAATTAATTGGAAAGATTATCCATTTTAATTGCTACTTTCATCAGAGATATTTACAGTTGTAGGGATACATTGCGTGAACAGAAGGTTTGACTACATTGAGTCTATGATGACAGTGTGTGGCTGTAAAAAAACATTTATTTGTCTACATTTACTGTATTTAAGTATGAACTGGAGTTGCTTGTACTTTAGTGTTTTATCTAACTTGGCCCAGAGAAATATTATTATGTTTACTCCTCTACATTTGTCTGACAGTTTAACTTACTTTTTTCTATATTTTTACATTACACAACTCATTATTAAAAAGTAATAATAGCATTTATTTTCTTGTAGATGAAGCTGACCAGCAATTCATACGATTGGATCATCATACATAATGACACTGATACCAGCAAACCGCTATCCATTTATTTCATTTTTATTAGCGATCTTTCTTACTTAATACTTCACCTCTGATATGTAGTACAGTGAAAATGTACCTCTGCGATGCAGTACAGCCACATCGATTGTTTATTCACAGCCCATCCAGCTGATCAGCAGTAACGTCGAGGTGGCCAAAGCAGGAAAGATCCCAGCAGGGAAGACGGAGATCCCCTTCGAGTTCCCTCTGAGCACCAAAGGAAACAAAGTTCTGTACGAGACCTACCACGGCGTCTTCGTCAACATCCAGGTCACTGAGTAACCCCCACATGGTCGTGCTACACGTGAGAGTGAGTTGTGGTACACGTGAGAGTGAGTTTGCCCGTCTCTTCTCCTCAATACACCCTCCGCTGTGACATGAAGCGCCCCCTGCTGGCCAAAGACCTGAGCAGGAACTGTGAGTTCATCGTCCACTCTCAGGTGAGGGTCGCACACGTTTCGTTTAGACAAACCAACCTGGGAAATTAAACGAGGCGAGAATGTTCCACGCTTCTTTTTTTGCTCCCATCACACACGTGTCTCTGGTTAAACTCAGATTAGCCACGTTACGCTAACCGGCTGCGCCGTTTGGTTTCCAGCCTCAGAAAGCTAAAGTTGTCCCGACTCCGGTCAACTTCACCATCACGCCGGCAACCCTGCAGAACACACGCGAGGTGACAACAGTGACTATTTGCATTCCTCATATATTAAATACCAGATACGAAGGCCTGTCATTATATTGGAGGAATTTCCTTTCAGAGGAGTTTACTGCCAAAGTTTCTGGTCCGAGGCCATTTGGACGCCACCAGCTGTGTGATCAGCCGGCCGCTGAGCGGCGAGCTGGTGGTGGAGAACTCGGAGGTCCCCATCAAGAGCATCGAGCTGCAGCTCGTGAGGGTGGAGACCTGCGGTGAGTTCTCCATCGGATGGTCAGTCGTTCGCTCTGGTTCCCTCTCGGGCTGAGTGTGTGTGTGTGTGTGTGTGTGTGTGTGTTTGTTCCAGGTTGTGCGGAAGGTTATGCCAGGGACGCCACAGAGATCCAGAACATCCAGATCGCTGAAGGCGACGTCTGCCACGGCCTCCCGATTCCCGTCTACATGGTTTTCCCTCGGCTGTTCACCTGCCCCACGCTGGAGACCACCAACTTCAAAGTGGGTCAGTGACTCTCTGGTTCTACTGGTTCTACTGGTTCTACTGGTTTCCCCGTCTGCAGACCGACATCAGAGCAGGCTGCTGCTAAAGAATACACACACGTCGACAGGTTCTCCCAGCCGGACCAACTCCGAGCTCATCCTGTGTGACTAAGTTAAACATCAGGAGATTTAACCAGAAACAGTTTATTCTAAATGTGTCATTTAGAATAAACTGTTTATTTCAAACTAATTCTGTAAAAAAATATTTACATTCTGTGCTCCTTCAGTCATGATTTACTCATCAGACAGTCATGTGACCAGAGCGCAGTGAAGGTCGGTCGCTCTTGTGGTAACAGGAAGAACTGGAAAAACTGTTTGATGTTGATGTTTTTAACGAGTTCTGGTATTAAAACTTTGACTGCATAAAAGGCGTTAAGTTCTCTCTGCTTCTAGTTATGGAGGTAAAAGACTTTAAAAATAAAATAAAACATGAAGGATGACGAATCATTATAAGAAAGCAGAACATCTTCCTGAGACAAAGTAATTATACTACATGTGGTATTGGTACCTGATTTTCTTCCACTCCTGCGGCGAGACACAAATACTTTTTATGTTTTACTTTGAAGGATTAGGAAAGCCATCTTGGAAAAAAAAAGTGCTTTTATTCTGAAGAAATGGGCCAGGAAGTGGTATTTCTTTTGCTGCAGGTCAAGTGTAAGATGTTTTAGTTCATTTAAGCCCCGTTATTTCTAACTTCTTCTATAAACGTTAGTTAAATCACAGCCTAAAATATAAAGTCTCTTTAGGTTCAGAAGGTTTAAGAAGTCCGTGTTTGAAGAAATACTCAATCATTTACCACAAAACCACCAGAATGTACTTTAAGCTGAAGCTCATTTTAAAACTGCTCAATATAATAAACGTTGTCTGTAGTATTAAGTATTTAAAATTGATGGGTCAATTAAGTGAGAGATGGGTTTAAAATGTTTCCAATACATTTTGCGAGGTGTCATATGGTGACATTGCACAACTTAACATTTGTTTCAATGGTTCAACGTTGTTCTTTCAGAGTTCGAAGTCAACGTGGTGATCGTGCTGCATGACGATCACCTGATCACAGAGAACTTCCCACTGAAGCTCTGCAGAGTCTGAGGTCCTGCAGCTCTGTGACCCAACGGTTCCTCTGATGATCAAACGCGACTTCACCGTCTTCAATGTTTGACTAAGACGTTTTATGTTTTTCAAGTTGTCTTGTTTTGACTGTAGTAACAAGTTTCATTATCCAAAGTCCTTGATAATCACATTGAGGTAGTTTGATCAATATCCTCGTCCACAATTAACTAACTGGATTCTGATTTAGTATTTAATATTAACCAGACATCTTTGCTATTTATCATGTACATGATTCCATGTTGTCTTTTTAAATTGTGTTGTTTTGTTGTTCAGACTAAATGACTTAATGTTTTGTTCATGTAATATTTTGACATGTAAACTTACTTTTTTCTTGGTACTTTTCACATGCACTTGAAACCATGAGTTCATAAATATCCCTTCAGCACTTGTGACCGATGATCAAAGTCAAACTGTAATCTCCATTTTCTTACTTGCTTTATTAAAATAAAAACATTTAAACATAATTCTTAAAAGTTTAATTATTGAGGGCACACTGACTGGTTTAAAGCTTTATTTTCAGAAGGAGGGCGACTGTTGCCGGGCGGATGTTGTGGATGAGCAGACGGGCAGAGAGTGAACGGGCGAGCAGGAGGTCGGGAGTCCAGAACAGCTGACCGGCAGGTGGAGATCTGGATTAAAAATCCATTGTGTAATATTACTGAAACATAGTACGCCATGAGGAAGATCTAAAAAAGTACTTTTAAGACATTAGATGTCATAATACACAGTTGGAGCTGACAGAAGGTACAAATGGCTGCATAGATCACCTGTGGAGAACTTGCTGTAGGTTCCGTTCTCCGGCGTCACGCTGCTCGAGCAGGAAGTCAGACGCCTCTCTCGCCACCTGGAGGCAAACGCGACATTTAGGCTCAGATTCAGAGCTCCTGCAATACTATTTTCCTCTCGTGCCACCATTATTGATCCTGGGGGACGTTTATATACTTGTACTTTAACTGTGAGGTTCACCAGTGAAAGATGAAGATGATGAAGATCAGCACGAGGGAAACCAGGTCGGTGAGAATCCACATCAGGTCGTACTCGTCTGGACTCTGAGAGACAAACCGAGTCAACGTTTACACGACCTCCAAAAGACACCCGACCAGATTTGACTCTCTGCAGTTTTTAACTTCTTTCAAATCAAACTAAGAGGCTTCGTTGCCCGAATAAATCCAAGCCCCCGGCTGCAGCGTTACCATGAGGAAGAGGGGCGACCTCAGGGAGCCCAGCAGCTGGGGGGCGTTGGTGGTGACCGAGTGGACCCCGGAGCACCAGGCCAGAGAGAAGAGCCACGGCTGGCTCACCACGTACAGGTTGGTGGTGATGTTCACCGCGGCGTACTCACTGCACGGGTGGGGGGGGGGGGACGAGAAGTCATGACCTGCTGCAGAAACCAACGGCTGCAGGTGAGGCGGCGGGTTTGATCGTCACCTGGTGAGCCGCGGCGACATGGCGCTGTAGTGCAGGTTGAGGGTGACGATGCCGCTGCTCTGGAGCTCCTCCAGAGGGAACCGACTGCCTGAAGTCTGCTGCAGCTCTGAATCCAGTTCCTGGACCAGAGAGCGCAGATCTGAGGGCACCCACAGCCCCTGGGGGGGGGGGGGGTGGGGGGTGAGTTACACAGCCGCTGTTCTGTTTACACCCGGCCATGTGGAATATTTAGCAACCGTAAGCTGGACAAAAGGCTTTTCTTTAAGTAAGAGTTGTATTAGTATAAAGAGCAACAAAGTGTACAGATTGTGTCGTGCTGAGTTTATACCATGAGAAGTCTTTTGGTTTCTATGATTCCTTTATGATTCCTATATATATATATATATACTGCACTTTGTAACCTTTGTTTTGAAAGGTGGTATATCAATAAAGTTTCTTCATCCTATCTTATTACTTGACTTTGTTTTGCCGCAGGATACAGACGAGGTTTTATATTATCTCGGGACCCGATGAAGGTTCAGCACCTTCATAGAAGTGTTTATCTATATTGTGCATTTCATTATCTAGTTATTTATGGCGGAGCGTCACGGGCGGGTACAAAGAAGACGTGCTCACCTGCGAGGACCGAATGGAGGACTCGTTCTGCACGACCTCCAGCGTGCGTTGGATCCAGCTGTCCCTGAACGGGTGACCTCTGGGCGGCCGGTAGAGGTCAAAGATCACCCGTCTGTCCGTCCGAGCTGCCAGCTGGAGGAAGGCCTGCAGGCTGCAGACCGTCTGCTTTGCCGCCCGCAGCCGGTCCTCCGCCCCCAGGGAGCCGGCCGTACCGAACGGATTGAGCTGCAGGGGACGAACATCGATACCTAATTAGTGTGGTGACATGACGGGCGGGTCAGTGAGTTCATCGGCCAGCTGATGTTGTCGTGTTGCTGTGAGCTTAGTTTATAAAAAAAGAGACAAATCGAAAGCTTCAAAACATGAAAAAAGTCATGTCAAAAGCTGCATTCTCTGTAGTAACCAGCAGGGGGCGACTCCTCTGGTCCCATAGAAGTCTATGAGAAAATGACTCTTGATTTATCCCCTCAGAAAACACTAACAGGACATTATGTTCTCAGTTGTCTGATGTTCAGTTAGTACATTAGGGTCCATTTAGAGCTGGGGGCGATTTATGGGTGTCGTCACGACGACTACGTCCACTTCTAATATGCACGGGACTCACGGAGAGGAACCAGGCGCCGGCGTTCAGGCTCTCCAGCTCCGCCCACGAGAACATGGCCGCCGGAGTGTCCGTCCGGTTGGGGAAGGCCTGGTGCACGTTGGTGGTGCGTCGCAGCGTGTGGTCGTGCATCAGGAACGGGACGCCGTCAACGCTGCAGCCGCGACACGACGACAGCTCGATTTACAGGGTTTATATTTGTTTTATAGGGTTCGTGTAACAGTTGGACCGGTCAAATGGAGATCAATACATGTGATGCAGAGCCTCATCGGTTTACTTAAAAGTCAACAGTGTGCTTCATCAAAAATCTGATCTGATGCTAGCGTGCTAACACGCTAAGCTAAGATGCGGCCCAATGTGCATACCGCTTTGTACTACTACATCTAATGGAATCCCATGACAGATTTATATTTCACTATAATGAACCTAATCAGAGGCCAATAACGTCTCATATATTCACCGCTGACCTGATGGTGACATCCGTCTCCAGACCGTCGCTTCCCGCCTCCACGGCCTTCTCAAACGACATCAGCGTGTTCTCTGGAGCGAGCTGGATTTACAGAATCAATAGATCAATAGATCAATGGGCCATCGGTACATTTACGTGGTTGTGACAGTCAATCAAAGAGCTTTAGTCAAAGTAACTTGTTTTTTATTTTGACTGAAGGTTTAATCCAGAATAATATTGGCAGATTAATCAATGAAAATAAGTGTTGAAGCAGCTGGGATCTTAATTCAGCATGAGACAACTTTGTTTATCTCCAGGAAAAGCAGCTGTTCATCTCGCTGTAAACAAAGTGCGAGGACTGCAAATATGTCGAGTTCACTTCTGTTTTCCATTTCCTTTAGTCTCCTGATCCGGTTTGATTGAGTCTCTCAAAGAGAACGAATCAGCTGATGTTGTTGTTGTTGTTGTGTGCTCACCATGGGGGCTCCTCTGTGGCCGATGAGGGCCGGGGCCGGGCCCAGTGTCCCGTCCTCTTTGATGCAAGGAGAATACAGGCCGAGGGGCAGCAGGTAGAGGGCGGACAGGACGGACAGGTACACGCCCAGGATGAGGCCCCGCCTCCCTGAAACACAAACACTCTCCATCTCAGCTTGTGAAACGTTTGCTGTTTGTGGAGAGTTCACTGATTGGATGAAACTACACACCAGCGGTGCCTCACCTCTGCCGCTCATGCGAAAGAAGTAAAACGCTATCGGCCAGGCCAGCGCCGTCACCAGCAGGACTCCACCCACGTGTAGATACGGCGCAGTCACCTGTTGTCGAGACACAAAACGACGCCTGCCGTCAGGAGGGGAACCCCACACAGGAGGAGGAGGAGGAGGAGGATGAAGAGGAGTCACCTGGAAGGACAGCAGCAGGGTCGTCCACTCTTTACTCCACAGGTCGGAGAGGACGGCCGTGGCCACGACGGAGAACGTCAGACTCACCAGGATCCCGATCTGACGAGAAGGAAACGCGTCATCCATCCAACAATGTCTCACATCTGCTTCACAACAATATAAAGATGCGAGTAACACTCAGCAAATACAATGTAACTAAACGGATGCAAGTGGCACGAAGGAGATGTCATCAAAAAGGTTTTAAGGGGCAGCCGGATGCCATTATGTGATTTTATCCGTCGTCTTTCCAGCTGGCTGCTGCACCACCGGCCCTTTGAGCGTTGTGATGGAACATCTGCCAAAGAGCTGCTGTGACGGCCACTCGGATAAGGAGAAGGTACCTTGTGACTCCAGTGCAAATAGAGCTTCTGACTCTCTGACAGCAAACACACAGCCAGCAGCTGCAAGAAGACACACGCGTCAAAATCAAATGTCTGACGAGCCGCAGAATGAACACATGCAGGATTCCACTGCTGCGTGCACAGAGACATAGAAGAGGACACAATCTCACCACGAGCACCGTGACGTAGGTGAAGAAGCCTGCAGCGATGACCAGCAGCACCACGGACCAAGGGAACCAGAAGCCCAGGTTCCCGAAGTTAAACCTGAGCACAGTCACACGCAACAGTTGGTGAAAGAGGCCGTTAGCGATTTATATCACAATAAAAGTCGACGCGCAGTGATCCTCTAGATTCAGACCAACATTCTCCTAAAGGAATCTTCTCTTTGCAGATCTCATTTGAAGCTATTTGTCGACACGACGTACCAAACATTTATTACTCTCCAACATCATAGCTAATTTAAAAATGTATAGTTATTTATCTGTATATAACGTTTGCATACTGGTGTGACTTTAGGTTCCGAATATTTGAATATGCAGACAGTTGTAGAGACTAAAAGCAAAGTTATACTTAATGTTTGTGCACTTTGACATTGTTAGAACACGCTTCCTGTTGTGTTTTTGGCGTTTCAGCGCATTTATGTACAAATTATACTGATACATTTTTAGTACAGTACACACTTTACAATACACATTAATTAAAATGCATTAATGTTCCCTATTTATACACTTCATTACCTTTTAATATTTGGAATTGTATCATTATAAAATGTGTTTTATCTGAATTTAGATATTCAAAATGTGTATATTTATATTTGTGAATATTCATCTATAAAAACAACAAGCTTTTTTTTTTGACAACTGAAGGAAGCAAAAGTAAACAACTTGGAGACCGTTTATTATCGTGTTATTACAGCGGTGGGATGAAGGTGGGGGGCCGCGGGCGCCGGACATCGTACCAGTCAAAGTCGTTGTAGTCGTTCTCGGCCTGACCCCAGAAGAAGAGGAACACCAGCGTTAAGCAGAAAGCCGCCACGAGCAGAACCAAGCTGGCGCCTTCCAGCTGCGCCGCCGCCAACAACAACACAAACACATGTTTAGTCGCTCTATTGCCTCGTTTCCATGGAGACGGGTGACTGTTCGTTGACCTTCAGGAGAGCGGAATGTAAACAATAAAACAGCCGGGTTGTAAAAATAAAAAAAAGTCTCACTGTGGGTCGTTCTACACGACTTCAGTTCAATGAGGAACTTACAGACTTATTTGTTTATTAATTGTCTCTTTCTGCTTGTTGACTTGATATTGATCGTTGAACTGATGCAAAAGATACTGAACATACAGGATTTTGATTTATTGAATCTATCGTCTTGTTAAGGCCCTAACCAAGTAAGCCCCGCCCCTACAGGTGCAGCCTCGCAGACAGGGGTCACACGTCGGCCGGCCAGGGGGCCCTTGACCTCTGACCTTGTCGCAGCAGCAGTCTCCAGGCCTCGTGCGGCTCCTCTCCCAGCGTCGCCACCGGCAACCGTACAAGCCGGACAGACACGCCACCAGCGGCTGGTGGTCGTAGCGCCGCAGCAGCTTCCCCTGGAGGCCGCGCAGCCGCCCGAACCGCGGCGGGGACAGCGGGGACGCCATGGCTCAGAGACACCTGGGCGGGACTTCCATCCCCACGGAGACACACCTGGGACACAGAGACAACGGCGATGGAGCAAAACGGTTTCACTCCAAAACGCCCTCAGAGGAGCATCGTACCTTCTACTTCAAGTTCATGACAAACGTGTTGAGATTTTAAAAAAAGGTGATGACAAAGCTCAATCAATCAATCAGATCATGATCACAATCAATACAAATGGCAAGAAAATTGATGGATGAATCCATATTCAAATAATTTGTTAGTCTGATGAAAAATAAACTTATGATTAACAATAATGTTATAATCTAAGATAGCACTACAGTCACGGGAGACCTTTTTCTCTGCAGGCAGATTTCTCTTTAAAGTTTATTTTTGTGATTTAATTTCAATGTTTTCACTTTACAATCACAAGTCTCAATTTCAAATTCCCAGCAGGAGTCTTTGGCTTTGTTTCATCGCTCTGGTTAGTTTGTTTTTCCTCCCTGGCAGCAAATAAATAGAAGTTTTTGCTCCCAGAGAAGTAAATCCTCGGATCCAGTTCTTTACTTTTCCGTGAAGGTGTTTTCTATTCGACAGCTCTTATGTAACTCAGGTGTGTTATCTTGGCTGGAGGACAAAGGACAGTCCAGATGTGCGCCTCCGTTAGGGTCAATCAGAAACCAGGTTTCATTGCAATTGACTTAAAGCGTCGTGCTTGGTAATGTCTGCATTAATAAACTGTTCAGAAACATTGTAAGACACTTAATGGAAAGCTTTGTTTTATCACATGTAGCGTAGAAACGGTAAAACATCACATTATTAAGTCAACTGTCCGCATCTTGGGGGAAAGTAAGCTGCCAGATGTGTAACAATTTGCAATGGAGATGCATTTGAATTTAATGGACCTTTAAACAACCCATCACTGCTTAATCGGTAAACACAGAACACAATACAAGATAAACATCCTGTAGAAATGAAGGTCAACTCCTCAAAGACGTCAAACGCTGCATTTATTTTAAACACAATCTGCCAATTTGTATCTGTGGTTTTAGCGTGTGCGTGTGTGTGTGTGCGCGCGCCGAATCATTCGCCAGGCAGCTCAGTGACCAACACGTGGTCCACTTCACTCACAAAGCGAGATCCTAAACAGAAATGGCGTGTTTTTATCATGAAGTCCGGTCAACACTGAACACAAAGGAACGAACGGGACCAAGAGCCTTAAAGCACGAAGCTGAACGCCAGAAGCAGCGACGTCACAACCGGCGTCAAACGTCAACATGTCGCTTATTCTACCTCCTCGTAATCCTCCGGCTCGGTTCTATCTCCCGATAAGCGGCGTGTCGTCGTTCCTCGGGGACCCGATGGAGAGCAGCGGTCCTCGGATGAGGACGTAGCGTGAAGCTAACGCTGTTTAGCATCAACGGGTACCGGAAGCCACAGACGAGCGCCTTCAGAATTAGAGCGAGAGGTTTTCACTTTGCGTCGCGAAATGCCGAGTATTATTTTACACATACAGGAAATTGTCCTCTGCGTTTAACCCCCCCCCCCCCCCCCCACAGTGGGATCGGTGTGCTGCCGTGAAGGCGCTGGGGAGCAGTCAGGGTTAGATGTCTGCTCAGGGACACTTCGACATGGGACATTGAGCAGCCGGGGCTCAAACCACCAACCCTGCTGTTCCCGGCGCACCCGCTCTACTCCATTTGAACGGAAACGTTAATACTATTTGTTTTACGTTATCTAAAGTTGTGATTCTTGATCAAATGTATACGCCTTGATATCTGACAAAATACGATTAAAAATAAAAAGAACCGCCAAAACCTTTTATTCTGAAAATGGTCACGGAAACCAAACTATTGTAGATTCTCCTCCGCTTTACACCAGCTCCTGTTGATGCAGACGCCTCTGTATCCCTGACGGCCACCTGTTGCCCCAATAATGGAAACACACACCAACATCAGGGGGTCTGCGCCAAAGGGGCCTTTTTTTATTCAATCATTATGATGCGAAAGGAAATTCTGTTAATATGTAGACATGTATACTTGCATAGTGCATGCTTTTATAAAGCATTTGGGCTTTGATTTTGTAAAGAACATTTTAGACATTGGAATGGGAAATAGAGAATACTTAAGTTTTATAAAATGTATAAAAAATAAAATCAGGCTTTCTTTGACTGATTTGCTCGTGATCCTTTTGGCCCCTGAAGGCCCATTCAGATACACCCTTCAGGAACGCAATAACTTGATGTAAGCAGTGACCAGTCAGACCAATTCACACTCATCAGTCACACTACGGTTTGTTTAAAGACTGAAGCAGTCATCTAAACTTCCCCTTAAATACAGAGAGAATTCCTCTCAGCAAAACTAAATGAGTGTTCGAAGCGACAGAAAGAAAACATTCAAAGAGAACTTTAACACCAGAATGGATCCTGGTGAAACTTTCAAGCTGATCATTTAAAATGAAGTCCTGGAACATTGGTCAGAAACACATCTGTCGAACGACAAGAGATTATTAATCTTCATGAAATGTCCATATAGAAAAAAGGGTCTCAGGATATCAGAAGTGTCCACAATAAATAAAATGCTCTGATTATACTAGCAGCCATATCAACTGAAGTTCCTTATTAATTATAACTCAATAAAGTTAAAGTACGCCTAGTATCACCTTACTTTTGATGCAAAAACATTTGCAAATTCAAAGTATGCATTACTTTTTACTCCGGTTTTCCCACTTTGACAAAAATATTTGAGCACATGACCTGCAAATAAGGACCGCGCTTTTATTGTGAAAGCGTTTCCGCCTCGCTTCCGGTTTGGCCAGCGCGAGGCTTTGACGCAGCGTGGAGCAACTTTGACGTAACAACAAAAAAACAAAAAAAAGTTGAAGCCCAGCGGACCGCAGCGGTCCGGCGCCACACAACCGGATCCATGAGCGACGCGTACGTCTCCCTGGCGGTTCTGGGGGCCGCGGTGCTGCTCAGCGAGGCGACCCGCGTCGCGGCAGCGCGCCTCCTCTCCGGAGTCCACCGGACGCGCGTCCTGGAGGCGGCGTCCACCTTCCAGCTCTGCTGCTGCACCCACGAACTCAAACTGCTGGGCGAAGCGGCGCCGCTGGCCCCGCCGCTCGGCCTCGCCCTCACCTACGCCGTGACGGTCGTCCACCTGGGGACGTTCCGCGGGGCCACGTGCAGCCCCATCGGGGCCGCGGAGAGCGTCTGCCGCGGGAAGAGCGGCGCCGCGGCCGCCGCCGCCCTCGTCGCCTGCCAGTTTGCGGCTGCGGTCGCCGCGCAGTTTTTCGCCACCGCCGTCTGGTCGCTGGGTCTCTCCGAGGTCCACGTGCGGCACCAGAGGTTCGGGTTCCGGTGCTTCGACCCCCTCGGCGGGACCCTTCGGGAGGCCGCGGCCGTCGAGCTGGGCTGCGCCTTCGCGGTCCAAGCCGCCGCCATGCACGCGGGCGCACTGGACGAGAACCTCCGCGCCCACTTCCTGGCCGCAGTTATTCCCGCGGTGTTTTCCGCAGGTGTGCTGATCCCCTGGGGGGGGGGGGGGCTGATCACCTGGGGGGGTTTTCTTCTCTTTTTGACAAACAGATTCGGCTCATCAAGACGGATCCTACACTAATATATTATTATGTAATCATTTAAAATATAATAAAGATCAATGCAACATTCATTATAAAGTGAAATAAATAACAATTCAATCAAAGACAAAAAAATAATGGCAACAGATCATTTAAAATCTAATTAAAAACTTAAGATTTGTAAAATAAAATATATGACAATACAATTAAAAATGACAGATTTTAAGTAAAATATATAACAAATACTATGGCTTTAAGTAATTGATTCAAATGATTGATTAATGTGTCAATTATTGCACCTCTTTCTGTGAACTGTGTTCACCTTAAATTCGGCTAATCATTCAAACTCTTTACACAAATGAGCCTGTTCATCAAGTCAAAAATGACATGTCGGTTTTTTTCTCGCCGCATTCTCGGAAGATTATCATGTTCGACCTGCTAAACAAAGTGTCAACTGTTCCCTTAGTTGTTGTTGTCCTTAATCTCCCTCCCGTGCAGGTGGAGGTATTTCTGGAGCTGTCTTCAACCCCGTCCTGGCCTTCTCCGTCCAGTTCCCCTGCAGCGGCCACACCTACCCGGAGTACTGCTTCGTCTACTGGCTGGGCCCCGTCTTAGGTGCACGCCGGCGTCGGGCCCGTCGCTCCCAGTCTCTTGTTCAAGTCGTACCCAAAGTGTGACCCCTTGTGTCTTCCCCGTGTGTCCCACTCAGGGGTGGCGAGCTGCGTCCTGCTGTTTGAGAAGGTCGTCCCCTTCCTCTCCGGGAAGACCCCCGTCGCGCCGGACGTCCCCGTCGTCCAGAAGCAGAAGACCCAGTAGCGTCCTCGACGTGAGACGTTTGTGCCTTACGCTTTTAATCCCATGACACCAGCATGCAGTTATTTGCTGTTCTTGTCTGTAAGATGATGCTGTGATTATAGCACGAGGAGGCCTGTGACGTCTGGCCGCTTAAAACAAAGCTCACTTGAATCTATCGGTGCAAATTAACACATAAATGTGCTTCCGCGTCCTAGAATGTGAAACCACAACTTGCCTGAGAATCGTGATGTTTAAAGTTGTGATTTGTGCGCTTTCATTCTGCAATGCAGACACAAGCAGCTGATGGCTCATTAGGCAGAAAACACTGACGCGAACATTTACATTTTATAGCTAACAAACTAAACTGCGTTTTGTTTTTGCAAAAATGTTTTGCGTATAAAATACTGTGGAAAAAGCACATTGCTACAGAAGAAATGTTTCCTGCTGAGTATCTGTGACTCAATCAATACTATACCAAAATGTTTCTGTGGCTCTGAACGTGTAAACAACCTTTTATATTCTTCTGAAGTTTATGGACCAAAGCTTGGAGCTTCTGTTTAGTCTACGTTTCCCATGATGCATCATTATTGACTAATGATCACTTACTAGCTGAAGGGTTGAAAGTAAACTTGTGTAATATTTACATACACTGATCATTTCTCTGTAAACAAGGAGAAAAATAATTTACTTGAATTCTAAATAAATGTCAGGAATGATGATACTGCATTTTATTTATTTTAGGAATGTGATTAAGCTTAACCACTTTTGACTGTCAGTAAAATATATTGTATATTTTCAGAGTGTTGTAATTCAAAAAGGAATTTGTAAAGTCTTACATGAAATATTTTCAATAAAACATGTATTCTAAAAAGAACAAAGTAATGTTTGTCTTATGGATCTCGTTAATCCTTGTTTACTTCATTTCAGATGTTGCTGATTTATTTTAATTTCACTGAAACAATTAAAGACTGAATAATCATCATCCATTATCTCCACAATGAACACAGACTCCTTCGTGGTCCCGAAGGAGAAAAAGCTCCTGCGGAGCGTCGTGCTGGTACTTCGGGCCCTGTGGTGTCCGTTACACAAGCTGACCTTTGACCCTCACCTCCTGCACTCCTTTCCTTCTGCTCGTCACTCTGGAGTGACTCAGCTAAATGTGTTTAACATTCATCACCACAGGAACGTGTGCAGTGACTAATAAAACACCCTTCTCTAGATATGATATGTGTCTGTATTGTCTAATCTAATTCATTTCATTCTGTTTGTGTTTTTATCAGCGCTTTTAGAGCTGTGTTGATCTTGATTTTTATTATGTCCGTGTGCGCTTTTCCCTCATCTGCTGCTTTAATCCTGTGCGTTTCCCCATCCTGATACTAATAAAAGATGATTTTATCTCTTTTTATGAGACGGCCTGCGCCTGCTGGATTAAGGGGAACACGTCAGAGTTTAGCCGAGCCGCTGATGTACGCCGACGACCTCTGCTGGCACGAGGAAGCCTTTAGATCACTACCAAAGTAAAAGTACCGTAACAACTCTCAAGTCATGCAGCAGTTCAAGTATTATCAGCCGAATGTACTTAAAGAATGAAAAGTAGAAGTACATTGGACAGGAACGTCTTCATTCGAACTATCTATGATTCTGGATTAAGATCACTGCTGCTGCAGTACGTAGTGTTCAAGTATATATGTATATACACACATATATATATATATATATATATATATATATATATATATATATATATATATATAGTAATAGATACTCACATCATTCCCAGCATTTTATCATGTTAACATTTGCTAACAAATATAAAATAGTGACAATAGTAAATATACCTCCTACATCTTTTTTGTTATTACTGATATTATATCCCTCCCAATCCAAATACTTTAAGGCTATGATGTAATAATATCATCCTTTACTAATCCATCCAATCAGCGCAATCACTGTGTCATGTTAGCATTTAGCTCAGACAGCTCTGCCTGCCCATTTCAATGTGTCCATTATTCAACATATTGCTACAAATAGATTGCTTGCAAATAAAATGGTCTATTTGAAAATCGATATATTCATTGCACGTGACTGAATGTGTTAATGACATCTGAGAACAGAAAGAAGCACCTTTCCACTATAATTCCTACATCAAAAATCACTAAGACAGGATGACGTGGGGCTGGAGACCGATTTTATTATGACAAATGTACAAGATCATATTCATATGAAATAACAGTAAAGTTAACAAAAACGTAAGGAGCAGACAAAGCACCAACAACCAGTCAACTAGCATCTATACACAGTGGGCAGGGTGTTTCCTCCCAGCTTCATCATGAGGTAAATAGGAAACTAACACTTTTCTCATTGGCACCGACTTGCTCCTTTAATCCCATCGGCCTTTATTTGCTCGGCTCCTCTCTTCTATGCAGGAGAGGAGATAATAATACCTTCTCATTTAAAACATGGTTACACGCGGACGTCCACGTTCCTCGACTGTCGACTCCACCCGCCAGAACACATACCGCTATTATTACAGGTGTAGAATCGGGTTTTCTACGTTCTGTCCAGCTAATCTAAACGCTAAATGTGTGTGTGTGTGTGTGTGTGTGTGCGTGCGTGCATGCTTGGAGGCCAAAGTCGTACTTCTTTTGTCGTGGAGGTCTTGGCCATCGCTGGTTATTTGTAAAACAGCATGATAAATAGAGTGGTTTCTCCTCTGTGAAGACCATGCTGAGACTAATTTACAAAATATGTTACAAACATGTTACAAGCTTGATTTCATCACTTGACTCAGCTGTCCAAGATTATTTTCTAGATAAATCCCGCCCCCCCCTAAGCTTCTGCAACATGCCTTTTATAGGTCAGTGCATGCTTGCCTGTGCAGCTTCGCCGGTAAACCACGAGATGCTGCACGCCGTTCAGCGCTGTTGCAACACCACGCCGGGAGAATCCTTACAAATATGCCAAACGGTTTCTGGTTTTGTGCCGATATTACTTCCCTACAAAAGAAAACCATTAAAAACTCATGCAATCCCGAAGAATTGCCCGATATATTTTTTCCATTATAAAAAAATGCCTCTAAATATATTACAGCAAGAAACTAGAGATATACACAGACTGGTTCCAGCAGAGGTCGTGGAGTCATTGGTTGGTTCTTTTTGTCGATGTTCCCTCATTAAGAAACTGCAGACAGGTTACAGACACAAATTAGTCCAAGTTGGTCATTCTTCACAATCTTGATTTGGTTTCAGGTCTTAAAAGTCTGCATTTTACATCTATTTGACCCCAAAATAAACTCAAGATTATGAAAATAGAGAAGAAAACAAAAGGGGTATTTTGGATCTTAGTGTTTTCTCAGCAACACACTTTAGCAGGTTTTTTAACCTTTCTATAAAGGACAATGTACAAATAAAAAAAATAAGACACTTTACATTTCAAGAGACAACAAATTAAAGTTTAGATATACAAAAAGAAATGCATTAAAAAATAAAAGTCACAAAAGTTAACACAATGTAATAAGGGGGAACTAGACTAAAGCTCATGATTACATGTGTGAACCAGAACAAACACTCAGGATTCCAACGGATGGAAGTTAAACTTGTATGTTTACAATGTACAAAAGCTACGCTATCACTCAACGAATGAAGGTCCGTCGACTTGTTTTTAAATGGGTTATTTGACCAGAATATATAGTCTCATCTAAAGCTCTAACAAATCAGGTTTGAATGGCACAGTGCATAGCTAGCTACTGTTAGCTTAGCATAGTCTGGATAGCTAAAGCAGACAAACAAGCAGAAAGAGGCTCACTTGTAGCTAAGCCAAGCTAAGCTAGGCTAAGCTAAGCTAGCCTGATTCTGCAACAAGTCAAATAAATGATCACTTCTCCCAAAATGGAAAACTATTTTCGGATAAAAACGTACCACCACGATTCAATTAAATGCCCAGAACCTTAAATCATCTGTGGAACAAATTCTTCTTCAAAAATCTTTAAAAGTCATTGAGCAGTGGAATAAAAATGCCTCCACACCTTCCTGCGCTTTGAACTCATTTCATTTTGAAGCAATGAGGAGAGCACAAGATACGATCTGTAGATGATGAAGATGTTAGAAGGAGCTGGTTTGGCAGTACGGAGATAAAAGACGCCGCCGATGAAGGAATTAAGCGTCGGCTGTTTGGTTCCCTCGATGTAGAACAATCCCACAGGGACAGACTGCTGGATCCAGTTCTTTGCTGAGACTCGAGGTCCAGATGACACAAGTTAGAAGGCCAATAAGGAAGTGTGGCTGGCGCGGGGGGGGCGGAGTATGAAGTTAAGCAATATAAAAATACCACAAAGAATGAAACGGTACATTTGTTTTGTTCTCTTTACAAATCCTCGTTATTGCAGACGTAATCCACCAGGTTTGGGATTCCCAACAGGTCGTCCTTCATCCTTGTCCTGCGGCGCCCCCTTCCTGGCCCACCTTGACCGTTTGGGCGCTATGGCAACAGTTGGTGTGGCGCTATGTTTTTGGGGGGTCCTGCGCCGCGGCGGGCTTGCCTGACGGGGCCCTTTAATGAGCTCTGTCCGTTGGTGGGCGGCAGCGCCGCCGCCGCTTTGCAGTCCACCGGGGTCGTTCCTGTCGACTCCTCGTCCGGGGTTCCAGCGGCTTTCTTCTCCTTCGCTTCCTCCTTCTGGTCCTTCCCCTCCTCATCATCATCCTCGTCCTCGCTGTCGTCGGAGTCGATGCGGTTCACGCGTTTTCGGATCGGACGGTCCTCCTCAGACGATTCGTCCGAGTCGTCGTCCGACTCGTCGTCCTCGGAGGCTCTCCGGCGTTTGAGAGCGAGGCGTCTGCGCCGCTGCTGGGATTCGTCCTCCTCGGAGTCGGCTCTCCTCTTCGCCCCGCGGCCCCTGGGCTCCTCCTCGGAGCCTCTGGAGGAACTCGCTGGGGGGAAAAAGAAAACAACGGACGCCATTTAGGTGAAACGAAGCAGAAAGATGGAGGCAAGTTAAAATAAGAGCTGGTGTTCAGCGCTCATCAGCACAAATGACACATTGTGACACCCGCTGAAGGTGTTTGAAGCTTCTTCTGTAGTCATGGATACACAAAACACACCAGAGCATAATGGAAACATGTCAAATGAAAAGCAGCTGCATTTTCATCTTGTGATGTACCAAATAAATGTCAACGAACCATCTCCTTCATGAACAAACATCTGATAGACGAGTCCGGGTCCAAATAGAATCATTTAAAAAAAACAGAACCACTCTGATGACAAATGATCAGCTTTGTTAAGTGCAGATCTGTGTCGCTGTCCGTGGTGCTGAACGCTTTATTTACAAGATTTCTAAACCGGCAGATCAGTTGCGAGGGGACTTCTTTATTGAAAAGAACGCGTCATTCTGTCACACAAGCAGAGGAAACATTAGGTGTGACTGTTCGTCTCCTGACCGTCGCTGTCGGAGCTGTCCGGACGGACCCGGCGCTTCGTCTTGGACGGTCGGGTTTCGTTCTGAGAGCCGCCGGACTCGGACGTTTCGCAGTAGTTGACTCGCTTCTTCTGACTGCGGCGCGAGCGCCGGAAGCTCACGTCCAGGTCGCTGTCGCTGAACTCGCTGGAGCCTTCGGTCACTGGACGCACAAAACCGGACCAACGGACATTTTATGAGACAACTGGAAATAGTATTTGGCTTTTCTGTTCAATAAATTAGTATGTTTAGTAAATAAAAGTAAAATCGTTTTTTTGGGGGGTTTTTTAAGATTGAATTTATTTAATTAAGAATACCTATTTCCTCCTCATCTTCCTCGTCCGTTTCCTCCTCTTCATCATCCGAGTAGCCCCTCGGCCGTCGTCGCTTTCTGGAGCTCCGCCGCCGTTTCAGCGGCTTCCTGCGCCGCGAGGAGGCGTTTCGCCGCTTGCCGTCCCCGTTGCTGCCGCTGTTGTTGGACTCCGACTCGCCTTCGCTCTCGTTTTCCGTCACGACGAACTCCTCCTCCGAGCTGCGTCGGGGGAAAGAGGGACGGAGCGCGTGGACGTGAGTGTCGGATTCCGCGGCGTCCGGTCGTGAGAAAACGCCCTTTGCGAACGTACCTTTCACTGACGCGGAACTCCTCCTCGCTCTCCTCCTCCTCCACCGTGCTGTCGCTGTCCAGGTCGTTGAGGCGCCGGCGCTTCTTCCTGCGCTGCCCGGCGGGGGGGCGGGGCGGGCGCCCGTTCTCTTTGCCCTCGCCCGCCTCCAGGATGGTGGACATGTCCTTCCCTCGGTGTCCGGTGATGTTGGCCATGTCTTTGCCCCGTCCAGCTCCTGTGAAGACAAACCAAAGGATCTTAAAAAAAAGGAAAAAAGTTCAACGTATTTAACGAAGGGAACAGGAGAGAATCGATACTTTCACGGCTTCGTCTATTCTTGCCCCCATTAAAAGGGTTTTTAATCATCGGGGTCGAGGTTGTTTTCCGCTCAGAAGACATTTAGTGAATTATGGTCCATTTAGATTCAGACAGACCATGAGGCAGGGATGCTTTAAGGCGGGGCTTAGTGTGATAGACAACTGCTCCTCTCACCTCCGCCCTCAGCTTCTTTGATGTCTTCCTCGATCGCCTCCTCGATCGCCTCGTCGAATTCATCAAATCTGTGAAATGAACATAAGCAAAGACAATAAACACACGTGTGTGTGTGTGTGTGTTTGCAAACGTTCCATCTCATCACGTTGTTATTCCCTTGTCACCTGTAGCTGATGGATTTCTTGGTCCTCGTTGACCTTCGACCCCAGCTCTTACTCCGCTTCGCTTCTTTCTTCTCCTTGACGATGATCTCGGGCTTCTCCTCCTCCACCTCCCCCTGCAACACGCTCACAGGTAAATACCGGCCGTTTGTTTGGCACGAAAGTACCGATTCACACCAACTACTGACCGAGGGCGCGATGATGTTTTCAAGACTGATTCCAACGTAGATGAGTCGCTCTTTCCTGGAGGAGATTAGACGCAATGAGAAAGCTTCCAATGCCAGTTAGAATGCAAAAGTATTGTGTCTGTATTGTCCATATTGCACCTAAGTCATAATAATTAGCACATGTGTGGGTGTCAGAATGGAAAAAGCTCTTACTGGGAAATTTCCCAATGAAGCGTACGATGATTGAAACTTATTGTGAGCGACTTTAAATCAAAGATTGGAACAAAATAAGGGAAATATAAATGATTAGGGGTAGTAACATTGACACCCGTGCAAAATAGAAAAGAATATCAAAAGGTAGGATAGTGACATCATTATTTTTTAAAGGGGTGATTAGAGTACATATGGATCTGCGATTAAAAAACATCTGGTATGCAAACAGCTGTTCTCTGGGCACCAACGTCTCACCGTCTCTCGGCGCGCTCCTTCTTCTTCAAAGCGGCGTCCAGGTTCGTGAGCTGCTCGTCCAACTTGTCGCAGAGCAGCTTCTGCGGGGGGGGGGGGGGGGGGACGGCGAGGACGTCAGGACACATTCCATTCACGCACACATTTGTTCACGTACGTTTGATGTGACCTTTGACATGCGTGCGTACGTGTTGACAGGGCGGACAGAACCACTCTCCGTCGGGGATGATCATGAGCGGAGGCCGCAGGCAGGCGGTGTGGTACCCGCTGTCACACGAGTCACACAGCAGGATCTGGAGGATTCAAAGAGGAAACCACCGACTTCACCAACGGGGGGATTTGACACATTTTGTATCGTTAGCTGAACATCGTTTTAAACTAAATAAATGATAAATAGATATTTAACAGTGTCAGGGATGGACAAACGGTTTCCAGATTCTACAATTAATCAATGGGGAACTTTACCGGTAGATTATTGATGATTACGGTTGTAAAACCTACTGAACCAATCACAGAGTCCGACTCCCCTCATCAGCCTCACTACCATTATTAGCCAATGAGAGACAAGCAAAGCCGTGAGAACCCACCAGCTCGGGCTGATTCGGGAGGCCGCAGTGTTTGCAGGGGTCGTCGTTGGGGGGCAGGTCGTCGTCAGAGGACGTGGAGGAGGCGGAGCTTCGTCTCTCTCGGTTGCGGCTCCGCCTCTTCCTGCTCCGCTCCACCTTGTAGTCTTCGTCGCTGTCGTCCTCGCTCTCCTCCTCGTCCTCGTCCTCGCTGGACTCCTCGTCGCTGTTGTCGTCTTCGGAGCCTTTCTTTTTGCGGCGGGACCGCGTGTTGGACCACCGGACCCTCCGCCTCTTCCTCCCCTTAGAGACGGACACAGAGGACGGCTCAGGAAATGAGCTCCCGATGTGAAACATCAAACAGAGACGTAAAGCGCAGTGAGACACGTTACCTTTGGTTTGGGCCGATCCTCCTGGTCCACCTTCTTCTCTCTGGGATTCTTCTGTACAGCTTTCCCTTCCTCCTCTTCCTCCTCCTCCAACAACAACAACTTCTCTTTCTCGGCCTCGTCGTCTCCGTCCTTCTCGGCCGCGGGTTTCTCCGCCTTCCTGTCGTGGACCTCCACCGCCTTGGCCGTGGGCCTGGAGATCCTCACGGACCTTCGGAGACACCTCCCCGCGGCGGGGACGGACTCGGAGTCCGCTCGGATCTCGTCCCTCTGGAGCTGGGCTTTCCTCCGGTGGCCTCTGGGATTGAACGTGCGGGATGTCGGCCTCCCGCCGTTGGCCAACTCTTTCTTTGCCGACGCCTCGTCTCGGCTCTCGCTTTTAGGGCCGCCGTCCTCGCCGGGTTCTCTGTCCGGGCCGACGTCTTTCTCAAGTGGGTCCAGTTCTTTGCCGGCGGTTTGGGGAGCAGATTCCTGCGGTTTGGTCGAGGCTTCAGTTCCACTACGAGCTCCTTCCTGCTCTTTGCTTTCTACCTTTGTGTCCTTTGTCTTCTCAATATTTGTGTCCTTTTCTTTGTCAGTGTCATTTTCCTTCTCGGTGTCAGTGTCCTTTTTCTTTTCAATGTTTGTGTCCTTTTTCTGGTCAGTGTCCTTTTTCTTTTCAATATTTGTGTCCTTTTCCTTGTCAGTGACTGTGTCCCTTTTTTTGTCAGTGTCCTTTTGCTTTTCAATATTTGTGTCCTTTTTCTTCTCAGTGTCCTTTTTATTTTCAATGTTTGTGTCCTTTTTAGTTTCCTTATCTGTGTCCTTTTTCTTTTCAACGTCTGTGACCTTCCTTTCATTGTCCGTCTTGGCGTCGGTGTCTTTTTTTGTTTCCTTGTCTACGTTCTTCTCTGTATCCTTTTTCATCTCGTCTGTGTCCCTCTTTTCCTTGTCTGTGTCCTTTTTACTCGCCGATGGACGCTCTGCCTCGGTTTTGTCCACTCGCTGTCCCATGTGGCATCGTTCAGCTCCTTGAGAGGTGGTTTTGTCCTCCACAGAGCTGGATGGCTTATCTTTCCCCCCAGAAGCGTCCTTCCTCTTTCGTGCAGCGGAGTCCCCCTCAGCTTTGTCCTCTTCTCGAGCCTTTGGATGGTGTCCTACTGCTTTCACGTCCCCGGCGGTAAGCGTGGTGTCGCTCTTCTTGGAGTCGTCGCGTATCGTACCGTTGTCTCGGCCGCCCGTCTTCTTCCCCTCTTCGGAGTTTTTACTCGTCTCCGTGTCTCCAGAGGCTGCGCCGGCGTCCCCCTCCGTCTTTGTCTCTGCATCGGGCCGCTGTGCAGGTTTACACGATGCGGCGAACTGTTTAATGACAGAGGACCCGACGGCGTCTCCAGCGGTGGACCGTCCTCCCGACGTCTCTCTGGTTGCTGGTCCCGCCGTCTTTTTAATGACAGACGCTGCGTCAGGACATTTCTTTGGAGCGTCTCTGTCTCCGCTCTCAGTTGCTTGGAGGACTCCCGGCGTCGTGGATTTCTGCAAGTCGGTCTCGCACGCCGTCGTTCCTCTCGTCGGAGACGCCTCCTTTAACTCGGAACCCTCCGACTCGACTTCTTTGCGTCTTCCCGACTCTCCGGTTTTCGTCTCACAAGACTCTTTTGTGGTGTCCTCTACTTTTTCTCGCTCGTCCCGATCAGACGGCGTCTCTGGTGCATTGTCTACGTCTCTGGTCTCTGTAGGACACTCGGTCTTTCCTTTTGGCGCGTTGCCTTCTGGCACATTCGGGTGCTTCTCGCCCGAGTCTTCTCTGTTGGGTACGAGCGCCTCCTCGCTGCAATCTTGCCCCTCCCCCTGCCCCTCCCCCTGGTCCGGCAGGGCGCCGTCCCTCCGTAGCCGCTCGGCAGATTCACCGGCTTCAGTGGCGAGCTCCTTCAGCGCCGGGCGTCCCCGGAGGACTTTCTCTGGTCCAGGCAGAACTTCCCCGTTCACAGTCAGAACCGGCGGCGCACTGGTCTGCTCGGGGGCGGGGTCCGCGGTGGGGGCGGGGTCTGTTTTGGAGGAGGGGTCTGCTGTGGAGGTGGTGTCTGTTGTGGGGGAGGGGTCTACTGTGGGGGAGGGGTCCATTGTGGGGGCGGGGTCTATTTTGGAGGAGGGGTCTGCTGTGGATGTGGGGTCCGTTGTGGGGGCGGGGTCTGCTGTGGAGGAGGGGTCTGTTGTGGAGGAGGGGTCTGCTGAGGGGGCGGGGTCTGTTGTGGAGGAGGGGTCTGTTGTGGGGGCGGGGTCGTTGTGGAGGAGGGTCTGCTGTGGAGGTGGGGTCTGTTGTGGGGGCGGGGTCTGCTGTGGGGGCGGGGTCTGCTGTGGGGGCGGGGTCTGCTGTGGGGGCTTCTCTGAGCGGAGGGACCAGCGGGTTTTGCACGATGATGCCGCTGCTCTTTTCGAAGTCTTCGCTGTACTTCATCCCCCTCTTCTTCAGGGGGATCTTGGCCTGCTGGTCGTCCTTCAGCGCTTGCTGAACCTCCTCCGCGCTGCTCTTTTTCGCCTCGCCGGCCTTCTCCGCCTTCACGGGGACGCGCGGCGCCTCGGCGGCAGGTTCGCTGGCGTTACCGCCACACGCCTCCATCGGCTCCTCTTTGATGCTCCGGCTCTTGGTGCTGACATCGAGATCTCCTGAGGACTTTTCCGCATGGACCTCTGCTGGACCGCTGCCTTCAGCAACGCCGTTCAGAGACAATTTGGTGTCGGAGGCTTCCGTTTTCAAGTCGTCTTTCTCCGTCTCTTTCTCATCGTTCTCCATCTTTGGGGAGACGGGACGGGCGGCCTTGGTGGAGTCTTTGCTGTCGTCGTCGGACGTGTCCTCGAGCTTTTTAACTTCACCTGCAACGCACACATGGAAAGAAATCACACGGCTGCCGACTGGGTGGCCGCTCTGCGTGTGGATGTTCCTCAGGAAGCGAGCTGGTTGGATTGTTCTGCTTTGTGGTTCAGAGATCTGATATAAAGGCACCGGGATTCACTCGCCTTGTCTCCAAATAAAGACCTTTGATTCCAGAGAAATAGTCTAACACAGAAAAATATATTATTATTTTTGGTTTGTAGCTTTTTTTGCAGTCGAGTCGATCGTGTTTTAACCACAGTTGCATGTTTCTTTTTTGTTAATCATGAAACAGTAGTAGTTTAAATCTAATTATAAATACATAAAAACCCAAATGCAAGTTGAGCGTCTTCTCCTCACCCTCGGGTTTGTTTTCTTGGTCTCTTTTTAACAGCTCGGGGTCAATTTGCGTCTTCAGCAGAGCCACTACCTCGGCCAGGTCGTTTCTATCTCTGCAGGAGGAAAACAGGAGAAACAAAACCATTTACGTCCCCACACACACATCGAGCTTCATGTGCGGCGCAGCACGCGACCCCTCGGCGCTCACTTGACGATGCATTTCCACGAGGACCCGTCCAGGTCGTCCTGCTCCTCCAGGTAGACGCGCACGTTGTCCTCCTGGTCCAGCTGGAACCAGTACATCTGACCGTCTTTGTCCCGGCCGATGGGCTGCAGCCGCATCTTCTCCGGGTCCTCGTCGTTGATGGCCGTTTTGAACTTGACATTTTCGTCAAACTGACACTCGCACAAATACTGGAGGAGGAAGGAACATGTTTAAAAATACACACAATGTGTACGACAGGGAAGGAGTAGACACGGAACACAGAATACGGCTGCACATGTCCAACGGATGCTTCTAAATTTATACCTCATATCTTAAAAGTGGGATATTAGTTTGAATGTCTCAGATCCATTTCTTACTGAAATAAGATAAAATGTGTCCTTTGGATAAAGCGTTCTCACCTTAAGGATCCCCGTCTTGCACTCGCTCGTCAGCTCCTGGTACCCGTTCTGCTCGAGCTCCCACGCCCACGTGGTGTTGAACTCCTGACATACCTGCATACACAACATCCACAATCATTCTACCATTCCCAGCTTCAGGTATTCATACATTAATGAATATCACATTCCTACAAATATATCTCTCAAAGGCGTTGGTTTACCTTCACTAAGTACTTCTCCCATCGGTCTGCTGACACAGACTTGCCGATCTTCCTCAGCAGCTTCACGTGGAGATCGACCAGCAGCTTCGGGACTGAGGGGTCACAGAGACGTGGAGGTTAATCACACAGCGTCCCGAAAGGAAACGTGGCGTGTTCCATGATGATACATGACCGTAAACTGTAAACCCAGACGAGGACCCTTTTGGTCAGTTACACATTCACGTATTCGATAATTGAGTCAATAATAGAGTTTATGGATTTAAAACGGCAAAGAATGAACAGCAGGTCGTCAGATCTTTCGAATGCCTTATTGTGATCGAGTAGAGGACTAAAGTCTCCACAGAACGATCTAAAAATAAAAGTTCCACCGGCTGGATTTAACGTACGACTCTGACAAGTTGGTGTAAATATGGGCTTTAAAAGGACAAATTATTATCATTAGTCTGACATTGTGCTCAACAATAGAAACAATATTTACCAAACGGTTATAAATATTGATTTAAAGTGTAATACTTCTCCAGAACGGCCACTGAAAAAAAAATGCTGTTGGAATGTCGAGCTCAACAGTCAATAATAATAAATAATGTTACAAGGCGTTAAAACATTAAGTGCAAGTTACATACAAACCTAAACATTTTGAACCGATCACAAAAAGAGTCCTTCAACAATGTGTTTGTACAAAAGTTATATTTTAAACAAGAGGGCAGTTTGATTTAAACAGCGTGTATACGGTTATAACAATTAAGGTTGTTCCCTGGATTGGCTTGAAATATAATACCAAAAGTCCAAGAAACATTGAGGATAAAGTGCAACTTCTTTACATGTAAATCGTCTGTAATGTTTTACATTAACCAGTAAAATACATATTTTTAAAACATTAATATGTGTTAGTTTTAATATCCTTGCAACCATATTTTGTTTCTGTGTTCTATGAATACAGTTCTGCCACATCTAATATCGATTTGGTCCTACATATGGAAATGGAATGCCACAGTAATCTAATTAAATGTAATTAAAAAGCCACTTTAAGACTAACATTTCAAACGCAGATTATGTTAAACATTGTTTATTTAAGATACGTACATTTATATAATACAGATCACCTGACTCTATAATTTAATATAGATGATTGCATCTTTATTTTGAAAGCTTCCACCGGATGTCGTAGCCGTTACCGGCAGCATGACGGAAGCTGAGCAAACCACTACATGGCAAAATATTTTAACTGTAAATAAAGTGCACAATCGCTCGCCCGACAGAGATGGTGACGTTCTCACCCATTAATTATCAACCCGCACGACGTGTTGCACGAACAATCGCCGTCTTTGCCGCCTCGCAAACACTATCGCCACACATTTGTGTCTGTGTTACAACGGCAGATAAAGGCTGCCTGGAGAAAAATTAAACCCGATTCAAAAGCTAGAAAAGTGGGAGAAAACCTCGAGTAATTCGGTGGGTTCGCACTTGGATAATCATTTAATGTCGCAGGGACACGTTTTGCACTTCGAGAAACGGCTCTGGGACGCCGTGGACTTTAATTTAAGCAAATGCGAAGGTTAGAAAACCACACAATAACACACAACTAGCTAACGTAGCTGCTAGCCAGCTAGCACGGTATCATTAATGCAGCGGTTGAAGTCTCTCCTCCTCCCCGCTGGCAGCTGGGGGTTTCTCGGGCCTACCGGAGGATGTGTCCTGCAGGGATCGCTCCAGCTGGGGGAAGGTGAGCTCCGGCAAGTCCAACAACGCTCCGTACCTTTCCAGGAAGGAGCAAATCACGGCGTAATTTGGACACAAACCTGGGGAAGAACTCCCCGTTGCCGCCGAAGCAGCCATCTTTTCCACACCAGTGTCAAGCCAGTCGGAATAGAACCCAATACTTCCGGTGTTAACAAAATAAAGCGCTAATCGAAACAAGTTTTCCCCCCCATTTTTTTTTCAAATAGTATTGAAGTCACAGAACTTCATATTGATTGATTGTTTGACTCCATTAAATATATAATGTTATATTCGTGTAGTAAAAGACTCTACAAATGCTAACAAATAGGAATCTATACAAAACTAAATATGTGTTTTGCTATGGATGGAAAACATAACAAATATTTAGAAGAAAAACAAATAATTAACTATATTGGAAATAGTCCACTTAACTGTTGTGAATGTAAATGCTTCATATAATTCTTGAAAGCCCAATTTAAATTCCTGAAACTGGTATTCATGCTAAAAGCAATTGGTCTGGCAATTAACCAAAGGCCGAAACGTTTTAGCATGACACAGCGTGACTTAAACTTGCATATGAACTCAAACCTTCGTGTCTTCACACCAACGTACTTTTCTGCAGATATTTAGTCATTTTGTGATATTGTAAAATGCAGTTTTGACTCTTTTGTATTTTTAATTCTTCACCAATTCTGGTAAATGTTCTCTTGTTATTTAACAAAACATAGATTATTCTATTTATCTATTATTTAGAAACACAGGTTTTCGTTAAGACGACGGCACAATAGAAAGTGGATTTTTCTTCAGAGTTTTTTGTTACTTTTCACCAGAAAAGCTTTATGTTTGTGTGTCTCTGCACCACGTGGGCAGCAGAAGCTTTGTTCTGCGCGCGCCGCCAGCAGAGGTCAGAACCTGCTCACCTAGTGGACTCTATGTCAGGTCCTCCATGGGTATTCATGATCTTCAGCTTCTTTTTATATCATAAAAGATTAACTGTGTTTCTAAGTACGCTGTTTATGTTGTACATTAACTGATTCATTGAGTTCCTAAAATAGTCAGACATGTTTGTCACAAATACCCAGAGCTCAAAACGACAACTTTAGAAAGCTTTTACATTTTAGTAAGACATTTTTTTTAATGATAAAAGAAAAATGAGAAAATCCTTACATTTGAGAAGTTGGGACCATAAAAAAATGACCATAACAGCAACAAATCCTTCTTGATTGAATATCTATTGTTATTACAGCTGAGGCGGTCTAAACGGATGTGTAGTTGAAACACCTTCTTTGAAAAACTCTTCATGTATGTTTTGTCACAAAATTATATTTAACCTGTCAAAGGGAACAAATAGTTTAACAATGCATTGTGTTTTATACTTTCTATCTTTAATCATTTCGCTCTCAGGTGAATGAAGCGTCACTGCTGCTCTGAGTCTGAATTAGTGGCGCGCGATGTTTGCTTTCCGAGGAGAGAATCCAGATGAAAGTACCCGGATCCTCCGCGTCAGAGGCCCAACAGCGCATGCGCACTAGATTTGTTTATTGAGCCACGAATTACAAGTTGTAATTCCACCGTTTGGCCGCTAAAGAGAGTTGGCGAGTCAAACACAGACAGATATGACATGGATGCGGTCTTGTTTCGTTTAAGCTATCTTTATTTCACATTTATTTGTACACAATAAATACAGTTAGACATCCACTGGTGTGTAGATATGAAGCTCAGCAGCATCTGCAGAGCTTCCTTTGTGAAATGTGGGCAGTTTGTCTTAACAAGGAGTCACAACCACAAGCAAGTGACCAACTTCCCTGTGGGGGGGTCTGACGACTAGATTTGTTTTCAATACAACAAGTTAAATGCAAACTTCAAAAATAAGTTTGATGTGATTCAGATCTCAAGGAGATCAATGAGAACACAGCAACATGGCTGACAGATATCTTTCCTCTGATCCAATTCCACTGAGGAGTTACTCGGCCGTTTTTAATTCCAATTCTAAAAAAAAACAAAAAGGAAAAAAAGCTGTGCTATTATTTGTACAGATATCCATCTCCAAGCTCTGTAAACTATCAATATTTCAAAAACAATACGATCAAAAGGTCATTTTCAATCTTAATCAAAGACACTACAACGGCTATTTAAGGCTAAATAACGGAAGAGCAAATAAGAGAAAAAGTATTTATACCAATATAGCTGGTAAACAGGAAATATTGAACAAACAACGTATCCACAATACTGAAAAGGAATAAGAACACATCAAAAAGTGCTTCACTATGACGGTATAGATTTTTTTTCATTTGACAGCTAGCAGCTCAGGATGTTTTCCTCCTCAGAATAAAAGGCATGTTTAAACTGCAAGTTACCTCAATGTAAACTGTCACCAACTGCAACCTTCTCCTCACAAACACCAGCAGCCTCCACTGGCTGAGATGGAAGCCCATCACCGGCAGAAACACGCCAAAAAGATCCTCTAACTCAACTATGACAACGCTCGAATTGCCCCTCAATGTCAGGATTTAACGTTAGAACCATGACATCATAACTAATAACTGAGAAGAACGTTTCTTAGCATTTTGAGGTATTGTGTCAATACAAAACTTGTGTTTTTCATTACTTTTTTTTCAATCACATTAGTGGAAATGGGCCTCCATCACATGACATTAGCGTCATAATAAGATTTCTAGATTTCTATTTTACAACACAAGAGAAAAAGAAGAAGTTAGTCTACGTACGTACGCACTACGTTTCTCCCTTTAGGTTTCTCTTCGCATTCGGTGCAAAGAAAACTAACATAAGAAGCACGGTTTCATAATGGAATCAATCATTATTTAATGAGAACTCTTCTAGGAGCTCCTCCCTACTGACAAAACAATCGCTCCGTTAAAATTGCCACTTTTCCCTTGATAGTGTAGTTCCGTGTGTCGGAGGAGAGGACCCGCCTCCCTGCTGGCTTCGGTTGTTTAGGTTCTGATCGGCTGTGTGGAGAAAACAAACTTGTGGTTCCGTGCTGTCGAGCTGCTGAGACGTCCCGACGAAGGTTTGAGTCGCTGCGCGGGAGTAATCCATCGTGGAAACGAGAGGAGTGATGTAGTGAGACGTAACCGGGTGACATGGTTTCAATCCGTATCAATCCACACAGTGACACTTGAAGAACACGTATTTGAACTGTCAGGATTCTTATTTATGTTGTTCTGCCGTGGATTTATGCGTTTGTGCCGGGTCAACCGTCCACGACAGTATTGGTTTTCTTAATTTGTTAAATTCCCGATCTGTTCGCGATATGCGTTTGTTTGTAGGACGGTTCGTGTCCAGGTAGAAGTTCAGAGAAAGGCCCGACATTCCTCTACAGCACTCGGGGAGAGTCGGAGGCTGACGGGCCGGCGGGTGTCTTCGGCGCATCGAAGGTTCCTTTGGGAAAGTTCCGCCGGCGCCCGACCTCACACCAGCGTGATCTCAACCTCCTCCCTCCGCTTCACCTGCCCGCGGGGATGCTGCTTCGGAGGCGGAGGAGCAGCACGGACCTGAAGACATCGACCAATCGATGGCTCAATTAAAGACGCATCGTATCATCAGCATTTTATCCGAGTATATATTTAAGTTTTTTTGCTCTAATAATTATTATGAATGAAGCAGCATAAACTGTGGCACTGCTTAGCCACAAAGTGTACAATACAACATAACGATATAATAAGCTTAAACAAACATAAAGCACTTTAAAGCTAATTTAACAGATGACGATTCTCTCCGTCTGTTTGTCAGACAGAAGCGCTGAGCTGTGCGTTCACTCACCGGTCGAATGGTGCCGGAGCTGCTTTCTGGGTATTTGGGCGGATGGGCGGAGCCTTGGACTGGACCTGCAGGCAGCACAGTGCACACGCGCACACACACACGCGCACACACACACACACACACACGTTAGCGCCACTCACCTTTACGCGTCGCTCCTTTAAATGCAGACTGACCGTGAGCTCTTACTCTGAAAGGGGCACTTATTCCGAACGGGCTCTTACTCTGAAAGGGGCTCTTGTGCGGTGCCGGCGGCGGCCTGTGGTGTCCGTTGTGATAGGAGGGCGGTCGGCCAATGGGAGACGCCGTGGCGCTGCAGGGACTGGACAGCGGGGAGGACGCGGTGGGCGTCTGCAGGGGGCTGCTGTGGAGGGGGCCCGGCTGGAAGGGACTGCGGGGGGACCGGTCGCACTGAGCCAGAGGGGAGGGCGACGCCTGGAGGAAACCAATCCTCACAGTGACCACGGGCCTCGTCAGCAGGGCCGCATGCACGCCAAACATTTAGATCAGAGCAACTTCCTTGAGGAGACTTTGGCGCGATGCATCGACTCAGAGACACAAGCAGCTTTCAGGGTTTATCATCGATAAACAGAGTCACGCTCGGCACATCGGCGTACCTGCAAGCGTCCGTCTCCGTTCTCACCGGCGAGGTCCTCCACCAGGACGGCGGGGAAAACGCCGACAGCGCCGTTAAACTCCCCCTCCCAGAAGCCGTCGTCCTCGTGGGTCTCTCGGCTCAGGATGCGGATGATGGCGCCTTCGGGAAACGACAGCTCGTCGTCCTTCTGTCCCGCGTAGTCGTAGAGGGCCTTCGCAAATGACACTGAAGCAGAAAAGAAAAGGTCCGGTTGAGAACCCCCCAATCGGACCCAAGTATGGCAGCTCCTCAGAAGCACCCATCGGAGCGGGGCGGCCCTCACCGCTGGCGTCTCCGTTCACCGAGCCGGTCGGCAGGTCGGTCTCCGGCTCCGTGGAGTTGCTGGAGGAATGTGACCGGGCGTCCAGCGTGGCGAGGGCCTGCAGCATGCTGAGCAGGCTGTTGGAGGAGGGGAGCTGCAGGTATTTCTCTGGGACGTAGCCCACCTGCCCGCTGCGGTTCCGGGCCTGGGAACGCAGAAGATAAAATCCTATGAGGAGTTCTGAATAACGAGAGCGGCATCAGAAAGAAGTTCAACACCCCGGGACTTCGTTCAGTGCCCTGTGGTCCGATTTGCTCATACGCTTCCTAAGGGGGGGGAAGCTGCTAAACATCTTCTAGAAACACAAGAGAGACTTAAAACTCTACCTTGACCCAGTCCTCCATGTCTCCATCATCGATGACCTCCAGGATCTCCTGCTCCTCGATAGTCAGTTCATCCGGCTGAGAACTCTGGAAACACGGAAAATGGTCAGAATGCACGGCGGCGACTCAAAACCAGCGATGCGACGCACTGGTCTGCGTCGGCACCTTGTAGGAGTAAAGCACTTTGCAGGTGAGGGGATAGTTCTTCAAAGTACTGGAGGGGCTGGAGCTGCTGTCGTCCAACACTTCCCCGCTGTCCTCCATCTCCTCCTCATCGTCTCGCTCCAGGTCCGCTGTCCCCTGCAGCAACGTGTTTTTTTAGTGAGGCTGCATCCCTCTCAACGGGAACAATGTCAACGCTTGGCCTGTGGGTCTTACAGAGAGCGAAGGATCATGGGTACCGAGGTTGTTCCAGCGCTCGTTCTCCAGCTCCTCCATCACCTGGTTCATTGCGCTCTTCAGCCACGTTTCCACGGCGACGCCCGCCTGCCTCAGCAGGTCCAGACGGGCCTCTGCTTTCACCTTGACCGTCTGCAACATAAAAGCATCCAACGCTTTCAGAACAATATGTCGGTTCACGGTTTTAACCAGCAGGGGGAGCACTCGGGCCACTTCAGTAACAGGACACTGATGGAGCACGAACACACCTCTGCCCTCCGAAGACTCTGCCTCGCCACCTCCATCTTGGTCTCCAGCTCGCAGTTGTTCTGCTCTGATGACTCCTGCGTCCCGTATCCCTCCAGAGCCTAAAAACAAACAACAACAACAAACATAAAATATGTATAAAAACACGGGACGGATATTTGGTGGAGCCAAAGATGGGGGGGTGGAGGGAGAGAGAGAGAGAGAGAGCGAGAGTTATTTCCTGTCTGTTGGGAACAGTTTGATCTTTGTTTACTGGACAAACGTCACCGCTGATGTTTATCGTCTGACTTTCACTTTCACAATAAACACAAAAAAGATAAAAGATTCTAGTTTAGAAGAAAAATATATTTTTGGGTGGTTAACAAATAACTTCCACACATCACATGGTTGGCCGTTTCTTGCGAAATCTCTTACAGAAACCAGTGTTTCCTCACGGTTTACAACTTCAGAGGGGCGTAGTGGGCAAATAGTGCAGCCGGGGGGGTGGGGGGGGAGGGGCACTTGACAAATGAGATTCGATAGACAGAGAACCAAATGAAAGATGCTTTTCAGAGTGGAATCATACATTTACACCTTCTGGTGGATCTGGTGTCTGCAGCTCAATGCTATTTGATAAAAACACTGTTTCTTCTATCAGTTCTTCCTGTTCTGTTGTTTGGCGTTTTGGGAATAAGGTCCGTTTACAACTAGCCGGTCTACGGCGTCGGACTCATCCTCACCCGCTGCGTGTGGATGGCGCTCTTGTATTCTCGGGCCACGCGACTCGCCCACTTCCTCGCCTCCTTGTCCAGACTGTGCTCCTCCGACGTGCCGCTCTCCTTCTGCAGCTGCATCACCTGCGAGAGGAAATACGATGACGCGGTTCAGCAGAGATATCAGAGGTTCACAATATTAAAGGATTTATGATTTAATAAACCGCACTAAAACAAAACTAACATCATTCAAGATTTTAGAAGAAGATGCATTTAATCCGTTATTTGTACTGGTATGTTGTCATTTCCCTGCTATAAAGTCATTGAATAGATATAGTATAGATGTATTAATGCAGCTTTTCAGACCGGGAAACCTGGAACTCTGAGACCCTTTTGAAATAAGAGGTTCTAACACTTCCTGCATATGACCTCACGTAGACACACAGTTCATTCTTTGTGAAATCATGTTTCCAAAATAAAATCTGGCTGAAAGCAGCGACTCACAAGAAAACCTCCAAGAGGACCTTGTGGTTCCCCAAAGGCCCGAAAGAGACTCACCAGTGTAAGTTATGGTTTCACCCTTTCTTTCTTTTTTTTTTAAAAAAGGTGTCAGTGTGGCAACTTCCTCTTTACATATTAAGTGGAACTAGTTTTAAAATAAAAGTGCTGTGTGAAAGAGACATTCACAGGACTGCAGCTGGAATAAAGAATCTACCAGTGTTCATTCAGGGTGAACATCATCGTCATGCAAACATATTCTTCTCGCTTAAATTTATGAACCAGTCCAAACCCAGCTGGCTCTCAACTATGCAAGATAAAAAATAAACACATTTGCACTGAGACACATTGAAGAGCTTCACTCGGTCCAAGAGGGTGAAGCTCAAATAAAAACATCTCATCTCCAATCAAAAGAATGCAACACACAAACCTTTAAAAAACGAGAGAACCTAAATAAGGATTTTCAAATTGAGGGTTGAGGGATTACACTGCTTCTACGAGTGTCTTAAAGCTGCATTCTGTGTAGCGACCAGCAGGGGGGCTTCGTCACCGTGATGTCACCGTGACTACGGCCACTTGGCAAATAAACGTCTGAGGAACATCGGCTACAAAAGACACGTGAGGATCAATAATTCTTCTGTAAATGCAGAGCCGTTATGAGGGCGTCACCGGTGACCGACGAGCCAGAATTCAGAGGAACAGAGAAACCACCAAAGAAAATTATAATTTACCCACTTGAGACCAATGCAAAAGAGATAATGTGATAGAAATATAAGCTATAACAGCAGGAGGGGTAAAACTGCCTGAAATACTAACTTTAAAACTATTACTATTAAATAACATAAGAATTTTAGTGTCATCGACACGCGATGTGGAAAAAGACAACTTCTTTCTTAGATTTGACTTTCTATCCCCCTGAGATTGAAACTAGTCCCTAAAATGTGAGTACGAAGGTTTCCACATGACACCAGCAGTGAGCGCATGGGGAGGGGGGGCGGGGTGGGGTGGGGGGGCGCTTGGGAGGGTCACTGCACTCTGATGAGGCCTCACAATGCCTCCTTTTCACAGATGGGCCGCTCACAGGGCCCGGCCCACCTCCCTCCCTCCCAGTTCAGCTCGGTTGCTTGCCGGATCCCTCTGCCTGGTGCAAGTGGTAAGGGGAGGAGGAGGGGGGGGGGGGGGGTCTCTCCCTTCACCACTAATGTTTTCTTTAGGAACAGGCTGCTGCTTGTTTGACTTCCAACGAAAACAACGCCGGTATTTGCAGTTTGAACAAATTGTCCAGTGTTGTCCACAGGGATGGAGGACGAGGGACGAGGGACGTATTTAATGTTTTATAGAACGCAAAAAAAAAGAGAAGCTATAATCCTGTCGCACTGCACGTCAGCTACCGGAAACAATGAGTACGAGTAATAAAGTCCTGACGGACACTGGTCAAAGTCCATGTCCTGTGCGTGAGGCCGCGCCGGAGTTTCCTTCGTAGTCTCAGTCTCCATCGGGTCAAATTAAAAGTAGACGTCACTTGTTGGGCAGGTCCATCTATTTTTGACCATTCTAACAACACCAGATGTTTTGGCAAATAAATGTTTCCTGGGTTAAATGATGAATGAAGGTTAAAATCGGCATTCAAATGTTTAGAAGGCAGCGGACGGCAGAATAAATAATGTAATGTAAAAACAAACACTTTGATCACCTGAGCTGCTCGTGATCTGTATGTTCAGTGCATAGAAATATTAAAGTGATGATGAGGGTCACACAAGGACAGAAGCTCTGGGAAGCCAGTTTATCACAAGAAACATGCTACGGTTTGAAAAAGACAGGCTTTGCTGGCACCACAGTGAAGTTAACCAAAGAACATCTGCCATTTGCCAGCCGGGTCAGAACAGGCATATAACAACTACTGGATTATATTCATAAACTTCAGACATTCACGTTTTTCTCACCAAAAAGTTGTTAAACCATTTCCGGGTGAGGAATCACTGGCGCTTCTGTTGTATCCGCTCCGATTAAATCTACTTCTAGCGGTGGAAGGTGAGTGTTTACCGTGTCGGAGTCGACGGGCTGGAAGCAGAAGTCCGGCGCCGCCTGGAACACCGGGTTCTTCTCCACAAACTGCTGCTGGTGGAACTCCTGCAGAACCTGTGAGAAGAAGTCGGAGTTGAGCGAGGATACGAACGCAGCGACATGCAGCCTTGTTCACTAAAGAGATCCCGGCCTTTCCTCCATTTAGACCACTGAGACAAAATCACGAGCACCATCCTGTGAAATGTGAACGTCACATTACAGCACGTGTCAGACCTGCGTTGAATGAAACATCATCACTGCTTCCTCCCTCGGGGATGCAGACGCATGAAACGCGGGCTCACTGCATCCCTGCTCCTTCTTGGTTTGTTCGTTTCGTGGCAGAAGCTAAATGTCACTCCGGCTGCAGAGAGGAAACTTGAACACGGCGGCTCGGCAGCGTGTAACCGAGGAGCGCCGCCGTAACGCACACCTTCCAATTAACCAGCAGGTGGCCGAGCGATCCCAATGTCCCGATAAGCCCAGAATGTTCTGAGAGAGTTCAGGAGATGAACCAAAGGAGAAGCGCTCTCAGCTTCTCATTCACTCCGGCTGGTTACAATCAGCTGACAATAATTAACTGAGTAACTTCATGTCTAGATTCCACTTAATCAGAAGGAGATGGTTTGTGATGAATGACACTTCTCAGGAGAATCACTGTTAAACTTAAGTATAAGATCATCAACTTCATGTTTTTGAATCAACACCTTCAGGATTTAGATTAAGAAAAAAGGAAAGATGAATTCAATCAACTAAAATATGCACCTCTGGCACAAACATTTTCAACAATCTTTTCTCATTTTCAGGTTGCGTTACTTAAATATACGGTTGAAATATTAATCTGATTAGATACTAAAGCTGTGTCTGCAGTGGGGTTGAGGACTCACCCCATTCGAGCGGTTTAGGAGCTGGTTAAAGGTGTCGTGGACCCCCCGGTAACCCTCCAGCTCAGTCTGACACAGCGAGACCAGGTAATCCTTCACCTGCTCGTAGATCCTTCCATCCAAGACCTGCAGACGGATACGCACAGTTCAGGGTACATTTAAACCTCCACCCACCCACCCATCCATCCATCCATCCATCCATCCACCCACCCATCCAGAGAGAGGGTCCTCACCTTGATGCAGTCCATGAGGTCTGTGTGGTAGTAGCGCTGCTGGTGGGCGTTAGCGGCTGCGAGCATCAGAAGGTAGTCGTTCCTGGCATGTGTGGCTTTGGAGTTACACTCGCTCCTCTTGGCTTTCAGCTGGAAGGTTGAAGTTCACGACTGTCTTCACCCAAATGTCTCAAAACGTGGAGCAGTTTTTCTTTTCTCGTTTATGATGCAACGGTCTCTTACCTTCACACTCGCCCTCTGAAGACTGGATCTGGACTGGAAGAGACTCAGCTTGGACCTGAACAGAGTAGAGAAGGACACAGCAGCGGGGGTTTTATATTTTTATTATGTATTCAGGTCCGCAAAGTACGAAAATAATGGTTGAACTGAATTGTGACAAACGACGTGCTGCATGTAAACGCGCTCGCTGACAACATGCTTAACAGATGCACATCAACACACCAACCGATACAAAGCAAGAGAAGCGTGTGCGGTTCTTTTTTTTTTTTTTACAACCCAGTTCAACGTGTGTATGTGAGTCCATCACCACGGAGGTTAAATTAGCCTCCAAGACCTTCAGTCAGTCAACAGTCCCTTAGAGGAACGTGTCGCGGGACACGTCGGGCCAGAGGAGAGTAGCATTTGTGACATTAGAACGAGAACCAGCTGCTGAGCCTTTTTCCACAACAAAACTTCTCCGACGGGCAGAAAAATGTCTGCAACGCGAGTCCAGCTGCTCCCGTTGAGAAAGTGTTGAGCAGACAGAATGTTTGTTGCTCCTTGGGATTAAACTAATGAACAACGTTTACTGTCAACTAATCTGATTTAAGATTGCTAAAATAAGATTTACTTTACTGGCCCACAGAGGAATGTGTGAATGCATCAGTGACCGTGCTTCTTCACAGGACGCCAGGTAACAATGACAATATAATCTAATAATTAAACCAGATTATCAACCCTTAAAGGGGAGTGGAGTGATCGGGTTCATACTTTGCGTCCTGCTCTGCCTTCTCTCTGACGGCCTGAGCCATGGTCTCCGCCTCCTGGTACTTCTTCCTGCTCTTCGTCAGCTCTTTCACCGACTCCTGCAGCTCGGCCTGCACCGCCGTCAGCTGCTCGATACACTGTCGACCGCAGAGAGAGAACACAAGGGAGACCTTTACGTGTAGGGAAATTAACATCACCACGAATAAAATGCAAATTGCCGTGTGTTGAGTAACGACACGCCACCGTGTTGGAAATATAAATAAATCTAAAGGAGAGCATGAAGAAGAGGGGCACTGCTTCAGGCAGGGAACGAGTTATATGTCAAATATACATTAGTGGCAACACATTTTTCTCAAATTATTATTAGTATGATGACCCGTGTCTCACGGTGAGCGTCGATCAGTGTTGGTTTCATGCGGTTTAGCCAATGAGAGCATTGGGGGCGGGCTTAAGACCCGCACGCTCACATGACCACACAGAAACGAGCTGGCAGAGAAATGGAGATCTTTTCTCATTTTATATAAAAAGGGCTTCGGATCTACATCATTCACGTGAACTTAACGGCAAAGTTTGCAGCTATGCACAATGTGTTTTGCTGTGACTAAAAGCATAAGGCCCTGAGTTGATTTTTAGGTGGGATATACAAGGAATATTTTAACTGCTGAATACTGTCAAAAGTGCCCGACGCACCACTTTTGAATGAATTCATTATTTATTATTCACAGAATGTCCACAGAGGTGTCGTACCTTCCTCAGCTGCTGCTCCTTCTGCAGGCGGCCCGTCTTGGCCGGATCGGCGACCTGGACTTTGTAGTTGTCACAGGCGCTGATTCTGGACTGGGTGACCTGAACCGTGCCCTCCAGATAGGCCCTCCACACCCAGTACATGTTGCTGAAAACACAAACAGAAGAACGGGTCACCTCAGACCTTCTGGAATCATTTGGGTTGGTGGAAAGTCTTGAAGCCGAATCACGATCGCGATTAATCTCAGTATTGGAAAGAATGAGGCCTTATTTATGATGAACAAACATTTTTTTTACCCATTTTCTTTAGACTTAGCGACAGGATCCACGTGAACGTCAGAGGCGTTACAGTTACTGATACCTGTGGTCTGCCTGATCCTCGATCATACTCTCCGGCCATTCCCTCTTGAGATACTGATTTGCTAACTTCTGGATCGCCTGGAGGAGAAGAGACAAAAGCAGGGGGGGGGATGACCTTTGATATCAGCACATGTTGTGTTTAAATAACGCCTCTTCTCAGATACGCCACTGTGTCTCAATGCGACTCAACCCTGCGTGGACTCGTTCACCTGCTGGAGTCTAGAGGTTTGCTCACTTGCTGGTTTCTATGCTGACGTAGGCTCATATTTTATGAAGAAAAATGTAGTTGATTCAGACCACACTCCCACCCGGAGGTGTATCAGGTTCCTCCACTGCAGCCAACGGTGGGGGTTGAGCTTCGGAGAACAGATGACCGAGCAGGACACGGCAAATAAATTAAATCAGAGGAACGGAATAATTTATACTCTTTTATTACTGAGAGATGAACTGAGTGAAGAATTTGTAAAGGAAAAAAAGTTATAAATTGCAATATATGTTATCGCCAAACTCGCCATAATATGGTATCATGACTTAAGCACTGTGATAATATCCCCAGGTGATCCTCACCTTTATCTCTGGGAAAAAAATAAACGGAGCGCAGATCGGAGTGATGAGTGTCCTCACAAATCTAAAGCGGGCAAATTTCCCTTCCGTCTCGATATTCGAGCTACTCAACATGAGTCTCCACGATTCAATGTTTTTTTGTGGCTTGGCGATTATTATAATTTTTTATCTTCAGCACCGAGAAAGAGGGAAGATTCCCGGCCACCGAGCACAGAACTCGTTGGGTTTCTCTGTGCCAAAGCTTCAAAAAGACGCCACAAACCCGGCCATTGTGGGATGGAGAGAGAGGCTGAGCGAGCCTGGTGGACACGTCTGAATAGTGTGATGGGAGCGGGGGGGTGGAGAGAGCCGCACACAGGAGGACGGTTTATCACCGCCGTGTGAGTTGAATAGCAATCGGCTAATAGCTGAAGCGGCTTGCAGGTGTACGAGGACTCTGAAAAAAAGGGGCGTGTAAAACGAAGGGATTTTTTAAAAAAGGGATAAAAAGAAGAGGGTGAGACCAAAAGAGGGCGAAGTGTTCCAGAGACACTCTGACCCACTTTGATTCAACCGTTGGCAGCGGGCGTCTGATTGATCGCATAACGAACCGGCAGCAGAACCCAGACACACAGACACCTTTCAAACGAGCCACACAGTGAAGACATTTACGGCTGGAAGGAAACCAACGTCATCCAATCAACCGATCTGCAGTGCAAATTTAAGAAGAATTTCTTTGGTCCAATTTACAGCGTAAAATCTAATTCTGCAAAATGTGCAACTACATAAAACAGGAAGGTTGGTAGCTCCACTGCTTGTTTTCATTCATTTAGTAAATTATTAAACTAGCTGGTTCCTTATTTTTGGTTAACTGACTAAATCATTTCATGTCTAAACGCAGATATCGTCCCCGGGGACTTATTTCATTTCTCCAAAAATGTCCCCCCATATGCATATTTAAGGGGATGTTGTTCCTCATTTGTAGAGCTCAGGTTGTGTGAATGAACGGCTCTCATACTCCTTAACCAAGTCCATCTGATGGGACATTCTGCGTTTTACTCGCTGATGTTTACTTCTTGTACTTTTTGTTCTCTCTCCTCATTCGGCGATGACGTAAATCTTTTATGGAAAGTGACACGATGACGCAGTGAAGCGATAAATCAATAATTTACACAGATCTTCAACCGTGTTCAGAAACTCATCGTTTCCGATGCAGCTTCACCCGATTGCAGTGTTTCGTATTGAATTTGCATGTTTAACTCCATCTCGTATTCCCCCCCCCCCCCCGCCGCCCCCTCACAGCCGCGGCGGACATTCCTCACAGGGACGCTAAAGAACCTGAACACAGCCAAAGAGTCCAGACGGGACTCTTCAGACGAAGCAGCGGCGTCTGCAGGAAGCTGCGGGCGCAAAACAACACGGCGAGGAGGAAGCGACCCGGTGGATCACGGCGGGACGTCCCACTCGCCTGTGGGGGGGGGCTTTTGTTTTTTGGGCATTCGTGGGCCACGAGAGAACAAAACAGCTTTCGCAGGCACCACATCCTCGTTCCTGACGCAAGGACCATCGGGGGGAGATTCACTCACCTGGGCGTAGTCCCTCTCCACCGCCGCCCGCTTTTGGCTAAAAGTCCTAAAAAAAAAAAAAGGAGAAACAGAAAATGAATCATTTTGTTTGACCACATGGTCAGTGTGAACTAAACTAATAAGGATGGTGATGGATGATGATTTATATATAGAATTATATAAATACAAATAAGAGCTGTCAGAAGTACTCTTGTTGACATTTTAGCAAAAGTATTTGATATATATTATAATATTTTAACGTAGTTAACGTTCGTTTGTTTACTTCCGGTTTACTTGGAGAGTTGAGAGCAAAGTGCACGAGGACAACAGGAAGAGTCCGTAGTTCAACACGTTCCACCAGGTGGAATTCTGCCTCCACGATGATCAAATGTGTGTAGTTTTGTGTTTAAAATAACATTAACAAAAATGGTAAAATACACACTTTTTAAAGTAATTACTCATTACTTTTAAGATAATCTCTTAATCTAATGACAGCCCTTACATACATACATATGGTCAAATACTTTTTGCTCAGTTAACTCTCACGCATAACAAAGGAACATGATATATATATATATATATATATATATATATATATATATATATATATCAACAGCATGTTCTTCTTAAAACCTGAACTCCCTACTTCTCCATATGTGTGGTGAGCAAAAGGTACGTCAGTAAATGTTGTTTTCATTCTGGTGTTTCACGGTTTGAGGCTTGATTTACAATAACAGGAACTAGGTGGTCTTACTCTGGTTAAATTTATACCAAAAGTCTCAGAAAGGAAAGAGGTTTGTGTACTGAAAAAAGAAAAGAAAAAAATCCTCATTAAGTCATTAAACATGTCGAGACTCGACTGCGGCGCTCCACCCGACTCTAAACAACCTGTCTACTTCCTGGGAGCTTCCCTCTCTCCCACTTAACACTCACTTCCTGTCGTTTTCCCCAAACGCGGCTTTTGCCGACAGCCAGATGCAATTTCCAGTTTGCTGAATCATTTCTGATCCGAGAGCGACCCCTGAGATTTATGCACGTGGGCCTTCTCCTTGTTTCTGTATGGAACAAAGCCACCGAGCCCCCCCACAGAGAATCCGTCCCGGGCTGTCAGAACATCTGGCAGCTCTCTTTGACCCCAACTTCCAGCTGTTTGGAGGTTCAGAGCTCTGCCACCGACCACAGACAGGAAGCGGGGAGCCAGTGGGCTCTCGACTCAAACCAACACGGAGGCTGAAAACACAACCGTTGGCTTGTCAACCACTAGAAGTCCTACGCAGGCATCCGAGCCTCCTACACAGAGGATCTATTACTGCATCACGTTTTGTTTGGAGCCTCGGGCCGAGGCTAGCAAGCTAGCGCTAACGGCTCTAGATGCTTTATTGTAATGGAGAAGAGCTTAAGATATTAACGTTCTGCTCTAATAGAAGCAATGCGATGTTTCAAGTTTCAGAGATACAAGAGGAAACAACGGTAGAGTTAAGGACTGTCAGCATAGACGGACGTTATTCGTTTGTGGACCTCCTGTTCTAAAGCCTCAAGTTGCCATCTTGGATTTTGCAACCAGTGAAAGTCACTATTTTTGGACTGAGGACATTGAGACTCTGTATACGTCTCTGGTAGCAATCTGTCAATCACATTAACCCTGTCGTTATTCATACGCTGCTTTATGGATTGTTAGGCTATAAATGGAGTATAATTATCTAAATGAACATCAAATTTAGACCATAAACTCATTTTTACTGAAGGAATAAATCAAGAGAGAAGAGTCATTCTCTGACTGCCTTTGTGAAACAAAAGCTGCTGTAGACAGAATTTCTCTTTACAAAAGTCTGCTTTAAAAATGCGAGTATGAAGGTTGTCGGCGCAGCACCTCCTCTGCACTTTGTCCTCTGACAGCTCACCTCAGGTCCTCCAGGAGGTCACACTCTGTCTGGTGTTTGATTTGTAATCTGCTCATCTGCTCTGCGTGAGTGTGTTTCAGCTCCTGGGTGACCCGGACCTGCAGGGGGGGAAGAGAAGACGCTTCATTTAAGAGACAATGTCGGGACTGGTGCAGAACGGCAGTGAGGATTTGTGCACCAAATACTTCTCATGCTCATATACAGAGTGTCTGACATTGATTCAGCCGAGCTCACAGCTGGTGTGAGTGGAAACGAGCTGCTCTCATTATCACACTGCAGCTCGGCCAGATGAGAATCGGCCTCACCGGGTTTCTAATTGGCCGTAAGGTTAATTATGACCATCCTTACTTTAATTATGAGCCGGAGTAAAGTTCAATAATCGGGACCAAAATAAAGCTGTAAACATCGCTAGCCAATTATTGTGAACATATAATATGATTTAACTTCTGGAGTTTATAATTATTTTTATTAAGAAAAATAATGAGCCAATTAATTGATAATGTGTTGGGACTTGCGGAGTCTATTTTTAAGACGTGACGGCTGTTATATACATTTCGTATTCAGTAAATGTGACTTTCATTAATCTGTCTGTGAAACTCATCTACAAAATAACGTTATAAAATTAAAACAAACCCGAACTAATAAGCTGCAAACAGGACTGCTTTTGAAATGGTCAATTTCCATGTTATTTATATACAATCCCACTTCAACTTTTCAGGCTCTGCAGAGATTTGTGTTTTATTTTACTCTCAAACGCAGTGTATTTCAAGTTAAATCAACAAATTCGTGAAAAGGCAACGGTTGTTTTTCTTCGTTCCCGACAAAAAGTTCGCTCCGACGGGCGACGGACAACGAAGAAAAACGGGTCCATTTAATGTCCCGCAGGTCGGAACGCGGCGCAACGACGCGGCGCAACGGGACCCGTCGGTCCTCTCCGCGGGCGGGGATCCACTCGCCACATCGGCCTGGACAAAGAGCGAAAACTGCCTTTCGTTCGGGTACAATCTTAACTTTTGCTTCGCATGCTATCGCCAAAATCCTGCACCGCGGTGCGAAGCCGACTTGATATTTACTTGAAAGTTCGGGAGATGCCGACGCAAGACATCAGCCGCGTTACGCTGCTTCTTCAAATGTGCAACGGTTTGTTTTACCGTCTCGGTTCATTCGGTCACATGTTGAGTGTTAGTTATGCAGCAGCGTTTATCTCCGTTCGAGGGGAAAGAGGCGCGTTAACGGGGATTTTCTCCCTAAAAAACTGCTACGGCACATGGGACTTTTTTTTTTTTACACGTTTTTCTTCCTCCGTTACCAATTAAAGAAAAGACAGAAGCTTGTTAAACTTGCCAGGGAAGAAACTAGTTACCATTGGCAGAATTTTAAAAAGGCCCCTTTAATGGTTTTAGGCCAACAAAGCGCAGCTTTCCAACCGTTAAATATGCAGCAGTGCGTCGAGGTTTCCAGTAACGTTAGCTTCAACGGCTACAACTCACCTTTCTCGGCGGGGGCTGCATCCTTATTTCTTGACATAAAAGCCAACCGAAAGGAGAAAGTTTGTCTGGGAAAAGTCTGTGGAAAGTGTTTCGAACAAATTGTAACGGAGGAAGGGTGTTTCTGCCGGGGTCAAGCGGCCATGGCGAGTCCGGTAAGTTGTAAGTTGAGTCCCGTTGAAAACAGTGTGGCCCCGGGGAACCGAAAAAAAACACAAGCATCAAGCTTGAAGCTAACAGGCGAAGAGCAACACGCTTCCTGGCATATTTTCAAAATAAAACTTAGTGTAAAATACTACTTCCGTTGGTAATCTTCAGAATAAAGGAGAGCCGTCGACAAATTGACGTTTAGATAAGTATAAAGGTCAGCCTACAAGTTTGATGTATATAAAGTAGACATATATACTATACTATAAACAAGTTCTAATGAATGGTACGTGATTCATATAAATTAAAGTGGCTTAATTCACTGCTTATTACTAAATATAAGTCATTCCAATGCATAATTTTTCTAAATGTGTTTGGAATGTCCTTTATAAATAAATACAGGCTTTATTAAAAAGGGTTAGGGTTAGTGGCTTATGAATGTCCAAGATGATGATTTAATATATAATTTAATTGTGGGACATGGATATCACAGTTAGTTAGTAATGTATTACACAGACACAATTAAGCTTGAACGCGGTAGGTCTGTTTGGGGAGTTTCAAAACTAATTTTACTTGATGTGATAACAGCAGATACATATATTCTACGTCTCACTGGAAGTCTGGAATACGCTGCTGTCATGCTCGGGCTCACAGATAAATATACGTAGCGTGTAAGCTTCTTTAACGTAATGTCTGTTCGGTGTTGGCTCAAGAAAGATCAGCAGATGAGCTGATGTTAATCAACTGGAATAATGATCAGCCTCGGAAAATACTATACATCAGACAGCCTTGTAATATCAATAACCCATGGATTCCTTGTGCAGTAAAATAACTAAATAACAAACTGACGGTTTACTTTCCCCCAGAAGTGACAGCGCGCCATTTCCCAATACGTGCTTTTATTTTGAGGGGAAACGCGCGCATCCGGTGTGTCTCTTCCTCCCGGGGGGGCGTCTCTGCCTCCGCATCGCCCTCTGCTGGCACGTTCCTCTCATACCCATGGACCCGTACAACAAACAGCACCCCTTCCGCCATGTGTCTGTTGTTTTGGTGAAGTCGGTCAGTTCAGTGAGCCAGCTAGCCAGGTAGCTAGCGTTAGCTCACGTTAGCTAACTCGCTGCGATGTCAAGGTGGCGCGGGCTGCAGGCGAGCCTGCGGGCGGCTCGCGGGTCGCTTCGCGGGACGCAACGAGACGCGTGGCCGCGTGGACACGCGCCGTGGAGCCGAAGCCTGAGCGCGAGCACGGCTCTCCGGAATGACTTCTTCAAAGGTGGGCGACGTCAGAGGAGGTCTCGTCCCGAGACGCCGACGTCAAAGAGGAGCTAGCTAGCCAACTTCTCCTCCAGAATGACCGTCGCGTGTTTTTAATTATTAGTTTAACTTTAAGCAATATTCGAAACCCTACTGGATTTCTAGACCTCTCTGTGCTACTCGACTTGCGTATCATCTGCCATGCAACTCGTGGAAGTTTACATTTAAAAAATACATCTGTCCCCGCTGATCCTCTCGCTAACGTACCGACACGCACTCCCCTTGTATGTGAAGTTCTATCAAAGTGGCTTTTCCAATATACTAATAGCTAAGCATGCCGAACTGTGGTGCGTTAGCTAAAGTTTCAGAATATTAATATAAACGGCACGCTGCGACTCGACACCTGCCCCAACGGTGACGAAGTAGACTAAAGCTCGTGCTTTTGCGGGTCAGACCTGGAGACCCAGCTGGCGGCCGCGAGGAAGAAGGCGTCGGACGCCCTGCCGGGGAGCAGCTGGAGCCCCTTCGAGGCGAACCCCAACCTGCCGCCGGAGAGGGCCGACATCGTCATCGTCGGAGGGGGCGTGGTGGGCTGGTCCATCGCCTATTGGCTGAAGCAGAAGGAGCGGGTGCGAGAAGGGGTGAGAGTCCTCGTGGTGGAGAAGGACCTGACGGTGAGGACTGAATTCGTGCTTTTTGTTTGTCAGTCAGAGGGGAGCTGTTGATTATGGAATGAGAGGTTAAAAACACTTCATATGCAGGATCAAACATCGTGTAACGGGATAATAAAGAGCCATCACCTGTGCTCTGCATTCGCTTTGGTGGCACCATCTTCTGGTGAAATGGGAACAAATTATCAGCATAATGTCCAACTTGTCGAATCTAAATAATCAAAATTAGCGTTGTGAGAAAACCCATCGAGCTGCGATATTGTGCTCAATTTATATTTTCATCTTCTTTTTTTTGATGCCCTAAAAGCAAAAAGCAAGTGGAACTTTTCCCCCAAACTGGAATGCGACTTTAAGATGTTTGTCCGTAATGTTTTAATATCGTGCAACGAGGTGGGACTTGTTCAGGGCCCAAGAAATAGAAATTATAGTAAACATTCAGCACAGAACCGTCTGAAATCCTCAGTAACCTTTGGTGCCGGTTCCCCCAGTACTCCCAGGCCTCCACCGTCCTGTCCGCCGGGGGGATCCGACAGCAGTTCTCTCTGCCGGAGAACATCCACCTGTCCCTGGCCTCCGCCCACTTCATGAGGAACATCAACGTGGGTGACGGTGCTGTTTGTGTGTCTCTCTGAAATCATTTAAATGTTGGGGTGTTTGAGCGGCTTGATTGACAGCTGAGGTTTGACCAACTGCTGCCATCGCTCAATCAATCAATCAATCAATAACACTTTATTTCTATTGACACGCTTCGAACAGGTGGAGCTCCACTCATAGCGCTTCACGGAACAGTGACTAGTGAGGGAAGTGAACACAACAGAAAAGACAAAAGAAAGTGTCATAAAATATTATTGAAGTCACCATGTGATTTAAAACTATATTAATATATTTACAATAAAAGGTATATAACTAAAATACAATATTTATAACCGGTAATTAAAATGGAAAAAATAATAAATGGGAAACTTGCATACGTGAGTGATGAATGAAATAATAATAAAAGACAAGAAAAAATAACTTGAGCAAAATAAGTGAACAAATAATATTTAAGAGAAATGATGCATAAAAAGTAGAAGAAAAGGTATTTGAACTTAAATCCAATAATACAAGTGAGTCAAATCATTTTAATAAATGGTCTAAAACCCCTGAAGGCATCTGTCTGTGTGTGGAGCATATTTCCCGTCTTGTTGGTAAAGAAACGTCTCCTCTGTGACGTCTCAGGAGCACCTCGGCGTGCTGAACGAAGACCCGGTGGACCTCCAGTTCAACCACTCCGGGTACCTCTTCCTGGCCACTGAGAAGGCGGCTCACATCATGGAGGAGAACTACAGCACCCAGAGGTGATCCAGGCAGCCCAGATGTTGGATATCAGACCTCTGAACAGTTTGAGTTCAACGTCGGCTTTGGGGATTGTTGTTACGGGATAAAAACAACGATCTCGCTTTGTGATCGTAGGAAAGCCGGAGCCGAAGTCTCTCTTCTCTCTCCGGATCAACTGAGGGGGAAGTTTCCGTGGATAAACACGGACGGCGTGGCGCTCGCCTCGTACGGTGAGTGCAGAAGACTCGCAGGTCGTGTGTGTGTGTGTGTGTGTGTGTGTGTGTGTCTCACTCACTCACTCATCCTGACTTCCAGGGTTGCAGAACGAGGGCTGGTTTGATCCGTGGACTCTGCTGAACGCCTTCAGGAGGAAGGCCATCTCCATGGGCGCCATTCAGTGCTGCGGGGAGGTCACAGGTTTGATACCGTCCGGGTAACAGGGCCGGAATCCACCACGTGTTGTGTTTTAAGACCTTTCTAGTGCCCTGATCTTATGTTGGTGACATCGCTGGGAAAAGATCCGATAACGAGTAAAATGTATTGTTGATCACAGGCAAACTACGGAATCAGTTCAAGGTTAAAAGCTTTGTTTTTATGCAAATTAAACTTGAATTGCGCACCGCACGGGTGCTGTTACGACGCAGCATTTGCTTTATTACCGTTTAAATGTTTTTCAAACTTTTAGACTAACAAACGTTTTCATACCTTCCCCAGATTTTAAATACACAACAAAGCGGATTTTAACTAGTAACGGCGATGAAATGGATCTCAGGAGAATCAAATCTGTCAAAGTGAGTAATGAAGGTCCTTGTATCATCATTAATGCGTTTATTGACTGTTGTTTAGTGTGGATATTCTGGTCTGTCCCATAGCCACGCTGTCTTCTTCTTCTTCTTCTACGGAGCGCAGGTGCAGCTGCCCGGCAGTCTGCAGTACCAGCCGGTGGAATGTGCCATCGTGGTGAACGCGGCGGGGGCCTCCTCCGCCCGACTGACGGAGATGCTGGGGGTCGGCTACGGGGGCGACGCCGCCGGGACCCAGCTGCCGGTGGAGCCGCGCAAAAGGTCGGCCGCCGACTCAAATGTCTTTTCTTTTTCCTTTTTCGTTTCTTGTTTACGTCAAAGCCGCTGTAGCCGTGAAAAAAAGGGGGCGGACGTGGATGAGACGTTGCGGGCGAAGCGAGGACACCGCGTGAAGACGCGGCGGTCTGGCTCAGTAAACAAACGTGCACGCGTTCGATCCCCTCTGTCTGGTTGGGTTCAGGTACGTGTACGTGGTCCACTGCCCGGACGGACCGGGCCTGGACACGCCCTTCGTCATTGATTACTCCGGGGTTTACTTCCGGAGGGAGGGGCTTGGGGGGAACTACATCGCCGGGACGTCGCCAGAGGAGGTTCGTTTCAGTTCTGCCCGGTTACTTCTTTTTTCGCCATTCAGAACCAACAGACGTTGGGGTTTCTTTTCCTCGTAGGGGGAGGAGCCAGACGCCAGTAACCTGGAGGTGGACCACCAGTTCTTTGAGGACAAGGTTTGGCCCAGCTTGGCTCATCGCGTGCCAGCCTTCGAGAAGCTGAAGGTCGGTTTTACTACGACTTTCTCCCTACTCACAGATTTCAAATATTAATGTGACCGATCAAATGTTAACCAGCATTTATTTTTTTAGTGCGACTGATGACAAAAGAAGCATTTGGTCGGTTTAATTTGCTAAATGAAGAGAGTTTATTATTCTCATCGTCGCTCAGGTGACGAGCGCGTGGGCCGGTTTCTACGACTACAACACCTTCGACCAGAACGCCATCATCGGGACGCACCCGCTCGTCACCAACATGTACTTCGCCACCGGCTTCAGCGGCCACGGCCTGCAGCACGCCCCCGCCGCGGGCCGCTCCGTGGCCGAGCTCATCCTGGACGGGAACTTCACCACGCTGGACCTGAGCGGCCTCGACTTCCGCCGCATCCTGGCCCGGGAGCCCATGCTGGAGAGGAACATCGTGTAGAGGAGGCGAGACAACACTCCGAAGAAGCCCCGCGATAGTAAAAGCAGCGACGACACGGTGTGCAAATACTATGAATGCAAAACTTTTACTTGTAACGAAGTATTCGTATCATCAGTGATGGATACCAGGTTACCGCTGCTACAGTCGCGACCGGGCGTCCGTGCACCCGCGTGCACACGTGCGTCTGCTTCAGTGACCAGGGTGAAGAAAAATGAAGCCAACATGAATACAAATGTTCAAACGAATCCAAAAGACAAAACAAAATGATGATCCTGAATGAAAGTGTGCATGTCACATTTTCATCTTGAATTGATGTGTAACTGCAGATGATATTCAAAATATAAGGTTAATAAAATAGCAACCAGAAAATGACCATCCACATGTACTTAAAAGTAACAAAAGGTAAAGTGTGTCGTACGATTTGGTTCTTCTGGGGAAAGCAGCATCGGGTCGGTTTGAGTTGCCGTGGGCGACTGTGCACCAGGTGGAGACATTTCTGTGGGATTCTAATGATGGAATGTCCTCACATTTAAACCAAGCTGTTGCAATCATTCATTTAAGTGATTATTATATGTATTCAAAAGAAAGATTGAGAACAGATCAGAATAAAATCTGCAATTTGCAAATTTGACACAGTGATGAAAACAATAACAGAGATGGTTAGTATGAGTTCAAACTGGAAAAAAATACCACGTTCTAATGGAACATGAGAAATAAATTCACCTCACTCTTGTTTACTTTTATCTCATCACATATTAATTTGTCTCATTATGACGTGTTTAGTTGGTTTTGTAAAAAGCCACACCTTTCTATAAAGCCCTAAATGACGACCTCGTAGTGTCTGTTGTACTACTTGTACTATTTGAAACCAAACGTGAGTGAAAAACAATTCAAACCCTATTAATCATGATCATAACCCATCGTGGTGACACCTCATCTATTACATCATAACCCATCATGGTAACACCTCACCTCTTGGATCATAACCCATCATGGTAACACCTCACCTCTTGGATCATAACCCATCATGGTAACACCTCATCTCTTGGATCATAACCCATCGTGGTAACACCTCACCTCTTGGATCATAACCCATCGTGGTAACACCTCATCTCTTGGATCATAAGCCATCATGGTAACACCTCATCTATTAAATCATAACTCATCATGGTAACACCTCTTCTCTTGGATCATAACCCATCATGGTAACACCTCATCTATTAGATCATAACCCATCATGGTAACACCTCATCTCTTGGATCATAACCCATCATGGTAACACCTCATCTATTAGATCATAACCCATCATGGTGACACATCTCTTGGATCATAACCCATCATGGTAACACCTCACCTCTTGGATCATAACCCATCATGGTAACACCTCATCTATTAGATCATAACCCATCATGGTGACACATCTCTTGGATCATAACCCATCATGGTAACACCTCATCTCTTGGATCATAACCCATCATGGTAACACCTCATCTCTTGGATCATAACCCATCATGGTAACACCTCACCTCTTGGATCATAACCCATCATGGTAACACCTCATCTCTTGGATCATAACCCATCTGTCTCCCTTCCGCAAAGGGAATATGATTATATGGCAAAGACATTCTGCCGCTGCAGCTGTTTTGATGCAAATGTGAGCCTGTCCTGCGAAGTCTAGTGTGCTGGTAGTAGTGGGTGAGGGAGGGGTCACGGGTGTGAGCCACTGGAAACAAAATTGAGGGATTTCTTTGTGAGGCCCGACGCAAATCTCAAATGTTCTCAGGGCTTCAAAACAAAAGCAGCATGGGTGCTGCCCCCCTTCAGTGGATGCAGCTCCTGCCACACAAGGCACCAGGGGCCGCATACCCCCCCCCCCCCCCCCCCCCCCCACCACCACCACCACCCTCCCTTTCCCCCCTCTCACATGGAAGAGAATTCACCACTTCACCCGCGACCTACCCTGTCCCGCCAAAGTCACCAACCCTGTTTTATGTGCGTGTGGGGTGGGCGGGGGGCCCGAAGTGACGCCCGCTGGGGGCTTCCTGGCTGGCTCCGCTGGCTGCGAGGAGCCGCTGCGCCCGGTGGCATGTGGCTGGGATTAGGGAATTTCACTGTGGATTAAAATCTTTCCAGCGCCTCCACTGGCTGAGAAGAAGCAGTGTGAAGCTGCAGCGGTCACTCCGGGCCCACGCTCTCAGGTACGAGGAACTTCTCTCTGCTTCGGTTGATTTCCATGAGTTGTTTGCTGTTTTTTTTAAGACTGTAGACCTGTTGAATGCGACTCACTTCTCCAACCGCCCGAATAGCTGTGACATCTAACAAAGTGGGTTCTTACAAGAGGAGCTCGGCGGCTTACAGGAAAGTTACTTCAACCTTGCCATGGGTTACGAATGTAATGTAAAGTCACTTTGGATAAAAGCGTCATCTAAATGACCTGTAATGTAATGATCAAAAACTGTTTAAGACGGTTGGAAACAAAAGAGTGTTCTAGTCTAAAACGTTTTATTCCAAACAAACAAGGCCTAGCACCTTTTATTTTCTTTAACCATAAATCTTGAGTCTGTTATGTAAGACTAAGTGGTTCAAACTGCACAAAAGAACCACCGCTCACAATAACTGGCATTATTCTGTTGCAGGTCCGCACTAATCTGACGATGAATAGGGAGGTTAATGCCTTTAATTCTCATGTTGTGAAACATGCTCTCCAACAGTTATTGGCAGTGAGATAAATGTTCGTATTGTCAACAAATGAAAATGTGTTACGTCTGCCATACAGAGGCGTAAATCTACAAACCAAAATCAAGTTGTGCCGGTGAAGTAGTGCGCATATACATCGGGAAGTCCTTTGAGGCAGATTTGTAATTTTGGGAACATGACCTCCTGTTCTCTCCAGCTCAAGGATGCTCCAGGTGCTCCACGCTCACATTCAGCCGGCTGGACACCGAAGCAGCAAGACTCGCCTGGTCGACAAAGACGGGCGCTGCAACATCGAATTTGGCAACATCAAATACCGAAACCACTTGGGGTACGTGGTGGACTTCTGGACCACCTTTGTGGAGGTCCGCTGGCGCTACGTCCTGCTCATGTTCGTGGCCTCGTTCATCGGCAGCTGGTTCGTCTTCAGCCTGCTGTGGTACTGGATCGCCCAGAGCAACGGCGATCTGATGGGTCAGAACCGCGCAGACGGGCACGTCCGCTGCGTTGACAACATGGACGGCCTCACCACGGCGTTCCTCTACTCCCTGGAGACCCAGACCACCATCGGGTACGGCGGTAGGGCGCTGACGGGCCACTGCACCGGCGCCATGCCCTGATCGTGGTGCAGTCGCTGATCGGCGTCTTCATCAACTGCTTCATCTGCGGCGTCATCTTGGCCAAGATCTCATTGCCCAAAAAACGAGCCAAGACCGTCACCTTCAGCGACACAGCCGTCATCTGCCTCAACAAGGAGAGCCTGTGCCTCCTGATCAGGGTGGCGAACCTCCGGAAGACCCTGCTGATTGGCAGCCAGATCTACGGCAAGCTGGTCCGGACCACGACCACGGCAGACGGGGACACCGTCATCCTGGACCAGGTGGATATTGACTTTGTGGTGGACGCCGGGAAGGACAACCTGTTCTTCGTCTGCCCGATGACCCTCTACCACGCCATCGACCGGTCGAGTCCCTTCTACGAGCTGTCGGCGAACTCCCTCCCCCAACAGGACTTTGAGCTGGTGGTGTTTCTGGACGGGACGGCCGAGTCCACCAGCTCCTCCTGTCAGGTCCGGACATCCTACGTGCCCCAGGAGATCCAGTGGGGGCACAGCTTCCTGCCCATCATCTCCCGCACCAAGACGGGGAAGTACCGCGTGGACTTCTCAAACTTTTCCAAAAGCGTCCGGGTCACAACGCCGCACTGCGCTCGCTGCTTCGAGAAGGACCCCGACCTGACGGGATGCAACGCCGAAGACGACCAGCAAGAGAAGTCAGGCATCGACAACCTGGGGTTCCAGGTGATCGACATCCACGACTCGGTGGACGTCACCAAGATGTGAGCGCACTTCCCTCCACTGCTCAGTCGGATCTTCTGGACGAGGAGCGAGTTTCTGCCTCCTGCAGCGAATATATCAGTCATCTTTTTCCACAGCAAACGGCAGAATGTGGATAAAAAGTCAGACATGAGTTAAGCTCTTTGCTCAGAGGCTCATTACAATCAAAGCACCTTTGGGACTTGGGACTTTGTCTAGGTAATATGTGGAAGGGGGGATTTAAGTTTTGACACATGAACAAACTGAAAGGGGTTAAATACGGGATGGCACAGTGGGTACTTCTAGAGGAGATTAATGACTGAGCCGGTTATAATGAAAAAGAACTGTGTGCTATAAAGTCTGTGGATGGGAATAAAAAAAGTAGGACAGGCCTTTGGAGTTCTCTCATTGGTCCGAATGAACCACCAACTCTACGCCTTGGTAGTTGCCAATAAATGAGACTATTTTAATTGTCCACACTTTGTCTGTCATATGTGGTTACACTGAAACTAGAAAGAACGTTTACTCAAATGCTGATTTTCATTTCAAATCAGAGATACTTTTGCTTCACTTTGGGGCGTTTTTCGAAATGTACGCAACTTTATAAGGCCGATGTTATACTTCTTTAATGCTTTTCAATCTAAATCTGCTACTTCTGAAGCACATCTTCTGGTTTCCTTTCGTCTTTTATGGGACTTCATGATCTCTTTTGACTTTGAGGATGAGTGACACTCAAGATTTTCAATAATATAATTTATCACCGACAGAGGAGCATCGAATGAAAAGCAGCTTTTAAAATGATCTCCGACAACAATAAATGTAAATTCAGCCGCATAACAAATATTTGATGAAAAACTGGTACTTGAGTCAGCTTGATCTTTGTAAAAATTTTCATCCGCAACATTTTTTTTTATTAATATATTAGTAATGTCGCTATAATCAGCTCCATGTCTTCCAGCAGCAACATTACGGATGCTTTTCATTTTTATGCCTCCACAATTATAATCCACATAGTATATTTGATGAACTTTTACTTGTAGCGCTGTTTCCACATGTTGTATTTCTATATTTATTTGGGTAAAAATCTGAATAACATCAGGACATCAATTACTTATCAATTAAGAGAATTTAAATACAACACTACTTTTGTAATATTCCCCCGTTTTCTCTATTATACTTATATGCTATTTAAATACCCTAAGTACTGCAGTAGAAACCGGCCGGCCCGCTAGGGGGCGTCAGAGAGCTGCTTCGATGTAGCACGATTACCACATAAATATAAACAATATTATAAACAATTAATCCTGTAATAAAAATGTATTTTTGAGGTGTCCCAGTTCTGCCAGCAGCCTCCCTGTCCCACATTCACAGTGATCTTCCATTCTAACTTTTCCCCCCAGAACACCACCTGATGGAGGCGGAGTGATGGAGCCCGTGACGGAGGAAAGTGCGTCTTGGTTTTGACACTTTTATGTCAGCCAGGCAGATTTATTCTTTTTTTTCCCCTCTCCGGAATGGCTTTCATCCCCGCTCGGATTAACTGGGCTTCATCTGCATCACAATGGAAGAACTGCAGCGAGAGTGAAGCAGAAGAAGAGGAGTTGACTGACTGATAACCAGTAAAAATAGCAATATGCCAAGTGTATAAATACTACAAGTCAAGTAATAATACAGTCAGATACCATAACATTTTTATACTGCATGTCTGATATCTGATCAGTGGGGGAGAGTAACTGAGAGCATTTATCAGAGAGATTATGGATCAAACTACTTTTAAACTTGCGACAAAAGAGGAAAAACTTCAAATGGCAAATGTATTTTATTGACAACTGCTGGATCCACACGGACATAAAAATGGAAATCATGTGAACATGTTGGTTAAGGTCACTTGAATGTGTTTAGTGTTTGCAGAACACACATGATCATATTAGTGGGTTACTGAGAGCTGAGCAAGCAGAAGATATTTCCCAGCCGCCTTCATTACGGTCGCAGCATAATTATTTAATTTACAGTTTGGGATCACATCCTTCAGATTAATAATGTCTCACACATCAGAGGCCTCAAGTATTGATGTCCCACTTTAGATATTATTACAGCCAATCGATTGCTGAAACCATTAAAAACGTAATTTCTAGTTATAAAAGTTGTTTTGTAAATCCTGGAACAAAATAATGCAATAAATTGATTATTGGATTAATCCCTCCGTCTTGAATGTACGACTAATACAAGATTTATTTGTTCATTTATAGTAAAGTGAACACATTTGTTCTTTTCACACAATTTTACGAGATTACGACATTAAGAAATTTAGCTGCAGCCCTAAAAAAAACCTTTGATGGGCAATTTATTCTGTACCATTTTAAAGAAGAAAAACATCTGAAAATAACCTGAGTTGCATCCCTTGTTTTCATAATTCCAAACAATTGATGTAAATGAATTAAAAAGCACATCATGGTCACAGAATAAGGGTTGTTGTAAAAGATCCCAAAATTGCATCCCCTGACTTATTAAATGAAAGAATGCACACAAAAAGTTATTTACACCTGCCGCCAATTTCCTACCTCCAAATCCTGGGAAGGTTGACGGAGGGAAGACGTGGTGACTCAGAAGAGAATCATAGGACGCGCTGCATGCTAACAGCGCTAACCAGTGAGCAACCCCCTTTTAATTAACATTTAAATGATTAATTCATTAATCAGCAGAGCTAATGAAGCTGCATTTCATTCACCTCTTATTTCGGCTGTGTGATTACTGCTGGGCTCTCGTTTCCCCAAAAGTCACACCTTCATTTCCCAAAAAGACAAAGAGCGTCTTCAAAGCAGCGTTTATCCGCTCATTTAGTTTTGTAGAATAAGTCCCCGCTGAATGATTTCACTGCATATTATTTTGGAGTAACGTCAAACACCAGAGACAGACAATATAAAAAAAAAAAACATAACAGGCTAAACACACGTTAGATAATTTTGTCACATTCATCTTATCTTTAAAGTTACGGCTAACGTGTTAGCACGAAGCTGCCAGTTAAACCATTCAGCAGACACAAAGAAGTAGCATTCAAGGACACACGTTGGTCAAATATTCAATCTCTTTAAGCTCGCCGCGCGCCGCCAACCGCCCCAACTGCCCTGCTAACCGCCCCAACCGCCGCTAACTGCCCCGCCAACCGCTGCTAACCGCCCCGCTAACCGCCCCGCTAACCGCCCCAACCGCCACTAACCGCCCCGCCAACCGCTGCTAACCGCCCCGCTAACCGCCCCAACCGCTGCTAACCGCCCCACTAACCGCCCCAACCGCTCTGCTAACCGCCCCACTAACCGCCCTAACCGCTGCCAGCCGCCCCGCCAACCACCCCAACTGCCCTGCTAACCACCCCAACCGCCGCTAACTGCCCCGCCAACCAACCGCTGCTAACCGCCCCGCTAACCGCCCCAACCGCTCTGCTAACTGCCCCACTAACCGCCCTAACCGCACCGCTAACCGCCCTAACCGCCGCCAACTGCCCCGCTAACCGCCCCAACCGCTGCTAACGCCCCACTAACTGCCCCAATCGGAGGGTTTAACAGCGAGTTTACGAACTGCTGAGACAAAGTAAATGAGAATAGAAACAACTTAAGAAAAACTTGTTTGTAAAAGCAGAAACAAGGAGCTAAAATAAGACGCCTCTGTCGTTAAGGGAACCAGAGTGACGGTAACTTCCCGGTTGACCTACAAAAACACACCGTTATCAACTAATTAGCCTGAAAATATCTAATAGCAAACTTCTCATGTACATAATGAGGGTGAAATGTGTATTTTGAAAGAAAACAGACAATTATTTGTTACTCATTGAGTTAAATGATCCCTGATTAACGGTTATGCTTCTGAATTAATGTCACAGCTGCATTAATATGGATGTGGATGTTTATGTTAATTTATAATTACCTTGAATTTGCATTTATAGGAGGCCTACTTTGCAATATTTTATACCAAACCAAAATTGTGACCATCTGATCAAACAAAGGCTTTAAAAGGTTTGAATTTACAAACGAAATACGTGCTGAGGGTATAAAAACGTGACCCGTTGTAGAAGATTAAACGACCCAAAGTATAAAAAGAAGTTAGAATCAACTGGAGCAGCAGCTACATTTAAGTGCTGCTTACATGAATACATTAATAATGATCCACTCATCCAATGAAAGGAGTCACTCTGCATCATGAGGACTTTCTATACTTCAAGTACATATTTGAAGTGTATATTCAGTGTAGGACTTTTACTTAGAATAGCTGGTATTCTTTTATTCCTCCGCCTGGGTTGAAGTGAGTGAAGACGACGTTGCACAATCTGTTTAATGTTACGTGTTTCAGTGAAGCGGACGTTCAGCCGGTGGACCAGCTGCTCCGCACCCAGTCACAACATTCATCGTGTTGATGGTTTATTGGCTTCTTATCCATTCGGGCCGAGGAGACGCACTAATTGAGATAAATATTTTAGCGCGATTAGAGGCCTGTGTTTAAGCGTCCCCGAGGAATAAACCAGAGCTGAAAATCAACTTATATCAACAATATATTCTCACATTATCAATCACAACCATGTCCCAAACTGACATGAATTATTGAACCCAAATGTGTTAAAAATGAACGGTATGAAGGATTTTAATTCATTCTTTTACACTTGAGGATGTGGGTAGAAAATAAAAGCCTTTTGGCCTTATAAGCCTTTAAGATCGAAGTAATTATCCACATAAACCATGAAGCAGCAAGTATAAAGACCGTAACATTTGTTAATCATCTCTGGAGCCCTTAAACTAGATCCCGTGGCCTCTTCGCGGGGACTCGACCCACAAGTTGGGAACCACTTTGCAGTTATTTATTCTGTTCCTCTTTGTGATGCTGCTGCTCAGCTCTGGAGGTATTTCTAACCCACTTTACTCATCTTACTCAGTGTGAGAAGAGCAGAAAAGTAACAAATATCAAAATTTCACTTCTTAAACTCCATCAAATAGTTTTGAGTGTAAACTTTTGGGTTCTGAAGGCTGCAGCCTCCACGGGAAGGTTTCCATCTTTAACCACGCGACTCCAAAGCTTCACTGCGGCCTTCTGGGAAACACGAAAGTCTGACGAACCGTCAGCAGATATTAGTTTGGCTCCGGAGAGACGCCGTCACAGCTCGTTGTCTCATTCTGCACGAACGCCGTCTCCACAGACTTTATGAGACGAGTCTCAAGTGACCACGGCCCTCCTCGGCTTCGTGCATAAAATACCAACAGCGAGGAAAATGATCGTCTTCTGTTCCTCCACATCCAGATATTCTACTTTGAAACAGCTAGATGTACACAAAGTATTTCAGATTTTATTTATATTATGGTACTTAGTAGACGTACTTTTTATCCTGACACTTCTTTCTTTCTTCAGTCTTTGTGTATTGTTTTTCGTGCTGCTCTTCATCGTGGAATAACGATGACCTCATTGAATACGAGGACCTTTAACGGTCTTATTTAGGTTTTCTTGCTGTAAATCCATAAAGCTCTGATTCGGTTAATTATCATCATCCAGACACCAGTAATCCACTTATGAGCCGACGAAGCCGTCGGATTGGTTATTTTCCTTTTGTGTAACGAGGTCAAAGATCAGAATTTTCCCACACGTTGACATTTCCCTCCTGCGGGTTTCATAGATAGAACGAAGGCCCGAGGCGGATTCCTTCAGCGCCGACATTTGCACCTCTGGAAAGCGTCGTCGAGGTTCCATCCAGCTCCTCCGGGAAAGCAAACGAGATGATTTACCACAAACGTTGAGCTGTTCCTTTAAGAGTCGCAAGAAGCAACTCAAATAGATCAAACTTTACTTTTAATTTAATTGTAGTTATGACAAAAAGAAACCAATAGAAATCAGTTGGGCCGAGGAATAAAATAAAGTATGACATGTTTGACCAAACACCTCGACATCGAGAACGGTGCTTTCACACTTTAAAAGAATCTATTGTATCTTGTGGCAAACGTTTGAGAATTTAATTAAAAACACTGTACAGATCCGAATGTGGCAACAGACAACAGCTTCACCAAAATGTCTCAATAAATAGGAAGTCAGAGAGAAAAACAAACAAACCAAAATTAAACCAAACTTGCTCTTTTGTAGCAGCTTCTATTCTCATCTTTCCATAAGCTGCTGATGCTTCAGTTCAATATTACATAAGTTATTTTTAGCCTCGTAGCTTCAGTCACAGATCTCGGCAGTTGGTTTGTGTTATTTGACATGAAAGATACAACAGAACCGCCCTCGAGTCTTCAAATGCACTGAAGAACATTCCTCTTCGTAAAATGAGTCGATGAGAAAAAACTACAATCCAGAGATCTGCTTTAAAAGCAGAAGGTTGAATGCGGAGACCAACATCCTTGTGTTTGTCTCACAGATGAAATTCCCCTCACTCTTCGTCCTCGGGGGGGGTTTGAAAGAGGAGCAGCTCTTCATTTATCCACGCTAAACAAGAAGCTTTGAAGTCGGCCATTTAAAATCGGATTTACATGAATAAATAAAATGTGTGAGCTCCAACACGGTTCATGAGATTGCACAAGGCGGCTTTTTATGGAAGGGGGGGGGGCGTTATTGACAGGTTATGTTCTGGGAATAATTAATACCACTCTCTCCATTTGTTTTGGTTTTAACTGGATGTAATCGTCAGCGTTGGTGATCTTGTGTGATTGTTGCGGTTTTGATGAGGCGAAAAACAAAAGTTTATATTAAAAACATCATTTTATTGATGCGTCGCTGAGTGAACAATGACATCCTTTCTGTTTCGTTTTCTCTACTGAGATGTGCAGCACAAACTCAGTTTAAAGTATAGATATATAAAAATAATAAAATAACTAAAAACGGTTTACATCTTCCCGAGGAGAAAGAAACGTGGACGTCTGTAGTCTGTAGACGGATACGAGATGTGTGTCGACGAGCCGCCGTCCCTTCAGGAGCAACATGATCACGACACCGAAATAAAGCTTCAGACCCACGAAAGATAAACAACTTAAATCATAGTTAGACGCTCGGACTGAAGCGGCGCGACCGAGCCGAGCGTCTCCGCATCCTCGCCGGCGGCCTTCCACTCGCAGCCACGGCAACGGTGGAGCGAAGACCAAAAACGCCCAAATCGGCCGGCAGATCGCTGCATACGTTTCCATCTCCAGAGGAGAACAATGAGGTTTGATCATGTTGGTCGTCGGCGGTGCTTCCCGATCAGTCTCAGCCCGCGTGGCTGTGACGGTCACTGTTTGGCAGCTCTTCATCACGCCCCCGGCCCTCCCTCCCTCTTCCTCTCGGGGGCGCTATCGGTACGGCGGTTCCGGCTGTTGGGGGTTCGGCCTGTAAAGCTGCTGCATCCTCACGGGCCTCCCGTTGGCCGGCCAGCCGCCCGGTAACTGTCCGATGACCCTGAGCCCCACCGGCTGGCCGTGGCCCGCCATCGGGTTGGCGAGGACGTGGGCGTGGCCCGGCTGGGGCTCGGCCGGCGGAGCGCAGCTCGGCGCCGAGGCGGGTGGCGAGACGGGGTGGTGCGGGAGGAGGATGGCGGGCGTGAGGCCGTAGCGGACCTGGAACACGCGGAGGGGCCCCTGAGCTACGAAGCCGTTGAGCCGCCGCGGCTCCGAGTCCCGCTTCACCCCCCCGCTCTCCTCCGCCGCCGCCCCCTTGGCCCTGCTCGCCGGCCGCTTGGCCCGCGCGGCCTCCTGCATCTTCTCCGCCTGGGCCCGGCGGACGTGGTACGTCTTCCTGGAGCTCTGGAAGGAGTCCAGGAAGTGGTCCAGGCTCGCGGTTCCCTCCATGAACTTCTCCAGCAGCTCCTGTGAAGCGAGGGCAGACAAACAAACGCACATCAGCACACAAGGAGGAGGATTCGATCCGCTCGGGGTGTTAGTTTTACTTTAAGTACATTCTACGTGATGCGACTGTTACTTTTGGCGGCGCTTGAAAGCCCCGCGCCCCGTCTCTGTGTGCGTTCCCAGGATGCGAGGAGTTATATTTGGAAAGCGATCACTGCGCACGCCGGGGGATTCGGGTTTACGGACCCCGGACTGAAAAGATGGGCTTTATTCCCATTATGGTCATTTAATTACATCCCGGGAGAGAGGACGGTGCTTTTTGTGTTTGTCTACACTCAAATAGAAGACAGAACGCCGTGGGTTGATTTCTTTGGGCGTCATGTAAATGAGGTTTTACGTAACCGGGGTAACGGATTAGAGGAACACATTTCATGGTTGACTGTAAACAAACAGACTTCTGCAAGGAATCGCTCATTGTGTTGGGGATCGTTTTCTGCAACGTCAGAATAAAACAGGAAAGACTCTTGCAGAGTCTCTATTATAGACGAATATTCTTTGACTGAATAAACAGAAACTAGAATAAGTGGATCACTATTCTACTCGTAAAAACATCTCTCAAATAGCTGTTTTTTGTTGAGAAGCTAAACAGCAGTTCACTGTAGATTTTAGCAAAGCATCAGATTAACACACGTTGTCAGCAGGGTGGGGTTTGTGGGGTTAAGTCAAAATAAACAACAAGCAATGACGACACTGGAACAGAAAGGAGGCGTTAAATAGACAGACGATAAAAATAAAAATATTACCACCAGATCTACTCCAATAGCGTTAAATCTAAATTCAGAGCATTAATAAAGCAACAAACCCCTATTTACGATCGGTCATCATACCGGGATGGGACTCGCCCCGCCCATTTTACCCAGCATGCATCGGAGCAGACTCGCCCGTTCTTGTGAGAGCCAAATATCCCAGAATGCATTTCATCTGAGCAGTCATTGATGACAGAGGAAAATAAGCACTACTGTGGGTCGAAGTTTACGAATAGCCAGAATGTAACTTTAGGAATTTTTAGTTTAGTTAAAGTTCGTTGTTTAATCAAGAGCCTGCTGCACTGTGGCTGGTCCACCCGGCCCTGTGATTGGTCGAGTCTGGTTCCTACATCTCCGCCCACTGAGCCCCCCCACTGTGCCCCCGTCCCCTCCCACTGAGCCCCCCACTGGGACTCCAGGGTTTCTCCATCTGGCGTGGACGTTGTTAAATAACCTCAGGTCGCGGGGAATGTTCCTGGCCTTTATTGCACACTTAGAGCGGCTGTTACCGGAAAACGCTCATTTAAATTATAATGCTCGCTGTGTGTGTGTGTGTGTGTGTATAAACACAAACCTGTACAAGTTGTGTGTCAAATACAATTTTGATGAAGCAAAAAGCCACAGCTAAGTCTTGATGTTGATTTTACGTATAATCCTTTAAATCTGCTGGCTTTTGCTGATTAATTGACTAATTTACTAATAAAGTATCAATCAATTAAATTATTGTATTAGTTTGATTTACATCCTCTGATTCTAAAACATGAGCGCTTTTATTTAGCCTGACAGCAAAGAGAGTATTTTAGTGTTTTGGACCGTTGGTCATAAAAATCATTTCCATATGTAAGTACCGGTAAGTAAAATGTATTTATACATCACAAGGTGCTTTACAGGCAAGAAGAGAAAAACACAGAGTGACCAACAGGGCCAATAAACCACGATACACAATGTAAAACTCCGTTTAAAAGCAGCAGTAGGAGAACGTGGTGTACAGGAACGGCAGTTTAAGAAGCTGTGTTTTGAGCTGCTGAGCGACTACGTCCACAGAATCTGCAAACTCCTTAATGATGCTTCTGACATGAAGAAACGTGATCCAGACGGCTGCTTAACAAGGGGCTCAAACGCATCGATCAAAGAAGGTCCCTACGATGCAGGATGCAGGTCACCTGTACCCATTTACAAAATGTCTTTATTATGGGAAAATACTGCAGTGTAGAAATGAGTACAGCTGCATCCTCAGATCCAACAGATCACGACCATTTGTTTGTATTTCAGCGTCTCGTGTTTCCAATAGAAACTAAGCTTTCTGTACAAAAAAAAAGAGAAAACAGCCGCCCCCCCTCAGTCTCTTCTTGGCATCGATCCGCCGGCCTCCGCAGAGACAACCGAGCCGCGAGTAAAAACCCGCGCGTGAGCTTCCCATCGGCCCGGCCAGGAAGAGCATCTTTTCATTGAACGCGAGCCTCGAGCACCACGAAGTGAAGCCGCGTCTCCTTCAGCACGTTTTGGTTTTCGTGTCGCTACCTGACGAGGAATCCCTCCCAACGAGGAGGCTTGTTTGACTTGAGGCCCCCCGGGGGGCAGAAGGCAGGGGCCCAATTCCCCCCCCCGAGCCCCCCAGCGACTGAGCCGACGTCACCTGGTCGGTTTGAGTGAGAGAGACGGCACTTTGCTGTCACCATGACAACGTGAAAAGACATGACTCACAGCTCAGGGTATTTATTTAATACTTTAGGACGGTTCCCTCCTTAATGTTCTAACTGTAAACATGTTATAATGAACACGCGTGTGCCGTCCTCCTTTTTTAACGTCTCATCTCGTTCTCCCGTTTCTAACGTCACTTTGCAATGACTTGTGGGTAATTCTCTTGGGCAGAGTCAGCATCTAATGCAGACTTATGGAAATGGTTCATAAAGGGCTCAAAACGTCTGCCAGAGAGCCGCCAAACACTCACAACAATCTGACAATGGAGCTCAACCCTCATGCAGTGTGTGTGTGTGTGTGTGTGTGTGGAGGGGGGGGGGGGGGGGGGGGGGGGGTTGGGATCGGGCCCGGGAGATTTTCCTTCTTTTCGAGGCCGTGGGAAGACGCTCTCCAACATTTTCACGGCCGCGGTGGCACGGCTGTAATTACTGCTTTGTGAATTCTGATAGATGTTTTGGATTAGAAACCGCTGCATTTCTTTTCTTTTCTCCGCCACTGAAGCCACGACCCTTTCAGGGCTGAATCTCTAACGACGGAGATCAGAGGAGATCGTCTCAGAAGGAGAGCGACATAGCGGGTCGACAGAGACCCGGTTAGATGGAAATCTCAGTGTACTGATGGTGGATGAAGAGAAGCAACAACAACACGAAGCGATGCGCCCGGCGCTAAACGAGGCAGCTTCATCGATCAGGGGGACAGATGAATCGCGGAGGCCTTTATCGGAGACGGGGGAGGGGGGCAGGGGTGCGGAGCGAGCCCGGAGCAGCGGTGGGGGTCTCTTGATTGAGGACGAGAAGACATGCAGGACGGAGACAGGGCGGCTGGTTTTGCTCTGATGAGAGTACGAACATTAAGGCGTGTTTGCACAGCGCATTGTACACACACATAACATGATATTAGAAGCCTAAGTGGAACAAAGACAATCATCTATTATTAACAGAGGGATTCGAATGAAAGAAAAGATCCTTGGGGGAGCATCTGGACCTCCGAGTGGGCGGGACTTTGTGTGTGTTTGATTGACAGCTCAGAGGGACCGCTGCTGCCAGATAAATGTTTGCGAGGGATGTTTTTAAGCCGTTTAAATAAATTAGATGCATTTCCGCTCACTGATTTCCTCTTTATAAAGCGGTTTACGTCCTCCGCCAATTCATACCTGTTTATCGAAGAAACCTTTAGTGGCCACGGCCATTTATGAAAAGTCAAAACATCAAACATTCATAATGCACCGTAAACTGATACACGAGTTGCTTTTCTTCTGCTGCTGCATTTCTAAAGGTCATTTTGTAGCCGTCACCGGGTGTGAAGCATCCCCCACTGAAGTTGCGTAGAGACCCGACTTCTTGTCGGGTGTCTCGCTGAACAAACGGCGCCCCGTGGACGCAGAGGACGATCGCCGGCCGCCACGCAGCCTCTGGAGGGGCTTCCTCCAGAGGCTGCGTGGCGGCAGCGGGCCGTGTGCACACGCAGAGATCAGATTGCACAGAAGTGGGTGGGCTGTCATGACTGCAGGCTTTAAGAGAATCTCCCACAAGCGACGCAAGACCGCGTCTCAGCGAGGGGGGGGGGGGGGTCTCTTACCTCCGAGCCTCGGACGAGCACTCTCTGCAGGAGGCTTAGCGCCGTCTGCAGCCCGCGTTTCTCCAGGTGAGCCCCTGAAAACGACAAAGAGACAGCACAGAAAAATTAATTTCCAAAAGCAGAAGGAGGTTGGAGAAAACAGGCCGTGCATATAATATCAAACTCTTCTGAGAAGCTGCTTTTGGTTCAACCACCAAACTGAAACCTCGTTCCAAGTCTCGTTTTCGAGTCGCATCACGTTCTCAGATGCACCACTTCATTTGTTCTCGCCTGTTTGCACTCAATAAATCCATAAAGCCTAAACGAGCGGTAAATTATCCAAGCGTTCTTTGCCATCGGGGCTCATGGAGAACGCCGGGCGGCTCGGTGTTTGTGCCCACGTCGGAATGATTAATGCTCGTGTGGATTCGATTCTTCTTTCAAACGCTGGGAGCCTTATTGAAACAATGGAAAGAAAAGCCGCCCCCCCCCCCCAAAAACCACAGCGCCTGTAATCGGCCGCGAAAGCGCTGGAACCGGCTCGCGGCGACTTCACGCCGCGACGGCCGTCGTCTTGTTGCCGTGATGGAGAAGTTCGCCCACCCTGTCCGATCGCCTTTAAGCGATTTCTCCCCTCATCCCGATGTCGACGGCAGCGGAGGCCGAAACCACACAGACGTGATCCGAGCTGGGAGAGAAAATGAAGGCAAATCCTGAGAGCTTTGAAATATATTAACAGATGCGACTTATGGAAGGACTCTTGGTAGGTATTTGACTGGAGTTTAATTAAAACAAAAGCTTTGTTGATATTGAAAGTCCTTTCATCGGGAGCCCTGGTGGCCTCAGAGGTGAAACTCACGTCGTTTTCCATCGTCTCAATGCAAATGATGACGTAATCATTTAATGTGACATCTGTACATTTAATAAAACAAAAGTCTGTCCCGTTCAGAGGTGAAGCTTCATGAGGAATTTACGGCGTCAGACTGACTGACACTTATTTGTATCAGTGTTTTCACTTTGTGTCTCTGCACGTTCGGTTCCCTGCAGCAATGAAACACTGATCTCATCTCATCTCATCACCGAACTGACTAAACAAACGCTCACACGGCTTCGTACGGGGGCCCCGCTTAGGGAGGAAATTGCAGAAGTGCCCCGCGCACACAATATGTGCCCCCCCCAGGATGAACAAGCTTGACCCAGCTGACCGTAAAGTGTGTCTTGTCCTCCAAGAGACGCTGTGACAGCCCCCCTCCCACAAAGCAGACTGGGTTCACTTGAGACTAAAGGGCGAATAAAGGTCGCAGTAATGACTCCAATAGCTCTAAAGCCTGGGGGGTCGGGGGGAGGGGGCACAGAACAGTCCGTTCTGCTTCCTGTAACGCCCGTTAGCATTAATAATCCATCGCCCCGCGTTACATCTCCGCTCCCCGCTCGTCACCGTGTCAACGCCGGGATGTAAATGAGAAGGCGTGCATTAAGGAGCGACTCGGCAGATGTGGGTTTAACGAGAGGTGACGGCAGCAGCTGTATGTGACCTAAATCTGAGGTGGGGGGGGGTGGACCTGGAGGCGGGCACCGCCTTTAGAGACCATACATGTGAATTGTGTCGGCGGCAGACATGAGAAGATGAGACTCAAAGGCCGTTTTCTTCTCTATATTCACAGAACCCCCCCAAGACCTTCCAGCGTAAAGGGGAACTGCCAGAACGAGGTCTCCACACCACACAGATCGATCCAAAGAGCCGGGTCGCTTCCCCGAGGCCATTATTGCGTAAAGGCGTCCCACCAACAAAGAAGTGTGATTCAGATCAGAATTATATGGACACGGACGGATGGACCAAGCGACACGTATGCAGGCAGATTGTTTTAGTTACGGAAGAAGTTTCTTCAGATACCGAAGGTGAATGTGTTCATCAATCTTGACAAATGTTGATTAACGCAAGAGGAGATTGCGTTAGGGAGGGAGGGAGGGAGAGAACAATGTCCATCAGAGGGTCGGTGGTCCGATCAGCCGCATGGCGTGAACGTGAGTGGGTATCAGTGGGGGAATGAGGACATTAAAAAAACAACTATTAGTCGATGAAAGAACATTCAATATTCAAACACTAGAGATTTTATATCAAAATGATGAATAAATTATACTCCAAATTAACCTGGAGTAACAATCAATAATCACATCAAACTGCTTCAACGGTGAATGTGAAAACAACAAAACTTAAAAAGATGATTGTTAGTTGCAGCCTCAATATGCACGCAAGTGGATTATTCCAAATATACTGGCATTGGAAAAGTAGTTTGTGCTGGCTTTTTATTTCTATTTATGTCAAATATTGTTTCTTAATTCCTGGTGTATTTTCTTGCGTTGAACGGAATCTCCATTGATGGAATATTTCAGCCCTGAACTGTAATAACATCCGCGGCTCCAGACCAGAACAAACAAATCAAAGCGCCCGTTCCCACGGCAACATGAATCGGACCGGCCGTCAGGAACCAACATCCCCCCCCTCCCCTCCCCTCCCCCTTCCCTCCCGCCAACGAGTCTTGCGGCGACCTGAGTCCAAACGTCCGGCGGGTTCTCGGAGGACTCGTGCTGCAGGGAAACACTAATCGCCTCGACAGTTGCAGTCAAAGCGCGAGCCGAGCAGCTGATGTCGACATGTTCAACCCGCCGGTAGAGTGCAGGAATTATTCAACGGATTCAGGCGCTGCTGCACATTGTGACCACTGCCGTCTCCGCTGCAATCTGGTGCATGAAATAATTCTGTAGGAGGGGGATGAATACTATAGAAAGGTGTGTGTGTGTGTGTGGGGGGGGCCGGTGAAGTCATGATTTGGTGCTTTGAGGGCAGCGACGGACACGTAACACGCGTAAAACAGAACGTGCAACAATGTAAATGTGTGAGTGGAGGCGGTGAGCGTCCTCAAGCCAACAATAGAAAACCAGACACACATTTAAAGTTAGAAATGACTGGTGTGGCGATAAACAACCACACCCTCAGCCGCCGCTCACCGGTCCCGTAGCTGTGAGGACACAAGGGCGGCACGTTGTGTTATTCGCCCGTGAGTGACAGACGAACGTGGCGGATGGTCTAACATGATGCGAACTCAATAACTGTTGATACCCTGGAATGAACAGGAACGTCTGTATAATATCAGCGCGCGATTGGCTCCCTTTCTTGCGGCCTCCCTCCCTCCCTCCCTCCCTCCCCCCCCTCAAGCACAACAGATTTCAACGTTTCACGCGTGACCGGCCCCCAAACATCGTCTGCGCTCGATCAAAAGGCTGCGAGATATCACTTCAACGCGAAGGGTGGAGCTCCAGCCAGGAAACACACAAAACACGCCGCAAGCGCTACGGTCCTGAATAAATGACGTTTAATGGGCCGGCATTCCGCTGAAGACCACACGCAAATAGATCGCGCCATAACAGACGGGGCCAGTATCGGAGACATAAAAATCACCGGGCGATAGATTTACGTCCCCCCCCGGCTTTGGTGTTTGCCTGTCTGGCAGCCGGGGGAGCTTTGGAGTGCGATAGCGTCTTCACAGGCGCGGGGGGGGGGGGGGGGGGCGAACGCCGCGGCGATGAGATCGAGTTTTTAAATCGAACGCCGCGGCTTCCATTTGCTCCCGCCTCCGGCTTGAGCAGCTCGCCGCGGCTCCTGCGATCGATGCTGGCGAGAAGACCTGAGGCCAGAAACCGTGCTTCTACGAGGAGGACGAGCTGTTCCGACAGCTTGATGTTCAATCGATCGTTAAATACGTTTACGCCCCCCGAGAGGAAAACCCTCCGTCATCCGGGTCACTGCTCATCGCATTGTTGGCTTTCCACTACAAATAAAAAAAAACACAATCAAGGACAATGACATTCGACCGTGCCGTTATTTACAGAGAGATGCTTCATTCAGGTCCACAGTCGAGATGTTCGAGCTCCTTCAGGCGATGAAGGAGAAACTATGCTGATGCTTTTTGAATGTTACAATGGAATATAAATATATCCACATTTGCCTTAAAGGGTTGCTGCTCCTCCCAATTAGAAAAAAAAGACTCATTGCAAGTTAGATTTCTCAGGAATTGGGATTGATATCGGCGCCCGACTGAAGCAGCTGGTCCGCTCAGCGTGCGAAGTCGCCGTTCGCTTCAGCGGCTTGAGGACAGACGGTTAAAACACTTCTTACCGGCCGCAACACAAGAGACCTGCAAAGGGGAGATCTTTCCTTCCGTATCTCGCCGTTTAGAAATGGGCTTTTATCTTACAAACCCGGAAGAATAACAACCAGAAACTGACGTATTTTATCAAATGTACATTGTGCAGAAAAAGCATACAAGATGCACAGTATTTAGTTTAAAACTGCATTTGTCACAAATGTTTCAACACTTGCCGTTTTTTTGTAAACAGACAATCATGTTGTCTGAAAATACGTACAGTACCCACAAAAGGACGTCTCGCCCTGTACTTCTTCTGAGCGCTTTACCCTTCAGACAGAGCGTCTCACCCGGCCGCAAAGCGCCGCATGAATATCGGAATCATCCCTGAAGACACAGAAACATTCAGACCGTTTACAGCCTTGGAACCCACAAGTACCTCGAGCTTTCTACTCCAATGTGAATGTGGAAAGTCCCACGCAGAAAGCTTTGTTCCTCCACAGCCCGGGAAGCTCGTCCTCAGAGGAAGGGAACGGAAAAGTCTCGTCTCACAGCTCACATTCATTTCGTTCCGCTTTAAAAAAGGGAACAAACGGCTTCATAATCCCAGTTTGAAGGGACGCGCCCGACTCCACAAACAGCAGCATGGAGACGGGACGAGGACGGGTACGGACCTGAAGGAGGACCAACGTGCTGACCGCCACTCGCTCTCGGGTGGTGGGACTGTGGAGGATCCACCGGGTGCTTAAAGTTCCATTTGTTATATACTTCACACGTCACTTCGTGTTTTAATGGAAGGCGCGGCGCATGAACTAGAGTGAATACAAGAGACAAAAGGTGCCGACCACTCGTTTGACCCTCCAGTGCACAAGGTAGCACGTAGGCTAGTTGGCTAGCATGCCAACGATGGAGCGGCTTGTGTTGTGGGTTGAGAACATTCCTCTAACGAAGAACAAACGAGATGATTTATTATTTACTGTTAAATTGGACTTCTTACTGTACTGGAGGAGCTCGCGCGCTTTGATTCACAGCTCCCGACACCATATCTGACACGGCGTGTTCAAAATAGCACCGTCGCTGCCCTAAAAATATCCCCATGTGATGTGAGGCTGTCAACATGTGACCCGTTTAAACAGTACAGACAGGCCAGAGGCTAAATAAACACACGCCTAATTCTGCTTTTCATCGCGGAGAAAAAGACAGATCTTATCTGCAAAACATTTACCGACAAGCTATAATTTTGATTCCACCGCATCATTAAACAGCAGGATTTATAAGGTTAAGAAGTAATCCTTCAGTTGTCAGACTTGGTTGATTTTTATGTTCTAATTGAGTAAAAACAGGAACTCTTACTTCTATTAAATTGAGAATTCTTTATTTCAGGTTGCCGCCGTAGAAGCCACTTAGTCTTCTGGTTTTGGGAAAGATTGTGGTTTTGGTTTGATATTGAAAAATGTAACAGTGGCTTGAAGCACAAAACCAACTTAATGAACATTTAAGCAAAACCACAGTTCTTCCCTCAATGCCGAAGCACTTTGGTACACTTAACGTAACCACACTTGGGCGCCAACGTTCTGTGCTTGTGTACACGCACCCCCCTCCAACAGAGCAATGTTCACCATGTGAACGAGGTCGTGCTGAGGTCACCCAGTGGGTTGTGGACTCATGCTTTGAAGCCCCAAGTTCGACAAAGCCTGATGCACATATATAGTTATGGTAAAGACCCGCCAATCACAGTAAGCCCCGCCCTAAAGCATCCCCTGCTTTTACTAAATGCACTTAAGGCGTCAGTGTCAACGATTAGCAAGATGGGAAAAAAGATGCTAATAATAGTTTATAGAGCGGATAAAGTGGAGCTGTAGACGGAGACACTCGAGGTCTCAACTCCACCTGGGACCCCCCCCCGACCCACAATGCACCCCTTCCTCCGGTGGCGGATCCACATCCAACCAGCAGGATGCAAAGGAGCAGCACATCTGTGTGCCCGGACCCACTGCACAGTTTGGCTCTGCAGCGACTACCGGCCCTGCTCATCCACCCCCCCCACCGCCCCCCCTTTGCTGCTGCAGCACATGAGAATCAGATTCTTTGCAGGGGAAGGACAGACGCCCACCCATCCTGTTGTTCTGGGGAGGTGGGACAGCATCTGCGCACCGCTCGCACACATGCACAGGAAGTTTAACATTCCACCCAACTTCCATCACCGGCCGGCAGCTGAGCCACAAACTGTGGCAGCGTGTTTCCGGCAGCTGGGGGGGGGCGGCCCCCCGCTGCGCCGCTGCAGCACACCACCCACAGCCGCAAATAGGCAGCGGTTGACATTACCTCTAGTAATTAATGCAGCGGGGTTTATTTTATCACCTGCTCTCGGCTTGGCTCCGCTCGCAGAGAAGGAATTTCTAAAAAGCTTTTTCCCCCCCGAAAGGCTTAAAATTTCCGAGCTGAGGCTTAAGACCGACATCCTGCGTTGCTGCCCTAAAGCTGCCCCGTCAGAAAGCACGACGGAGACGCAAGCCCCCCCCCCTGTTCACCCCCGCCGATTCCTTGACAACTGCTGCAGGCTTCCCGCCGGCATTTGACATGCTCCGATTCGTTCCCATGACCAGGAACTGAAGCACATGACCCCCCCTCGCGCAGTCTGCAGAGTACGCACGTCACCCTCACGCAGCAACGCCACATTGACCTCGACGTGGTCCTCCGCTGGCGTCCCACATCCCCCTCTCCCCCCTCCCCCTTTTGTCTCATCAGCGCTGGCTCAAACTCACCGAGCTGACTCCGTTTTTCCCGGCACGCCGTTGCCAGGTTGGACAGCTCCCGGTATTTCTCCGCCAGTTGGACTTTGCCGTTGCACAGGCGGGGCTGTCGGGCGAGGCTGTCCTCGGCGAGCCTCCGGTTGGTCGCCTGCAGCGTCTCCCGGTCCACCTGGAGCTCCTGGAGCTGATCACAAGGACAAGAGTCAACACATGCGCAGTCTTTCAAGTCATTTTAAAAAGGTGGGAGGACCGGATTCCCTCAGTTTAGACTACCGAGGTCCGGCTGAACTATAATGGACATTTATTCACGTTTTGGACTAATTCTCCCCGTTCGTGGCGTTATAGCCGTGCAGCGGGCAGCTAAGCAGCAGAGAAGCGGGGGATGTTTCAGCTCTCTAGTTGCAGCGGGATGTAAACTGAAGTCGCTTTTAAAAACTGAATCATTTCTTTCCCCCAAATTGACGTTTTTAAATGTAAGTATATTGGAATAAAACACTCTGAATATTTGCTTTGCTGAGGTTGACAATACATCAATAGTGAGGCCAACAATAAGTATGAATAATGTCATCTTTCTGCAGAACAACTATTGATACTTTATAGTAATACTACATTGCTGTACTGGAAACTGTAAAAAGGTCAGAGTCATCTATGGAGGAAGGTCACATTTCTAGATGTGTGAAACATGCTGCTGGGGGGTTCTGGGTCTGTCATGTGTAACGGGGGTAATCGTCGTCGGACCATAAGACAGCTATAAATTATTCAAATGAAAGCCCCTCCCCCTCAGAGTCATCAGCGCGGCTGTAAAGAGGCCGTCTGTGTGTCAAACGCTGACACAAAGACACTTTGTGAGCTTCACGCTGCAAAAAAAAAAAAAAAAAAGAAAGAAGTCGAGTCTGAGTCGTCTTTGACGGCATTCCTCCCACCCGGCCGGACGCTTCCTGCTGCTCCATTGCTTCCTTTCAACGGCCGGTCACCGGGAGGGGCCCCGAAGGCCGGTGCTCATGCGGCGCATCTGTCTTACATTTTACGGGTCACCAAAAGGAAGCAAATCGAGGCTCACGTTCAGAGGAATTCGCAGAATGTGGCCCGTAGTCAAAAGAAAGGCCGAGAAAGGGACACAACAAGAAAAAACGGCTGTTCCAGATAAAGGATCTCAGATCTCGGGTACCGCTTTCTTCTAAGCAGCCGTTCTACATCCCCCCCCCCCACCACGTTCATCAAACGTCTGCTGCAGCCTTTGGGGCGCGAGCGGGCTCTCTTTGTGTTGTGGCGACTGCAGAGCCGGCTGACAGCGTTCACCGCCGCTGACAAATGGCACTCGGGGAACAATTAAGTCTCGGGAGTTCCGCGCCGTCGGCTTCTCTCCGGGGTTCAACGCGTCCGGGCAGCGCGCTCGGCTTTCTCTTCCGTCGCGATCGGGCCTCTGCGGTCCGAAGGGCCGTCAGTTTAACACTCGGCCTGAGAGGGGGAAAGGTCTTTTTCAGTGGAAGGAGAACGCGTTGGTGCCCTCAGCTCTCACTGCACCGCTTGGGACCAGTTTAAAAGAGCAGCCGTGATCCATATTTTCATGAGATCAAACGACGTGTAATGTAATAAAAAGGTGTCCGATTTCTGCTGAAAGCCACACACACACACACACACAGTCATTGAGCAGCAGGAGGGACACTGGGAATATTGGACAGAAAACATTGCTCCAAATAAAACGTTGCTCTGCAGCTGTAAATAGGCAACGGTTCATCAATCAACACCATAGAGACGTGATACCGGCGTTTACAGCTCGTCATTGCAGGTTTTGCATTAATTAGTTACGCAAATGGGAGAAAATTGAGAAATATCCCCCGAGGTCTCATCAAGGCCTGACGCCGTTTCAGACCGTGGAACTGCAAATACCACAAAAGCGAACCTTTGCTTGGTTTTGCGTTCACGTCGTTAATTTGGAAATGCAGAACGCTCGACAGATCAGGCGTGGACGGACACGCCGTTAACGAGGGATGAGACACGAGAGACTCTTCGCGTAGAGTCGATTACGTCCCAACAGAAACGTCCTCTGCAACAAACACAAGCTCTCTATTATTAGTTGTTAAGCCCGTCACACTGCTCTGCCCCCGAGGGGGGAGAGAGAGGGGGGGTGGTGTTGTATGACCTCTCGGCGAGATCCAACCTCCGTGGTTCCCATCAGGAGCGCCAGGTTTCAAATGTCACATCCAGCGCGTCCGAGAACCCCGGGGCGGGTGACTAACGCGCGCCTTTGTCTGCAGAGCGGGCGTCTCGGTAAATAAAAGATGAAGAGTGTCGTTGGGCACGGCGGCGAGAACGTGTGCGATGATGAAGATGACGATGGCGATCAGCTTAGGTTTCACTGCACACTCTATTGTTATTCCTCCATCAGCACTTCTGCGGCCAGATGAATCCTCACCGAGAAGCTCTGTTTGAGCAACTGCTCCAAGGCAAACCTCATCAAAATGGGGCCCAAGGAAATGTTTGGGGAACCAGCGGCACATTGTGTGTGTGTGTGTGTGTCAAAGAGAGGGGTTCATTGTGGCTTTAAGGCAGGAAGGTCACCTGCAGCCCAGGAACGGACCATAACAAAGGTCACTGGAGGCGTTCAGCTTCAATCTGAGACACCAAGAAGCAACGCGCTGCCGGAGACACGGACACTTCTAAAAGTTCACACTGTATTAAAACAAGTCTCGGTTTGACTCGCGAAGTGATGCCGAATAAAGTATCACACCGCGAGAACTCCGACGTCTCCTGCCCGGCGTGCGAGTCCTCCTGCTGGGGGGAGGAAACGGTTAAACGCCCGTATTTCAAAGGGGGGTTCGCGGTGAGCACGTAGAGGCGCTGCGGGGCTTCCTTCCCCGTAGGGAGGCTTGCAAAATGCAAAACTACCCCTCATTCGTACAACATTTAAATTAATTAACCCCTCGCGTTCCAGCTCGCTTCAGCAACTATTAATTAACGGGGGGGGGGAGAGAGAGAGAGAGACCCGACCGCTCGCCACGCAGACAACCGGTGAGGCGCGTGGAGCGAATTCTAACGCACCGACGCTCGTTTTCTGAGCCGAACAAAATAAACGGTAAAAGTCCGTAAAACACCGCGTCGTTCACGGCAACAGAAAGCGGTTCAACAAAGCGTCAAAGTGGCGGTAATTCCGCACGGAGCCCTGGTTGTTTTTTGCGGGCGCGGGCGGGGGGTTGCGGAGGGGAACGTTACTACCTCACCTTCTCATTGAGCCGGAGGATTTGGTCCATTTTGTCGTCGTTCAGCAGAAGCTCCCTCAGCTCGCCGGCGCTCAGGGCGCGGTAGCCGTCGGGACAAGAGTTCGCCTCCTTCGGGTCGGACATGTTGGGTCCTCGCGGGCGGCGTGGGGGCGGCCGGAGGAGACGCGGAGTCCGCACGGCGGTTACATCGCTCCCCACATCGGAATGCCGATCGGCCCGCACGCGGCGGCGTCAACGAGCGCGCCGACCGGCGGCCACTGCACTTCCGGCCAGCGCCTTCAAAATAAATCACTTTTTGAAAAAACATTTTTATTTTTTATTTTTTTAAATAGACTGTATTTTTGTATTTCGCCTATTTCGTTCTATTTACTGAACATTTTCTATTCATAATCATTGCTGATGGCTACTTGCTTTTTCTTTTCTCTCATGTTGATTGCTAAGCATAATAAATGACAAAAAAGAGTGCAAAGAATTTATTCTAATAAGAAAAGACACCAACAATTCATACAACCGTTCAGATAGTATCATTCATATTTAAGGAGGAAGGAAACACACCAAATTAAACTGTTAAACAGTAGAGGGGAAAGTCACTGTAACAATAGCAACAATTAACGTAACAACTTTCACTTGTACCACCAAATACAGCTTTAAAACCGGAACTGCATTGTTTTATAAATAGCTCTATCGTTACGTTTTATTTATTACATCATGGTGCATCCCATAACTATTATTAAAAAGCAAATCACGTTTTATCTGTACAGGCAGGATGTCAGGTTGCTACACACTACGCTTAGGTAAACTAAATATTATGCTGCACTTCTAAAATACATTGAACATTTTATCCACAACACGTGAAATCTTTGTGTGAATAAAACACAAAACAATTTTGGAACAATCATCTTAATAATCAACCAAATTCATACAGCATGTTATACTTTAAACAAAGTGCCTTTGGTGGTTAAACTGGGATTAAAACATTTCAGGACAACATTGAGACCAACAAAATCAGGCAATAAAAATATCCCAAAATAATATAAGCCTCTGATAAAACAGATAATACTGTAACGGAAAGTACATTTGTGTTTTCACCGTGGTATGTGGTTGTTTATTGTTTTTTTGCATATAATTTCTGATGGTATTTTTAAAATTGAATCGAATTGGACGTTTATATATTTCTATCTGTTGCTGTAATAGTGTTGATAAAGATGCACGTTTTTAACATAAAATAAAGTTTTTTAGGAGTCAATATTCCTTTTGAACTCTTTTTCAAACAGCATTGTCTCCTCTCATCTATCAACACAATCTAATATTTATACGAATTTTCAAAAAAGAAAGCGTGGGCTTGCTGTTTCAAACCCACACCTTTAGCTACAGCTACACTTCCGTTTTAGATTCTTCAAAATTAAAGTCCTTGTGAAAAACGAAAGATTTTCCTACGAAAATGTTTTCTGTTAGAGAGCCAATAACTATATGAACCTAATTATAAGACAAATCCTTCTATTAATGTGGTAAACAATCCAAACTCTTCCTGAACTACATGAAAATATAACTGTCTTACGTGGTTATGATTGTTGGCAATCACAGCACATTAATACACACTAAATATACACTGACAAGTACATTATAATGTGTTAAATCCATCAAAAAAACATTTTAATATATTTTCATGTGCTAAATAATATATTATTAGTTAAGTATTCCATCAATCAGCTGCACAGTGGACAATGCCAGCACAGACTGTAAAAAAGAAAAAAGGAAAGAATCTTGTCTTTTTCTTCACATTTTTAAATTGTTTAACCTCAGTGACCTTCCTGTTTTCGCTGGATTTTTTTCCCCCAAAAAAATTTCCCCTCTTTTTTTTCCCCCAGCTTTTTCTTTTCCTGCATTGTCTCTTTGGAGCGCCGTCAGATCACTTAATCCTAAACCGAGGCATTCAAATCCACTTATATTCATTAAAACTTCCCGAGGGCTACGTAAGGCAGTGACTGATGACTGGCAGGATGTTATTATGTGGTCAGAGTGTGAGAGATTATGTATGTGGGTCACCAAACTGCTGGCTTAACGGCGCTTTTTCATAAACGGAGATCAAATAACTATGTTTTTTGGTAGAATTCTTTCCCTTTTTGAATCCAATGTTTGGATCCACAGAGGACGACCGGGCTGAGAGGCTGCTGAGGGCCTGCTGCCACCCGAGGGGCCCGACACGACCCCTGTGGAGATGGAACGTATAAGACGGAGGATGAGCGTGACATTACTCCAAGCAGGGTAAGAGATTGTTTTAACAATACTCAAGTGCGAGTTCGACTCCATGACTTCTACATGCACGGACTATGTTAACATGCTAAATTACTTAAATGCAACCCAGCTACATTGACAGGTGAGTCAAAGCTCATAAAGCGCAACAACAATCAACAGCTGTACAATCAGAATGCAGCGTCAACCACACGGCAGCATAAAAACATTTTTTTTTTTTTATAGTTATTTTAAGCCTTCGACGGCTCGACTGATGACGCAGTCGTAACCAAACCGGGATCAGAGTCTCTAAAACTTGGGATTCAGCAGAAAAGAAGAAGGAGGAAATGCCTCTGAGCCTTGTCTGCTTTCTAAACCAATCAATAGGTTTTTTACTCAAGTTTTCCTATTTAATGTACTTACTCATAATTGTATTGTACTGTTTTCTCTACCACATTTCGCTGACGGCTTTAGTTTCTTTTCAGATGACTGTTTTTCATCCCCTTCCTGCCAAGTGAAAACCACGTGTCCAGATGCGGATGTAGAGTGTTTCTGATAAACTGAATAAAGAGATAAAGGAAATCCTCCTTCCCCTTAAATGGAATCAACTATTTTAAAAAGCCTCTTAGCTGAAAACAGGCAGGTTGTTCTTTTTAGACGCTACAAACATGGATGATTAGAATATGAAGTATTCCTGTAGATTAAACTGACCACATCCTTTGCCTGGAAAATGAGTCACGTATGTGTTCTGCCTCTTCTTTGTCCTTGAAAACCACACATTAACTACAGACAACCACCCCTTCTACTTATGAAACACATGAAAACCTTCCACCTGCCCGGGGGACTTCGTTCTGATCCAGAGGGTTGACAGCGTCTTTACTTGAATGATCTCTCTCCCGTTCTCTTGTGGTCCTAAGCCACATCGTCGTAGTCCTCTTCCCCCTCGGTTTCATCTTCACCCCCGATGTCGTCGTAGTCGTCCTCTGAGAAACTGTCTGCTGCTGGATCTAGATCTGGGTACCGTGGAATCAGAGGGAGAGGCTCGTCCTCACCCACCGCCTTCAAAGAGTCGGACTGCTTGTCCTGCTCGTAGTCTGCGACGTCCTGGTCAATCTGCTCGTAGTCTGGGACGTCCTGGTCAACCTGCTCGTAGTCTGAGACGTCCTGCTCGTACTCCGGGACGTCCTGCTCGCAGTCTGGGACGTCCTGGTCAACCTGCTCGTAGTCTGGGACGTCCTGCTCGCAGTCCGGGACGTCCTGGTCAACCTGCTCGTAGTCTGAGACGTCCTGCTCGTATTCCGGGACGTCCTGCTCGCAGTCTGGGACGTCCTGGTCAACCTGCTCGTAGTCTGGGACGTCCTGCTCGCAGTCCGGGACGTCCTGGTCAACCTGCTCGTAGTCTGGGACGTCCTGCTCGTAGTGTGGGACGTCCTGCTCGTAGTCCGGGACGTCCTGGTCAACCTGCTCGTAGTCTGGGACGTCCTGCTCGTGGACGATCTGATCAGTCTGATCAGTCCGATCAGTCTGATCATCTGCGGCGTCCAGGTTCTCATAACTTTGGGCCTCTGAAATAAAAAAAAATGTATTAAAGCAGTTTATTATTACTAGATATATGGAGTCTGGACAGTGGGGCAGATGTTTAATTATTTTATGAAACCCTTTGACTCTAAACATATGTTTGATTCCATCAAAATATACAACCATATTTCATACATGGCTAGAACTATTTCACACATCCGTCATCACTCACTTATCTTAAACTGCTTTCCTTATTTCACACATCCCTTTGGCCTTATGGTCAGACACCAGCGAGGGAAGAAGTCCTCAACATCTCAATCAAAGTAACCTCAAGTGACTTTTTCCTCCACTGTTGATTTTGGTCCTTGTGGAGAAAACCTCTGGTTTTACTGTGTGTTTACAGTGTAACACACTTCAGACTCCCTCCGGTTTAGTGAGAAGTACTTCTTGTGTAGGATCGGTGAAAATGACTCGTGTGTATCGTGCTTTGTTTCTTGCCTGTGAGGAGAAACTGTGTCCGAGGAGGTAAAGGTGGGATCTCCGAAACATACTCGCCCCCCTGGTATTGATTGCTCCTGAGGAATCGAGAAGAAGAAATGTTTCACACTTTCGAGTGTAGAATCCAACCTCATGGATCAGTGACACACTTTGTGAAACACATTTATTCACTTTTTTTGCCAGATGAGAATATTGATATAATTCACACATGTGTCCTTCACTAAGAAGCTACAAACGTAAGGCTTCCAAAGGGTTCTTCTTAAAGGTTCTACTCAGGAACCATCTATTAGTCACAAACTCTTTTTGGAAGAAACATTTCATGACTGCAGCAGGGTGGAACTCGGATCTGGTCTCAATTAAAGTTCTACTTTTGCAGTTCAATAATAATCAAGTTATATCTTGATATCTGTTTTTTTTTATCAGAACAAAATCTGCAATTTAAAATTGTTGGGCTCCATCAGGGCCTTGAAAACAACAGCTTTATGTTTTATACTTTAGCTTTATATCTAACCAACAAATATACATGCAGTGTAACTCTTCTCATGTGATACACGGCAAACAAAGAGAATAAATGCATCTCCTTAAATGTGAAACTTTTTCTATTCAATATGAAATCTGAGGAAAATCCAGTGGAGTGAGATTTCCTACTTGGTGGAGAAGCCAGACATTCTCTGGAGCTCTGCGATTCTGAGTTTTCCTTTGGAAAAACAAAAGCAGAGCACTTACTTTCAAGCAATGCAGAAATAAGAAAAGTCTACAATAAATCTTTGAGCAATATGGAAACCAGAGCGTTATTATTTTAGCGAATACTGGATTATGTTGTTAGAAATGATTAAAAAAAAAAAAACATTTGCACATTAAATCGTATTTATACACAATACACAAACAGTATTCATGTTTTCACAATCCTCTTTTTGTATCCATATGTGCTTCTACTTGTGATTACTAAATACAGAGCCGCTGTCTCTGCAGCAGTTTCCCTCAGGGATTATAAAAGTTTCATCTAAGATAATCAAATCCAGTGGGCACCACTAATAATAGCAATTATAATAGCTTTTCTTTGGCTTTGCAGCAAATGCCTCAGAGTAATACTTTCATTGTCATGATGCTGGTGGGTTCTGGGTTTGGTTTCTCTTCCTGTTCCCGCCTTTCATTTGTGGTGATAAAGTATATGGTTTTTCAGTCAACTACAGAAACAGGAAGTTAATAATATTGAAAATGAAACTTAAATCTTCTGTTCACTTCTTTTTTCTGTATATTCAAATTAGGAATAACCACATTGAATAGCTGCTGATGGTTTGAACTTTACGTGGCGAAAAGACTGTATTTTCTGAACGGTTTAGTTTTGCGGTTTGACTTTGCACTTTGCACTTTTTATCTACATTTTTCCACAGCATTAGTTACAACATTTACGCAGAACATGATTAAACTATGAATAAAACATTAAAATAAAAAGTGATTATTATTATTATTATGGTGAAACATGGGATAATATGCATGCTAACTAACTAACATACAGCTAGCGCAAAGGGTAGCATTTAGCATGGCGTAATTAGTAAGTTAGCAGACTAGCGTACAGCTGTCTAGCTAACTAGCTTGAACTAGATTAGCATTTTCAACACGGCGGAATAAAGGCTAGTTTATGCTTCTGCATAAGGGACGCAAGGGACTCTTGCGTGTCCTTTCACACCTCCTTGTGTCCTTGCGTGCGTTGACCAATTTTTTGACGCACGCCTTCCGCAGCGCACCAGGCCTGCGATTGGTCCGCTAACTACGTCCTTTACGAAGTCTCACATATATACGGCCATTATTATAACAAAGAATGTTTACGAGAGAACGAATCAGATTGAAGAACTTTTGTGGGAAGAAATGCGTAAATATGAGCGCTTATACAAGCCGTCATCGGCGGATTATGAGGACGCCGGATGGCCTCTGATTCACGGAGGGAGATCTCCACAAACGAGGGGAACAAAGTTGTGGAGGAAAATACGGGACAAATGTGTCCGCGATGAAAAGCAGCAGTGTGGATGCACGGGGCAATAAAGTCATCCATCCATCCATCGTCAAACCGCTTATCCTGCACACAGGGTCGCGGGGGTCTGGAGTCCATCCCAGCCAACTTCGGGCGATAGACAGGGTACATCCTGGATTGGTCGCCAGCCAATCGCAGGGCTACACAGAGACATACAACCACTCACACTCACATTCACACATCTACGGGCAATTTAAAGTCCCCAATCAACCTGATCCCCAGAGCACGTCTTTGGACTGTGGGAGGAAGCCGGAGAACCCGGAGAGAACCCACGCAGAACATGCAGACTCCACACAGAAAGGCCACTGGGCGGAGTCGAACTCAGGACCTTCTTGCTGTGAGACGACAGTGCTAACCACCACGCCACCGTGCCGCAATAAAGTCAATGATACATAAATAAAGCAACCAACGACTTCTATACACAAAGACGTGACTCTCTAGGTCGTCTTCGTCTGTTTGGTCTGTTAAGGAATTAAGCCTGTTACAACAGTCGTGATTTTGTTAATACTTAAAAGTATTTGAATTCTTCCAGCGCTATTAAAAACATGCTTGAGCATTATTTTTCTGTATTAAGCATTTAAGACAAATACCATTTCGGCTAATAGTGTGATCTAATTGATACTGGGGATATTTTTCCAAATAGTAACAAGCACTCCCATAACATAGTTCACATTATATTTAACATCTGTATAATCCATTTCCCTGTGATGGGATGAATAGTGTTTAAAAAAACTGACTCTGCTGAGATCTGCATCAAATAGTTGCTTAATAACATATTCCCACTTGGCTTTCTTAAGATTATCATGTAGCATCAGTAGCATTTGTTATACAATACAGAGAAAAGAAGAGAGATAAAGAAAGCAAACATTTATCCAATAGGATGTGTTTGGGCCGAGGTTCAACCTACCTGCCTTTGAAATGCACTTGTTGATCAAGATGAAGACGAGGCTGATCAAAATCCACATAAAAATAATAATAATAATAAGCATCCATAACCTGGACGAAAGATCCGTGGGTAGATCCATCTGCTAGACACAACAGCAAAAAACAGGTGCAAAGCTGTTGTCAAAAGACGTCTGACATGTGCCTCCCAGTCTAAAGAACTGAAGCTCTGGAAAGAAGATGCATTCACCACTTCCCCTTTTCATGCGTTGACTGAGTGTTTATTTTCGGTGTTTATGATAGACCTCGAATTCAAACAAGCCTGAGAGGCGAGGGCTCTAGGGACTTTTTTTACTGTAAAGTTGAATGAAGCCTCTGTGCCTAAACTTGACATGACCTAATTTTTCAGCTTATTTTTGTATGCTACCTAAAACATTGTCTCTATGTTCCCTTATCAACATGAGCAGAATTAAATAAATATTCCTTTTTGGTTATCTGCAAGCTTCCGCATCCTCTTTATAACAGCTTCCTGCCAACTTCTGGGAAAGTTTGATGAATACAGAAGCTTTTGGATTGTAATGTTTTGTCACACATAAATGTACATTAAAGTGTAATCTTAAATAACCAACAACTATATTTATCATGAATCATTTTGTAATAACTCGGGTTAAAGGGTTCATTCCTATCCTCATGATGTTTCATCAAACCCTAACTTCTTCTTTTCAAATACTCAGACAGCGCTGTACCTTTTTACAGAACGGCTGTTGCCTTCAGTGTATTTAACATTCTCAGTAAATGAATGATAAAAGCAGATGGCGATGTACCACAATGCGTCATCCTCTGTTGCATGGCAGTTTCTAATTTTCTTAGCGTGCGTGTCTGTGTGTGTGTGTGTGTGTGTGTGTGTGTGTGTGTGTGTGTGTGTGTGTGTGTGTGTGTGTTTCCTCTGGGAGAATCAAACATGCCAAATATTTATAGCTGTGTGAAAATGTGAAGGTTGATGTTTTTGTGATAAATTCTACTGCTCAGTCTCAGTAATGCTAAAGATGTCCAAACCGATATCTCACGCATACATTTTCCCATTGAGTTTGCCTGAAATTATGAGCACTGCACCCATTTTCTCTGTACATTTTCAGTTCCTCTTCAATGACGGTTGTTATATCCGTTGTATAACCCAGAACAGATTTAGTAACAGGAACACCTGCCTTATTGAATTAGATTGTTTAATCAAACATTTAAACAAATTTGAAAACGTTACTTGACGCTTAAGTTAAAAATAAATACCTATAAATTATTTATTGTGAAAGGGGACGCCGGATTCACTTAAGCTAGCTATATTTAAGAGGTAGGAAATGGGCAGTTTACCATCAAAATATTGGTTCCAATAAAATGGTAATTATTTAAAAAAAAACATTATAGGGACGCAGTTGCGTAACTTTAGCATTTGAAAACGTTAAACCAAAATGGATTTATTTGTCATGCATGTTTTTCGTTTTTATCGTAAACGTCACAGCTCAAACGAGCGTTTTCCAGCCGTGGCACACTCACTTTATTTTGGAGGAGCGTACCGGAAAGCGCACTCTTCGCACGCCCTCGCTAGCGCAACACTAGTTGTGATGTTAGCCTGTTTTCTTGGACACTCCTAGCGCTTATCCCGCTGCCCTGGTAGTTGCCTCAAGGCGCCCCTCAGGAAAACCATGGCCGAGCAGGCCTCGGGACCCCCTCGGTCGTCCCAACATGACGGTAAAATAGCTGTGTCCGTGTTTTTGTTGTTGCTGTTGTTGACGGGGTGTTGAGAGCTGCGAGCCCAGAAGCCAGCGGCCCTCCCTGGGCATCCTTGTCAACATAGCCGGGTTAGCATCGTCATGGGCGACGTGTCACTGGCTGTCACTGGCTAATATTGATCAATTAACACTACGCAGTTGGCGTTTTTACGTATCGACGTATTTGTGGGAAGTTACTGAAGCTTTACTTATATCGCCGAATAGCAGCCATACAATTGCACCCTAATATATAACCAAGCTAACGTTCTCTTTTCCACTGCAACTTAGCTGGTTAGCTGTTAGCTGAAGCTAGCCTGACTAATATGCTCTAAAGGTCGGCCTTTGGTGGCCTGGCCTTGTCACTCTTTAATGTGGGTCATATTATATCGGTGCATAACAATGTGCTGTGTTTGGCTTGCACACTCAGGGGCTGGACCGTAATACAGGAGGTCGGTCCTGCAAGGGGCTTCTCCTTCTGGTTCTCAAACAGGGGTCCTGGAGATCCTCTTGGGGTCCTGCAGAAAAATCTATACTGCTTTGAGGGCTCTTCTATTTTTATTTTTGTTGACAGTCACTGCCACGATTTGCAGGTGTAGACGTTTAGGTGTCAGATTATGCAATGAGCATAATAATGACTATAACATTCCACCGGTCACTCCCCTTCACACTGCACATGCCACTTTAACTGCAATTCATCACTTTGTCGTCACTTGTCACTTTGTCTCTTGTCTGTTACTTGTTCGTTAGTGCACTTTATGCTTAATATTTTTCTTTCTAACTTTTTAATATTTAAATTTTTTTAACTTTATTCCCTTGTTTTATACTAACCCATAGCCTTAGCCTTATTCTACTAACCCATTGCATTAGCATTTCATTCCACTTTATTTTATTACTTGTGCACTGTTGTCTTGTCTGTCTACTGTCGCGCACTAACCGCCAAGACAAATTCCTTGTATGTTTGACATATTTTGGCTAATAAATGTTTCCTGATTCCTGATAATGCGAGGTGTTTAGATGTTGATTTTCTTCATATGCTTCACTTTCTACACTTGGTTTTAACAATATATATTTTTTCCATATGCATAATTTGGAATTATAATGAATCCAATTTTTATCCTGCAGTTGAAATGTTATGGAAACTCCTGAGAACCCCCGGTGTGCGATTCAGTGAAGTAATGAGACCCTGACAATGATGGTCTATGGTGCTTTTGGGGTAATTGCCATCAATATATGGAGACGGAGCATGTTGTAATGGTTTTACCACAATGTAATACAGGTTATCAAAATGCTTTTGCTTATTGATCTTCAAAGATATTGATTGATTGACTACAACAGCACTCTGGCTTTGATGGCTTTTAATGTTGTGTGGTAAGAGGTTATATTTATTTCACTTGTATCTCTATATACTCATGTATGCATAGTAAATCTAAGCAGGAAATAACTAGAAGCTGGTCTTTTTTATCAGTTGATGAGGCAGTAAGTGTCGGATATATAGCACACCGTTTTTGTTATTGCCTGTAAAAGTGCTCGGGTCTTTGTCCTCTATATGGAACCTGGTTACTAATGACCTCCGAAGCCTCTTCTACCATCGTTTTTTCAGCATACTATTTCTGGATGTTTACACATATGTGTGACTGCTGAAAAGCGAAGTGAGATTAAGCTTCCTCCGTATTTGCATCTTGTGGAAACTTATTGTTGATTTGTTGATGATTACTGACTTTGTTTACATGGCAATCTTTGTGCATTCGTAAAAGCAAATGCACAAGTTCTTTAAAAGAAGACTACCGTTGGGGTAGTCCTTGTTTTATAACAACAAAGTCCCTCTGTTTTTTGAGTTCACGTTTGCTTAAAAGCACTAAGTAGCCATGTGAATGTGTGTCGAGCTTATGGGCTGATGGAGTTTCTGCTTTAGAGTCCGATCAGCTGTCACACGATCGCTGGCGTCTGTCAATGTTTCCGTTGGTCTGTCAGAGTTTGAGGGTGTCGTCGGCTCTGTGGGCCTCGCTCCGCTGGTTCTGAATGAGAAAGGAAATAGAAAAGATGTAAAGCAGAGCTACGTGTAGGAAAGCACCACACGAGACTTCAAGACGGCCTGGAAGACTTTTGTTCATCAGATTACACTTCGGAGGGTTCGTCTGGGAATAATAATGAAGTAATTAAATAAGTGAGCGTATACTGCATTGATAATTACAAGCATGGACTCTCCAGAGAATGTGCTTCATCATCATCAAATACAACAGATAAACAAAACACTAGGGACTGTTAAAATAACTCTACCTTTACTACTATTGAATGGTGAGATTGATTTATGTTTTCATGTTTTAACTGATTTCCTGTAACTGGGAAATAAGATTTGCTGACCACTTAGATGATACTTGATCCTTTTTTTTTTTTTTTATGTGTAACTGTATCCTTTCACCTTCCTAATGGAATAAAGCAAAAAGTGTAAAGCTGGTCTGGATCTCCAAAGACAATCGATATTACAGTACAACAGTATAATCTTGTAGAGGGATATTATACCTAAATGGTAAGTGAACGTTAATATTATATATTTGTGTACATATTTTCTGCGTTTGCAGAAAAACATTTCTGCGTTTGCAGAAAATATGCAAACTCAGTTATTTTAACTGATACTGCAATATGATTTTCAATATTCGAGGGAATCATAACTTGCGTTTACGTTACAAACTACCGTCTCTCAGAGTCTGACGTTGTGGTTGTGAGACCTGCTGAAGGTCCACGTGTTCCATCTCAGAGGTCTGAGGAGGAAAGCTGTAAATATGTGTGATGTCAGTTTCACAAATGTTTTATGTGAAGAGTAATTGGTTTTCCTCTCATGCCTCCTCAGAGAAGGAGAAAAACAAATCTTGATGAATTGAATTCAAATGGGGCCATCGTTGGTGTCATTAAACATGGTCCCCTATTTACTTCAACTCCCCAGAACCTCTGCATGTTCATTCTTCATTCAGCGGGGAGGCTTGAGACAAAAGTCTCCTTTAAGAATAAAAGACAACAAGCGGAGAGCTGATGTATAAATGCTCCTGTTGTGGGTGAAGTATTCCTTCAACTATAATCGTTGCTTTTGTCTTGTGGATTAATAAACACTTTGATGACGTCCTCACGTCTAAAGAAAGTATTCAAACAATAGAAACAATAAACTCTTTGGGCAGGAGTCAGTTATTTTAATCAAATAAAGTGATTATTATTATTATATATACAATAATATTTATAATATATTATATGTATAATACATCTTTTTATTTATATATATATATATATAGAAAATGTCCGAGAGCGCTGTAGCAAAAAAAGGTCCCGGGGCCCAAGCTTACATCTTCAAATCATTTTTCTTTTGTGAGTAATTTCAAGGTGGTGATTTCATATTTACGTAATGACCAGATGATTGATGTCATATTTCTATTTCATATTTTTCCTTCTCCTTCATCCAGAGGAGCTGCAGCAGCGAGTGGCCGCTCTGGAGCAGGAGAGGACCGAGTTCATCAAACTCAAGCAGCAGCTGGAGGCCGAGTTCAACCAGAAGCGAGCCAAGTTCAAGGAGCTCTACATGTCCAAGGAAGGTGAGGATCCCGTCTCCGTGCACGTGGAGGCCGACGCACGGTGCTGCTCTCCCCTGACCCCTGACCTCTGTGTCCCTGCCCCCCGTGTCGTCTTCCACCCACAGAGGAGCTGAAGAGGCAGAACGTGGAGCTGGAGGGCGCCCAGGTGGAGCTGCGCTCCGTCCTGGACCAGCTGTCTCATGCCCGGAGCGAGATGGAGACCATCAAGACGGTCGCCACCTTGTCGGAGAACACCAAGCAGGAAGCCATCGACCAGGTCCGCGGCCAGTGGCAGGAGGAGGTGGCTTCGCTGCAGGCCATCATGAAAGGTGAAACCCAGCTGGGACGAAAACAACGAAGAAGTGTTTTAAAAGTGTAAAGTCATCAGTGATTTTCCCAAGAGCGGCGCCGTTTCATCTCACGCTTTCCTCCCATCCAGAAACCGTGTGCGAGTACGAGGTCCAATTCCACCAGCGCCTGGAGCAGGAGCGAGCCCAGTGGAACCAGTACCGGGAGGCAATGGAGAGAGAACAGGGCGAGCTGAGACGCCGTCTCACCGAGGGCCAGGAGGACAACCTGGAGGACGCCATGAAAAAAGTAGGCTTTGTTTTCACAAGGGACAAGGGATTCTAATTTGCGACGGGTACATTTTTATTTGAAATATCTTTGGGGATTTGTCGTGTTTTAACGCTGTGTGTGTGTTTGTGTGCGTTAAAGGCGCAGGAGGATGCGGAGAAGCTGCGTTCGGTGGTGATGCCCATGGAGCACGAGATCGCGGCGCTGAAAGCCAGACTGACGACGGCCGAGGACCGCGTGAGGGAGCTGGAGGCCTCCAAGGCGAGTCAGCGGCGGGTCACGCCTTCCCGTTGGCTGCCAAGCTCACGGTCACGTCACACGTAGGAGGGCCGAGGCCTCGGGATGCAGGTGGAGAACTTCTGAGCATTTCCTCATCTCTCTTGCAGGTGAAGGAGCTCAATCACGTCCTGGAGGCTGAGAAGTCGTGTCGCACGGACCTGGAGATGTACGTCGCTGTGTTGAACACTCAGAAGTCCGTCCTGCAGGAGGACGCAGAGAAACTACGGAAGGAGCTCCACGAGGGTACTTATGGAGGGAGAGGGAGGGAGAGAGAGAGAGTGTCTATCACGTTTAAAGTTACTGTGATGAACGTTTAACTGGCCTTGCACCAGTCCCCGTAGAGAAGGTCTTAAATACTCGTAATGCCCGAAGACTGCCCGTACAACGACCTCGACCTCTGACCTTTCCCAGTGTGCCACAAGCTGGAGCTGGAGCGGCAGCAGCACAACCAGCTGAAGCACACGTGGCAGAGGGCCAACGACCAGTTCCTGGAGTCCCAGCGTCTCCTCATGAGGGACATGCAGCGGATAGAGAACGTGCTGTCCTCAGAGCAGCTCCGCCAGGTGGAGGAGATGAAGAGGAAAGACCAGGTACGCACGGGGAAAACTTATGTTACGTGTATTTACATTAATATCTCACATTGTCAAAACTAAAGTGAACATTATTACTAACGGTAGAATTTATGTCTCCTATGGTGCTGTATTTATTTGAAACATTTTCCAAATGGATCAAAACTGTTTTTTTCATGTCTTTTTCTCATTTCCGTCCAAGGAGGACGACGAGAAGGACCGGCTGATCCAAGTGAAGGAGCTGCAGCAAGAGGAGGGAGACAACACGGAGCCCCTGGAGGACTCGTTCCAGGGGCTGAGCGTGGAGGAGGTACGAGCGTCCCGTAATTCGAGAGCCATTATCGCCTCGTGGTTCTGTGTAACGTGAGCTTCACACGGGCAACATGGCGGCTCTCGTTGTCTAGCTGACAACCACAGAACGGCGATGGTGCTTTATGGGGGGCAATACACCACAAACTAGAGGATATTTCTTTCTAAAACTGCGGTTTTTAAGCCTTGTTTAGTAATAGTTCACAAAAAGCTTAAAGAAGAAGATTTTCTGAATGTTATTGTCCTTATTCACATATTTCTGAGGCTTTTTTTTTGCTCTTTCTCGCAGCCTCACAGCGGCCACGGCTCCATGCACTCCTTGGACACCGACGTGGTGGCGGGCGCCGACCCCTACGTGGACAACCTGCGGCGGGTCCAGTCCACCGACAGCCTGGGCTCCTCGCTCTCCGTCCAGCAGGGCCTCGGCGGCCACAACCACAGGGCCAAGTCGGCCGGACACCTCGACGAGTCCGACTTCGGGCCCCTGGTGGGGGCCGACTGCGGCGCCGCGGCGGACGCCAGCTTCGGCGAAACCTCGTCCATCGGCTCCATCAAGCTGACGGCGAGCCACTTCCTGCTGACCAAGGACCAGGAGAAGGCCATCAAGGCCATGACGCCCGAGCAGGAGGAGACGGCGTCGCTGCTGTCCAGCATCTCCCACGCGGCCGACACCGCCTTCCTGCCGCCGGGGGGCTACCGGCTCGTCAGCGACAGCGAGTGGAACCTCCTGCAGCAAGAGGTGCGTCGCCGATGGTTTCGATACACCGCTGAGCTTTAATGTTGGATTCACTGGAGTTCGATGGTTTGTAACTAAGCAGTTTTAGGCGCTTACTTGCAGATGATAAATGGTGTTTGTTTGAGTCTAATTTGCCACTTCGATAGTCCGGTAGCGTAAACGTAGTAACTAATGGGTCAATATAGTAAGTGCTTCGTGGCCTCGTCACCAGGTGAAAAACGCCGGCAGGAAGCTGGGCCGGCGGTGCGACATGTGCTCCAACTACGAGAAGCAGCTGCAGGCCATCCAGGGACAAGAGGCCGAGACGCGGGATCAGGTCCGTGTGCGGCGTTTTTTTGTTCTTTTAGAAGCCTGCGGAGATGTTTGGCAGGAAGAGAGTCTTCTGTTATCGTGGAAGTGTCCACTGAGGGAGTGTCCGTCTCTCGCAGGTGAAGAAGCTGCAGGTGATGCTCCGTCAGGCCAACGATCAGCTGGAGAGGACGATGACGGAGAAACAGAATCTGGAGGATTCGATGAAAGCGGGAAACGAAGAAACAGCCGCCAAGGTTTGGACGCAGTGAATGTTTTAACGACGTTGTGTCGTTCCCTTCAGGTATCTGCTTAGGTGCTTCGTGTGCCTTCGAGTGACAGTGTGGAAATCTGGTTTGACAGAATAATCATCCCTTTAATTTGAGTATCAACACACAGTGGTATTCCTCACGTAATCAAAGGCCTTTCTGAAGCCCCCTTCTTGTTCTTTCTCTCTTGTGTCGTAGGTGTCCGTCTTCATGCAGAGAGTCCAGGAGTCGGAGATGCTGCTCAGCACACTGCAGCAGGCCTTTAGTGAAGCAAAGAGGAACACGCAGCAGCAGATGGTGAGCGGCGCCTTGTTGGATGTGAAGTCACTTCCTTTGTGACTCAAAATACACCGTCGGTTTATTTTGTTTTGACTGCCTGCGCTCACGCAGCCAGAACTTGAAATTGAGCCCGTCAGGGTTGTGGATTTATATCCCTGCGCCTCGGTGGCTGTGATGTCACAGTAACTCACTTCCCCAGAGTATCTGCTGGCATGTTTAAAGTGGCAAAAAGGCGGTTAAATATTTCTAAATGTTTGTCATCGGCCACGACTGAAATGTGCAGATTTATACGCTGCAGGTTGCTGCAAAGGTTTGAGTGCATTCTCTCAGGTGTCGTCCAAACAAGATGGAGATGAGACATTAAATGTGTCCACATGTAACTCCTCCGTCACAACAGAAACGCTGCGATTAGTTGAGTGTAGTTAAAGAAAGCGATGAAGAAAAAATAAGATGACCCAGCACAACGTTAGGATGACAGTAGGATTAAATAAAGATTTAGATAAAATATGTTGTAGTTATTTTTTTTGATGGAAAGGAAAGTAACGACAAATAGTTGCGCTTTGGCTACCGGATGTTCTACTTTACATTAGAATAAATACATCTAATAATGTCTCCTCCTCTACAACGGACAAATACATAATGGTGAGAAAAGCCATATGAATTTGTTCTTCTCGGATCCTTGTGAGAGGATAAAAGGAGGAAGTCAGTGAGACAGAATCATGTTTTGTTACTTTGCAGCTGCGAGCGGAATCACAGCACCGACAGAATAAAGACGTTGCAACGCACGTCGTTTTAACCTAAAGAAATACGGGTCTCTACACCGTCGTCAATGCATCGCAATGTTAAACCGAGCGGAGTGATGTCGCTGCAGGACGGAGCGGAGAGCTGGTGACTCACTTTTCACCAGCGACTCCTAATAACAGCTGACAAAATGACAAAGAAAAAAGAAAAGGGGGGGGGGGGCAAGCCGACTCGCGACGAGTCTGAGGAGTGATTGGTTTGGTTTGGTTTGCTTGCAGGTGGTGCTGGTGCAGTCGGAGGAGTGATTGGTTTGGTTTGGTTTGCTTGCAGGTGGTGCTGGTGCAGTCGGAGGAGTGATTGGTTTGGTTTGGTTTGCTTGCAGGTGGTGCTGGTGCAGTCGGAGGAGTGATTGGTTTGGTTTGGTTTGCTTGCAGGTGGTGCTGGTGAAGTCGAGGGAGCAGGTGGCGGACGAGCTGAGCCGCCTGCAGAGGGACAACGAGAGCCTGCAGGGGAAGCACCGACTGCACGAGGAGCTGCAGCAGCAGGAGGGCTTCCACATGCCCGACACCGTGCAGGTGGGCGGAGCGCACCGTTAGCACCGTTAGCATCTGGCTGTTAACATGAGGAGCCAAAACTGTCAAGTACCATGTTGTCTTTTTTTAATTCAAAGATTCCAGATTTGAATTTTCCATTTTATATGTTTTAAGTTTCTCAAAACAAGGACTTGCTGTCCGCATTGTTAATGTGCACCTATGTAATTATTAAATAACTGTTGGCGTTTAGCCGTTCACAAACAACATTTTCCCTGCACACGCTGCTGTTCTCATGGAAGTCACGCAGCGATCCAACAGCTCCATTAATTATTTATGTGAAAATAACACCATTATATTCTATTCTATGAGGGTATTATGTCTCCCAGGAGATCATCACAAGCAGCGAGACGCCAGAATTACAGAAAGGATTTTGTTTGAGGATATTCTGTCTTTTAGGTTGATGATGTCATAAATATGACGACACTTATTGGATGCTTCATTCTCTAACCTCAATAGAAGTAAAATTAAAAATATATATATTTATGTTCTTGATTTATTCACACATAAACGAGAACTATGTGTTCTAAATGTTTTGTGTTTTTTGACTAAGTTGGTCTCTGTAACTTTAATGGCAAAAAACAATTGAAGGTTTAGTAGTGCATGTTGTCAGCAAGTTAAACATAAAGATGCTAAGAGAAGGTGTTGCCTCATTTATTAGGGAGATTGTTGCGACCATTGCAGTATAAAGTATTACATGTAATGTAATGTAATGTAATTACAAATAGTTGAAGATCGTCAATCATTTGCGAGAACTAAAAGTGAACTCCTCCCTTATTAATGTCATTTTTGTCTTAACTAATAAGACCACCTGACAATGATGACCCCCCCATGTCTCCAGGAGCTGCATGTTCTGGTGCTGCGGCTGCGCGAGGGCCTGGTGGCGCTGCGGACCTCCGCCGACCACATGGAGGAGAAGCTGAAGGCGGAGATTCTGTTCCTGAAGGAGCAGAACCAGGCGGAGCAGTGCCTGAAGGAGAACCTGGAGGAGACCCTGCAGCTGGAGATCGAGGGCTGCAAGGAGGAGATAGGTGAGCCTCTCGGTTCGTCCGTTTACCCGCTAAGAACCAACTTCAACACACTTAAAGGCCAAATTCACCCCAAAAAACTCATGTTTTATAATAACCAGCTCCTGAGACTTGCTTTTTCATTTTATCTGAACAAATATGCACATAATTATATAAACGCTTTAGCAATAATCCAGCATAAGAGGCTGAAATGGGTGAACTATTCCCTTAACTTCCAGTTTTCAAACTTATTTCACGGGCCTCCTTTTTACGTTCTCCTGTGTTTCTGCTTTTGTTTCTCCTCCGTTGATCACTTTCACTCAGACATCTTGGAAGGTACGACACACACTTTAAATCTGTGTGTGTGTGTGTGTGTGTGTCAATAGCTGAGCTGCCAGGCTGATAAATAACAGTGAGTCTGCACCATAAAACATGTGTGAAGTGGCCTACGTGTGCACAGAGGGATGAATCCCGTCCCTGAATGTCCCCCCCGGTGTATCCACGATGTTCGTGCGTCCTGTCGATGAGTAACGACGTGTGCACTAAACCTTTTACAAATGTGTACTTGCTGCCCGAGAGCTCGCCTCACCTGGCTTTCAGAGTAACGTGCGCGCTGACGCCTGCTCGCGGATGTTCTCATAATTCGTCCCCCCTCGTGACCACGAAACGCCTCCGGCGAGAAACCCGGAGATCCGGATCGGGCGTCCTGACGGTGTCTGTCTCTCCCACAGCGTCTTTCTCCAGTCTGAAGACGGAGCTGGAGCGGGTGAAGGCGGAGAAGGAAAAGGTACTTCGTAGCTCTGAGTCTCATGTGTGACGGCTCGGTGCAGAGCGCTTAATGGCCGCCACTCGCCGCTCATCAACCAAAGAAGAGGAGGCCGGAAAATCCCACTGCTTTTGTCTTATTTCTGTGTGTTTTTAAAGAATATGATGATGGTTTCACTTAAACACTGGAGTCCATTTATGTTTGGGAGGAAATTCGAAACTGGTGGTGAAGGATGTGAAGAATTTAATTTGATCCATAATAAACGTTATTGGGCGGGAAAGAAACCGATTCTTTCTAATGAATTTAGAAAATTCACAACTCCGAAAAAAACTAATTTCGGGTGCAGAAGAAGCTTCTTTTATACAAAAGGGGTCGTCGTCTTCATCATCTCACGCCCGCTGTTCTCGTAGATGCAGAGCGTTCTATCGGAGAAGACCGAGACGCTGGAGAGCCTCCAGGGCCTGAGGATCGGCCTGGAGCGCCAGCTCCGAGAGCTCGCCTCCACCAAGGTCAGTGCCCCCCCCCCCTCTCCTCTCTGTATGAGGACACACACCTTTTACACCTGAGGACGGCTGCTGTAGTGTGTGTGTGTGTGTGTCCCTGCAGAGTGCACTAGAGACTCAGGCCTTTGAGGAGAAAGACAAGGCTCAGCGGCTGCAGACGGAGCTGGACGTCAGTGAGCAGGTTCAGAAGGACTTTGTCAAACTTTCTCAGACCCTTCAGGTAAGAGCGAGTCGTCTGATTGGTCCATTAACTCCATGCGTGCATGTAGATACATGTATGTACGCGTGCATGCAGATACATGTATGTACGCGTGCATGCAGATACATGTATGTACGCGTGCATGCAGATACATGTATGTACGCGTGCATGCAGATACATGTATGTACGTGTGCATGCAGACTGTCGTTCCTGAATGAATCAAACGGGTGCGTGTGCAGGTGCAGCTGGAGCGAATACGACAGGCGGAGTCGCTGGATCGAATCAAAGTCATCCTCAATGACACCAACTTGACGGACATCAACCAGCTCCCGGACACATGATTCCACTGAGCAGCCCCCGGCCCCCCTCCCTTCTCTCATCACTGGTCCCAATAACATTATTGATCCTCCTCCTCGTCCCTGATACCCAAGACAGAAGAAGAGTGTGAACGGACGGACGGGGGCCCGAGGAGCCTCTTATGTGTCCTTGAAGAGTCTTTGGAACAATGAAGAAGAACACTACTACTAAAAAAAAAAAGAAAATGTAAATAACTAAAGGAGGGCGTCGCCCCGTGTCTCGTTTCTACTGTAGATAATCGACTGTCTGTATTAGCTCGACCAAAAAAAACAAAAATGAAAGGTTTGTCGTCTTCTAAAAGCACTTTTCATCTGCAGCTTCTCCTTCCAGGTTCACATAGACAACTACTGGATGCGTAACTCGGTGGCCTCCTCCTTCTTTCTCACCTCTCCTGTGACTGGTCACGATGAAGGAGATTCGTAGGGAAAAATAACCACTCACACGTCCCCTAACTGAGATAGAAATACAAATTGAGCAATACCCTCCATATCTTAAACATCTTCCACTGTATCTTTGCTCTGTTCTTAATGTCAGTTATTTTATTTTTTAAGCTGCAGAAATGGTGAAGAAAACCTTCATCTCTTGTTGCTAAGTTTTATTTTCAACCTTGATTGTTAAAGTTGTTGGTTGTGTGAGGTACTTCTACACAGTCGGTGTATTTTACTACAGTAGATGACGTTTGGGAGTATTTTAGACGCCTCAAAGAATCAGCTTCAGTTTAAGTGCTTTATTTAGAATATTTTCTCTTTTCGCTGTGTCTAAACCACTCCTGTTTCCTGTGAGGTAAAATGACCTTTTTGTGAGGATAACTGCTTTAGTTCATCATCACAGAGTCTGACAACAAGGTAATGAGGGGAAATAGTTCCAAATAATACTTGTGTGGTTTCTGCTGCAGTAAGACGCCTATGAAGTGTCATCAGAACCTCTCAGAACGTTAACAAGGTCTCATTAGCACACAGGAGGAGCTGGTAGAGAAGTGTAAATGGACAATAATGGATTTTAATATAAACAGTGGCCCTTTTTAATTGATTTATTTTTTAAGCTTCTTTATGTAATTCCAAAGCTCCTTGAGGTTCTTCTCTTTTTAGATGCCATCAAAAGAGCTCCGCATGACGCCTCTTGGACCAGAGGTTGTCCTCGTGCCCCAGACGCCGTCAGCTGGAAGGTCGGACGCTTTATTCAAGGCCACTTTAAAGGAGGGAAAGTTGACCTGTAGAGCTCAGGAACCCTACGAATTGAATCCTTTATTTCATCCTAAAGTGTTAAGAAATGGGCACGGACGTCACGAAAACATTTTTATAACTTTACAAAACCGACAATCGGGCATTTGACCTTGTGACCTATCACTTTTGATGTGAACAACACCAAGAATGATTTGAAGGAACGCCTTAAATTCTCTGACCAGAGGTCCTTTTCAACTGCAGTTTAAACACTTAAAAGAACCAATGAATTACTTTTCCTCCGGACACAGATTTTAAAGAATAAAGATAAAGTGTAGCCTGCATAGATCAAAGTGTGCGGATATCTCTCCTGTCAGTTTAAACTCTTTGACACAGATCCCTATTTAAATACAGTGCTTTAAGAAGCAGATACAATAAAATAATTTACACATTTTTCTTTTTAGTGGAATAATATTCTGCAGTTCAAGTTTTAAAACCATTTTCCCAGCAGCCACCAGTCCTGCTCTCCTTGTCTGGGTGAAATTTAGTGTTGAGTAAGAGGTTGAATTGTCGCTAAAGAATAGTCATGGAATGGTTATATGGTCTTAAATGAATGAGATAAACATGCAATCAGCAGCTGTGTTAGGTTCAAGGACACGTCGATCACTGTTGTTTTGGTGCATGATTTGCATATGTCTATAGTGTAGATATGTTGAGTTGATATTTATGAAAGGCGATGTGTTGTGAGAGGATGCTGCACTGACCGAATAACTATGTTGTTTATGCTTTTTGGTTTTTTTGTTGCTTGTATGATTGAAAAACTGATAATTGGGGAACTTTAAAGAGGATATTCTTTTTGTTTCTCCCGAACGGTCTTATTGCGTCACGGCTATGGGTGATTTTCTTTTTATTTGTGACATTAATGTCCGTGTACCACGGTAACATAATTGACTCGAGGCTCATACTGTCTGAATATGAAGATTCCTGCATCGTTATCATTAGATATTGTTAGTCAAATCAGTTCAGGTCTGACATTATTGAATTCTTTTTCTAAAGCAAAACGTATGTTGAATCCCAAACATGATCAGAGTCGATATTGAAAAAGACGTCTGGTATCTGTGTTGGAGTCTGAAACCTCCCACTGTGCATAAATGCGAGGTCACAACAAATAAAACACACTCACAGCTTTCATAACATATTCAGTCAACAGTAAAAATGTCCAACCGTAAATATATTTATTAATCCGTCTGGTCTTGCATCATAGACCTTAGCACATTTTTTTAATTGTTTGTAATAAATTCCAATATTAAACATCCGACTAACAAAGAGCATCATGTGGCTTGTACTTTTTTTTCAATAAATAGAGCACGGTTTGAGTTTTCAGATGCAGCTTCTGTCATTCCATTTTAGGCTTTGTTATTTTATTTAACATTTTAAGATGTATGTGAGGGTTGGACTGATATTCTTGTTTGTTGACAGATTAAATGGCTTCCAGTTTAGAAAAAACTCCAGATGGAGATTTATCTTTTTTTAAGTTAATAATAAATCAGCTCCAGATAAGCCTGAATAGGCCTACTTTTAATTTTCAGTGGCTTTTACGCAAAAAAGTGGTTGAACGTCACTGCTTAATGTTTATTGTCACGAATTTAAAACTCATATTGGTCAAACCCTTGTGTTTGTAAATGTGAATCCTTTTGTTGCATTTCTAAATGCTTTTAAAGCATGGTCAGCTCGCTAAATGATGAATACGATTAAATGAAAACTATATTAACCATATCTAAGTAGAGGCCACTCAATGTATGTGTTCATCAAAACAAACTTCATTTTTCATTTTGTAAAAACACTACATCAAAGTTTATAATTTTAACAATCTTGTGCACGGCCAAAACATTTCATAGTGAAACTTTGATGATTTTTTATTATATTAATTGCATATCAAGTTCGTTTATCAAAGGGTTGTTTTTAGATATCCGGGCTGTCATAGCAGCTGTTGACCTGCAGGAGGAAACAGCTGCATTTACAACTGCGCAGCCGCCGCCGCCGCAGCTTCCCACGAAGAAGAAACAGCAACGACAGGGTGGACACGACAAAAAAAAGCAGAGGAGCGACTCCTGTTTACAACAACATAATGGAGCCAAAATGGTCAAATATCATCTGCAAGCGTGTTTTATTGACCGGATTTACGCTATGTGTTGTTTTAGGTGAGTACCGCAGCCCTGTTTGGGGCTAATATCAGTTTCGAAATGTTCGATTTTAACAATTTAATGTGGTACACCAGGTTAGCTAGCTAGCGGCGTTGCATCTCCTGCACCACACCGCTAACCTTTTATTCGCGATCGTGCTAATTAATGTCACCGCTGTTCACGCCTCGCCAGCTACCCGGAGGCGACTCTTGACGGCACCGAATTCGCGTCGTGTACGTGTTCGCCAAACCCGCCCTTTGTGCGCACCGTGTTATAACGCCGCGGTTGACGTCGTAGGCGATATTTAAACCCACAATAAAAGGGGATCGGGTCTGGTGCGCGGCGGCGGCGGCGGCTACCGCCCTCGGTGGTGCCGCTACAGCGGTAAACGGGGCGGTTAACCGCCGTGTTCACGGGCGTGTTTAGCCGAAACGGCCGCTGCTGGCTGGGTGTGACGTCAGCCGAAGGGGAGAGGGGCTCCCGGCGATGCGGACGAGGATTAAGACCGCAGGAGGCGTTTCGGTCGGAAACCAAAGGCTGATTAAAGTGTCAGATTTGCGGAGGTCCGTTCGGTATCTACGTGTCGCCCCGTGACCAGCCCCGTTGACGCGTTTCGCGGTGATTTAAAGCGTAACGCACGGTTTCAATCCGCTTTAACTAACGTCTATTTGATTTACACTTGGCAGCGGACTCTTCACCGCGACGAGCTCAACGTCCAACAAAGATAACATCTCGTTTCCCTGTCTGCTAAACCCCCCCCCCCCGACCCACAGAGTAAAGCGTCCATCACAGAGAAGCATCGACACAGCGCTGCCTTTTCTTTATCGGGGTTACTTTGCATTGATTGGACAGTGAGAACGATTTTATTTCCCAAATACGCGCCAGTGGCTGTCAATCAAAAACGGCTGTTGCAGCTCTTAAACCTTCCATAATGATGCACATGTTTTGCCCTCGATGTGCGTTCTGCACACTGGATTTAGGCTTCGTGTGGAGATTCTTGTGGGGATGTGCATGATGTGTGACTGGATGCAGCAGATGAAGACGCAAATCCAAACGGCTGGTCAGACTAATGACATCTGACCCGAGGAAACGGATGACGTCGCTTCCTTCCTTTTTAATGCCGTTGAACCGTCCTGAACAGAAGAGTTTCTTCTGCTTGCACAGCGTTTCCTGCCGCTGACCGGACCTCGGTCACGGAATGGGGGGGTTATTGCTGAGCCGAGTAACTGCAGAAGACCGGAACTATCCGTATTCCTCTTTTATTTACATGGCGGTTTATTAGATCCTTCGTTGGAGCGACTGGGGAGGTCGCGCCCCCCCCCCCCCCCCCCCCCCACCAGGAAATTTATTTCCGAACGCCTAGTTGCCCAAAAAGGCCAAAAACTTCAGAGGCACGTTGACCCCCACACATCCCCGAAACGTGACTGGCAAAAGTGACCCCGGGGCACCCCACGAGGCGACTTCCAGACAGACGCTTTGTTGAATAAAACCACAACGGGCGAACTGGTCGTTCCACGACGACGCTCGGAAACACAGATCCTCGCACGCGCCTCTGCAGGGGGGGCCCCCCCACCACCTCACGCTTGTTATTATAGTTTCCCCTCTCCACGCGGACGGCTCTCAAATAAAAGCAGCTCACGGTTTGATCCCCAATCCACTGCAGATGTTTATTAATGTTTATTTTATTTGCGTATTGCGCGTCTGCTGCTCGATATGATGCGCGGCGCTTTATTTCAGTGTCGTAGTGTTTGTTTAGTGCTTTTTGACACGCAACAAAAGCTCCTTTGTAAACCGTCTGTGTTTGGAACACGCGGCGTCTTCTGAGCGAGTGTTACTGGCGGCTCCCGTGGTTCTGATTCTTTTGGTGTCTATTAATCCTAGACGCTCAAAACACATTCCATGACTTTGTAAATCCCTGTAGGATGGAAACCGTTCGTTCTCTGTATTCGTCTTCTGGGCGGGTCACTCGTTGTGCTCGCACGGCGGCGAGCCCTGTTTATCGTTAATCGGTGGATTAACCCTCAACCGCGTCAGATTCTTGTCAATGATTTAAGCGTAATAACTTTGAACCTTCTGAGTCAAACGGTTTTGGAATAAATAAAGTGTGCCGACTATGTTCGACGTATGAAAGGATCCTCCTTCTCGCTGTGTTTTTCACACACATGTGACTTCCTTCCTCTGTAGATTTTCTACTTCGCCAACGGAAGAGGCTTCCCGGGACAAGCCGAGTTCAAAGACCGGCTGCGGTTCATCGGAGACATCCACAAGCGGGACGTGTCGATACAGCTGTACCCGGCTCAGTTCAGCGACAACGGGACCTTCTTCTGCGACGTGAAGAACCCCCCCGACGTGACGGGCACGCCGGCGCGGACGGAGCTCCGGGTGGTTGTCAAAGGTCGGCGCTCCTCAAATGAATGCTTCGGCGTTTCGCTGTACATGCGGATCTCGGTCGAGCAGGAAGCAGGACGTGTCCTTCACGCTGTTATGAGGCCATAAGTCATGAAAGATGTGATATGATTTAAAGAAAATAATCCTAAGAAATGGAAAGTTAACCACACCTTTTATCTCCCAACACGCGTCCACACGTTTCTTTTGTTATTCAGGGTCGTCTTCGTCTCGTGGCTTTTGGCCTCAGACGAGTCAATCGCGACGTTCTGGTTTGTGTTGAGCAGCTTCAGTTCACTTCAAACGGTTTATTTGGGGCGAGATACAAAACGAGACGCGTGGAATAAGATGTTTGAGATAAAATATCTAAATTTACAGCTGTTTTTTTCTGAGTGTGTTGATTGCGGGGGATGTGTTCAAGGACCGTCGGAAAGATGGTGAGGATTTTATTCCTACAGTTTGAGGCAGCGACGTAGTTCTGGGGATTAAACAAACTCTTTCCAATCCCGCTGCCGTGTTTTGAGCTTCAGAGGATTCAAAGTAAATTCTTGTAAAGGACGTCTATGAAAAGCTGTTTCCCCTCAAGGCATGAAGCGTTGCACAAGACCAGGTCCTTCCCCGCGTCAGTGTGGCTTTCTGCCCAGCAGGAGGTCTCCGCGTTCACCACCTGGAATGGATCCAAACCTCGATTAACTAACAGTTTTAAGTTAAATCTAGTATTAAGTCGAGTGGGATTAACTTTAAAGCTTCTTTAAAGCTCCCTTTAGTCGGCTGTAAACCGGAATCACATGTGTGTAGAAGCCAAATGCTGAAATGCTCCCCCCAGACTTCCCGCGCCGCAGACTCGTAGAACCGGTTGCCTGCGTGCAGCTTTCCATCGAGTCGGCAAAGTTCATGCATCCCAAAACCCATAAAACCGGTCCTGAAGAAAGCGCCGGTGTTGTTTGCTGGAGAAAATATGAGATTCGTTTAGATCTGAACTGCCAGTCAGCGGCGTGAGCGGCGGCCTCTTTGCAATCGAAGCGTTCAGCTCTTAGTGTGAAACGAGAGCCGCAGGAAGGGACGGTTTTAAATTACAGTTCTGGGAAAAGTGCTGGTGGAAAATTACATTTTTTTTTCCATCTTCATCTCCTTCAGTCTGCTGACGGTCAGAAGTCGGCGTGAGACGAGGACTCGTCTCCAGCGGGTGTCCTCGCTCGTGCGCGTGATGGCATGTTGTCTGTGGCTCCGCCCCCCCCAGGTGCTCTGTTTGTTACCTGGGGAGCAGCGCGGGGGATGAATAGATGAATATGTTTAACCACGAGGGTTTCTTGTTTCCATGTAGCGCACTAAACACACAGACGTTGTACAGTGACACAACGTTATTTACAATGCGGGAAGAGAAGAGCTAACGGAACCGGTTCTGAGGTCTGATCGCAACCACGGCCTCGGGCAGGCGGGGGGGCGAGCTTCTGCGACCTCGCCGCCGCACGTCACCAAATCGCATCGCCGCGTTTTGTGCAGAGCAGAATCATTGATTCCGAATTGAAGACCGACCGCCGTCCGACGACGTCTGATGGCGCCGCTTGTTTCTCTGCCCCAGAATCTCTCCCTCAGAGCAACACGACCGTCATCGCCGGAGCGGTCAGCGGCGCTCTGCTGCTGCTCGTGCTCGTCGCCGTGGTCGCCTGCGTCGTCATGAGGTCGCTTCACAGCCGCCACGAGTACGAAGGGTGAGTGCGCCGCTCGTCACCCAAAGGGTCACGTGACCTCTGTCCCACATTATCGCCAGTGAGCGTTTCATAAACAGGGTGAATTGTTGCAAAGTCGTTTATTAATGTGAATTTTTTTTTGTTTTTATTTATTTTTATTAAATATAAATCTCTGGAAAATTGGAAAAGCTCATTACTCCCCATCAAGGTTTTTATGTTCTATTGCTCTGAGAACATTGCAGTGAGTCCTCCACTAATGAAACATTGATGAAGCCGTTTCTCTACTTACAACCAAGTGTCAGTATGTTCTAAATAATGTATTATGTTTAGATCATAACAGTACGACTGAAACTATAAACGGATCATGTTTGATAATGTCATCAAATTAATATAAAAATTCTCCAAAGGATAATTCTAATCAGCCTTCGTGGAAACAGAATAAATACAGATGATGAAGTAAGAACAATAAGTAAGAACTGAATAAAACTAGAACAACAACCAATACAATATCGAACATCCTCCTTTTCTTCTTTTTCGGGGACGACCTCAATCGCCTCCGATTTCTAACCCGTTCGAATGAAGAATGAAACCACACTTTCCCGCATGAGCTCGTCTGCGTTGCATGCTGCAGAAACACGCGCGTGGATCCACGATTACGAGCGTCGTCGTCCACCGAGAAACCGGCAACTAACAAAGAATCCAAAGAAGCGTCTGTTGGGCTGTCGGCTGGTTTCAAGCGTTTTGCTCACTGGTGCCGGTCACGTTTCCTGCATCTCTGTTTGTCAACGTGCTTCTCTTTCCATTAACGTCATTTACCAGCTCGTCTTCCTGCCCGTCAGCATGTCGTCCACTGATTGATTGTCCTTCGTCTCTTTCCACTAACGGCAAGCTGACCTGCGTCTTCTGCTTCATGTGCTTCATCAGGCGGAGGCTCATTGTGAAATGTGAACAGCTGACGATGCAGCAGAACGGCCTCTTAGTGCACAGACGCTTACATGCAGCATCTCTGCCAGAGGTGTCTGATGACCTTTTGATTGATTCAGAGTAAAAAAAAAAAACTCTACAAGCACAACTCCTGCATTAAAAGTTCAAGAATGAAAGTAAAATACATTTATTCAAGGTAAACATTAGAATCCCGATCAGGTTTCATTTATTGTTCAATCTGATGCTATTGAGTCAGAATTGGGGTTTGACCCTTTTAGGTAATCTGACATTCCCCATTTTTAATTAGCTATTTGATTCAAATTCTCAGGGTTCGGGTTACAAAAGATCAAGTTTCTAAACTTTATTTATCGATATGAAATGAAAAGTTTAAACTGACGTGAGGTTAATTTGAGCTTGACATCAAATTCCTGTTAATTCAGAAGAGTTCACATTTAACTTAAAGGAAAAGTGGAGAACTTCTCAACGACTGCATTTATTCTGTTTATAATCAATGAATCCTTAGTTATCCTTTAGTAAAATGTGTAAAAGCAGTGGAAGGTTTCTACACTTTTAGGTCGACCTGTCGAACCACTTTTCAGATGCGATGAACATTTTAGAAGCAAGAAATGTGAACGGATTAACATCATTATATAGATGACAAACGACAATTACTATTATTATGCAACAACATAAAGGCTAGAAAACAATTACACGCCCCCCCCATCTGCTTCCTGCCAAACCTCATGCCCATCACTCATTGTTGTTTTTTTTTGTCTTGTGTCCCATTTGTCTGTTTCTTGTCTCCACTTGACCGTGCACCAATGATTGCCCGACTCCGCGGAAAATCGTGGTTTTCTTCGCCCCCCCCCCCCCGTGCCGCCCCCCCCCCCCTCCCCTAAAAATAGATGTACGTCCTTGGAGAGCGCGAGCTCTCCGGCTCCGAAGCCACGAAAGAAGGCGGAGTCCAGCCTGGAGGTGTCCAGGTCCACCGGCCCCTCGGGTCCACTGCAGGTAGGAGCTGGGGGGCAGAAAGGAATCCACTGTGGCCCCCATGTCACCGGGAGACTTTAAATCAGTCTACTGTGTATTAATATTCATTTAATGTCCTCAAAATGTGTCCAACAGCAGAACTAATCAGAGTTCAAGTAAACCGTTCAAAGTGCAGCACTATAAAGGAAGGTTTGACATTTTGGGAACTACACTTTTCATTTGAGTTGACTTGCGTGGTGCATTCAAGCTACTCTGTAGAAATTAGCATTGAGTAAAAAAATAATAATATATTTTTTAATTGCGTTATGGTGTGTTCAAATATTGTAATTCCAATTAGAAATATATATTATACATACTAGATCCTTGCATTTAATAATATAATCACTAAACAATAAATAGATTGAAGATAATAAATAACATTATTAAAACGACTTATGCTTATTAACCAAAGCCAGTTAGTATTTATCTTTAAATACAGGCATTTATTTCCTGTTTTGAATTGTGTGTTTCCCACACATATCCGCTATGGGAGAGAATTAGGTTAACGGATAACGTTTACATTCATTTGGCGGGGTGGTAGATGACACATTCACTGTGGTGAAGAGGTGAATATTGTAAATATGGGATACACCGTTCATTCTTTCTGTTTCTCCAAACCCCCCCTTCCTCTCCCCCCCCGTCTCAGGGCCCGGTGATCTACGCCCAGTTGGACCATTCCGGCAGCAAACACTCGTTCCACAAGATGGAGCCGGTGGTCTACGCCGACATCCGTAAAAACTGAAGCGGAACCGGAGACCAAAAACCAAACAAAAAAACACTCCATTATAAACGCAGTAAAGTATCGGACCTCTAACAGCTGCTCGAGGTGGGAATGTTTCAACAGGGACAAAAAAAACGGTGCAGCTTCTCTTTTCTTTTCATCCATCGTCTCGTCCTCTTTAAAGCGTGATGCCGTCGATGTCGCAACGTGCTTTGCCTTCACAATAAAAGAGAAAAAAACAAGCTAAGAACCTAAATCACTCAGCCTTTACTTTCCTTAAACGTACACCAGGAATGATATCATAGATGTACAGCTTTTCTCTTTTTTACGTGAAGCTCTGTGCTAACTACCGTTCAGCAGCTGAGCTTTGATTTCACAATTATCCCTTTATACTACGTCGGCAAATCAAGTAGCAGGTTACCGCATCGCGCCAGAACTCGCTAGCGGGATCCAGTACGTCTTTTGAGCTAAAACATCCTGCGACTTTATCTCATCGTGATCGGTGGCCCGGGATTTTTTCGTTATTAAAAGGAAGGGAAAGGTTGTGTACTCAGTGCCCTGGCCACGCCCCCTCTCTGCAGCTGGCCCCGGCCACGCCCCCTCTCTGCAGCTGGCCCCGGCCACGCCCCCTCTCTGCCGCTGGCCCTGGCCACGCCGCTGACGTCTTGTCTTGTTGCAGTAGATTCGTGCCTCCGGGGACTTTGCACGCGGCCCCGGCGGCGTCGGGCCCATGCGAGCTCGCCGCGGATGCTTCTGGTTCCTCTGCAGAGTTCTGGCATGTTGATGTGGTACCGATCTAAAAAAACAGTCAAAAGACGCTGCCTCCCGTTTAGATTTTCACCTCAGTGGAGCATCTGCTTTAACCAGTTGTTTTATCTTTGCGTGCAGATGAACAAAGTAGAGTTGTGCGTTTTAAACGTTCAGCTGAGGTGAAGCATCTTCTCGTTGGTTGTGGACTACGAATGATAAAAACACTGTTTGCATGCGATTTACTAACATAACACAAATTATTATGAAAATATCCATCTTTGTATGACGTTAAAGCTCTTCTTTTTTTAAACAAATGGGCCAAATATTTAATGTCCACATTAATATTAAACCCCGTTCTGTCAGACCTTTTAAGCTTTAAAACGCAAATGTATGTTTTTAGCTCGTTTCGAAGCGTTTAAAAGCCCAAACTTCTGTTGTGATGGCGAATGACTCGTGTCTCAACGCGCAGTGTGTGTCCACGTTGGCCGGTTTCTGTACATACTCCCCCCCCTGTAACATATAGTGCTGTTTACTGTAACTCATTCCAGCTCTGGCTGCGTAGAGACTCGTAGAAAGTCAGATTTTTTTTGTCTTAATTATTATTAATGTCAGCGAACACTCAGCCGTGTGCAGTGGCTGCTGGGAGCAACGAGCCGCTGCGTTCAGGGGCGTGAATCGAACGGTCTTTACTCCACATTATGCAGCAAAAAGTACACAACACGACGTAATATAAACGTACAAAATTCTCTTCTAGCAGCGGAAAAGCTCCACTTTTTTCTCCGGATAGTTAGTCACACGACGTAGAGTTCATCGATAACGTGCACGGCTTCTCTTCTGTGCTGCGTCCGTCACGCAAACGATGGGATCGCTGGCGCGTTTGGACCAAATGATGAATAATGCGGAACGTAGGAGACCTTTCACTGAATTCTGAGTAACGGACCAATGGGAACGTGAGCTGCGCTCTGCTGTTACCAACTCATTCTAAACCCCCCTAAATACGTACTTACGCCCTCCGGCTGGAGAGATCCCAAACCTCTTCTCCCAGTTGTTCTATACCAACCTTCTCCTGCCGGTCGCTTCGCTCCTCACCGGGACTCCTCGCGCTGTTTTAGTCCTGTTTGTAGAAATTGTGATGTAAACTATAAATTATGACGGATCTCTGGTCGGGGGGCGGAGCTTAGCGTCTGGCGGGTATTCCGGTGGCGAGGCTCTGCGCTCTCGTGGGTCTTAGCGGTGCATGCTTCGTGTTCCTCGATGGTAAATAGTTGTGTTATTTGTTGAGTTGTTTGGTATGTTTGGAAAATCTGCACTATGTCTCGCAAATCAAAGACAAACAAATTCCCTGTGATTTTTGTCTCTTGTATTTTTCGTTCATCTCTCTCCGTTTAAGCATCATTAAAACTGGAATGTTGTACATTTAGTGCCTTTTACATTTCATCAGCTAACTCGAACATCTGCTGAAAAAATAGAAACAAAAGATAAGATTCATTTATTTTCCTTTTGTATGTATTTTTTTATACACATAATAATATCGCCTCTGTATCCACTGTTCAAATTTTATATAAAACCTATTCCTGGCCAATTAAATGTGTTTGATCTGATTATTATATTCGCACCACACTGATTCACTTTCCCTCTGAATAAAAATAAGACCCAAACATCCAGCTATTAAATCATAATGTGAAAATGTTCACTGTTTCTTAATGATAACTGTTAATGTTGATTTTTGTAATTGATGGTGTGTGTATAACTGTATACAGAGAGGAATATATTGTACAATAGATGTGTTCACACGTCCATCAGACCAGTTTGAAGTCTTTCTGTGATATATATTTCAAGAGAAATACCGTGTTTCAATCTTTGTCATATTTACTGTAATATTCAGTTTTCAATATTTCTCAATATTTTTATAAATCTAAATATTTTTATAAGACTAAGTACCCTTCATGGTGATCTGTTACGAGTGATTCTTCTTATTTTATTTATTAGCCTCACGTTCATCTTTTTACAGATATATTTGTGAATGTCATTGATCTAAATGGTCAGTTGGTGTGTGTGTGTGTGTGTGTGTGTGTGTGTGTGTGTGTGTGTGTGTGTGTGTGTGTGTGTGTGTGTGTGTGTGTGGTGCTCTGACTCGCGTCACCTGTCTGTTTGCAGCGAGAACACCTGTCGTAACACCCAGAGGGAGACTCCCAACGTACGCTGCACGACCTTTATCTCCATTTGTACTCTCGATATTCCTCAGAAAACTCGTGTGTTATTGTCTCTTTTGGAAGGTTATTCTTTTGTTTCAGTTAATTTAATTTAATATTTCTCTTATTATATTGTATATAATGTGTATCTTTTTATTCTATTTTCTTCCCTGTACATGCTGCTGTGATACCAAAATTTCCCTCTTGAGGGATCAATAAAGTATCTATCTTTTCTTCTTCTTTGGTTGCAGCGCTGCACCGAGCGAGCCCGAGCAGCAGGAGGCAGGAGGACCTCGCTCACCGCTGGTTGATCAGCTGCATTAACGTCCTGCTGATCTCACTGCGTCCTTCCAGGAAACGGATATCTGAAACGGAAAGAGACCGAGGCCGACAACCCCCCCCCCCCCCCCCGAAAGGGAAACAAAGCATGAGGCCGGGATTCCCGGGAGATGAGAGGGGCATACCCACAAAGGAAGGTGTGTAGGTGTGTGTGTGTGTGTGTGTGTGTGTGACACATGACACCACTGATGCAAAACAATGGAGGATAAAAGGATGAACGTGAAACGAAAGCTGCTAACGAAGAACGAGACACCGCAGAGGAAGAGACCAGGTAAGACTTCTTCTTCTGCGCTTATTCACACGTTCAGGCCTTTTCTCCTGTTTTTACTCGCATGACTAGAAGTGATGCACAGTCACTAAATCCAGGTCTCGAGTTCAGTACCTCATCCTCCACTTCATTCTGGAGATAGATACTCTACTCTTCTACATATTACTAACAACATGCAGCAGTAATTATTGTAAGAGAACCAACTAACCTGCTCTCAGATTAAGAGGATTCGTGGACTTTTAAACTTGACAATGAGAAGTTTACTGAATAATAAAAGTAAAAAGGGCACCAGCAGTGAACGTGAAGTGATGTGTACACAGGATTCTGTTCTACTTCTTGAGAATTTTTAGCTTTTCAAAGTAGACTCTCTAAACAAACATCTGCTGCTCAATGTACCGCCAAAATAAAAGAGTTGATTTTCTTGGTGACATGTGACCCTTCCACTCTCTCTCATCCGATGGAGACAAACATCTACATTCTCCCCCTCATGCGCTTGTATCCATAAAAGGCCGTTTTTGGAGCCTGTCAAATATCCCAAATGGAGATGCGTGTGAGAGATTATGCAAACTATTTCCAAGCGAACCTTCTGATTAATGCAGAGTCACTTTTTGGGTGGGGAAAGGGAGGGAGGGGGGGGGGGAGTTGCTTCTCCTTAGTGAAGTGAAGCATAGAACTGGACTTCCCAACCCCCTTATAAGGCATTTCCCTGAGCACGGAGGAGGGGGGGGGTGCAGGATATTCTCACAGGATGTGATGGCTGGACAGCAGCCGGAGCATCGCAGAGTGGAGGGAAGCCTCGGCTGAGAGCAGCTCTTCGGTCACCATCGATCCGTGAGTGTGTGTGTGTGCGGGGGTGAGGGGGGGGGGGGGGGGGTGAGGATGAAGGCCAGTTGTCGGGCTCTTTTTGGTTTGCATGCAAACAAACATCAGGGGTGGAAGACCTTCTCAGGTCCTTTTATTCAAGCAGAGAGGTCCGTATCAGCCGCTGGTTTGTAGCGCAGCAGATTTACGTTCCTATTTGAGGTAAACTGGATTTTCACGTTATTACTACTTTTACTTGACTAACTAATCTTAACTTTGAAAATGTACAACAGCAGAAAAAGCAATGAAAGCTGAAATGATGCAGTGTGTAAACTAGCGCTTTGTAAACAGTCCTCAGATCACGACGCCTTCAAAATAAAATACGCAGTATGAAGTAAGGGACATGTTTTAATAAATAACAACGTTAGACCTCAGCGTGTGAGTAGCATGTTGTTGAAGGTGTTTTAACTGCTTAAAGTTTAGTGGGGGTTCCCAACCTCTGGGTCGGGCCCCTCTGAAGGGTCGCCAGATACATCTGAGGGGTCCCGTCCCCTCTGCAGCGCGTGTAAATATTTAAGTCGCTCCCTCTGAAATGAAAAGGGACCCACTGAAGGAAACATTAGGATACTCTTGGTACAGCACCTGGCCGTCCGTCCGCAGCTTCACGAGAGAAGAAGAGTTTTTGATCTTTCTGGCTGCTGATTAACGACCACAAAGTTTTATCGCGGCTGTAAATGTCTAATGGTGTCGTTTGATGAACGGCCGGCGTCACCAGAGAGAAGCCCCGTCGGTCCGCTTTGAACAATGCGTGAGCTAAATGCTTCTTATTGTTAATTACCAAAACCCAAATGTGTTCCAGTAGCAGCGAATGAATGATGTTTCTGTGTTCTTGTCACATGAGAGGGAAGAATAACTTCGTTGAATCAGAAGCTCCTCAGAGCTGCTCCGCTGGCAGTTCAGAGAAGAATTCTCTTGAACTGAAACGCTGAAACTAATAATTAAAAGTACGTGATTATCGGTAGTTTCCACGAAGATGATAATTACTCCCACATGATTTGCCCGTGCGGCCTACAGGGTGCTTTCATCTGGGCCAGGGGAGCCTGTCAAGAACTATTTCAGCAAGTTTACTCAAAACATAAGGAGGCATAGAACTCGTAAAGAGACTCACCGAGGCGAAAAAAAATAATTGTACAAGTATAATAAATAAAAGTATCCTCCGGAGTAACGACGTACGGGGCAGAATTGATGGCTTTTGTTCTCGTTATCTTAGTCACCGGTTCTCTTTCCTGCAGCTTAATGCGGCAAAATAGAAACGTCATAATAAACAAGTGACACAGAAAAGCCCCCGTTTCAGTCTCTGTAGGTAGGCCGGCGTCCCGCTTCCTTCCCTTTTCGAGTCATATCACCGGCGTCCTGCTTCCTGCAGCGCCGCGGTTCTAACTCGTGGTATCTGGTCTCTCCCCGCCGACGCAGCGTCATGGCCGCCTTCCAGCTGCTCCTCCCGCTGTTGGTCACCTGCGTGGCGGCGTCCGCCCGGCCCCCCCGCCGCCTCCCGGCCTGCCAAGTTGTGAGTAAAAAAACAAACAAAACAACCCCGATTTCTTTCTCAGTTTCCCTGCATCCTCACATCTCCAGCCAAAGAAGCAGTGACTCATGCGTTCATCTGTTTTTGCTTTATGTCTGAACGCGCATGAGGCCCCTGATCCATCAGGTGATGGAGGTATTTTCGGATTATCCCAGAGAAAAAGGCCGGCGGTTTATTTGAGAGCTCCAGAGCAGCAGGTTTGGTTTATTATTTCAGGCTGTGCTGCCAGACCTTCGGGCTTCGATATTTGGACAAAGGAACGTTATTTGTCTCCTCTGGCAGAAGAATGGGACGGGTTGTTGTCTGCGATCGCAACTCTTGACCTCTTTTCCAGTGAATCGAGTCCTCGTTTTGGCTTCTCGTGTTCTGGAGGATTTTCCCTTCTCAGGAGAGACACCAGCCAACACGTAGAAGAGCTTCTGATGAGGTTGGGTAGATTCGTTCCGCGATGCCGGGCGGTGTTCTGCCCGTCGCGATAAATCAGCGCGTTTGCGCCTGTAAGCAACGAGGAACGCCTCTTTCAGGACGCCACTAGTAAGCCGAGAAGGTCCGTGGAGTAGATATACTCTAAATACTCAGAGAGGAAAGGCGAGACCGAGAGCTTTACGAGCTGTTGTTGGACAGAAGGGATTTCTGTCCACATGGTTTGAGTTATAAACTGCTCTTTATGACCTAAAGATTTGAACCTAGGAGGGTAAGAGAAGAGGAGATGACGAAAGCGTCCAGGTCTGGAGACCACAGATCGAGTCATTAAAGCAGTGGATACGTTTCCAGGGAAAAGGGCATTTTTCTCATTAGTATAACTCGTGGTGATAAACCTCACAGGGCCGCGCTGCTGCCAAGAACACGCCGCGGGCTCCGCAAACCCACCTGGAGCATTCGCTGTGTGCTGCGTCAGCGCCGGGCGATCTGGCGGCGTTCCCCTTCATTAAACCCGCACTCGCGTGTTCTGTTTTCTCCGTTCGCAGGTCCAGATGGATGCGTTTTGCAGCGACCTGAGCCTGAGGAGCGCCCCGGTCGACCTCCCCCGCGGCGTCCAGACGCTGGACCTCTCTCGCAACCACGTGCAGAACCTCACCCGGGAGACTCTGGCGTTCCACACCGGCCTGCGGCGCCTGAACCTGCGCTCCAACGAGATCCACTTCATCCAGCCGGGGCTCTTCGTGGACATGGCCGACCTGAAGGTCTTGGACCTGTCCAGGAATCGCCTGAATGTCTTGGCCCTCTCCAACGTGAGCCTGGGGCCTCTCACGGCCGTGGAGACGCTCGACCTGTCGAGCAACGGGCTCTACACCGGGATGACCGACTACTTCCTGGCGCATTCTCCCTCGCTGGAGGTCCTCGCTCTGAACGGCAACAGCATCACCAAAATAGCGCAAAACACCTTCAGCGGGTCGCCGAGGCTGAAAAAAATCGGCCTCCGCAACAACGTCATCCTGGAGATCGAAAGCGGGCGCCTTCGACTCCCTGAGCGGTCTGACGAACTCGATCTGTCCCAAGAACTCCATCACCTGCATCACAGACTTCAACCTCTGCAACCTGAAGAGTGCTCAACCTCAGCAAGAACAGCGTGGAGCTTTTCCACAGCGCCACATCGACGGATTACTATCGCCTCCTCTCGCTCGATCTGAGTGAAAACAAAATGTCTTCCTTTCCTCTGCTGCCCAGGAACAACCGGCTGGAGCGCCTGGACGTCTCACGCAACCAGCTCCAGAGCGTCAACGACACGGCGACTCCTGATGAAAAGACCTTTTTCTCTCACCTGAGATACCTGGACATGAGCTACAACCAACTCCAAAGCTTACCCGAGTCCTTCTTTCACTGCATGCGGTCCTTGGAGGTCCTGAACGTGAGCAATAACTGCATCGGCGAGTTCTCCGTCGCCGACGAGGGCCTCCTGCGGACCGTGAAGGTCATCAACCTCGGCTACAACTCGCTGCGCAGCCTGACGTTTGGGGAAAACACTTTGCGGTCGCTGGAGAAGCTCCTCCTCCGCGGAAACGGCCTCGCCACTCTGGACAGCGGCGTGTTTCGACGACTTCCGAGCATCGAGCACCTGCAGCTTCGGCAGAATAATCTCCAGATCTGTTCCTGGGGCCGAAACCGGCAGGATGCTCCGGGGTGCGTCTCCTTCTCCTCTGTGCCGACCTTGCAGATCCTGGACCTGTCCGACAACCAGCTGAGGACTGTGCCTGCCGACGCGTTCGCCGGCAGCCCTCTGAAGTCACTGGATCTGTCCCTGAACCCGGGCTTGGACATGGACCGAGACTCCCTCTCCGGTCTGGAACGTTCCCTGGTCCACCTGCTCCTCAGGGAGAACAACATTTCGAGTCTGAGCATGGACCTGTCGTCGCTGACGAGCCTCAAGCACATCGACCTGTCCACCAACCAGCTGACCACCGTGCCCGCCTGGAACCGAGACTCCTCCATCGAGTCCCTGAACCTGCAGAACAACCACCTGGTCACCCTGGAGTACAGCACCATGCTCGCCCTGGAGCCCTCGCTGAAGACCCTCTACATGGGCTCCAACCCCCTGAGCTGCTGCAGCAACCTGGACCTCCTCCAAATGGTGCAGAACTCGGCCGTGGTCGTCCCCGACATCGAGACCGCCACCTGCGTCCACCAGGAGTACTCGGAGCCAGTCAACATCGAGCAGGTGACCCAGGACATGTGCCTCAGGCCGGGGGGCCGGTACTATGCGGTAGCCGCGGTGGTGGTAGCGCTGGTCACCGTGGTCACGTTGGTGCTGCTGGTCAGATGTTTCCGCGCCAGGAAACCGGAGCACAACCGGAGCTTCCGGGCTTAGTGCCGCGGCGCCAAGGAATATCAGTTTTTCTGACTTGGTCGGCGGTTTAAAACAAACATGAATGACCAAAGACTTGTGAAGGACAATTTATTGCCCCAATCTTTGGGTTACCAACAGCGACCGCACTGACACCAACGAAGAAGCCACACTGCGCTTTGATGTGGAGCGCTGCGGGGACGAAAAACACTTTTCAAATGTGTTTATGGTTTGATGAACATTCTAGTGGTCACTTTAGGAACTGCAGCTTTAAAGTTAATACATTTTAAAAGGATTAGTTGCAGCATATTTTCTTGATATTGAACTATTCTTCAGTTTCGATGAAATGATGAGCGATTAGTGAGCGATGCAGAAAGAGGAAGATGACTCAAAGTCTGACGTCTTCGCTTGTTGACGTGTAACGTCGTGTGAGAGGGGAATTCTCCTTTACGCTGCGAATAGAAGGAAGAAAACACTACAAAAGGTCAGGAAGCAAAAGGCTCCGTTCATGAACTATGACTAAATGAAGTACATGTGTATCTATATGAATATATATATATATATATATATATAATTTGTCGGGGGTCAAAGTTTTTACAAAGCAATCCGACCTCTTTTTTTATGTGGTTTGCACTTTAAATCTCGCCTGGTTTGTGTGATTGTGTCTTATTCTGTGATTGTTTCAACACTAATGATATTTGTGTTTCCATTAACAACAGTGTTGTTTTCTGCATTTGACGCGAGAAGCTGAAGTCTGGGCTGAACACTGAAACGAGTAACTGTGAAACTCTGACATGGAGGTTTATTATACGTGCTGTTTATTTTTGGAATAAATAAAAGAATAGATGTTGTGTGCAACGCAACAATCCACAATTATATACAACGGAAATGCTTTTCTAACGTCATGTAAGCGACACTTTGTACCAGATGAAGGCCATTTTCTACACATTATTTTATGTTTAAATACTGAGTGTCGTGTTCACACCGGCCCATTTCTTGTCACATCAATATTCAGCTAATAATATAACAGATTTTTTGCTCGGTCATTTAAAAAAAACTTTTGGGCAAAAGAAGTAGCACTTAACTATATGAGAATAAACTGAATGTTATTTTCTAATGTTTGTCATTTTATTATTGCACAAACATTCATCAGAATAATTTGATTATTTCCTATTATTCAAATCAGTTTTAATGCAACATACACCATTGCAGATATTTCTTTTTTAAAATAATCAATTTGTGAGGTTTTTAACATGTTTGTTTAATCCAGTGTTCAAAACGACGTCAGACAGAAACCTGAACATTTATTCTTATCACACGAGGCGACTTATGACTAAATAAATACAACATAAATAAAGTACACAATTGAGATAAAATGAGAAATGAACGTTTGCTTTTCACATTTCCTCGTCTCTTTTGATTGGATGTTCGCAAACTTTCTCCAGTCCTTCATCTTCTGTTGTTTACGCTTGAAATCTTTCGAGTCGAAACAACGGAGCTGAACCGCCGGTGACTCCGACTGACCGTCGTCCTGCTGCAGGACGTCGTCCTCTCCGCGTCTTCCACCGGCGATCGGCTGCGTGGTGAAGGAGGCTTTGCGTTTGTCGCGTGTGTTCGTATTAGACGTAGACGTGTTTAGAGAAGATGCTGTTTAACGTGAACCTTGAAGAGGCCCCTGCGTGCTGCACAGCGTGTATTTGCTTGAATAACAAATAAAGTTTGGTTAATTTCGATATGTTTGTTAGGATGCACTTCAGGCTGCAGAAGACCGACCATGTTTATTTATTCATTCACTTAGTTTTGCAGTAATGCAGCTCTGAACCAGCTCTCGTTAAGACGCTTAATGCTGCACGCAGCGAGGGGACGGAATAATGGAAACTATTTGTATCTGTGGCCGTCTAGACTTTTGTGGGGGGGGAGGAACGTTTGTTTAAGTGAACAACTCCAGCCGCTCTGCTTCCACAGGCGACGAGGACGCAGTTTAATCCTCTTTATCGGCGGCCTTCCGCAAAAAAAGCGGTAGTTGAACTTCGACCTTTGGATTGTTAAACACTGAAGTGCAGCATCGTGGTTTATGACCTGCGAGGTGATTCATGGAGGAGCAGCGCGACATGATCACCCTGTAAGGTACCAAGGGGGCTTTTCTGTACCATTGAAAGTGTATTTCCATTAAACCAACTAATCGGATAATTCTCCCTGTTTGAACATGAAGGTCGTCTCCTCAGATTCCCTGCTACTCGTGCTTCCAAGAGATCGAATTTATGCGACTGCACTCACTTCATTTATTGGCCCGCCCTGGCGTTGCCCCCGGGGGGGGGGGCTCACTTCCTGTCAGTCTACGTGGGCCAAAGATTGTAGCTCTGACGAGCCGAACATAAACAAAGTGAACTTCTACAAACCACTTTCTTCACATTTCCCTCCCAAACGACGAGATTTCCTTTCAAAGCCCCCCCCTCACCCCCCCTCTTGTTTATGAGATGAGCAGCGATGGAATCAGAGGCCTACGGGAAGCATCTGGGCCTCGTAATTGGAAGCAGACGTCGGTCCCTTTTCCTCCCGTGTGACGGCGCACTGAGTCACGAAGGTTCTTAGCTGGTGTTCATCACGCTGACATCAGACACCTTCGCTTCACACGCCGAGTCCGGATCAGAGCAGCAGAACTCGGCCGCAAAAACACCGCGAACAAACACAAATGCAAACGTGGTTGTTTCAATTGGACATAAAAAAAAAAAAGATAAACGGACCCAAGAAATCATATTTTGACTCAACAGTTAAATAAATGAATTAAATATTGTGTTTACTTTGTGAACGGAGGCTCGGGGGAGGAGAATGTCCCAGAGGTCAACAGGTCAAGCTGTCTTAATGTCCATGTGATCACCATCAATCAATGAATGTTATCTGCGTGCGCACGGCCAATAAAGCCGATGAAACAAGCGTGGCATCACCTCACAGCCGTGTGAAGCAAAGTGAATCCACCTGGACTCCGGAGCACGTCGATCCTGGAGGCTCCTCAAAGCGAGTGTGTGATGCGTAACGCCGCCTGCAGTGTGTGTTTTCGCTGATTAACACACCGAACGCACAACAGCTGCAGCACCACCCGACCCGAGGGACGACGACAACAACAACAACAGCTGAGCGTTTAATGTGCGATACGCACGGCGGATTCACGGCGGTGCGGCGAGATAAAACACAAGCGTGCGGCCTGTGACCTTTCCCATGGTGCTCGGCGGTAAACGGGGGAAAGCGAGCGCACTGGGATGAGTAATGGGACGCTCGTAGTTTGCCAGCCGGTGAGGCCGGAGATCACGGAGCGAGGCACATCCGTCTCCACGGAGACACTCCCCCCCCCCCCCCCGAGACGCTTTCCTGACTGAAACCAGATGGAAAGAGGAGTGAATCATCGGCGACGTGTTTACATCAGCGTTGTCTGCTGTGACTTATGAATGCTGAGCTTTCAACGTCGTCTGAAATATCTCAGGCTACATTTGGTGGATTCTCTCGAGCTTCTGTGGAGGCATTCGTGCTCCCCGGAGGATACGGTCTCCTCCGACTTCCCCCTCAGCATCACGGTGTGCTGGTGAGGGTTGGTTTGCCGTGTGGGGTGAAATCCTGTGAATGAACAAAGTGCAGATCTCGTGCTTCTCTTTAAAGTCTGAGGCTTCCACTCGACCTCGATGACCCTCGGTGACCCGCCGGACTCTCCGCTTCCTCACAAAGGGGTAAATTACATCAGAGAACCGTTGTTTCGAGAACATCGCCTGTGAAACGTCCAACGCGCGCGGGGGCGGCAGATGAGCTTTACCTCCTGATGGTTTTACTTGTTGTAAATAGCTGTGACGTGGAGCGCAGAACGAACCGGAGCCTGAAAGGGAAGCAGGAAGAAGAAATCAAGTAAACTGGAGCTGAAGGAATGTTGCTCCGGCCTGCGTGATGAATGAGAGAAATGTCGGAGGAAACTCCCGAAATCTCTCCCACACGGCGCCACCAACTCCACCTAAAGCCAACCCTAACCCTAAGACACACTTAAACACAGCTAAAGACACACTTAAACCCACCTAAAGACACTTAAACACAGCTAAAGACACACTTAAACCCACCTAAAGACACACTTAAACACAGCTAAAGACACACTTAAACACAGCTAAAGACACACTTAAACACAGCTAAAGACACTTAAACCCACCTAAAGACACTTAAACACAGCTAAAGACACTTAAACCCACCTAAAGACACTTAAACACAGCTAAAGACACTTAAACACAGCTAAAGACACACTTAAACACAGCTAAAGACACGTAAACCCACCTAAAGACACACAGATAAATACACTTAAACACAGCTAAAGACAACTAAACACACCCTTAAACACAGCTGAAGACACTTAAACCCACCTAAAGACACTTAAACACACCTAAAGACGCACTTAAACACAGCTAAAGAGACACTTAAACACAGCTAAAGACAACTAAACACACCCTTAAACACAGCTGAAAACACTTAAACCCACCTAAAGACACTTAAACCCACCTAAAGACACTTAAACCCACCTAAAGACACTTAAACCCACCTAAAGAGACACTTAAACCCACCTAAAGACACACTTAAACACAGCTGAAGACACTTAAACCCACCTAAAGACACACTTAAACCCACCTAAAGACACTTAAACCCACCTAAAGAGACACTTAAACCCACCTAAAGACACACTTAAACACAGCTGAAGACACTTAAACCCACCTAAAGACACACTTAAACCCACCTAAAGACACTTAAACCCACCTAAAGACACACTTAAACACAGCTGAAGACACTTAAACCGCACAGCGGCCAATAAACACGGAGTTCGGCTCCGGCTGGAATTATAATGCAATAAATGTTTTTATATTGTGATTCTATTCATTGTCTTTGGCCTCAGACCAAGAGAGAGCAGATCATTCAGCGGTTGTGCGTCGGCTCACGGCGCAATAAAATCTGTTTTAATAATCACAATGAGTTCAAGTAAAACAGTAAAGAAATGTGTGTCGCATTTTTCATCAAGAGCAGTGAGTTGAGCCGTTGGACGTGTTTAAAGGCATCAAATCAGAAAGTTGACCCAGAACTCGTCGGAGCACTCGTCCGTTCTTGTGAGACCTTTGACCCAGTTGTTTGCGTGTATCCAGTGTGCAGGCGTGTTGTTGTGTGCATTATTGTATACACACTTCTCTATTTTAAACGAAAACGAAACAAAAGCTTGGTATTAAAAATAGGTAACAGTCAAGAACTGTGTGGAAGTCATTAGTTAGAGCAGCTGACGTGGAGACGTCATGGAGTCAGCTGCTGTTCCAGCTGCAGACTGTTCTCCTGTTGAGAAACGGCTTCTGTCTTTGTCGAGTTAAAGAAGAAGGTTGTTTGAGTCCTGAAGCCGCGGAGCAGAAGATTCCTGCGCTGACTTTTATTAAATCGGACACTGAAAGGAGATAAGAAGTTGGGAAGCTCTTCTTGGCCCGAGATGATTATTTCAAGTTTCATATTTATTTTTTAGTTTAGTTTTGAGAAAAGGAGCAATAAGTTCATATTCCTAAACGACTGATTGGAGGTTATTTGTTACTCTGAATGACGTAATCACAGCATTTTGCAGTTAATCCTCATTCATCCAAAAGATAATTTAGTTTGCAACCAATGAAACTGTATAAACTGAGGATTAAACTACTCAAGAGGATTTATTGGGCAGATTAAATGATTTTTCTCAACCAGCAATCTTGTTTTAAAAGGTATAAAATGAAATGCACTTTAAAAACACACTACGCAGAAGCAAATGCAGACTCGGGGAAATCTTTACAAAAAAACAGGTACATTTAGTTTTTCTTTTTACAATGAGCAGTGAAACACGCGTCGCCTTGTTCTCTCCTCACGAAACTTCATATGAGACTTTACTGTCAGAAGAAATACCTTCACATGTCCGTCAGGCTTTATACACTAAACGTGGAAACATTTGAAATATCCTGGACGATGGGCCTTGGGGTGGGGGTGTAGTGAGGGGGGGGGGGCGGCGCTATGGTCGGTCGGGGGGGCTGGCGGCCGTGGCCTCGTCGTTGCTGCTGTCCACCTCCTGCTCCATGGGGCTGTCCTCCTCCAGCTGCTGGCTGGTGTAGTTGGTGATCTCCAGGAAGCCGCTGGGCTCCACCACCACGTTGGACTGGCTGGAGTCCGGCAGGATGGAATACTGAGGAATCACCTGCACGCGTTAGTCACATTTGGGTTCCAGTCAATATCCGGGCAACATAACAAAGAGCATCTTCAGGATTCATGAATGCATCACAACCACCTTCTGCTTTCTCACCTCAATGACCTCCAGGTCTTCCTTGCTCCTCTGCGCGTTGACAGCCGGCCTGCAGCCGAACGGCTGCGCCTTGGCGTGGGAGTGATGCATGCTGGTCCCGGAGCTGCTGATGAACTGGCCCGGGTCCAGGGTGCCCGACACGGCTTTTCCCAGAGGGCCGCGGTCGCTGGAGGAGTCCACCACCATGGGCTCCGTGCTGGGGTCGATCTCGGCCTGCATCATGGAGATCTTCAGGATGTCCGACACGGAGGGCTTGTCCCCCGGGGGCCCGCAGCTGGACTCCGGGATCAGTTTGGCGGCCGCCTCGGCGCTGCTGCTGAACACCTGCGACGGGTGGTGGGAGCCGCCGAAGGTGATCTTGGTGACGGTGGCGCTCTGTGTGATGATTGGCTGCTGCTGCGGAGGAGGAGGAGACATTTCAACGAGGGGGAAAAACAAACGGGGGCCGTCCCTCGGTTGTCCCTCTCATTGTTTTTTCATTGCGTTTGAGGAAGCTACGAAAAGCCCCGTCACGTCCTGGTGAGGTCACATTTACATAAAAGTTCGTCCTTCGACTTCCCCCTCAAAGAGGCGGGACTTAACCCACCAAACAAACACCCCCGGGTTGTTTACGTCACTCACCTGGCTGGAGGCGGACTTCTCCGTGCTGACGGGGTGGTGCGCCTGCAGCGGGGGAGGGTGGGACATGGGGGTGTGCAGGGGTCTGTGGTGGGACGTTGGCGCTTGCTGGAGCTTCGGCAGCTGCGGCGTCAGCGGGGGCTTGGCCGGCGCGGACGGGGCCGGCGGTCTGTCTTTGGGGGTCGGGCCCGTGGGTTTGGGCGGATTCTGCTCCCGCAGCTTTGGGAGTTTCTTCACCAGAGGGAGAGTGGCGGCGGAGGAGGAGGACGAGGAGGAGGGCTGGCTGATTTGAGGTTTGCTGAGCAGCTGTGGCGGCGGCGGCGGGGGGAGCTGGGCGGGGGTGGCGCCGAGCCGGCTCTGCTCCGCCTCGGTCTGACTGGGGGGAGGTGGCGGAGCGCTCTGCTTCGCGGCGTCCGAGGCCGGTTGGCTGGAGCGGTAAAACAAGCCCGTTTGGGGGTCCAGGGTGTCGCCTTCCAGCTCGCCCACCTCCAACGCGGCGTCGGCTTTAACGTGACCGCCAGAGGGCTGAAACAGAGAGAAGATGAGTGACAGAGATCATCGAGAAGGCGGGGCGGGGGCGTCATTTTGACCAAGTTCCCCAATGAGTTGCCATGACAACAGTTTCCATTGCTCTCTGTATTATCCCGGGTGGTTTGGGGCGCTCACAGAACGCTTTGTTTGAGGTTGTTGCACAAATTCACTTTCACTCTCGAGAGCTGAAGTCGAACATGGGAACAGGGATCCCAGGACCCATCTGCTCCGTTCAATACTGATGCTTTATTATCGTCAATCCGGGACGTAATCTAAGCGAAACTAGCCGGCATTATATTCCGTATGCGCTCTATTGGATTTACACCATCCGCTCCGTTTGTTCTCTTCTAATCACGGACCGGCGTCCTCACCGCGAGGCTGCCGTGTGAAGCCGCGGAGGTGATGATGGCCGGTTTGGTTACCACGGTAACCTGGCTGGTGATTTTGTAGGGCTTCCCCGGCAGCTGGCTGGACGACATGACCACGTTATGGTCCTCTGAGGCCACTCCCACTCTGCTGCTCACTTTACCTGTCGGGCGAAGGGGGGGGGTCACAGATGAGCGTTGTTAAGATCAGAGATGGGTGTCGTTTGGGGTTTTTCTGAAACCGATACTTTTAAAATGCCGCTAAAAGGTTTTTTTTTTATCGCCATTTTTTTCTTCTCAAATTTGAACAATATACTAACTATGTAAACAAGTTAAATGTAAATAAATAAAAAAAACACTTCAAACTACAGCTTCGAACTTTTGAACTTCTAACTAATATGTGAACTATTACCGTATACTTAGCGTCAGTGTACGTATTAGTTCAATGGAATTTGGGAAATATGAATCATCTGATCTTAGTCTGTGTAGGCGCACGAGTCTGTGTGTGACGCAACGAAAGAACTTTAGCAACGGAGGGGAAGCACTGACTTCTAAATAGAAGGTAGATGGCTAGCTGGCTACCGTAGCTACACAAGCACTAGGCTATCGTTAGCTGCTCAGAATAGTGTAAATAAAGCTTTTCAATCGGCTCCATAGGATCCGGTACCAACATGGCACCGGTTCTCGGTACCCAACCCTAGTGAAGATGTAGAGGAGGCCGAACAAACAGCAGCCCCTTTGACTGCCGTCCACAAACCACGGAGAAGAACACGCGTGTGCGCTTCACTGTCACATCTGAGGTTTGCCACTGAAGGGCCGTCGTTCTGAAACCGACTCTCACGCGGCGCGTCATGAGGAGCACCTGCTGACTCCGTGGCGGCTTCAGCCTCGGAGGTGGAGGGCTTTGGGGACTCCGGGCCGGGCTTCTTGTCCTGGGCCAGCTGGAGGGGCACGGCCATCTGGCTCAGGTCGATGGTGTGCGCTCTGGGTTTGGACTCCGCCTTCTCCTTCACTGCCGACAAGTGAAGGCCGAACGGGGTCACGGTTGAATCTGGGTTTCACTGATGATTTAGAACACTGGTACATCTACGCTCTTACTCCTGAGATGAGGAGGCCCTTTTCCAAATATGACTCTCCCAGCGTCTACGTCTCTCCGCGTGACATAAAGGCTCACCTGTCGTCTGTTGAAGCTCCAGCAGGGCTTTGATGGTGGACGTAGCGGACTGGGATTCCCCACCCGGAACTTCCTGGTAGATGATCGTTGGGCCGGACTCCACCGATATCTCCTGCTCGGTCCAATCATGCTCTCTGGAGGATACCACGTGCACCACAGGCTGAGGCTCTGAGGCGGGCCACGTGGGGCAGATTGGGGGGAGATTTGGGTCATTTTCATATGAAACGGGTCGAGCAGCAGCAGCCGCCGATTCATTGGAGCTCATCGCCTCGTTCACCTGGAGCGCTGCTGTGCGACGCCTCGCCCGCGGCGCTCCCGGAGTCGCCCTTGGCGGACCCGTCCGCGCCCGAGGCCGGACCCGGCACCAGCTCAGCGGAGCGGGTCACGTTCTGCAGCGCCTCGGTGACCAGCTGCCGGGTCTGCTCGCTCACCACCGCCGCCTGGAAGACCGGCTTTGGCTTGATGAGAACCTGGGGAGGGAAACCAGAGGAGCGCAGATCCCTGTGAAGATGACGTCCCCGTCCCAGACTGCAGATGCTAAACGACCACGGCGGGATGTTCACGTTTCGTACCAGACATCCCGCCACGCGGGCACTGATGCAAGTCAGCGGCTGTTACCGCCGATAAACGCGAACAAGTGTAAGCTTGACGTTACGGCTGGAGGGCGGCGTGATTTTCTCCGGCGTCGTTTGTGGTTTTACTGATCGTCGCTGTGGGTGTTGAACACAGTACTTTGGTATTTAGGAATTGTGAATCACAGACCTCAACTTCCCCTCCGTGACTAAAAATAGACAGAGAATTCAGGCTAAATTTAGGCCGCAGTCCCGAGTGTGATTAGTGAAAGTTCCACGACCGGTTGTAAGTAATCCAAAAAATGTTTGAGAAAATGTATGAAAAGATTCTCAGGCCCCACAAACCTTTTAAATAAATTCATTATCCCCACAGGTCTCTGATCTCAGTGGGCGACTCCTAACAAGTCACAAGTTTTACTTTCAGACCTCACGTCAGCCTTTCTTGGTCGTTGTCACAAATCTGAATTTCTGCAGAACTAATCTTATTTTAACTGCTTAAAAACAGAAGAAAAATCCCCAGGAAGTGAAAACGCCTCCAGCGCTTGGTTTCAATGGACGGTCCAGGTGCACAGGAGCGCCTGAGGGGGCCGAGCCATTATTTAAAAAAAAAAAATGGAAATAGAATGAAATGGAGCCGATGCTTCGGGAGTTTCCCTCATGTGCTCGTTAACAATTTAATCATTAATCAGAACCAGTTCTATTGATCTACCGTCGCAAAGTAAACGCTCAACTGGAAGGCTCAGCGCTCAAAGAAATCTACACAGGTCTGATACGACGGGTTGGAGACCTCGCTGCAGTCTGCAGATCAGGTGACCCTCGTCGACAACCTTTAGGGAAGGACTCAGCTCTGTCTGAAAAATAGGGACATTTTCTCTTCATTTCAAACGGTTTCAAACAGCCTGATCCAACTTCCCCAGAAAAGGTCATGGATCTCCCGTTGAGGGAAGAAGACCCAACAGTGTTAGCCCTCGTGCCCTCGTGGTATTTGAGGTCAGTCAAAAGGTCGTGTGAATGTCCACCTGATGCCAGTCACACGATGACCTCCATTTGAATGTGGTTTAACCAGCAACGAATGAGGATTTGAAACGCCAGCAGTAAATATTTCAGTGGAAAACACTGAGAAGAGAAACGTTAAAAGCCCAAAGGTTCGAGGAGCCTCACCTGCGTCTTGCCCTGCTGGCCGTAGACGATCTTGGTGGGGATGATCTTGGTGGCGGTGGCCTGCGACCCGGAGCTCATGCCTTTGGGCTGGGTGACGATCATCTTGGTGATGGGTCTGGAGGCGGTGATGATGGCCGGCTTGGTCCCCTGCACAGCCTGCAGCCCTTTCTCGCCCTGAAGCACACACAGTTCATTGCAACACCAGAACCGCAGACACAGGCAACGCGAGAGGAAGCCAGTGGCGCTCGTTGGATACGCTCGAATCCAAATGCTCAACCGTGAGTTGCAGCCCTACACAGAAGTCGCTATATGATTTTAGGGCACGAGAAGCCTCAATTTTAAAAAAGGAGCAATTCTACATTTCCAGGCTGGCTGTTTCCACTCGTTTAGAGTCTCTGTGCTAAACTAACTGGATGCAGATTAATATGTAAAACATACCTAACAGTGATAAATATCTGAACATCAAACTCCAGAAAACACATCAAAGAAATTCCAAAAATGTCAAACTATTTCGAGATAAACACAAAACTCTGTTTAACACGTTTTAAAACCTTGAATTCAGGAAATGCAAGTTGATAAAAATGTTTAAAGGACCTTTGTGTAGGATGTGAAGGTTTCAAACTTTGGCAACACCTAGTGGTTGTATCAAAAAAGACAACAACAGTGGAATTACAAAAAGATGTTAACAAACATTTATGCATTATTCATTTGAAAGAGTTATTATCTTATTCGTCACCATTTGGCCTATAAATTTACTGATTGTTTGCTGAATTAGTTGATTAATAGTTTGGTCCGTAGAGAAGAACTCATCGTGGCCAAAAGAATCTGACAAATCAAGAGTTAAAGAAAATAGAAAACATTCACATTTGAGAAGCTGTAATAATTGTTGCCATTTTTGTAAAAAGTTGCCAATTCATTTTCCTCTCAAAAAATGAAAACCACTAAAGCGAAATACTTCATCGGCCTTTGGAGGAATCACGGATGATTCCTGAATCATAACCCGGCACAGTGAGAGACAGGAACGTTCCACTGACCCCGGCATTCAAGAGGGTGGTGACCACGTTCTTGCCAGGTAGCCCCTGGATGGTGGCCCCCTTCCCCGTGGTCTTCTGCACCACGATGACGTTTGGCTTGGAGCTCATGGGGATGGTGGTGATCTTGGTCGTCGTGCCTGTTGCAGAGGGGAGTCGACATTTTTATGAAGAGCGGCGGGCGGTGAAGTCACGGCGGCGTGGAGCTCGCCCCGCGGGGGCTCACCGGACACGATGTTGCTGCTGATGATCTTGCCCCCCAGCGTGGCCAGAGACTTGGGCACCACCGTGATGATGCTGCCGCTGGTGGTCTTGACGTAGGTGGCGCCGCCGCTGGAGGCGGATATTCTGGCGCCGAGGCTGGGGCTCACGGTGGGTCTGGTGTAGGTGGCCTGGGTGGCTGCAAAAACACAGGGTTGCTTTTAATAACTATGCCTGGGTATCTGTGATGAGGACAGGGAAGTTACTGTCCCTCACCCGTGGACTGAGTGACCAGTTTGGTCGTCATGATGGCTCCGTTGCTACTGACGACCATGATGGGGGAGGAGCTGCTGCTGGACAAAGCCACCGACGAAGGCTTGGGCAGGATTTTGCTGGGCTGAACCTGCTGAGTGATTATCTTGACCCCTGTAACATTTAATTAGGTCAAAGAAGAAAAAACACTTATAGACTGCAACAGACAGTGAGGGGGGGGGAGGGCTTCTCAAAACAGAACACAGAGACATTTTTGTGTTGAGGGTCCTTGTGGAGAACAGAAAATATCACTATAATAAAACATTCATGCGTTCACATGTTGTCTCTTTATAACTTGTTTTGTAAATGTGTAACTTCTGACAACTAAAAAGAGATTATGAAAGAAATAAGGACAAAGAAATAAAGAGGTAAGAGTCTAAAGAAAGAAAAGAAAAGAAGAAAGCGATAAAGACCTCAAAGGAAAACATCAAGAAGGAGAGAGATAGAGTAAAGGAGGCGGGCGGCTTACCGGACTCCTGTTTGATCTGGATGGTGGGCTTGGAGCCCGGGGAGGTGCTGCTCGTCTGCGTCTGGCCGATTCCCAGAGCTGAGCCGTGCTGCAGCTGTTTGGGGGACTGCTGTTTGGGGAACTGGGCCAGGATCTGAGCCGGCGATCCCACCAGGGTCTTCGGCGAGGGAAGTCTGGCTGAAGCCACCTTCACACCGGCCGAAGAAGCGCCTGCAGCAGCGAGCGCAGCGGTTAAGCTAACAAGGCTAACAGCGTGACCCAAAAGAGCTGAACAGGCTGTGAAGTCCCGACTCACAACTTTGATTATTTCAAAATGTTTGATTTCCATAATCCATGTTTCAAGCCTAAAAAAAGAGTGACAATTTAATTGAGGACTATTCACCATCTTAGATTACAGAAGAATATCGTCCGTGTGGTAATGTTCTGTACATCAAACAGGCTGTTTGCTAATCCTGAAACAAACTCATTGTCAACAGATGCTGAAAGTTCCCCGTGTTGTCGCCGCGTCATCGGAGCAGAGGAAGGACCTACATGTTGTCGACATGACCACCGACGGCGTGGAGGAGACCACGGTGGTCACTGCCACAGTGTGGGAGGAAGGGAACACCACCGTCTGCTTCTGGGCGGTGGCCGTGAGCACCGAGGTGGAGACCAGCTTGGACAGAGCGGCGTTGTTGTGAGCGTGAGACTTGGACAGGATGTTGGGCACGAAGTTGGAGCTGGGAGAAGTTGTCACGATAATCACCTGGATGAAGAGGAGACGTTATAAAAGGCTGCAGGGGTGCCCGAGAGGCGCGGTGGCAGCGTGGACCCACCTTCTGTGTGGTGGTGTTGGTGGTTTGGATGGTGGGCTTGGTGAAGGTGATCTTGACGGGGGACAGGTGCGGCGGCAGCGAGTTGGCGATGCTCTGCATGATGTTGCTCATCTTGGGGCTGCTCACCGGCACCGTGATGTTCTTGGACACCAACGGCGTCGCCTTGGAAACCTCCTTCAGCATCACCGGCGACGAGCTGGACGAGTTGGTCCGCCTGCGCTTGCGCGGCTTCTCGTCCTCGTCGGAGCAGCTGACGCCTGCGAGGGAAACGCGGGACAGTCAGAATTTCTCGGTCCATCAATCCGCCGATCATTTTCTCCATTAAATTGGTGTATTGACGCGTCAGGTAACAGCGGGACGTAGTCAAGTATATTATACATTAAAAACACAGAGCTGAAAAGGTGAAGTCGATTTGACGAGGCTCACTTTTTACGTAGACGGTGCTCCCGCTGGGCAGCACCACCACGTTGGACGATGGACTTGCCGGCCGGGGGGATTTCACGGCCGCTCCTATTGCGCCGCTCGTCGCGGCGGCGATGGTGGAGGTGCCGGTGGTGCTCGTGTAGGAGTAACACACAACCACTGCAGGGAGGAGATTAAACGCTCATTTAATGTCTAATCTGATTAACAAAGATTAACCTTATTTTTCAATAGAACATAGAGTGAAAAGCTCTACAGCAATATGCATGGAATAATCTTTCGCCGCTCGTCTAATAATAGAAAGACTCCGGCTCACCTTCTTTGTTTCCCGTTTCCGCTGGCAACAGCAGGGAGGCGTTCTGATTGGCCGTGGCACTGGCCACAGCATTAGCGGTCACAGTAAACGCCGTCTGCGGGACCAGCCTCGGCATCAAGGGGACGAGCCGGCGCCCCTCGATGGACCACTCGGACGAGCTGTTCGGACCCGACATACTGAGGAAAAAATTCTCAGTTTGCAACGCGCAGCCAAACTCACAATAAAAATATCATGGCCAGAGAAGCTGGACGCAGGACACTCCCACATGACGCAGGACACTCATACATGACACACCCACATGGCAGAAGACACTCACTGATATGCAATGGTGGTGAGGCGCTCATCGTTGACGGCCCTGCGGACTTCTGCGCGGTGGCGCTCCGTTGAGATCCTGAAATCAAGCAAAGGTGAGACACATTGCTTCTCTCTCTCGATGATGAACTCCCAGAATATGTAATAAACCATCACCCGAGGATTTTAGTGAGCTCTCCCAACAGATCCTTCTTGTCCTTCGAGAGGTCTCCTTGGGCTCGCAGGGCGCTGATGACGCCGGCGTACGCCTCCAGCTCTGGGAAACAGAAAGACTCTTCAGTACGCCAAACTCGGTCTTATTGAGGGGTGGAAATGGCTTTTACAGCAGTTCCTCTACTGTTCATATCAGACTCATGTGATCATACCGAGTTTACGGAGAATTCTTTTGCACTCATCCCTGCCCAAGTCCAGGATGGTGGGCCACACCACAGGCATGGTTCCAGCCAGCACTGGCTTCTCCAGCTGAATCATGGGCTGAGTTGGGAGTAAACCAGAGAACAATTTATCACTAAATCAACAAATGTCACAGTAGTTTGCTCTCTTTAAAGAGCTCCAACAATTTAAAAGCTCAATATATAGTGAACAAATCTACAGTTCTTCTCTTGACCAGAACGGTCTGATTGACTGGAAAATAATCTTTCATATACAATGACTGTGTTGAGAGGGAGCTAAATGCATCGTGTAAAAGGTTTCGTGTTTCGTGCCCATTTTAATGAGTGTAATTGAATGAATTAGTCCCCATGAAGAAGCTTCTCTCCCAGAGGAAGTGGGTCAGTAATTACTCTGCACAATAATCGTGCAGCTTTAATTCAAAAATGGATAAAGGACAAAAGGTGTCGTGTTGAAGTGAGTGTAGTGAGGGAAGAGCAGCCGCCCTGCTGTTATTTACAACGTTTGTGTTGATGCTCGATTTATCGGTCTAGTTGGCTGACTTTGGGCCACTGAGCTTGAAGCAAATGGGACACAAACAAAGAAGGAGTGAATACTGCATTAGAAGGAGACGATTTTGTATTTGCATTTTCTCAAATCGTCTCGACCTGTTTACACTGACTAGCACCGCCCACCACCGGACATCCCTGTAACTACAATCCATAATGCGAGCGTACAAGGCCAACAAAAAGAGAAGGTATTCTTAAAAGCAACTCCTGCTTAGAACACAACCGGTACGCCGGAAGTAAAACAAAAGTCCAATAATTACACATCTGTGCGTTTGGTGCTACCAGGTTCCGACATTTATAGACGAATAACTCAAATGTTTAGCCGTTACATTTATCTGTCAACAACGGCAAAGCGGGGCACGTAACGTTACTGGGTCTACGTTTTCCTCAGAAGCACAATCGAAAAAGAGGCAACAACGTTAAAATACACGTCTAAAATATTCAACGCAAGGCGTGAGATCTTTGCAGGTCGAACCTCCAACCAGAGGAACGTTGTATTTTGTCAGTTCAAGCCTTTGCTTAATTACCTGCGAGCGAATCAATATCTTACCATCCGTTAGCAGGACAACTTCAAGGCCTTGGTTAATCCCAGATCACAAACAAACATGGCGCACCTGGAGACGTTTGGTTACACTACCGCATCGCGTGGTTGTTTTTTGATGAACAGCGGCGGACAAATAAAATGCTCAACTGCCAAAAATGTCTCAGTCCAGCCAGAAATGTCCCAGTGTTTACGTTGTCTGCTAGCTAGCTGCTGCTGCCCCGGGGACGGCTGGGCGGCTTTCTTCTTCTTCGTGTGATCTGTGACGTCACGGGAGGCGTCTTCTTCTGGACATGGCGCTGTGCTGCCCCCTACAGGGGACAAGACAGAGCAACACCGCTTAAAGCCTGTGGTGGTTGATACTGTCTTCATAATGTATTCAATGCGTCTTCGTTATTTAGCTGTGTAAATGTGCCTCCGAGCCTCACTGGTTGTTCTCTGGTACATTTGTGAAATAACTCATGGACTTCTGTAACATGAAAGGCACAAACACGGTTTTCATGAAAAGGTCCAAACCTTTCCGAACTATTGGAAACAACTATTTTAACAATACACAACATTTGAGGATTGTTTTATCTTTTTTTAATCCGGAACTTTAGTCTGAAAATTAACCATTAGTATTTCATTTTAATTGTCAAATAAATTAAGTAAAATTGACGTTTTTTTAAGTACCATAAGATTGTACTGTAACTCAATTGAGCTACTTTACTACACTTACTTTCCAACACTGTTAAATAGCGAGTAAAAGTCCAAATAAAACCACATCGATGCTTTTAAATCTGATAGTTTCGCGAAATACGAGGAGTTCATGAACGCAACGGGATGGAAGGTGTTTTTTTTAACTCTTTTTTGGGGGGGTGGGCGACAAACCATTTCCTTTTTTCCATTTTGCATCATCACTTTTGATGCGAATACCAAACCATCCCAGATTAGGATTAGGATTAGAGTGAGCAGACCTGGAGGAGGAGGATGCTACAGGAACTCTGCGCGCAGGGTTTAGCAGAGTTTAGCAGAGTTTGAAGTTATAACCCCCCCCTCCGCCCCCCGGGGTAATCTGGAATGTAGCCTGGACTGTCATCATGGAAGTATTTCCTAGGGAACACAGCGATGCCCTCCACTTGGATTTGGAGGTAATCTGAGGCCGTTTCGGGGAGACGGGGAGAGTTTTTCTTCTTCCAGATGTCTGATGACCACATTCACACCCCGGCGACCAGGAAACCACCGCTTCTCTTCACCTCTTTGGACCAAACGCTTATTTCTAAAACTTTATTCTCCGTTCCCTTCTGATTGTGTTCCCTGGAAGAAGGAAAAAGAAAATCCCTCTTCATGCTGGAATAACGAGTCGTCGACGTTATTCTGAGTGAAGGGAGCCGTTTTGATGAATAAGACTCGGACCCGATCGTGACATGATGTGATTCGGGCGAAGTCGTCGGAAAGGTCGCAAGGGAAGCCCCGATGAGCTGCACACAGTCCACGCTCACCGACAGGTAGGCGACACGCACCTTTCCGCCCCGCGTCCAAGTCCACGCGCATCGACGCCACAAATCCACGTCGTTTCCCGAGTGGCTCGATGAATGGAAGAAACGCGCCTGAACGCGTCACGCCGAACTTCATTAAAAAAAGGCACAGTTTAAGGTTTTCTTACACGTTGCATAACACACAACCGACAAAAGTTAATATACGACTCTTTGCCATATTGTTTGGCATTTTCGGTAAATTCGGCAATTAAATTGTGAAACAACAAAAAAAAACGTTGGCTAAAAAGTTATTTTTTTATTTTTTTATTTAGCACGCCCTGTTCACGTCGCATTGCTGTGGGAGTTGATGTCCCCCGGGGTCGTTAGATAATGTAAATACAGTTGAGTTAAGTCCACTTAAAGACGCTCGATGTACCGGATGTGCGCCGAACTGGAGGCAAGTCTTTACTAATCCCTGTGAGCTCGTCACTTATCTTCCAACTCGGACGTCTTATCTGAGGAAACTCACGGGAAGTTTAAATTTACAGATTTCTAAACGGAGTTCTTGAAAGGGCTCCTTCCACAAACCACAAAAGCAGAATGGGGCTCGGTTTTTCCACTCTACCCCCTCCTCCCATAATGCCATCCTCCTCTTCCCGGCCTGCAGGGGGCGTTACCCTGGACTGATTCCTTCTTGACCTTTTGGGCCCTCAAAGGTCACCCAACACATTTCAGTGCCGTTCTTCTGGTGGTGTGGCAGCTGGATGGAAACACCTCCCACGGCGGTTCCTCCGATACCGCGATCCTTCACACGGTCAAATGATGACAGACAAGCGTTAAAAGAGTCGCGTTAGACAACGTGCCGTATAAGGGTTGACGGGCTCTTAAAAGACGCCGCTCCACACAAGTCACTGGTGTATTTTTACACTCTGCAATCGGGAGTTTCCTCTGGGGAAAAGCCAAAACAAAGGCATCACATGACCACCCCCGAAAGTCAAACAGAAAGTCATTTGATTTGGGGCGACCTTCAGCCCGGCAGCTCGCCCGCTCCTCCACCGGGCCGAGGCCTCTTAGTGTGTAATGTTTCCATCACATCTCCACATACAGCTGAATCACACACACACACACACACACACACTCCAGAGCACAGATTGAAGGGAAAGTTCAGTCTACACATGAGATTGATTTTTGCTGACATTTCTGCAGCTTTTGTTCAGCTCTGGTTGGGTTTGTTAGATTTATTACATGTGAGTGTTGTTTTTCGCTTTTTGTTGAGGCTGCTGCTTCTTCTTTTTTTCATCCAGTGCTGAGTGATGTCGTTAAAATCCCCGGACTTTGGTCCAGTTTTATCCACAACACGAGACCAAACGCTTCTAATGTGTCAACAGGAAACCAAACATGCGCTGATCATTTTCATAACTTCTTCAAAAACATTCGGCAAAATAGCTTTGTTCAACAATCAGTGTACAATTTAGACGTAACGTAACATGTAACCGGCTACAATATGATGTATTTTATTATATAATTATGCACTAAGGGGGGAAATTCACAAGCTCCCAGTGCATGAATTAGTTCATGTTTGCCACATGTACTGTACCTTCACAATGCATCAACAATTATAATCCAGTCTTACACAAAATATTATTCTGAATGGGCCATTCTGCATTATGACTGTGGCTACTTTAAGCATATGTAGATATTAATACTTTTACTGGCGTCTCTCAGGGTCGAACCGAAGCTCTGATGTGATGATCTAAACAACACGTTTATCTGTGGATTTCAAGGTTGTTGCTGAAGCAAAGTGGCGGAAGAAGTACTTTCCCGTAACTCAAAACGGGAAAATCGCTCTGTGAAAGTACTTTGTCTCGAGTATTACAGTATTACATTCAAAGGTTCACTTAAAGTATTAACAAAATGGAATTCAAGTGATAACGTTAGTTGAGAGAATCAAATATCCCACATTTTAAAAAGCAAATACCTCAACATCAATGGTAATATTTCAGTATTGACCATTTGTGCTTCCACACGTTTACACAGTTATATTTTTTAGAAATAACCATCAGTAATGAGTGTATAAAGCGAAATAATAGAACAGCTAGTACACTAAATGTCGTCCCACTAGCCTTTAAAACCAGGGAAAGTCACTTATGTCGTAATACAATATCCAAAATCTGAGATGATATTAACAATGTTGATAAGTTATCAACACGTCGCTCAGGCCTCCGTGTTGGGCAGAACGGTTCCCTTCAGACGGCTGTAGTAGTAGATAAAAAAAAAAGGTTTCAGTTGCCAGGCAACAATTGCTCCAACTCCAGCTGTGGTTAGGTCACCTTCTGGACGTCCTTCAAGGGTTTCTCAGTGAGAGGAATTCGGTTCGAGGTTTCTTCTGACGTCGGCGATGTTTTACCGTCTGGATGTGACGACCCCCAGCGTGGAACATGTTCTCCTCCAGAGATCACGGCACAGCCGAGTTTATGGCGTTGAAGGAAAACTACAGTGTGACACAACCTGGCTGCTTTGTCACTTTTTGGGGGGCTTTTAACATTTAAAGACTCTACCTGGGAAAAAAAGACGGCGTTGTCATGACAACACTTGTTGGTTTATGGACAGATGTTTGGGCTCAAGAGGAGTGACGTAGAGAAGCCATATCAGTCAATGGTAGAGACCTGTCAATCACGGTGTAGCCCCGCCCTAACGCATAGCCTGCTTTCCAACCTCAAATATGTTAGGCTGAAAAATGTTTTGGAAAAAAAGTCTTAACTTTGGTTAAACTATCGTGGGACAAAAAGTTGGTCAGACAATGCTTTTTGAAAAAAAGTCCAATTACGTAAGGTCTAAAAATATCAAAATGAATCAAAATGTTTGGAAAAAATGTCAAAATATTTTAGGTCAAAAATTGTTTTGGGGAAAAAAAATCAAAATATGTTTGGTCAAAAAATGATTTGAAAATAAAGTCAAACATTTTTGGGTAAAAAAACTAATTTGTCAAGTCGAAAATGTCATAGAAAAAAGATTTGACTCCATTCACTAAATTACGCTGTATTGAAGAAGACTTGAAACTAGAGATTGAGACAATAAACGTTTGTTTATGTTTGCTTGATTTATTCCCTCAGTAAACATTGCAATCAAACAAGTAGAGTCATTTTCTCATAGACTCCAATGGGACCAGAGGAGTCGCCCCCTGCTGGTCACTACACAGAATGCAACTTGAAGGGGCTTAGCAAACCCTTGGGTTGCGTCCCGGCGTGAAAGTCATTGATTTGTTTATTTGTGTCCTGGGCGATGCTGAAGTGCGATGCCGCTGTGGGATCAAGCCGAATGCCACGAGGCCGTGGAACCGGCTCTTTGTCGCACAGTTTTGCTGATCGGCGTGTTCCCTCCCACCGACCTCCATCCCCTCCACCCTCTGACGGGAAGTGGTGACATCACCGTTGAACAATGTCTGTCAGGCCCACCAGACCACCACACATCAGAGCAGGACGGGCTTTCAGTAAAATGAGGCTGTGCCGTCTGGATGATGAAATCATTTAAATAATCACCTGTGTATTTTATTTCATCATTTCCCGACTGCTCATCGGGAGCGTAAATTCCTACGTAAGGTTATGGCTCAAAAGTCTGTTTACGCCGTAAAAAGTGCACCTTCCATAAAGAAGTAAAGCCGGGAAAACCTTTCTGTGTGCTCTGAGATTGAGACTTCAGAAGACTCCTCTTTAAAGACAAACACAGCTGTATCGTGGCAGAGGACCAAAGGTCAAAGAACACACGGCGAGCAGTGACTCATAATTAATACCAGTTCATTTTATTGACATAACGGACGTCATATGCACATAATGAACAAACAGCATTTACATCCTCAAACCCCCCGGACCAAAAACGGTGCTCCAAGTCGTGGATGTAATAATAATTTATGAGTCTCGTCTCATCCGGTTTGGGAAAATAGTCAATTAAAGCTCGTATTACACGCTGTCCCGCCTGCCAGGGATAGGATCCTAATCACTCTGCCCGTGTAAGGATTTAATTCTTCAGAGTCACATCATGGGCTGTAAAATACCTCATATCCAATGTTTTGAGCTTTGTGGATCGGAAAGCGAGGAGAGAAGTGTATTCATGTGCTTATCATGGCGGCATTCGTCCTTTTGTTAAGCCCCTGTGTCTTCCTCTGGACTCCAACCCGCCGCCTCGCTCTTATCGTCCCGCAGGAATCGTCTGGTATTTTTTGGCTCCAGAGGCACAAGTAGATTGCTGTGTGTTTTCCTTTTCATTTGTGTTCCCCTCGTTTGGTGGCTGTGCAGTGAGAAGGCAAAGAAGGTTGGAATCAATTAGCCTGCAGACGTGACGCCGAATGCAATCGCAGTAAATCATCGATTGTGGTGCCGGTGAACTTTCCACACGGAGGGGGAACGCTTCTCCTTTTTGTTGCAGAGGATCGGTGAACTTATGAACCTTATGAACAGTGGGCCATCGGAGAAAGGCCCGAGGTCAACGACCTCTGGGGAAACCTGCAGAAGAAGCTTTTCTCATCTTCACTTCCTCTCGTCCCTCACGCTGCTGTCGAGAACTAACCAGCTATGTTTCCAGACGGTGATCCTCACCTGACCAGATCTAAAGAAGGAAAACATCCGCAGTCTGACTCAAACCTCTTTGTGCTCGAGCCGAATTCCTCCCCCACTTTTATCTGCCACCCGGCGAGCAGGATGCAATCTGTCCCCGTCTCGCTTTCTTATCAGCAGCGACCAGGCTCCCTGAATAGGCCGTCCAATCTAAGGGTGGCCAGCAAAACACCGTCTGCCCAGCGTGTGACTCCCTCCTCCGTCCGTGCAATCAGTTACTTGGTCTGTCTGTTTTTGACTCTGACGTCCCGGGGACGAGTTGAAGCCGTCTTCTCTCGGCCCTCGGGACGTCAGTTTGGACGGGATTGTCTCTGCGAGCTGAGTTAAAATCTCCTCGGCTCTCAGCCGTACGTTCCTCCCGCAGAGACACTCTTGTGCCTCCTCCTCTTTTTCCCAGCCTTTCTCGTTCAGGAAAACTGGAGCCCAGCCAAGAACCCCAGTCTCCGTTTCCGGGAATCTGTCCCACAAAGCCACAGTATAGTGAGTTGGCCCTGACGCGGGAGCCATTGTCGAAAGGCCGGGGCCCCCATTGTCCGACGGGAGGAACAGCAGCACAAACACGAACCCCTCTCGCAGAACGAGTCGGAGGAGCAGAGCTGGATGGAGTCGGGGGGGCCCTCTGCTCTTAATATATGGCGGCCCCCCCCGAGACTTATGGATAATAAGAAGAAAGAGCCTGTTTGGGGTTGTTTGCTTCAAATTGGACACCAACAGACTCCGTTAACTCTTCGCTCTGATAGCGCGGTTATTCTGAATACATTTACGTTTAGGGAGGTTTGCATTGAGTTATATCGCGATGCCAATTAGTGTTGTTTATCGTGATGCGTTCAAATCTCGTAAATTGCAGTCGTCGGTGGAGAATCCTGGGAGGAATGTGTTCACATCTGCTTGTCTTGTGTGTGTTCGTCTAGGACCCCGAGCATTCTCAACAAGGAGCCCACGGACAAGAAACCCAAGAATGAGAAATCCTCCGTCGCACTCAAACATGAGTTTGACCCGACCGGTGAGGCTCTTCGTCGCGGAGCTTCAGGCTCCTCATCCTCACGTACACCCGTTTTAATAGCGATTAAAACCCTGCAAGAAAGAGCGTTCAAAGTGGCGGAGGAGCGATTGTCCACTCCGGCTCCCTCGGATACTTCTTTGGGAGACGGGAGAGGAAGAACCCGCGTGAGGCGGCTAATGACTCGCTCCTCTTCCTCACCGGCAACAGGAAGAACTTCCCTGATGGAAGTTTCTTACCCTGAAAGCACACGAGCGCCGTTACAAATGCAAAGGGCTGCTCTCAGCAGGTCAGGAGCCCGCGGCACATTCAGACGGGTATTCTTAGCCGTGCATCCGGTCACGGGACTTCCCACATTATCAAAACAACAGAACAAAGGTCCGTTTAATAGATGGAAACAGATACAAATACGTTTTCCAGTCATGGAGTGTTGGTGGCGGCAACGTGCAGAGAGGCAGAGGCAGTGAAGAAGAAGAAGACGAAGAACAATGGCTCGCTAACATGAATATAAATTAAAATTGTTAACTAACATCAACTGTAGGAAGGTTTTTAGTGGAAAGAAATCCACCCGATATGTTGGTCAGACTTCAGCTTTGTTTCTAAGAAAACAGGACACGTTTTTTCTATTTTTTCCATCACAAGTCTTAAAATCAATATTCTCTGTCAAAGAATGAGGTAAAAAAATGCGAAGCACCATATTGATCATTTTAATTGAGTATTAGGATATACTTATTATCATTACACACGCAAAGGAAACCTAAAAAAACGTGTCGTTTATTTGTTACTTCCTGTGTGGAAGATGTTTCCCACAAAACATCAAAACCGCAAAGCTCAGATCATCCGTGTCGCAGCCGCGATTTGTTTCAGCGTATCTCGCCGCACCGTTGGTGGCATGTTGTGTAATGTAGCGTGTGCGTGTGTGTGTGTGTGTCACAGGTCTGGTGCAGCGCTGTGTGATAATCCAGAGAGATGAAAACGGCTTTGGGCTGACTGTCAGTGGAGACAACCCAGTGTTTGTGCAGCTGGTGAAGGAAGGTAAAGCTCTCACACACACACACACACACACACACACACACACACACACAGCACTCTTATCCTTGTCTTTCTGCACTTATGAGGACCCTCGGTGACATAATAAGTGGCCTTAAAGGGTCCTCACAGCGAGGACCGGCCTCTCCGCTTCTCTGACGCCGTCTTTTCTGCCTTCAGATGGAGCTGCGATGCGAGCCGGCGTTCAGACAGGAGACCGGATCATTAAGGTCACAATGAATCACTCGTGTACTCATTTACTCACCGATTCATTTGTATTTTCTAACTCACTCACCCATGCATTTATTTTCCACATCTCTATAAATACGGCTGTTTCATGGAAAACACTCACCATTGAACCTCTTTGTGTAACATTGATCCAAAAAGCAGGGGACAGCTGTTTAAAGGGAAACTATTTTATAAATGCATGTTTTTATTTAATGAGAGACACATCGAATAACAATCGCCCCCCCCCCCCCCCTCCTGTTTGTTGACAGGTTAACGGGACCTTGGTCACACATTCAAACCACGTCGAGGTTGTGATGCTGATTAAATGTAAGTGTGCTCCTCTTCCCTTTGGAATCACTACCTGGGGGTTGATTCTCCGCTGTGCGCACGGGCGGCTCGCACCAGTCATCCCTGACACAATGCATCCTTTGATGTGACGAGATGTTTCTCTTTCTCTCGGGTGGTGGTGCTGACTCGCGTGCTTTTTAAGCCGCGCGTCCGCGTTTGTTTCCGCCCCTTCATTCCTTTCCCGGGACTCCGCTCTGGGAGCGGGCTCCTATGTCGCGCTGACGGTGCTGGGGAGGCCTCCGGGGCTCCCCCACATCCCCCCGGAGGAGGACGAGGAGAAAGAGAAGGTCCGCCCGCCTTCCTCCCCGTCATCGGCCCTCTCGCCTGCGCCGCCGGGCGGAGAGCCCGCCGCCTGCTCGCCGGCTGACGGGGTGAGGAAGCAGAAAGAACGCGAGGTCGGTCTCCGCCGTGTGGAGGACGGGGACACGTCCCCCACACGGCGTTTACATCTCTCTAGCAGCTCGAGTTCTAGTTCTGATGTGAGAACCAGAGGTCCGATCTCGAGGTGGAAATCTCATTTAAGCTTTCCTAAAAACCCCAGAACTCTCTTCAGTAATCGTTCCATAAGCACTTAAACAATGGTGATGATGTCACCTTTTTTCCACTATCTCTGACTTTTTGGCCCATTGTGTTTCTTTTTATTTACTCTTTTTTTTTTTTAGGATGAGAACAAAACCACGCAGAGCCGAACAGCTGAGAACCTGCAGAAGATGCTAACGGATGAGCAGCAGGAGCTACAGGTGTGTGTGTGTGAGACTCCTGCATGTCTTCATATGCAGATTCTTCAGCACTCTGGGATTTGTGTTCAGACCAAGGAGGAGGACTACAGCAGAAACCCTCGGCCCAAACTACTGAAGGAGGTGCAGGAGGCCAAGAAGCACATTTCCCGGCTGCAGGAGCAGCTCAGCGAAGCAGCGTCACAGGTAAAAAAAAACAATTTCATTTACACATCCAGAAGGTTGCAATCAGCCTTCGGTGATTTGGCCTTTCAGGATCTCAGACAGCCTTGAGGTTCTTCACCCACCTCCATGCAATGTGTGTCAAACTATATAAAGGCAACTTTAGTTAATTTAATTAAAACAGAGTAGAAGTACAAATAACGCCCTGTGAAGAAACTGTAGATAAGTCAAAGTAAACGTCCTGTCGACCTGCTTTATGGTCATTTTGGAGTATTAAATAATAATAAACAATGTAGTATTATCAGTAGAAGTACCTGGCGCTGGTACTCAAGTCCTTCTTGTTGTTGCGTTCCAGTGCAGAGCCTCGGGGAGCAGGAACAGTGACGCTGAGGACGGGGACGTCGGCCCCCCCGCGAGGGAACAGACCCCGACCTCACAGGGCCACAGGAGCCCCGCCGGGCCCCCCAGCACCAATAACGCTGTGGGTACAAAGGCAGATGAACCACATTGACCAGGAGTCATTAATCATGAAACCACACGAGCCGCTGTTATTAATAATGTGATCAAAAGTTCCAACAGGAAGCTTCTTTGGAAGGACGGATTCTGCTTAATGACTTCCTCCTTTTTCATCAGAACGTCTCTAAATAGAGAAGAAATGGTCCGACTTTCGACCTCTGGGGATTTCCCAGCATTCAGCACCAGACTAAACAATCAATTTGGCTTAAGTGTGGTGTTGCGCTGTGTGTGTGTGTGTGTGTGTGTTAGATGCAAAGCAGCCCCCCCACGGAGGCTAAAAGAGAGACGCCCTGTCAAAGCCCGGACGTCAGCCGGCGGGACGGCCTCCACCTCTGCCCCTCGCCCGACGCCGAGGACCCCGCTGACACTGTAACACACTCACACACGTGCACACAGACACACCGTCGTGGTGAGGCCATCGACGCTCACACTTTGACCCATTTAACAGACCTGAGAAACCGATAGTGTCCAAAAAGCCCACGTGTAAGTGTGTTTACCAGAGATGAGCTCTTGGAAATAATAAGGAAATAATGGAATTGGAATAATGGTTGGAAATAATAAGACTAAAAATAACTGATTACTCTGTTTTTTACTGCTTTGTTGGAGAGTTTATCAAATTACTACATATTTTATTTTATATATTCAGTACAAAGCTGAATATATACTTTCTGTTAGTGTGAAACTAATTTATCAGATAGATCTACACCACTTTCTCCATCAGTGCCTATATGGACCATATATACATATATCCCTCAGGACTCTGGTGCCCAGTGCATTGTGGGTAGCCCTCCATACCTCCTCAACCCCCAGATCATCGGAGCAGAAGATGACTACTTTGACTCTCAGCAGGAACAGGTATCTGAAATGAGTCGTAAGTGGATTCTCTTCCTCTCGAGCAGCGGCATCGATCCCCGTTTCTCTCCGCGTCAGATCGATGGACCCTGCAGCTGTTTCCAGAGCATCGACTCGCTCAAGTCTCGTCCGGCTCACCTCGCCGTCTTCCTCCATCACGTGGTCTCTCAGTTTGACCCGGCGCCCCTGGTACTCGCACAACGCACAGACACAAGGCACAGGCTGCGGCGGTGGTAATGCTCACTGGTGGTTCCTGTCCTTCAGCTGTGTTATCTCTACGCCGACGTGCACAAGCAGACCAGCTCCAGAGAGAGCCGCCGCTTCTTCGCCGAGTTCCACTCGCTCTTCGTGGACCGAGCGGCTGTGAGTTTCTCCTCCGGCTCGTGTGTGTGTGTGTGTTTGTTCCTCTCGGACCACGTTTCCGCCTCGTTGACTCTTTCGCGTACTTTGCCCGTTGTCCTTTGCAGAATCTTAAAGTACCGGTGCCGGAGGCCGTTGCCGCCGAATTAGGTGAGGCCATCGAACTTTGAGCCGAGCGTGGCTGCTTTCTGAATTAGCTCCAGGACCTATTTGGTCCGACTTTGTCCGCGCTCTGACGCGTCTTGGCGTCTGCACAGAGAAGCGGCGGCCGGAGTTAATCCCGGAGGAGCTCTGCAGGCAGCACATCCAGACGGTGCAGGACACGCTGATCCCAGAGCTGCTCAAGAACCTGGAGGACTTCAGGTGACTCGTCGCTCAACTGCGCCGGAGGAGCGGAGGGAGGGGGGGGTCAGGCGCGTGAAGGTGACGCGTGTTGGTGTGTGGTTGTGCGAGCAGGCAGAAGCGCAGCATGGGTCTGACGCTGGCCGAGGACCAGCTGTCCAAGCTGGGCCCGGAGGGAGGAAAGGACCAGCAGGCCCTGGAGAGGGAATGCTCCTGTGCAGAACACATCCTCTCCAAGATCGACGACATCCTGTGAGAGAGCGCACACACACACACACACACACACACACAGCACAGTCGACTCCTTGTGTCATTGTGCGCTGACCCTGAGCTGCTCGTTGCAGGTTCTCCTCGTATCCCACCGAAGAGGACAAGTGGTAAGACCGGGGAGGTTTTTTTGTGATGTCATCAGCTTCAAACATCTGCATGGCGTTTTTTAAATATAATTGTGTGATGAATTCATTTTCGGTTGAGGTATCAATGTATGACGGACTCGTATCTCTTTCTTCTTCGCTGTCACGTCGCAGCCAAACCATGCAGCATGTGATCCTCACCTACATGAAGCACCTCGGGGTGAAGGTGAAGGAGCCTCGAGGCCTCGAACACAAGCGGGCGCGCATCAACTTCCTGCCCAAGATTATGGTCGGTTCCCTTATTTAACATGGTTTTACTGTGAGCGCTCCCCGCTGGCCGCTTCAACATACCTACCGCCATTTTGAACCGGCAGAAGAGCATCAAGCCCGAGAAAGAGGGCGAGGAGAAGGTGAAGAAGCCTCTGTTCTCCAACATCCTGGGCCCCCCCCGGCGTCTCAGCCGAGTGGACTCCACTTCAGGTGAAGTTGGAGTTGTTGGCGGAGATTGGCAGACGTTTGCTAGTGTGAGTGTGATGTTTCATTGTGTGCGTGCGTGCAGTCGGTAAGGCCGTGGAGCTGAACAAGCAGCGCTCCCCGAAGCAGCTTCCCCACCCGACCGCCGGCATCCCCGAGCAGCCCGACTCCTCCGGCTCGGCTCGGCCCCGCGGGGCTCCGCCCGGCACCTCGGGATCGGACGCCGCCGCGCCGCCTCTGGCCGCCGGCAGCGGCTCCTCCCCGCCGCTGAGCTCCGCCTCCGGTCAGGCCTCAGACACCAGCGGACCGGACTCGGACTCCAGTGAGGAACACCTGCTGCTCTTCCTCTGCTCATGCAGGGATTCAGAGGACAGGGTCGGTCTGAATTTACTCTGCGTCCTCTTCCCAGACGTGTCTCCGTTCTGCGTCCAGCCCAGAGTGGGCGAGGGTCCGCAGGCCAGAGACCCCCAGGAGCCCGTCTCCAGTCCCACCGGCACCCAGTTCGACTTCAGCCCCTCCAACCTGGAGCACTTGCAGGAGGAGGACCAGGAGGCCTTCAGGTGTTCACGGGATTTAGACTTGACCAGAGAAAAGATTTACTTCACCAGATTTCTCCTGAATTCACCAAAAAGCACTGCTAGATAATGACCTGGTTTTTATGTTTAAACCTTAAAAATTCAATCTATTAAGACACCAGCGGTGTCTTCAACATGTCGGTCATGTGACTGTGTCACTGATCTCTGAAGTCCCCTTCAGGAGCTCCTCCAAACGTTACACCTTCATTCCTCTCTGGGTTCTGCAGGTTCTACTGACGCTTTGTTCACACCACATTCAGAGACCCATTTATACTTATTTATGTTTTATCTCTAAAACATGCAGGAAATGTATGTATGTCAGAACCAAAATTATTTTTGCAAAAACCTTTGACTGAAACCTGTCTTCATCCAGTGGATGAACCACATGAAGGTTTGCACATATTTCACAAAGTGTCGCCTTATTTGCATCAACTGGTCGTATAAAAAATATTAAGTTAAGTTTTTCTACGTAATGATTATATAATAGCGATGGATAAAGACGAGTAAAGAGGCCCCTCTCTGTCCTCAGGATGGAGCTGCAGAGCTCGGTGAGTCCGGCCGAGCTGCAGAGCGAGGACGACCAGGCTTCGGGGGCGACGGAGCGGGAGGAAAACCCTCTGACCTGGCAGAGTCTGGTCAGCCGAGGCGTCCTGGCGAGCTTGACGCTGCAGGAGATCAAGCGGCAGGAAGTCATCAACGGTGAGTCGCCGACAGGGGCGGGACATAAAATGATAGGACACCGAGTCCCCAGCCGCGTGTTAAGCGTGCGTTCCACCTCAGAGCTCTTCTACACGGAGCGGGCGCACCTGAGGATGCTGAAGGTGTTGGACGGCGTCTTCTGCCAGCGGTTGACCAGAGACGGCGTCCTCCCTCCAGAGGACATCAAGCACATCTTCAGGAACCTGGAGGAAATCATTCAGCTGCACGGTAACGTCCCAGATTCACAAAATATGTGTTCGCAACCTTTGTAAATGTAAAGAAACATTCATTTTTCTAAGAGTTTTTTTCCATTCAATTTTTTCTCCTTAACTTCAACGTTAATGTAATTTTTTACAGTGTCGGAAAAATCTGTGCTATTCAGCAGTGTTAACATTTCTGTTTTCATCTTTTAAAGAAATGTAATATTAAATAAAAAAGAGTTCCTATGCAGTCGGCGTCTGGATATCCTGGATATGCAGGGAAACAGATGTGGATGATTGCTGGATGAAGAGAAATTACCACATTCTTATGAGAAAACATCTGCCCAACCAATCAAAAGGCCCCTTAACTTAAAAGCCGGTTGATCGGCTGTCGTTGTGGTCGATTTGAGTAGAGAAGAGAATATGAAACACGTCGAAACACAATGGAGGAAAACACAAAGAGAAATCGTCCGAATTATGAAGAACAATGTTCATGTCTTAACACTTTTACCACTTTTTTTTCTGCAGTTTCTGTGACGGAACAAATGACAGCGATCCGGAAGCGGAGCGAGACGTCGGTGATCGGTCAGATCGGCGATGACCTGCTGTCGTGGGTACGAGCAACAACCGCACCACGCTGATTATCCGGTCCGGATTGCATTTGTTCTTTGAATTTTCTCTGTGTGTGTGTGTGTGTCTTATTCCAGTTCAGCGGGGAGGAAGAGGAGAAAATAAAACGGGCGGTGGGAACTTTCTGTAGCAACCAGCCGTCCGCTCTGGAGCTCATCAAGAGCCGGCAGAAGAAGGACCAGCGCTTCACCTCATTCGTGCAGGTGAACCCACATATTTTAATCTCTGGATTAGATGTATAGATCAAAATCATACAGCTATTGACACCAGATACAAACACAATACAAAAATAATAAACTGGCAAAATACGTTTCTGGGGGTTTCAACCGTATTCTCACTTTTTATCAAACTGCTACAAATGGGATCAAAAAAGAAGTCGCCCTCTTAAGTGATATCAGTCTTTCGACCTGGATATTCTCCCTTCGTGCATTCAACACGAATCACATCAGCTCACAGACTCCAGCTGTGCAAACAGCGTTTTTGTTCTACTTTAAAGATTCCTTCTTGTTGTCTTCCTGTCAGGAGGCTGAGAGCAACCGTCTGTGTCGCAGGCTGCAGCTCAAAGACATTATTCCTGTGGAAATGCAGAGAGTCACCAAGTACCCGCTGCTGCTGGACAACATCGCCAAGTACACCGGTAGGAGAACTCGTGGCTCGTAGCCGGCGGCGTCGCTCCGGGAGGTTTGTGGTTCCTCGCTAAGCGGGGCCGCTCGTGTTTGTGCACCTGCGCGCAGGAGACGGAGAAGAGCGGCAAAAGGTGAAGAGGGCTGCCGAATGCTGCAAAAAGATCCTCAACCACGTGAACCAGGCGGTCAAAGAGGCCGAGAACAAACAGGTTCGACCACCCTTTTTCATTCACTGGTTCGCTCATTCAGAACCACCTTTCGTACCACGCGGCCCCCTCGGGCGCTTCCCTACGTTACGCCACGTGGCGACGAAAAGAGGCGCCTTTCATGTTTCATGAGTTGTTTCTCCTCAGAGGCTGGAGGAGTATCAGAAGAGGTTAGACCTCTCGTCGCTCAAGCAGAGTGAGAACCCCATGATCCTGGAGCTGAGGGTGAGAGACACCACGGTACCTTCTCACGAAGGAGCCGTCCGCCGGGTCCGTGTCTGTTTAGCCAGAGTTTGATTCTTGTCCTGCAGAACCTGGACCTGACCAAGAGGAAGATGGTGCATGAGGGACCTCTGTCCTGGAAGGTCAACAAGGAAAAGACCATTGGTACTTACCACACGCGCCCGTATGTGACGATGACATCTTATTTAATGTGCAGATTTAATGTGCACCACGCTCTTCTTCTTCAGAGCTGTACACCATCCTCCTGGAGGACATCCTGGTCTTGCTGCAGAAGCAGGACGAGCGCCTGGTCCTCAAGTTTCACGGGAAGAATCCGGCCGTCTCCGCCGACACCAAACACATCTTCAGCCCCGTCATCAAGCTCAACACGGTGCTGGTCCGACCCGTCGCGACCGGTAGGAGCCGGAAAAACGAAGCAACCCGTGTAATTAGTAACTCGTGTGTCCACTGTCCCGTGATCCCCGTTTGTCTCCTGCGTCCTCTGCAGACAACAGTCTTTCTTCGTGCTGTCCATGTCGGACAACGGGGCTCAGATCTACGAGCTGATGGCTCAGACGGTGTCCGATCAGAGAGCGTAAGTCCTGCGCCGCCAAAATAAACTCAGACTCCAAGTCGCCTCACTTCCCCCCGAGTCTCACCCCGCTTCCCCCCCGAGTCTCACCCGCTTCCCCCCCGAGTCTGACCCCGCTTCCCCCGAGTCTCACCCCGCTTCCCCCCCGAGTCTGACCCCCGCTTCCTCCCCGAGTCTGACACCCGCTCCCCCGAGTCTGACCCCGCTTCCCCCGAGTCTGACCCCGCTTCCCCCCCGAGTCTGACCCCGCTTCCCCCCGAGTCTGACCCCGCTTCCCCCCCGAGTCTCACCCCGCTTCACCCCCAAGTCTCAACCCCGCTTCCCCCCGAGTCTCACCCCGCTTCCCCCGAGTCTGACCCCGCGTCCCCCCCGAGTCTGACCCCGCTTCCCCCCCGAGTCTGACCCCCGCTTCACCCCCCGAGTCCTCACCCAGCCTTCCCCTGAGTCTCACCCCGCTTCCCCCCCGAGTCTGACCCCGCTTCCCCCCCGAGTCTCACCCCGCTCCCCCCCCGAGTCTCACCCCGCTCCCCCCCCGAGTCTGACCCCGCTCCCCCCCCGAGTCTCACCCCGCTTCCCCCCCGAGTCTCACCCCGCTTCACCCCCGAGTCTCACCCCGCTTCACCCCCGAGTCTCACCCCGCTTCCCCCCGAGTCTCACCCGCCTTCCCCCGAGTCTGACCCCGCTTCACCCCGCTTCCCCCCGAGTCTCACCCCGCTTCACCCCCAAGTCTCACCCCGCTTCCCCCCGAGTCTCACCCCGCTTCCCCCCGAGTCTCATCCGCCTTCCCCCCGAGTCTCACCCGCCTTCCCCCTGAGTCTCACCCGCCTTCCCCCTGAGTCTGACCCCGCTTCACCCCCAAGTCTCACCCCGCTTCCCCCCGAGTCTAACCCCGCCTTCCTCCCGAGTCTGACCCCGCTTCACCCCCAAGTCTCACCCCGCTTCCCCCCCCAAGTCTCACCCTGCTTCACCCCCGAGTCTGACCCCGCTTCCCCCCCGAGTCTCACCCCGCCCCCCCCCCGAGTCTCACCCCGCTTCCCCCAAGTCTCACCCCGCTGTGTCGCCCTTCTGCCCCTCCAGGTGGCAGCGCCTGATCACGCAAGGCGCCGACGCCATGAAGGCCCAGTCTGGCCACAGAGACGTCACGCCTCCGGCTCGGTCGCAGTGAGTCCGCCAGCCGCCGCGATTTGCTCGTTGACATTTTGGGGCTTTGACTGTTTTCAAAAAGATGTTTTTTTAAAGGAAAAGTGATGCGATTGCATTTCAGAGCTGAGCGCGACGCCTTTGAAATGATCAAACGCGGGATGCCCAAAGCGAGCAAAGATCCCAACGACACATCAAGTGAAAGCCTTCATTCCTCAGGTACCAGTCGCCCAATTCACTTCTTTATTGCAAGCAACTATTCAATCTGAGTAATTGATCAAAAAATGTCAGAAAAATGTTGCCAGATTTTGATATTCTTTAATAATATAATAATAATTTATGAAGCGCTAGTTGTACAGTAAATGTACATATTAAGTTTAATGAAAGATTCAACACAAACTATCTCTATCTCTGTCACATTATAATATATTTTACATCATTGAATGTAAGTAATATAACGTATTAATAGACCATGTAAATGTATTTCTTTTAACTTCCGTCACCCTATGAATGCAAACCCCAATGCGTTCCACATGAAGATGCCGCCTGTTCTCCGGACATTCAAGCGCCGCCGGGTGTCAACCCGTTCGACGGCATGAAATCCGAGGACGAGGATGAGGAAGAGGAGCTAGTCGCAGCAGACAGACGGGAGGATGCTGAGGAGGAAGTGGAGGAGGAGGCGGCGACGGAGGAAGAAGAAGAAGAAGTAGAAGAAGAAGAAGAAGAGGTGGATGAAACGGAGCTGGAAGCCTTCCTGGACGGGCAGCTGGCGGACGCACTGCCCTTCCTGCAGGAAGCGCCGCCTCCGGGCGTCGCCGCTGAAAACCTCGAGCGCGGCGCATCGGGAACGCTCTCCTCTAAAGGCGAAGAGGCTCTCAGGACGCGTGAGTTACAGCTTATTAAAGGACCAGTCCACCCAAATAACAACTTACCTCCCAGAGAGAGCTCTGAGACGATGTCCCCGCTCTGTGTCCCAGTGGCGATGCTGAAGCAGGCTCTTTTCAGCCACATCAGCACGGAGGCGGAGGAGGAGACAGAGGGGGTCCACGAGGCCGTGGTCCCCGAGAGGCCTCCTCAGGGACGAGCGTCCACGAGTTCACATCGAGAAGACCCTCGGCCCCCGGCAGGACTCGCAGAGCTGCCTCAGACGCCTGAACACAACGGTGAGGCCCCTTCGTCAATGACATGGGAATAGAATACTATGCAGAACATTGGCGCCGGGTCCTCTGGGCCCAAAGCGGTTTTCGGGGCGTTTCTTTGCCCCTGACACATCTTACCCTGAACATGTCGTGCAGAATAACTCACGTACCATGCAACCTGTTTCCTCCTGTTGCAATTCTTTGTGCTAAGCTAAGCTAACAAACATATAGTCAGGGTTTGGGAGAATGGTGTGTGTGTGTGTGTGTGTGTGTGCAACATGCATTTCCACTCGCTCTGTTCTCCACCCCAGGAGGCTTTGTGGTTCTGGACTTTGGGGGGGGCTCCGAGAGCAGCACCGATGACGACGGGGGGGTCGGCGGCGACGTCGGCATCGACATGAGAAGGCTGCTGTCCTTCTCCTCGCAGGCGGGGGCGCGGAGGGCCCAACCTCAGCAGGCAGCTCAGGACCCACCTGCGCCTCCTGCAGGCCGACCTGCAGTACCTGAAGGTACCACGCGGCTCCTTGTCTTGGTCTTTGATTGAAGACCAAAGCGTCAGAATTGGGTTGACTAGATTCCTGTGATTTCAGGAAGTGGAGATGAAGTACAACGAGCTGGCGACACACACACGGCGAGACCGCCACCGACTCCGATGACCACAGCGGTGATGATTCCTCCTCTGCAGCATCTCCGGCATCCGTTCACAGCGGATCTAAAGACACCTTTGTTTGTGATATTCTTTTCAGATGCGATTCAGTGATGGTGGACTTCCGTCCCTCTCGAGGTTCGTGCCGCTGCGTGGTCACTTTCCTCCGGTGGAATCTTTGAAGATTTAATTCTGGATAATGGAGACTTCAGGAACGTGTCGGTGAAAGAAGTTATCGTCACTGACTGGAATGTTTCGCTACAAAGAGAAGAGACTCTTTCCTTTCTTGTTGCCATAATATTAATCAACTGCATAAATGATCTTAAAACACTGGAGATATGAAATGAAGAAAGTTGCATGTTTGAAGGATGAACAGCAAAGATTAAGAGACAATCAGGGACCGGACTGATTCTGAGGATCGAGGTGGTCGATCGTCTCCTTCAGGACTCTGCTGTACTGTATGTGTACTGTACATATTCAGCCACGTAGATGAACATGCTGACAGTAGATTTACTCATTTTGTGGAAGCCAAGCTGCCTTCTCACGACACTGATTATGTTTTGAAACTCTGCAGCATTAGCATTAGCATTAGCATTAGCATAAAACTGGAACGAGTCTATGGGGGATGGGGGGGGGAGGCAACCCACCACCACCACCACCTCTAAAGTTCAATAATGAATTATTTGTTTAGTTCAAACACAAACAGACACATAAAAATGACTTTCATGGCTCATTTGCTAGCCGGTAATAATACTTTTTTTTTGACCGACAACGGAAAGGTTCTCCTTGCAGAGACTTTTACTTACGGAGCATGTACGGAATAAAGTTCAAGCATGTACCTTCCAATAAAAATAAATAGATTCCACATACTTATCGCCACGAAATAACAATTGAAACCACAGAAACGTTGAAAGACGACGTCTTTGCGTTCGGTCAAAGCAGTCGAGGGACCGTTGTTGAGCAATATAACCAACCAGAAGGTCCCCGGGCCTGCTGAGGGGTAGAAGGGTGCAACACACACAGGACTTTCACCCCGCAGACCCGTGGGTGTCCCGTGTAAATGGCAAATGTCTTTTCTGCACCCGTCCAAACTTCATCTTGAGCCTGTGACAGCGGCCCGTCGTCCCGCTGAGGGCCGGAGGTGCAGTCATCCAACCTCTGTGATTCCCTTCAGAGAGGGATTAAATTCTCACCCAAACATGACTAAGAAGATTAAAAAATCCTAAAAAGAATTTATAGACAAAACATGCTGTGTAATAGATTGTTTTCCATGTAAAGGTATATAACGTAAAATAATGAATATCTAAATATATTGTGTGTCGTTGTTTTTCACACAGCACATGTAGGTCACAAACTGAAGAAGGGCTGGATCTGTTCAGAATGTTATATTTTCATTACTTTGCTGTTATTAAGAGGTTTGTTGAGAACATTCGTGTCTCCGCGAGCACATTTAAAGCACATCAAACGGGATCTTATTCATCATAAAACCTGAGTAGGGTTTTGAATGTTGATCGAAGGCGCCTTCTGAAAAACACGTGCCCACCCGTACCTAAACATATGCATTTAATGGTTTTAGTTCTATAGGTATGCATGTGCATAAAGAAAGTACATAGTTTCTTAGCACAAAGGACGTTGGGAAAAAGCAGCTTTAATGGCGCATTATGGGTTTGGTAGAAGGTCCCTGCAGCATTATGGTGCGTGCTGACGAAGTGACTTCACTCGCTCTTCTGCGCGTCGGTGGCCCCCGGCGGGCGGCCCCCTCCCCTCGGCCGGTGTTCCCCTCCCCTCGGCCGGTGTTCCCCTCGCCACCTGTCGTACTTCGCCCGGCTCTTCCTGTAGCCGAACCGGGCTATGTCCACCATGAACACCCAGGCCAGCGCGTACATGGCCACGCCGCCCAGCTTCATGACCAGCGTGGTCCTGGGCGACGTCAGCTCGCAGTAGAACAGGAACCCGCCGACGCCGACGCGCACGGCGGCGAAGAGCGAGATGAAGAGCAGGTCCACCGCGTCGCCCAGCGCGCCGTCGTAGCGGCCCAGGCGCCGCAGGAACCAGCGGGTCTGCAGCAGCGGGTTGGTGATCTCGCTGCCGAAGATGACGCCGCAGGTCTCGCAGGCGGACACCCCCATGAGCAGAGCCAGCAGGATGCCCGCGATGGAGCCGGCGTGGTGCGCCAGCATGACGGGACCCTCGGTGTGGTGACGCGCGCACCAGCCCAGGTCGAAGAAGAAGTAGCCCAGGCAGACGGCCAGGGAGAAGGTCTGCAGCTCCGTGTTTTCGGTACCTGAACCAAAATATTTTAAAACTTTTTTCGGCTTAACATTTTTTTCCTTTCATTTTTCAGGACATTTTTCAACTAAATATATTTTGACATTTTTTTCATATTTTTTCTTCTACCAAATATTTTTACTTTTTTCGGCTTAACATTTTTTTACTTTCATTTTCCAGGCCATTTTTCAACTAAATATATTTTTACTTTTTTTTTCATTTTTTTTTCTACTAAATATTTTTACTTTTTTCGGCTTAACAACTTTACTTTCATTTTTCAGGACATTTTTCAAACTAAATATATTTTGACATTTTTTTCAGATTTTTTTTCTCCAACAAATATTTTTGACATTTTTCAGCTTAACATTTTTTTACTTTCATTTTTCAGGACATTTTTCAAACTAAATATATTTTGACATTTTTTTCATATTTTTTTTCTACCAAATATTTTTAGACTTTTTGACCAAATATTTTTTGAGGGGGCAAGCACTCTTTGTATTAGGTACTTGTAATATGTGCGTATTTATATGTAATAATACCCTTTTTCACGATGTTCTTACTATTTCTCTGACCTTCTTTGACCTCATATTTCTGGACATTTTTCCACATAATATTTGTAAACCTTTTTTCCTCATTGAAAGGACTCATCCTAAGGTTATTTTTTAATCCAACCATCTTCGAAACTAACAATCCCTAGACAAAATACTACATGTTGCTATAGTTAATAGGACTATATCATATTCTTTAGATTATAATGCATCTGAAATTCTAAATAAATTTACAGACTGATTAAGAATTTTGAAAGCTAACTACTATGCGAGTTGTTTGTACAACAGATATTTCTTGTGACAATAATAAACTGCTTACAATCTGGATCTTTTCACAAGTTGTGTGTACATTTTTATCATATAGAAACACATTACATATAAAGAGGCATAATCTGAGCAGCACTGACCTGCGTGTGTGAAAGGCCAGGGGCCGTCGATAAAGAGGACGTACGCCGTCAGCATCACTATGACGATGCCGTGGGACAAAGTGACCAGCCGGCAGCTCCACTCGGACCCCCGCTGAGGGAAGGTGCGGCAGAGCAACAGGTAGAGACAGGACCAGCCGACGAGGCTGCAGGTCACCTCCAGCACCGGCATGGCTGTCTGTGTGGGTCCTATTGACCGCAAAGGAGTTTTAAAAGAGATGAATCATTCAGAATCTCGCTATCACCGCTCACAGTGTCTCTCACCCAAACTCGTCCCCATCTCAGTCTTGTCAGAAATACTCAGGAAACACAGAGGAAATGACTCCGTCTCTCGGAGCCCATCGTTGTCTACGTCCCATTCAACTCCCACAAAGTGTCTCACAAAGACATCCCACTCAGCACAATTCAAATGGACACATTTTCCCCGTGTCGGGCTGACAGCAGTGAACGTGTGCTGCGTGAAGGCTACTGAAGACGTTCAGTGGGTCCTTCATCCCCCCCCTCAGACCTGATCCTCTTTAAGGATTACAGGCCTTACTTCTCTGCAGATACCTGCTCTCAGGCGGGACGGCTCGGACGGGTTCCAGGCCCTATACTCGTGTCCTTGTTGCATCAATTCAATTAAGTTAAATAAGTCTGTCTCTGAGGTATGTGGGAGAGCATCGTGGATCTGGTAAGGAGTGACTGTGCAGGTTGATTAACCTGTGAAGCTAAAGGTCAGGTGGTCACCTGACCGAGCTGCAGCATTAACCCACTTCCAGAGTTGCTCTAATCTGAAACCAGAGTAGATTATTGGGCATTAAAAGCGACTCTTCTGCGCTTCAAGCTCTTTATAGTTGTAGTGACAGATACGTTGCAGTATTCGTATATCTATATTTTTAGCGTTGAGCAACTTTCCAACCCTGTAGTTCTCCAGTTTTATTGTAGCCTGTTAAAAGAGGTGTTCAATTTCTGTCTTCCTGCTGAGAGTTAGATGAGATTATTTATCTCCAACACGATGGAGATGCACCAACTTTTCCTTTCAGAGAAAATATTACCATCAAAATATATAATTTAACTGGGCACTTTGTTTTCTTTTATTAGATAACACATACATAATTAAAATAAAATAACATTATTTGAACAACCCAGGACATTTCAATGTCACAGATGTGATTACTTTATATACCTCTGCGCTACACACTCGATTAGGTAGGTGGCGCACTGCTTCTCTGTGACGTAAAGAAAAAACCGTAGAAGAAGAAGTTCCTCTTCCGGGGTTAACTCGGTTTCCGACAGGTAAATAAACACGCATGCTGACATTGAGAGATATAAATACCATTTCAGTTAGTTCCCATCACTTTCTGGTCGTTCATCCTTTAAAACACTTTATAAACCTCCGGTCTGAGCAGGAAAACGAGGTAAGTTCATTCAAACCGAGTTAGCTTGTTACATGTGGAAAAGCGGAAAAAAGCATTTTTAATAATAACATAATTCTCTCCTGAATATAATCGACCTTCTGATTCTATAAAAACATAATGTATTATCTTAAACGACTGGTTATCAGCCGTATTTACATTCGGCATTAACCAAATTGACCAAACAGCTTTTATTTTAAGTCATTTATATTTGTTGTGTTATCACTATTGGTCAGTCTGCATCTTATTGACCTTCCTGTCAAAACTAATGTTCAACGTTTTAAAAAACATTTTTGGAGTTGTGCTACATATATTTTACACAATGTTATTTCTGCTAAATGTTTGCGAACCTTTGTCTTTTTTTTTTACAATGTTTCACATTGATTTAGGTTTATTTGGTATAATAACTTATTATTAGTAAGTAGTATTCGATAACTTTCAATTTAAATTATTAAAATATCGTCCCTTTGTCAAAATTGAAGGATCAAAAATGGATTTCTTATCATTATAACAAAACCAAACTGTTATATTTCCCCTCATTGTCCACCCGGTATGTGTCCTTGTCCCATGTCTTCCTACAGGATGGCTCTGTCATGCGTGCGCCTGTGCACCAGGCACATCAGCTCCGGGCTTCAGGTCTGCGGCCACGCTACACTCAGTAAATCATCCCGACCCCAGGAGAAAACCAGCAGCGGCCCAGTTTTTCAGTTTGTTGGCCAGCATAAAAAGCCCTCCCACAAAGTGTTTGTCTGGGGCTTCAGCTTCACCGGCGCGCTGGGTGTCCCCAGCTTCGTGGTGCCGGACAGCGGCAGGAAGAAGCCTCGCAAATACCAGCTGACTCCTTACCGACTGGAGACCGCGGAGCAGGTGAAGTGTGCTTTATTAAACGCCGCGTTTAAAGGTCTCGTCCTAAGATAGAACTCACCCGCTGCTCTTCTTCTTCTGTAGATCTCCTCGGCTGCTTGCGGCTACGGCTTCACTCTCATCGCCTCGCCAACCAAAGACGTGATCAAGCTGTGGGGCATGGGCCTGAACAAGGACTCTCAGCTGGGCTTCCAACGCACGCAGCACAGCCGCCGTAAGGAGCAACCAGAACTTAACTTACTCCTACAGAGGAGTATCACCAGCTCTCTCTGAACAGATGGATGCGTATCTACTGTGTGTTGGCGTACCTGTGGAAACGTCCCCTTTTTCGGTGTACAAACGTTTTTTGTGTGATACCTCGTGACTAGTATGAGCGAAGGCAGCATGTTTGTGCCTCGGCCTCACAACGCGCCCTTCTTTGCCCGGCCGCTCTCTGCAGATCAGAGCTACGACTACGTGTTGGAACCCTCCCCGGTGGCTCTGCCTCTCATCGAGCCTCTGCAGACCAAAGTGGTTCAGGTGGCGTGCGGCCGCGCTCACTCTCTGATCCTCACCGACCAGGAAGGAGGTAAGAGTCTCGCGCCAAATACTAATGGAATCTAATTGCCATATTTCTGACTGTCGTTTGGCCTGACGAGAGAATCCTCTGCTGGAGTTAAAGGACCCTTTCATCTTTCACTTCAGAGTTTTTATGTATTAAATCGATGTTGTCATATTCCAGCTTCACAGACTGAATGAAACTCTGTTTTCTCTCTTCTAGTTTTCAGTATGGGCAACAACGCTTATGGCCAGTGTGGAAGGCGCATAGTGGAAGATGAAGTTTACAGGTTTGTCCACAAGCTGCAAACGTTTCAAGATCATTCAACTCTATTTTTAAAAATTAAGACCACGTGAATAACATTTTAAAGTTTGTTTACAACCTGAATGACTGCACATGCTTCTTTTCTCTTCATTTTTTTAACACTGTCTCCACATTTCCTGTTGTAATGATTTGTATGAGTCGTACTCTATATGTTATAAAAATGGAATAACAAGCAGATAGTCTGAGTAAGCGGGGCGGTGTGACCTCGACTGATGGATGATGTTTCTCTGTCTCATGTCCAAACAGCGGCACTCACATCATCCACAAGTTGGAAGGCTTCGACAGCAAGGTCACGCAGGTGAGTGCGACCTTTCCTCCCCTTCCCTCTCTCTATAGATATTGTGCTTCCTCGTCCCCTGCGTCCTCCTCCACGTTGGCCATGAAGTGATGTCGGAGCACCATCCTGAAGGAGGTGTCGATTCCTAAACGATGACATCGTTAAGAAGAACCACGTAGAAACAGAGCATCTTCTCTGATGGTCTTCTTTACTGTTGGAGGTCTGTAGAGGATCAGGACTAAACTGTGACTGCTTCATGCGAAGGATTAGGACTAAACTGAAAACTGGTTCAGAACCAGTCTCAGTTTGACGTTTGTTTAAACGTTGTGTGTTTTGTGTTTTTTCAATGCCTTTCTTTTTCTTTTCCCCCCAGGTGGCATGTGGACAGGATCACAGCCTCTTCCTCACTGAGACGGGGAAAGTGTTTGCGTGTGGATGGGGCGCAGATGGACAGACGGGTCAGTACCCCCCCCCCCCTCTCCCCCCATGTCAGACCTCTTCACCCTGACAACCAGAGGAAACATCTGTTCTCCACACAAGTGAAACTTAATAGTGGGATTCGCAGTGAACACAGTATCGCTTTGGTGAAACCACTGGAGATATCCGGTGCTGCATGATCAGCGTTTTGGTTTATTCTAACATTTATATAAAAAAAACACATTTTATAATCACATATCTGAAATAGCAGAAATAATAGAACGGGGAAAAATATTTTCCTCTTACATCTTTTGGTTGTTTTTGATGAAGGTCACTACAATTTACTCAGTGATTTGTATTTTTACAAAAACATTTTTATGTGTATATATATATATATATAAGGTTTTAATTTTTCTTAAATCTCCTGTAGAAGATTATTAACGATATCTTTGTATATAAATAAATGTAGTTCTGGAGCTCTTTCTAAATTTATATTGAGAATTGGAGTAAAAGATGAGGATTTCTTTCACATTTGTCCTCGTCCTTCAGGTCTCGGACACCACAACGTGAGCCCCCGTCCGGTGGAGGTGGGCGGGGATCTGTCCGGCGTGGAGGTGCAGCAGGTCAGCACGTATGGAGACTGCAGCCTGGCCGTGTCCACGGACGGGCGGCTGTACGGGTGGGGAAACTCCGAATACCTGCAGCTGGCTTCGGTCACTGAGTGCACGCAGGTGAGCGTGACTCACTCACAAGATGCAGCCGCACAAACCGCGTTTCATGCTGCCAAAGGCTTTATTTTGGAGAGGTTTGTTTAAACAACATATGTGTCAACATTTTGAGTCGTGGTCATTTTAGAAGAAGATCGTATTTCCAAAAGTTTACAAAGGTAATACAGTAATCCCTCGTTTATCGCGGGGGTTACGTTCCGAAAATGACCCGCGATAAGTGAAATCCGCGAAATAGAAAACTTTTTTTTTTTTTTACAATTAGCAACTATTACATGTATACAAATACAGTGGCTCGCGTGTAGGCCGTTTCACTGCTCTTCAGACTGGGCCGCTGCATCCTGACTGCGCTCTGCAGTGTTCTCTTCTTCTGAAGCCCGCGGTGCAGGTGTGTTTGTTCGGGAGAAGAACATAGTGATAGGCAGCTGTTGTCGCTCTTTTTTCTTCTTTGCAAAAAGATCCTTGTACACCGACATGCCACCATCGATTACGTTGGAGAACTGTAATGAACGGCTCGGGAGTGAGTTTTTAGCGAATCAGAATGCAGAGCACAATGCACCAAAAAAAAAAAAAATGCAATATGAAAATCCGCGAAATAGCGAATCCGCGATAAGTGAACCGCGAAGTGGCGAGGGATCACTGTACATCAGGAGACAAGTACAGTCTAAACAACCAGAGGTGTCGCCCCCTGGTGGTCCCGGACAGAATGCAGCTTTAAGACGCTTCAACATCGGCTTCACCCGGCTGCTGCCTGGATGCAACAACAAACAAAAGCCGTGCACTGTTATTGGTAAATACAGCAAGTGATTGTGGTGTTTTTCAGATCAACTCTCCCCGACTTCTTCCTCTGGTCGGCTGTGGAAAGGTGGTCCAGGCGGCATGTGGCGGCACGCAGGTGGCCATTCTCAACGGTCAGTGTGCTCACAAAATACTGGGTTTTTTTTCACCGCAGAAGGTTTTGAGGATCGATTATTGAGACCAGAGAGCTCGTCTGCTCGCACGAGCTACAGAGCTGCGCCGACTCGATTAGTCGACAGCTTCTATTCGTTTTCAGTTTTTTTCCCCCACAGAACTCTTGGGAAGTTTGGTGTCAGGCTCCACACTCGGCCTCTTGGTGGCCTCAGAGGTCCGTTTTATCTACTCGGTGTGATTGATCAGCGCGGTGGTTTCCCTCTCTGCCGTCTCATAACGGACCATTTGAAGCATTATCGATGTTCACTCTAACCATCAAGAAATCCGTCCCAACTGGCTGAGACGTTTTGAGATAACATGATGACACATCTTTGGTCTCTTAGCTGGACGTAAATTGGGGAAAAATGTATCAATAAATCAATGTCGGAAAACCCTTTGGTTTCAGTTTCAAGTATAACCTCCTGTTGGTACAAAATGTTGACGTATACGGAACGAACTGAGCGCGTGTTTCATCATGTCGCCGTGTGTCTCCATCTTTTCAGAGAAAGGACAGGTGTTTGTGTGGGGCTACGGCATTCTGGGAAAAGGCCCGGATCTCTCCGAATCCTCCACCCCGGAGATGATCCCCTCCACGCTGTTCGGCCGCTCGGAGTTCAACCCCTCGGTCGCCGTCGCCAGCGTGCGGTGTGGACTCAACCATTTCGCTGCAGTGACGGGTGGGTTTGTTCCCGGTGTTAATGCTAAGCTAAGCTAGCATTTTCTTGTCTAACTTTCAACTGTCATGTAAAGTCCCGATGACATTTTGTCAGAAGCTGTTTTTGTATTTTGATAAATAACAATTATTAAATACAAGAAAAACCCTGATATAGAACCATGAGGTTATATTATATTCTATTTATTGTTTTCTTTCCTCCAAAGTGAAGCTGTTAATGTTTGTTGAGGGAGTAATGCAGAATGAGATGTAGCTACAACTACGCTACTCAGAAGCGAAGCGCACGTGTAGTCCCGGATTCAAAGGTTGATCACTTTAAGAAGTCGACATTTAATGAAGTTAAAGACGAGTATAATAGTCAGAATGGGTCAAGCAAAGCAGTTGTTTTTTTCCATTATTACTCTGGGATATTAGCTGACGAGGGATGTTGTGCGTTTTAGATGCAGGCGAGCTCTTTGTGTGGGGGAAGAACATGAGAGGTTGTTTGGGCATCGGCAAGAGGGACGACCAGTACTTCCCGTGGAGGGTAAGACGACACTTGTTCAATATTAGTCATGCAAACAAAAGGGAGGCCGTGCGGCTATTTGTGAGCTCGCACTGATAATACGGGTTGCTCTCGTCTTTGAATCTTAGTGGAATGCAAGTAGCTGTACAGTTTTTATTCCATTTGTGTCTGTTGAGCTTTCTTTTGTAAAAGGTAAATAGCACTCATCTATTATTTTTTTTAAAAAGGAAAAAAGTGACAATCTATAGATACTCTGCTGACTGCAGATATGCAGCTATTATATTATAATATTCATTTGTTTGTAAACTATTGTTCAGCGAGGCCTCAACTTTAACAGTTACAGCCGTCGCCATTTTGTTTTTCTCAACTAATGAATAGAAGTTTCCGTATAAGAAATGCAAAGGAAAGATATTCAAGACCTGTCAATCACAGTAAGCCCCGCCCTAAAGCATCCCCTCTTTATGGTCTGTTTGTTTGACTCTAAATGGACCAACATTCACTAAATGAGCATCATGCTGTGTTGAAGAAGACTTGAAACTAGAGACTGAGACCATAAACTCATGTTTACAACGTTTACTGAGGGAATAAATCATAAGTCGTTTTCTCATAGACGTCTATGGGAGCAGAGGAGTCGCCCCCTGCTGGTCACCACATAGAATGCAGGTTTTGGGACCGCTTATAAACGTATTGGTGGTTCACTTCTAGATGTTAATTCTCTTGAGGTGTCTGTGGCGTCCCCTCAGGTGACGGTGCCTGGTCAGGTGGTGGACGTAGCGTGTGGTGTCGACCACATGGTGGCGCTGGTGAAGTCCCTCCTGTGAGCTGCAGTGTTCCTGCAGTGGATGAAAGGTTTGGATGTTTTGGCTGACCCCCTCCACCTCCTCCTCTTCTCTGTGGGAGCCGATCGGGGGCCACGGCGGAGTCTCGGAGCCAGCTGCTCTCCACAGGAGCTACGGACCCTGGCGCCCCCCCCCCCCCCTTCTCCCTCTCCCCCCCCACTGACGTCGAGCCGAGGACGGAGCGGCCGGTTCTGCAGCGAACCGACGCCGAGCTCACGTCACTGTGTGAAGGTGGAGGTGAAGGTGGGAAAAGACAACAGAGGACGGTTTGGTTCATTCCAACTGGAGACGATCCATCGATTTACGCACTTTGTGGGCAAATGAGACATGAGTTCTCATGTCTATCGTTCTACATATATTAGTGTAGATAAGTGTTTGATGAAAACGTAAATGTATTCCCGGGAAAGGCTGATGCAATCTGCCACCTTTAGTACAGATGTTCGGCTGACACCATCTTGTTTTTGTCATTATCATCAGCCCAGAGAATTGTTTTTTAGTTGCTGCTGTTAACATTACTTCTGGTGCAACATCCCTCAAAATGCACTGCAAGAATGTTGTGTTGTGTTTCTGTTTGTCGTGCTACAAATGGGCCTTTTTTTTGTTATGGATCCCTGTGTTGCATAACGCCAATAAATTATGAGTTAATTTAATAAATCCATATTTGAAACGTAGAAATATTGTCCCAAGGATGCTCATGACCTGTCACAAGCTAGCCCCTCCCCTTAAGCGTCCCCCGCTTCATGGTCTGTTCCACTCTACATGACCCACATTTAACTAAATTAACATCATGCTGTATTGAAGAAGACTTGAAACTAGAAATTGAGACCATGAACTCATGTTTACAATGTTTACTGAGGGAATAAATCAACAGAGAAGTAGAGTCATTTCCTCATAGACGTCTATGGGAGCAGAGGAGTCGCCCCCTGCTGGTCACTACAGAGAATACAGCTTCAAGAAGCTTCAGCGTTATGGTGCTTATAATGTCATTTCTTAACTTTACTTAAGGACCCCTTGTAGTTATGATCACATTATTACATGATTATAGTGTATAATAGAATGTATAAGGGTTATGGCCACTATAATACACCATTCTTGAAAGAAAAAATATGTGAGGGACCTGGGATTAAGAAATATATAAATATATCATGTATGCTATGAAACATCAGAAATATGTATAAGTGCTAATAAGAATAATTATTTACATCTAATATAACATTTAACTAATTATATCTGTGGAAGGTAACAAAGTAAATGTTAGTTCAACGTCTAGGTTCTTTTACATCACTCGTGTTTTTCCATTTCATGTTGCTTAATGTAATTTTAGATTTTCAATTTGACCAACATATCAATTAAATTACAATCTGCACATCTGATAACAAAACAACAACTTTGCTGCAGTAATGAGAGTAAATGTAATTAGTCACAAGTCAGTGATCCGTCTACATGAACTCTCTTTATGTAAGAAGAAAGTTGATCCGCTGAGGTAAAAACAATAACAGCTCATGTCCTCTCCTTTAACCCCCCCATCTGTGTTGTGGAGGCCACAAGGACCTGGCTGTTCTCTGCTTTGTTTACTCAGCTCCAACGATGCAAACAGCTGATGTACCTGCTGTCACCCCCCATCCTCCCCCACTGTGAGCCGCAGGCTGGGGAGGGAGGGAGGTTATGACTAAAATTACATCACAATTACTGCTAGAAGCCGAGAAGCTTTGGCAGTTTATTGGAAAATTAAATGAAGGCTAAGTCCCGCCCCTCTGATGCAGAACAACCAATCGTATCGTAGCATCGCCCAGCTCCTTCATAGACTCATTAATGTGCCATTTTTTAAATTCTTATGCTTATTTTTGCTGAAGTACTGATGGATCTGAAATGATGACAGTCGTTGGCACCAACAGTGCAGGTTACTTGTACTTATTTTCCTAGTTTGTTAACCTTCTGCATGTGATATTATATCCCCTCACCACGTAGGCTACACCATGATCTTTGTTAGCTGTTGATGCTAATATTCAGTCAATGTATATATACACTAGTATGTTTTTGTATTATTTGATCCATCGATTTAGATTAATTTGAGGATTTGACGACCACGTTGGGCAAAGATGTCACCAGTTTATTGATTGAAGAGTACACATTGGGAGCAAATACAGTGAAAGGAAAAACCCCTGTTAAGTAAACGCATTAAAAATGACACATTGGTGAAAACTGAACAAGCTCAAAAAACAAAAGAAGAAAAGCAAGGAAAAAAAACGTTATTTTTTTTCCATTGGAGAAGCTCTTCAACTTGTTTCTCTTTGACATGGAATCAGAAGAATGTTTTAACACTGATAAATGTTTCCACTCATCACGTCTGACCAGGAGGCGGCTTGTTGTTAGGAGGGTGAAAGAAAAAGAAAAACAGTACCACTAAATGTTTAAGACCAACAGAGACGTCCCCATGTGGGCGGATCGCTCTACAGTAAATAGCCCTCCCCTGTTTTCACATCAGTACAGCAGGCCTGGGGGGGTTGGGGGGGGTTTGAGGGGGGGGGACCTGCATTAAAGTGCAGACTGGGGCAGGACAGGGGCAGCTCCAACACAGCAGGGCCCCACCCGGTGTGAAGCATTAGCTTATGTTTGCGTCACTATCCTAGAAAACAAAGTGGCTCAGGCATTTACGAATCGTTGCACTTCGTCATCGGGACGCGAGCGACGCACAAGTACAGTAACCGTGGTTACGACAGTAACTCCCAAGGAAACGAAGGCCAAGCGGATGCACGGAGGACCGCGAGCGGGGAAAAAATGTTCTTTTCCCTTTGAAGGATAAAGACTGAAGTGTTTAAATGTCAATTAAGGAGTAAAAAGGTTGTTTGATTTATTCTATTTCAATTTAATTCTTAACGTTGACTTAATGAGTCTTTTTCTTACGCCAGGCGCTGATACTGTCGACCTTATTCTTGACGTTAAAATATTTTTCAAAATGTAAGTAAAAATGTTTCCCCTCTTTTATTCCTTTAATCTTTTCCATTAATACTCTTGTTTATAGATGAGATTAAATGATTTGATGGGTAATCATTAGACGTCTGGCCGATTTTCTTTCCCGTTTCCAGTCTTTCTGCTACGCTAAGCTAATTGGTATGCCAAGCTAAGCTAATTGCTTTAGCGACATACCTAAACCAATTGGATTTTCCAGTATGATGTCAGTATCTAAATTAACAAATATATTATTGAACATAGAATATTTTTTTATCGTACAAATTGGTCGGACTCCATTTAATTGATATGAATTGTCTGATTATTATTCCACTTCATTTTTTATTTTCTCACTCACAAAATAATATGTCCTCAAATGTCGGTCGGCTGCCTTCACATTTCTAGCGTTATGTTGCTCGCTAAATTCTAGACGATATGTTATAATATTGCTTCTCATTAGGCGCGTTCTCACGAAACCTCTCAAAGGCGAAGTACATTGTTCCATAATAGTAATAATTCAAAATAAATACTGAGGGGAGCAAGAATTCTTCCACCATTTAAGACGCTGTATCACTCAACTTGTAAAAGCTTTTCAATTATTAATCATGTTCCAAATGTTCATTGATTCACTTTCTCCAAATCAAATGATAATCCCACGTTTCAGTCATTGATTAATGCCACATAAATGCACATCACAGAATTCTAACTTCTCCATCGGGCTCTTTGATTCGCTCTGACGATCGGGCGCCGCTGCGTCTACGAAGAGGCCGCGTGTAACTCCTCCTCCTCCCCCCCCCCCCCCCCCCGAGGAGTCGCCCCCTGCTGGTCACTACCCCCAAATTGAGTCATTTCCTCATAGACGTCTATGAGGAGCAGAGGAGTCGCCTCCTGCTGGTCACTACAGAGAAGAAGAGTCCTTTCCTCCCAGACATCTATGGGAGCAGAGGAGTCCACCGCTGCTGGTCACTGCCGCAGAACAACAATGACTCCAGAGGGATTGTGGAACCGCAGCGCTGCTCCTACCTCCAGTCTTGACAGAGAAAAGACAACTCAGCTGGCTCCTGGAAAGGGAGGTACTTCGAGCTGGGAGAAGGCGAGACGGCGGGGGAGCAGATGTGACAATCTGTGTAAAACCCTACTACAGCTGCTTGTCCCGACTTCGAGGAGCACTGCCTGAAAACAGGTCAGTTCGATTGTCCATCGTTTTTGGTGAGGGACACAGACTTTGGCCCCAAAACAAGTCTTGTTGTACTTTGTTCCCTCCATTGCCACAAATTCCCTAAAAAAGACTTAACCAACAATGTGCCCAAAGTGGATGT